TGTGGGAGATGTGATATGATGGACACGGCACACACACACACACACACACACGCACGAGAGAGCTTGATGTGGGTTCACGGATGAATGGCAAGCTGACGCCGAGGATTCGTGTGCTGTAGAAAGGTGGTGGTTTTCGCTCGATGCCACTCTTCGGGAAGTAGCGTCGTGCGAAAAGAGGCGGAAGTCTTCTACACGATGAAAGCTACGTTCCCGGCAGAAGCAGGGGAGGCCATGCAGCATTGCTGCTGGAAACTGCCAGAAGAAGTCAAGGCGAGGCCTAGACAGCAGATGACCGGGTCCGCGGCAATGACAGTAAGAAGCGCAGAAGGAAGAGCGAGCGAGACGGGAGAGAGAGAGAGAGAGAGAGAGAGAGAGAGAGAGAGAGAGAGAGAGAGAGAGAGAGAGAGAGAGAGAGAGAGAGAGAGGCAAGGCAAGATGAAATGGCGGATAGGACCGCCGAGAGAACAAAGTATCATCATTTCTCATCACACATCTACCTCATTCAGTGGCATCCTTGCTAGGAGTCATATCCTCCTCGATGTGATCAATCGCCAGTCCCAACTCTTTGCTCAACAGTGCATTGAGCCTTGTTCCATCACGCAGATACACCCACTCTCCCTGCCCACCTCCTTCCTTTTGGTGCATGCTTTCCCCCGACACCACCCAGTCGTAGCGTTTGGGGCCAGAAATGGGCGATGACAGCCAGATCTGCTTGTTCGGCGGCTGCTTGTTGATGACATAGGTGCCATTGGGCGGGAAAACGATGTTCAACACACCAGCCTGTTGAGAGACACTACATGTCAGTCCTGTCTGCCTACTCGCTCCTACAAACTCTTGTTGCAGCATGTCTACATGTCCACGGACTCACCGAATACTCCACCTCCACATCCTCGCGCGATTCCTGCATCGCCTCTGCTTTTTCGCAAATCAAGTCCATCTGTACGTCCGACAGCTCTTGATATTCGTCTTCACTCAGCTGTGCCGGCTGTTGATTGCCTGGCGCCATGACCTCGTCGTTGGGCGGTTTGGGGTCTTCGGACTCGGGCATGATGCCCGCTCGGGCGGCGTGTGATATCGAGAGCCATCGAGGCTGCGAGAGGACGATTTGTGGTACCACGCGTCGGATTGTTGCTGCTGCTGCTTGCGGGTGCAGTTGTCGTGTGATGGTGGGCGTGATGCTGGCTTGGGAGCCACGACGAAGCCATTGGCGCATGAGGCGGGTTGTTGCTGGAGCTGACATGGTGGTGATGGCGGTAGCAATGGCTATGGCGATGAGTGTAGTCAGTGGGTGCCGGTGCGGAGGAGCAGATTCAAACTAGGTGGTATGACAGGTTTGATATGTGTTTGGATGGGGTCAAGAAGGGTATAGAGAGCTAAGGTAAGGTAGGTGCAGTAGTTCAAGCTGAGCTTGCCTTCCCCACAAATTGTATCACACCTCATAGAATCATGGTCATATGACATCGTCAGAGCGTTACCGTCCACTACATCCTGTACTTCGATGATTTTCTTCTTCTAAACCGACTCCCACCACCTTTTTCGACAACTTGTGTTACTACTGTGGCTGGTCCGGTGCCAATGGCTTCCTCCTCCTCCTCACGACTTGCGCTGGACATCTTGCACATTCTCCACCACCTCCGCTTCCTCAATCGCTGATTTCTCCTGGAACTGCTCGAGTGCGCCCACCATCTCCGCACTCAACTGCTTGCCCTTGCGGCCAATGACATACCATGGCAGCTGGAACACGGCATCACAGTCTTCCAGACTCTTTCCGGCCAGTTCGGGCAAGAAAAACCACGCCCATGCCAGGCCCACCAAGGTGACGGCGCAGAAGAACATCATGGTACCCCCGTGGGTCATGCCCAAGAACATCTCGGGGACGGCCTTGGAGTTGCCATATTGGTTGACGAAGTGGAACGTCATGGCGAATGATCCTCCGATCGCTCGAAGTCGTAGTGGATAGATTTCGGAGTTGATCAGATATTGGATCGAGTTCCAGCCCTGTGGGAGGTGTCAGAGCGGTATGAAAAACCAATACATGGACAAGAGTGACGAAGCTGCACTTACCATAGCCCAACCGAAGCCACTCAAGTAGATCATCACGATTGCACCCGTAGCTGCTCTCTTGATTGGTGCGGGCTGGCTATCAAGATCTTCCACATTGCTATTGGCCAAGAGGAAGCCGGCCATGTACAGCATCGCGACAAATTGGAGGGTGATGCCAATCATCAGAGAACGTTTGCGTCCAACGTAGTCGATCAGGAAGAAGGCGCAGAGAAGTGCAGAGATGAATTTTACGACACCGAAGATGGCCGTCGCGAAGAGCTTCTCGTTCGAACCAGTCTGACCAACGAGTGCGAAGTATTCTGGCGCATAGATTGTAATGCCTGATCATCAGATGGTCAGCAAGTGTCCGAAATAGGTCACAGTCGATCGCAATGCATTCGCTCGAGTAGGTTGACTATACTTACTGTTGGCACCAGACCTGTAAAGCAAGAAAAGACATTGATCAGCACAGGTCACCAAGTGGGAATATGGCACAACCTTACCATTGACTGAGCAGTTGAGAGAACACCGAAAGCATGAGGCGGTAGCGATTGGCAGCCGTTCCAACAAGCTCGCGAATCACTCCATACCACTTGGTACCCATGGTCGCCTCTCGCTCACGTTCCAGCTGATCCTTGACATCCATAATCTCGGCCTGAACATACCAGTGATCCTCGGGAAGATGACGAAGTGTGGAAAGATTCTTCACTGCTTGCTCCACCTTGCCCACTTTCAGGAGCCATCGAGGCGATTCGACCGCGAGGAACGAAGTGATGAATATGATCGCCGCGAAGTAGATGTGCAACATGTTGGGAATCACCCACTGCATTTGCGTATCGGGCGAGATGTGCAACGAGCAGCCCCAGACGGAGAAGTAGCCGAGCATGATTCCGAGATAGACGGATCCCGAGAACATGCAAACACAGAGTCCACGCGTGAACTTGGGACTGATCTCTGCAAGGTACGTCGGTGCAACGACCGTCGTCTGTCCAATTCCCAATCCCGCAACTGTGTGAAAGACTCGTGATTAGAACAGGCTGGACCGATATCTCCTCATCCTCCAACGAGAACAACAGAAAAACCGTGTGAACTCACTGAATCGTCCCGCGTAGACCATGCCCAAATGACCGCTCTTGCCTGCAGCCAAGAAGATGGAAATGCCCAACACCCAGACCAAGCACAATTGTCTCGTAGCCCAGAGCCGGCCCACTTTATCGGTAACATAGAATGCGATCAACGCTCCTCCGATGCTTCCCAATTGCACCATGGACGTGATGTTGCTGAGTCGATCGGCTTGCTCTGCTTTCGTGAGACTTTTATCTTTCAGTCCGAACGTCTTGGAGAAACTCGGGAGGGTGGATGTCGTGCCAATAAGGCCTGGAAGAAAGCAACAGGTTAGTTTTCTGGAAGTACGAAAAGGATCTATCAATTCATTCTCTCCGTCTTCTTACTTACCTTCATCAACCCCACGAGCCGCTCCCATCAATCCAAACACTGCAAAAAACCCACAAACATTAGCCTCATGAGCATATTCCTAATTGTCATTTTTTTTTTCTCTTTGGTTCACTACTCACCAAACACGCCATACCAAAGACGCCAATTCAAAATCTCGCTTGGAGCATCCGGATTCTTGCGATTGAGAAAACCCATCTTGGGGCTGGGGGCTTGGCTAACCAAGGTACCTTGGTGGAAGCTTGGTAGGCGGCCTTGGAAGTGCGTTGGGTGGTGCTTGGTGCTTGGTGCTTGGTGTGAGCTACTCTTGAGGAGGAACGCTGCAGCCACGAAAAGGCAAAAAAAAGTGTGTGTGTGTGTGTGTGTGTGTGTGTGGATGACGATCAAGAAGAAACGTCTTCTTCACACACAAGTAGCAAGCAAGCAAGCACCGTTTCCTTGTGGAGGGATGGAGGGAGGAAGGGATGGAGGGAGGGAGGGGAGTTATACTACCTGACCTATACCTAGTCCATGCTGCACTTTTTTTGTGAACCACTACCACTACCACTACTACACTACCTTACCTTACCTCAACGGCGACCTTTGACCCAAGGTAGTACAACTACAATCGTCCCCTAGTCGAATGGGTGAGCGGCGCGCGGGACGGGTGGTACGTACATACAGTACAGTAGATTGTACAGTACAGTGTACAGTGTACTTGCAGCGGTGGTGGTACAGACCGTCCCGTCCTGTTCAGTCCCCCTCCCCTCCCCCATTCGCTACTCGCCAAATAGAACCTACCTAGGTCCTAGGTAGTGTATATTTCTGCATCTCAGTGTATCGTCAGATTGGAATTGATCCACAATCCCTGCCCCCTGGGTGCCATGCAGAACGCAAATCTTTTCCCCGTTCTTCGGCAGAAGCGCATTATCGTGGGCGATAGAAAAGTGCGGAGGTGAAAATGCGGGCGGGTGTGAGATGTTCCCAGCCAGCAGGGTTGGAGGGTTGGGGGGAGCCTGGGAGGGAAAAACGTGTGTGACAAGGGTTGCTATGTGGTCGTGTTTTTTCGAGGCGCGTGACCATTCCCCAAATGAGACAAGACGGGCCAAGGTGGCCAAGGCTATATAGCTCGGAGGCGAACAGTTTTTAGGATGCTGTCCAAGCTGGCGAAGAGTTGGACGAGGGAAAGCTTTGTCTCTCTTCGTTTCCAGGCTAAAGCATTCACTCGAAATGGGGAATCGGTGTTGTGGTGGGATTGTCGGCATGCAAATGGCATGAATAGACAGACCCCTCCCGTCGCCAGAAATCCCTCCCTCTCTCTCTCTCCACAACAACCTGCTTGGCGGTCAAGATTCGCCAAGTAGAAGGTGTCAGGCTCGTGTTGGTATCACGAAACGTTGTCCACTTGTCGCGTGAGATTTGAGCATTGGTACTGTACGTGGAGCTCTCTCCATGCAACACACCCGGTGCCACATCACATGGATAGTGGTGGTAGTACGAGATGCCGATACACCTTTAAGCGAGGCTGTAACAGGCGCCGCAGACGGGAAGTTGGAAGGTAGTGTAGCGACGGGAGGACGGTAGGATCATTAGGAGGTAGAACTAGTGGACAGGCCATGAGAGGGTAGGTCTCGCCCGCGTTCTTTGATTATCCAGCTGGCTGCTCGGATTAATATCCGAGGCTCGTCCACAGCGAATTGGCTGATCATTTAGCCTGTTTATGGCAACCGCAACGTCCCTGGGGCCTGGGCAGTCAGTGGGCGTGTCCATATTCACTCCATTGCATGGCCGAGAATGTGATAAGGTAGAGGTAGCTGATCCCCATTATTGGCGGAACTTGGCACGTTGTTATGTTGGGTATGGTGCATGCAATATGCCAATATGCCAATATCTCAGCAGGCTATCCCACACGTCGCTTGATACATACCTTATCTCGCAGGATGGGGAGACGGTTGAGCCAGCCGAGTAGTCGACCAGCATCTAGAATTCTGGTTGCTTGTCCTGGTCCACCTGGTCCGAAAGGGAATCAATTATCATCTCAAGGCATCTCGGAGGGTTTGAATTTGTTATGAAGGATGCATAACCTGGAGGTGTGGTGCACCCACACGATCGGCCTCGGCGTTGAGTGCCTGAATCTCCGCCTCCACGTACGGGATCCCCATCTTTCGTGTCTCTTCTGCGATCAGCTCTGCGAAGGTGTTATGGCCGTGTTTTTTTTTCCTTCATCACCTGTTTGTTGCATCATGGTTGGAATTGCTCAGACTCACCTCGCTCCCCGGGGAAATAGATGGTATCCACGCCCGACATCTTATCAGAGTCAACCACTCGCCTATAAAGATAATCCATTCTCTCTTTGAACTCTTCCAGAGACAGGAACAGATCGGGCTTGATGGCAACGAGAAAGTGGCCCACATCCGCAGGCTTGCTGGAATCATACGGGTTTGTCACGTGGCCTGCAAATGCTGACCCCGATAGCACGCCCGAGAACACATCCATCACTGCAGTTTCGAGTCAGAACACATCGCACATCATCACTCTCGAGACATACTGATTGCGAGTCCGGAGCCTTTGGGGCCGCCCATGGGAAGCATAACACCTTCTAGTGCCTTGGATGGGTCATCGGTAGAGTTTCCGTCAGAGTCCAGGGCCCAGTCGAGTGGTATCTTCTCGCCACGCCGTTTCGCCTTGTAGACTTTGCCTCGTGCGGCCACAGAGGGTGCCATGTCCAGAATGAATGGTCTCTCTTTTCCTGCTGGCGCTCCACAGGCAATAGGACTGACGCCCATGAGCTTGCTCTTGCCGCCCCATACAGGCTATAATGCACCAAGTATGGTTAGTTGATGTCTGCTTGTTCCGATAAGCCATGCGCATGTAATCCTCACCAATGCGGGAGAGCTGTTCGTGAACACGAGACTCATCATGCCTTGATCAATTGCTTCCTGTACCAGCCAGGCGGACATTCCAAAGTGATTGCTGTGCTTCACACTGACCATACCGATGCCATAGACCCGAGCCATATCAATCGCCTTTGCCATACCCATATGGGCTGCAACAAATCCGAAAGCATTATGAGCATCGACCTGGGCCACGACAGGCGTGATCTCGCTCAGTGTCGGCTGTGCTGCTGCGTCAAGTACACCACTTCTGATGCGGGCCACGTACGATGGAATGCGATTGACTCCATGAGTGTCCACACCTCTCAGGTCGGCGGCTACGAGGCATCGAGCCACGATATTGGCGTTCTCGAGTGGGACCCCGTAGCCTTGGAGGACTCCTACAACATAGCGGTGGGCGTCTGCTGGGAGGACAGAGTGGTACTGTGGCGAGGATGCATCATTGCCCTCGACAGGCATGGCCATGCTTCCCAGATGTATACGGTTGGCTGGGGCCGTGGCGTGGGTGTTGTCCACCTCCGAGTCCATATGACCGTATACCTGTATCTGATGCCACTGAGCCAAGACAGCGTTGATGCAGCCACGTGTCTATTGGCTCCTCATGACAACCTGAATAAATACACGGTGGATCAGGTCAGGTATGTAGGTGATGTGTCGATGGACTGAGATGAGAGACCTGAAGGGGCACGGATGTGAGGGACGCTCTCAGCCACGATTGATTACATGGCAGGTTACTAGGTAAGTACATGTAGGAGGTAGGTACATACAGGTACTGGTACTGTAAAAGAAATCTACCACCTACTACGACCTCCACCACCTCTCCTCCCTCCTTGACCGTCCCCACGGGTCGATGACAGCCAGCCACTAGGAGGTGTAGAAAACCAGAATTAGATCGAAAGTTTAGTGCCAAACTCGAAATCCACCGAGCAGCACCATCCCGCCGTCTGCCAGCCGCTTCGTTCACTGCAGCCAGGCGGTCAGAACCTAATACTGTTGTCATAGCAGATAGTCATACATAAGGTACATTATATACCTACCAGGCAACGAGAGCCGCCGCAACGGCTCTTCACGTCACCACGCTGGAGGAATGGCAGCGTAGTTCTCGGGGTAGGACGAGCATTACTATTGACCGACCAGGACACCACCGACGACCACCTGCGACGCCTCCCGCGAACCTCGCCCGGTCACGAGAACCACCAGACGCGGGAATCGAGCTTGAGGATCTGCCTCCACCCGCGCGCCCTCCCACATCGCTAGAGCGTCCATCCTTAGTACCTGGAACAGGCTCACTGCGGCGCAGGCAGAAGCTCTGTGACCTCCTCGAGCGCGACATGAAGTTCTCGCATAGCATCCAGTTCAACGCCGTCCCCGAGTGGTCTTCCAACTACATCGCCTACTCCAATCTTAAGAAGCTCATCTACCAGCTCGAGAAGCAGCTGAATCAAAATGGACAGGCTGCAACACACCACCAGGATCCCGAGTCCTCGCCGCTCCTTACGAATGGCGACCTAGACAACCCCGATAAAATCTTCACTCGCAAGTTGGACGATGAGCTGGAGAAGATCTGCAGCTTTTACCAGATCAAAGAGCTGGAGATTCTGGGAGAAGTAGATGCCCTCTTGCGGGATGTGGAAGAGTTCGAGGCGGAGCACGCTGCTGGGGAGGCAGACGGCCAAGGCGGCGAGCGAAGGCAGAGTCTGTGGGCACGAGCACGGCAGCAAAGCATCTTCCGAGCTCTTCCCGGCAAGCGGAGGAAGAGCTCGACAGTGAGCAGCGGTCGGCGTGCAGCAAGAATCGAGGAGGGAGATGAAAGCGAGGATGAGGACAACGAAAATGCTCCTTTGACTAAGAGCCAGTCGACACTGGAGAGATCCACAACACTGGACAGGTCTATGCGGAAAGACCTCGCCACCGGCACGTACCCAGATGGCGAGTCGTCCGCAGAGTTTCGACGACGGCCGAGTACTGCCTTTATCGATTTTGGCGACGATGCCCTCCAGGCACTCTACGACGAAGGAATCACGCTGAAGAAGAGAACCATTAACCTCTACGTGACTCTGTGCGAACTTCGCTCCTTCATCCAGCTCAATGAGACGGGTTTTAACAAGGTCTTGAAGAAGTACGACAAGATTCTCGATCGCAATTTGAAAAAGTCCTATGTGGCAAGTAAAGTCAAACCTGCCGAGCCGTTTCAGCAGAGCACCATGGAGCGGATATCCGAATACCTTAAGAAGGTAGAAGAAGCGTATGCTGGCATTGTGACTAAAGGTGATATCGAGGCTGCTCGCCAGGAGTTGCGTCTGCACCTGCGCGAACACGTCGTTTGGGAACGTAACACGGTGTGGAGAGAAATGATCGGCATCGAGAGGAAAGCCCAAGCTGCGAATTTGGGAATCCGAAATACCATGCTCGGTCAAGACAATGATCCCAAACGAGCACGCTTGCAAGGCGACGATGATGACGGCACCACCAAGGAGGTGAATCTGCCTATTGGCAAGTATAGATGCCCAAAGTTCCTGGTGACGGGCACGTTCTGGGTTCTGTGCGCAATCATTGCCATATTCGCGGTTCTCTTGTCTGTCCCTATCATGGAGCGGCCAGAGCAGCAGAATTGTCTGGCACTTGTGGTGTTCGTCAGCTTGCTATGGGCGACAGAGGTATGTGCAACTCTCGTGTCCGAGGCTGTGAGTAAACTTGCTAATATCAGACAGGCTATACCACTCTTTGTGACATCTCTGCTCGTGCCACTGCTGTGTGTGCTGTTGCAGGTTGTGCGGGAAGACGTCAAGCCGAATCGTCGTCTCACGAGCAAGCAGGCTGCAGGCTATGTTTTCGCATCCATGTGGACGCCTGTCATCATGTTGCTGTTGGGCGGCTTTACCATTGCTGCCGCGTTGAGCAAGTATAACATTGCTAAAATGATGGCAACATTCGTACTGTCCAAAGCAGGGACGAAGCCACGTACAGTCTTGCTCACCAGCATGGGTGTTGCCATGTTTGCCAGTATGTGGATAAGCAATGTTGCAGCACCTGTTTTGTGCTTCAGTATCGTTCAGGTAAGTCGAAACAGCTGATGTGCTGACAATCACTAATGCCCATGCAGCCAATACTACGGAATCTGCCTTCTGACAGCGATATGACGAAAGCCTTGCTGTTAGGTATCGCCCTAGCATCTAATATGGGTGGTGCAGCGTCGCCCATTGCTTCACCGCAGAACTTGATCGCCCTGGAGAACATGCTGCCACAACCCGGGTGGGGCACTTGGTTCTTCATCGCCCTGCCAGTGTGCATCATCAGCATTCTGCTCATATGGGTATTGCTGCTCGTGACTTTCCGACCCGGACGTAACACGACCATTGTGCCAATACGACCGATGAAGGACAAGTTCACTGGAGTACAATGGTTCATCACGATTGTCACGCTCGTCACAATTGCCCTTTGGTGTGTTAGCCATCAGCTCGAGCACATATTCGGAGACATGGGAGTAATCGCCATCATCCCCATCGTGCTTTTCTTCGGAACCGGAATCTTGACCAAAGAGGATTTCAATAACTTTCTATGGACTATCATCATCCTCGCTGCGGGAGGGCTGGCACTGGGCAAAGCTGTCAACAGTTCGGGCCTGCTCAAGACTATTGCGGTGTCAATCACGGCTCAAGTATCACATCTACCCTTGTACGGAATCGTCTGTGCATTCGCCGCACTTATCGGAGTCGTGGCCACCTTCATCAGCCATACAGTCGCTGCCCTCATTGTTCTTCCTCTAGTGCGCGAGGTTGGAGCTGGCATGGAGAACCCGGCTCCTAATCTCCTCGTCATGATTTCAGTGCTCATGGCTTCAGCTGCAATGGGTCTGCCCACGAGTGGATTCCCCAACATGAGTAAGTCATCCTACACCAAATCCAAGAAAAGAGTCACTAACACGCCCCGCAGCTGCAATCATGATGGAGGACTCGCAAACGGGACAGCGTTACTTGCAGGTCAGGCATTTCCTGACGAGAGGCATTCCAGCCAGTATGATGGCGTATGGGGTGATTGTCACTGTTGGATATGGGTTGTGCCGCGTCGTTGGGTATTGATGACTGAAATCTTGGCATGTAAAAGGCTTCCGATATAGATTGATAGAGCACCTAGACTGGAGACGTGGACGTTCGACTCTTCCCCTCAACCGTCCTTCTCAGGGTCCTCTTCGCCATACATGTCTTCTTCGCGATCCTCATTTGCCTTAGGTGCGCCAGGTTTGCCCGTCTCGGAAGCTTTCTCCTCGTCCATTTTCTGAGTGAGGAAAGTGTTGATTTCGCCCTGCAGCTTCGAAGCGTTGGCGCGCAGGCCTGCGAGATATGTCGTCTTCTCCTCTACGCTCCCCGACTGCGGAAGCAGCGGCACATCCAGAGAAAAGGTGCGCGCATCGCTGGGAGATTTGTAGCTGGCAACAAGCGGTGTGTTGGTCATGTTTTGCCGTTTGTTTGTCGATGTGTGAATACAGGTACTGCTAAAAGGTAGACTGGAGTCATTGTGAGGGAGTGAGGGAGGAGGGAGGGGGGTGGACGTCGTCGGCGATCGGCACACTTTGCTTGGCATTCAATTAACGAATTTGTGTCCACCAGTGCGTTCGACTTCGACTGTCTGTATCTGTGTGCCGCCCATCTCACTTCGACTCCCGACTGTCCATACTAACCCAAGGACTTTTCTCAAGCAAAGGTGAGCTCCTGTTGAACATCCACCTTGGATACGCCCCTGTCTCCTCGCACCGCCGCCGCCGCTGCCGCACTTTGCAAAACCGCACCCGAGCGAAAAAGAGCTGGAAGAAGATGGGAGTGCGAATTTGTTTGAAGACACATTGGGGCTGCAATACATGGCGAAGCTGCTCGAGCACTACAAGCTGCTTTGATACTGGCTTCGCTTTGCTGTGAGACGCAGAGGCGTGCGCGCAATTCTCTGTCAGTCCAAGACTAGCAGCGGCGTTTGCAGAAGAACAGGATCATGAGATTATACGAACCAGGACAGCGAAAATCGCATCAACAACGACATGACATTCACACCAAGGCAGCAGCGGCGGTGGCGCGTGATCTTGACACAGCTTGCTTTCGAGGAACGTAGCTGATATCGAAGAATAGTCTCGTGCAGATCAGTCAATATGGCATCCACTGCTCCTGCCCAGGGCGTGAGCGGCGTCAACATCAGCAAGCGCAGAAAGTTCGTCGCCGACGGTGTTTTCTACGCCGAGCTCAACGAGTTCTTCCAGCGCGAGCTCGCTGAGGAAGGATACTCTGGTGTCGAGGTTCGCGTCACTCCTACCGTGACCGACATCATCATCCGTGCCACCCACACCCAAGAAGTCCTTGGTGAGCAAGGACGCAGAATCCGCGAGGTTCGTACAGGTCTCTCCATGTGGGACTATGCGCAAAGTTGACACTGTCGCAGCTTACCAGCTTGATCACCCACCGATTCCGCTTCCCTCCTGACAGTGTCTCGCTCTACGCCGCTAAGGTCCAGTCGCGTGGTCTCTCTGCTGTTGCTCAGTGCGAGTCTCTCCGCTACAAGCTCCTCAATGGTCTTGCCGTTCGTCGTGCATGCTATGGTGTCCTTCGGTAAGCAGGGATCGTGATCATCCTGTTCTGATTCCTACTAACATCTTGCTAGCTTTATCATGGAGTCCGGCGCCAAGGGTTGCGAGGTTGTCGTCAGTGGCAAGCTGCGTGCCGCCCGTGCCAAGTCCATGAAATTCACAGACGGCTTCATGATCCACTCCGGTCAGCCAGCCAAGGACTTCATCGACTCCGCCACCCGCCACGTCCTGCTCCGTCAAGGTGTCCTTGGTATCAAGGTCAAGATCATGCGCGCTTCTTCATCGCCAAACGACCCAGCCGGCGAGAAGGCTGGCGGCAAGGGTCTGCCAGACTCTGTCACCATCATCGAGCCAAAGGAGGAGCAGCCTATTCTCGCACCATCGTCTCAAGACTACGGAGCCAAGGCTGCACAGGCTCAGGCATACGCTCAGCAGCAGCAACAGGCGGAGCAAGAAGGTGCTCCAGCAGAGGACGCTGCAGCGCCGGCACAGGCCGAGTACTAGATGTCCACGCGATGTATGCGCTTTTTGTGGCGGGAAGTTCTAGGGTCATGAACAACGGAGTTTGACATGGTGAAAGCGATTTCCAAGAGCAGCTCATTTCCAAGCTGGAGCTGTCAGTGGTAAAAGAGTCCACGAATTGAATGCAATGCCCAATATGACGACCTTCCACAATTACCATTCTAGCACGACGTTTCGAAAATGACTCTGAATTTCTCGAGAGGCGGTGTTTAGTTTCGAGGTCAAATGCCCCTGAAGCCGATTGAGAGGCTTCGCGGTCGGACGTTTGCCTTGAAGTCCATACCTTTGTGTTAAACTGCGGATATGAGAACCAAGATTCTCATTTCAGGGCCCTAGGGCACTGTCTCGCAGCGTGCATATATGTATATCAATTGCATGAAGACAAACTTTTCCACTTCAGTCATCCCAGATGGCCTTTTTCGCTGCTTCCGTGTCTCGCCGCTTTTGCTCCTCCTCTGCTTTTGCCTTGTCCCGTTTCTTCTTTTCCTGCACCTTCATCGCCTGATCGTATTCACGCTGCTCTGGTGTCCGCTTTGGCGCTCGCTGTCCCAACCCGGCTGCAATCAATCGAGATGCCACTGCGGTCGTCTTATCTGGACGTCGTTCGGGCGGCGTGTCACCACTACCGCCACTATTACTATTTCCACGTGAAAGTGATGATGATGGTGGGGTTCCTGTATCATAATAGCTCAATGGCCCGAAATTCTGGTATTGCAGGTCTCGTTTTTGGGCTTCTGTGGGCGAGGATGGTGTGGGAGGAGGTGGACCGGGGAAGTTGGGTCGGATGGGAGTGGAAATGCTTTTCCTGTCCTCTTCTTCCTGGTTATTGTCGTCGTTGTTGTGGTTGGCGGAGCCGTCCTCCTCCTCCTCCTCCTCGCCTACTTCATCTTCCCATGATTCTGCTGGCTCTGCTTTCCGGGACTTGATCTTGTCGTCGATTTTTAATCTGCCAAGTGAGGAGGCTATGGTATCGGAAGACGGCATTGTTTGTGAGGGGGGGCATATGTCAGAAGTCAGGTAGCTTATGTGAATGATGGAGGGGGGTGTATTTTTGTGCATGTGATTCGCCAAGAACTACTGACAGTACAGGGATGTTGGATGCTGCACTGACTAAGGTACTGAGCACTCTCACCTCGAGACCGAGGGACTAGCACTAGCTTCAATCATGTGAAGACACAACACACACACACACACCATCATTCCAGCATCGCCTCTACAACAGCAGCCTGTGAACAACAACAACAACTCCTCTCCTCGCACACATGCACTTGGTCGCCTAAATGTCCACCGCCCTTCATACTCTCCCCACAAATACCAGGTCGTCGCCGTCAATATGGCGGTCCAGTCCCTCCCTCTGACCGTCTCCACCCGCGGCCTGAAACAGATCCTCAGTGACCTCACGTCGCTCTACGTCGCGCACCGAACCAAAATCTCTCGGTCGATCTATGCTGCTCTTCTGCTCGCTGTGATACAACGTATTCGTGGAGCGATCAAAGAGCAGAAGGCGGCTGCAGCAAGAGCAGCTGACCATCGTCGCAAAGGCCTTGGGGGCGACGACTCGGGCAAGAAGAAGAAGAAAGTCGAGCTGGACAGAGAGTTCTTTCGCAGTCTCGGAAGACTCCTACGCATATGCATACCATCATGGCGCAGTAAAGAAGCACGATTACTTGCGAGTCACTCGATTTTCTTGGTTCTGCGGACCTTGATCTCGCTATATGTCTCCTACCTCGATGGACGCCTCGTTAGCGATCTGGTCCGAGGCCGCGGAAAGGCCTTTCTCAAGGGCCTGGTATGGTGGATGCTGGTTGCAGTCCCAGCGACATTCACGAATAGCATGCTGGCCTACCACCAAACCACTCTATCTCTATCCTATCGCGCGCGCCTGACGAACTACATCCATAATCTCTACCTGGGGAACATGACCTTCTATACCCTGTCTGCTCTTGACGACCGGATCAAGAACGCAGATCAACTCATCACTGTGGATGTCACCAAGTTCTCCAATAGTCTGGCAGAGCTATACTCGAGCCTCTCTAAACCCACCCTTGATCTTGTCATCTACAATTGGTCACTGTCTCGGAGTGTGGGCGGCGAGGGACTCTTTGCCATGTCACTGATGGTGCAGCTGAGCGCGAGTCTGATGAGGGCGCTGACGCCGCCATTTGGACGATACGTTGCGGAAGAGGCAAAACTGGAGGGAGAGTTTAGAGCACAGCACTCTCGTCTCATCGATTACAGCGAAGAAATTGCCCTCTACGACGGACACGACGCCGAGAAGGATACTGTAGACAAAGGATACTTCACGCTTATTAGGCACGTGAACAGGATCCTCCGACGGAGACTGTACCATGGCATCATGGAAGAGTTCGTCGTCAAGTACTTTTGGGGAGCTCTGGGCCTTCTATTGTGCAGTGTGCCAGTCTTTTTCAAGCTACCAGGAGCATTACCAGGAAGTCACGGTACAGGCGACAAAACAGAAGCCTTCATCACCAATCGACGTCTGCTTCTGCAATCGAGCGATGCCTTTGGGAGACTGATGTTCTCGTACAAAGAGATTAGCGAGCTTGCAGGATATACAAGTCGAGTAAGCATGCTTTTGGATGTCATTGCAGACATTCAGCGAGGTCATTTTGAGAAGGCTTTGGTCTCATCAGCCTCGACGGAAGCAAATGCTGCCATCCTAGCTGGGAGAGGTGAACTCGAAGAGGGTGACGATATCAAATTCCAGGATGTCCCGATCGTGTCGCCAAACGGCGATATCCTCGTTCGAGCCCTATCATTTCACATTCAGCAAGGTGACCACATGCTGATCGTTGGTCCCAACGGATGCGGCAAATCAAGCTTGTTTCGCATACTGGGAGGGCTGTGGCCTGTATATGGTGGCAGAGTCAGGAAACCAACAAATGAAGACATTTTTTACGTGCCGCAACGCCCATACCTGAGCAAAGGTACTTTACGCCAGCAGATCCTATACCCCGACAACCTCCTCGACATGCGCGCCAAAGGCGTCACTGACCAAGACTTAATTCACATTATGAAGAAGCTTGGTCTGGAATCCCTGCTGAGCAATTCTGGTGCGCAGTACGCGGTCAATGCAGGCGAAGGCAACAGCCCCATTGAGACCAGAGGGCGACCACACGTGGACGCTGCCGGTCTGAACGTGGAGCAGGAATGGCCAGAGGCACTGAGCACTGGCTTCCAACAGCGCATTGCTGCCGCCCGACTATTCTATCACCGACCCAAGTACGCTATCCTGGATGAATGTACATCCTCGCTGACGCCGGAACTGGAGAAGATCATGTACGATGAGGCAAAAGCGCTCGGGATTACCTTGATGACCGTGTCGCATCGCAGGTCGCTGTGGCGGTACCACGGCTGGATTCTACAGTTTGATGGCCAGGGTGGACACGTCTTCACTCGGCTGGATGCTGAGAAGAGACTCGAGCTGGAGGACGAGAAAGAGGAGCTCGACTTGCAGCTGCGGGCTGTACCAGAGTGGGAGAAGCGCATTGCTGAACTGGAGGCTGGTGCAGTATGAAAGTGTGGCCATGATCCAAGACATGGAACCCCAAGTCTTCTCGTGGCTTGTTGATGATAGCCTCGCAATTCGTTGGACACCCTCGTGGTTGTTAATTGCCAACGAAGCACATAGACCGTAGAGAGTGCGTATAGACTACGCTCGGCAAATGTCTACTACTCAAGGTGCGAGACCTGCGAATCGTTCATTCTATTTTCATTGGTTGCCTTGAGATATGTGTGCTCATACGTAAAATGAGGCGCCGAACAATTTCCCGTTTGCCGTGAGGCGATGTCAGCCGTTGAATGACCGTTGGTCCAGCTCACAAACATGAACCCGCCACGTTCACACCGTCATTCCAACTTTTCCAAGGATGCTTACCTACCTACTATTCAAAGCCCACTACCATGGTTGCGACATATATATATATATATATGTCTCTCTCTCCCACTCTCTCTTTCCAAGACGCCATACAGCCCTCCAAGGAATACAAGACAAACAAGCACTCCCATTCCCGTTGACCTCGTTCGGGATTTCGCCACATTTCTTCTCCAATTCTACCTTATCGGTCCTTTTTGTTCGCCGTACACCTTGCCGCCTGGCAATTGGGTTTCATTGGATCCATCGCACACTGGGAGAAATTTTGGGAAATTTTGGCCATTTGTTGTTGTTGTTGTTGTTGTTGTTGTTCTTGCTGGCAGCACCTGGATTGGATTGGATTGATTGGACGTCTACAACATGGACATTGACATGGACACTCTGGCTTCTTGACTGATTTCTTGTAGCTCTTGTTTCTGCTTCTTCTTTTTCTGGTCGACTTAAAATTTCCTCCCGGATACGATACCTAGGTAACTTAGTTTACCTTTGAATGGATGAATGAATGGATGGATGGGATTTATCTGGATTGTACCTGGACAGTGCACGCAACAATCGACCTCGATAGGATTGGACTCCTGGTTTACATTTCGCCTCCTGCCCCGAGGGAGTGATTTGAGGTTTACACAAGACGTTATCAGGAACATTTTGCATCGATCTGGTCTGAACTGGATGGGTTATTCGCGGAGAAACATGGTAGAAGAATCAACCTACATGCCAACTGTAGCAGTCAGTCGCTGCCGCTACTCCTCCCTCTCGGCTGGTCGTGTATCAATCATTTGGTTTACGACAAGATTTTACCCGACTCCTCCGGATCTGTTCCAAATTTCTGTATCCCCTTCAAACCGCGATAGTCCAGCGATCTCTCGCATGGCGTCCTCCGGATTTGTTTGCAAAGCGACTGGGCCTTGACAGCTCAGTGTCAGACATTAATTCGGCAACAATGGGAATTTTCAGGAAGTGGACTGATTAGTGCTCACAGGGCTGAATAGACTGGTATGGATCCTTTAATAAGGTGATTGTACTTCCACGTTATTGGTATACCAAATTTGACGGCGTTTGTGTATATACAGGTGTAGGAAGCGTTCCCGGACTCTTGGAGCTTTTCGTACATTTATGGAACTAAGTAGTGTAACAGTAGGCGGAGGAAGAGGAACGAGGTCTAATATTCGCGCCCGAAACGATGTCATACGCAGGTATGTTACATGTACGCAATTTGGTTATGAATGGTATGGTGATATTGTCTAGGAGAAAAGAGGCATGAAGAAGAGAAGTTGGACAGTAATTTCAACAAATTTGTTGCACAAGGAATGATATTTTCGGTCTGCCCATTTATGGCATACCGGTAAAAGTCCAGTTTAGTGTATATATATTGTACTTCCATCAAAGTATCGCTCCCCCTACACACGCCAGCCACTCCATTCTCACTCCAAGTTACCTTATATAGAAGGTCAGAGAGAGAGAGTAATCATCACGCAGCAGCAGCAGGTTTCCGGCCATAACAAATCTTCACCGGAATAAACGTCTTAAACTTGACCTCCCGCATCTCCTGCACCACCTCGGCCACATACTCCGCGTGCTGCTGCTCCGTCCACCCCAACTGCGTCGTAAACAACGTCTCGGAAAACCCCGGAGTCCCCATGATCAAACACTCCTGACCCAACCTCCCGAACTCCATCGTCTCCTCCGAACTCTCATCCCACGGACCCGTATAATACTTAAAATCCTCCCCTTTCACATCTTGAAACCCCACAGTTTGCAACACCTGCGGAAACGTCCCCGGAGTATCCATTTTGAGACCTAATTTCGAACTCGCTTCACCCATCAATCGACTCCACTCCAACACTTTCGACTGCGCCGCTTCTTCGGGTGTACAATCCAGACATTGTGGAGGAAGATATAAATCCTGCAACTCCAACCATCCACCGGGAGCCAAATGTTCCAGACATCGTTGAATCATTTTCGGCCAATCACGAACTACCACGGCGAGAAATCTCGCATGGATGAATTCGAATTGTCCCAAGTCTTTCCATGTGGCCTCTTCTTCGAGATCGGCGAGGTGTAAAGTGAAATTCTGGGGAAAGGGAGCTTTTTGTTGGGCTTCGGGTTTGGATTCAATGTCGACTCCGAGGACGTGGGCGTGAGGGTGTTGGTGGGCGAAGGCGATGGGCCAGTTGCAGGTTCCGCAGCCGATGTCGAGGACGCGGTGGATGGTGGGGGGTGAGAGGGGGGCGCGGTAGAGGCCGTGGAAGGTTTTGAGGAGGAGGTTGTGTTGGAGTTCGAGACGGTCGTTTTCGGTTTTGGTGTTGGGGAGTTGGTAGGTTCTAGTGGTGGTGGTCGTCATGGTTATTCGAGCTTCTTTTTCTTCTTCTTCTTTTTTTGACGTGGTTGGAGAGTAATGTACTTGGATAATGAGAGACTTTCTCGTAGGTGCTTGTGATGCGATATGAATATGTTTCTTCTCCTCGTGACAACAAGTCCTCCGCTTACCCTCCTCTGCTCGTGTTGGCCTGTCATCATCTTATATGTATATCTGCTTGCCCTCTCTCTGTGCCGGTGATCCGATGAGCGCATAAGCATACTCCTCCCCTTCTTGAACCTTAATGGGATTGTCGTTGTCTTATACCCTGTATGGAGTTGGTTCTGCGTCGATCAGTTGGCTGGTCCATTTGCGGAACCAGCGGTGACAACAAGAATGGGAATGCTGCTACGAAGGAAGAGATGAAAATACTCCTTTTTCATGCTGGCTAGCAGCACGTTCTACAGGTATGCTTATTGAACTTGAATCTTTCCTTGGCAATGAGAAATCCCCTGCTGTTGGGAAGTTGTTGTATACCTGGTAGGCTGGGCTGGTACTGTTGACTCCCGAGGTCGTTGTAACTTGTAAATATAACTCGGCCGAAGTTCGGTGTATGACTCTTGCACCACCTCACTTACACGAGTGAAATTTTGCATATTTGCTCACGTATTAAGCTAGGCTAGATTTAGTAATGAGCAATAATTAGCAGAGTAATGAGAGTACTTAGTCATCAACATGCAGAAGCGATCAAAACTTCACTTCTTATGAAGATCAGGTACAGTACCTAGCTTTGGCACTGTTTGTTAGAGGTGCCTGCAGCAGGTCAGGTAATATAGGTTCACGGTAGGTAAGGTAGTTTCAGAGTCAAAGTTCTAGTCAATCCACGTCAATGTTGATTAAAGATATGTCGTCAGGTGATGATGCTGTTGAGTGTTGAGCGCATTCTCTCTTGAATGATCCTGGTCGTAGCACTGAAGTGGGTCCTGGGGTGGCTTTGACATGTGAAGACAGACGCATGTGACAATTCAGCGTCTCCCACGAAACACCAGCCCACCGAACCCTTCCCTCCTCTACCATTCACCCATACCACACCGCACCGACGCCTCAACACCCACCGCTCCAGACGACACCCCCTACTGCCAGCACACTGATCGCCTGCCCATCCACAACCTCGTCGACGCCACTGCTCCTCGCCGTGCGTGCCGTCGTTATCGCTTCTGAACGCCCGGCCGCCTCTCCGCACCCTCCGCCTCGCGCGCGCCCATCGATCGCGACCACGGGCGCAACGAATCTGGTGCAACCTGTCCATGAAGGACAAGCGAGGCGATACGCAGCATCGCCGTCGCACGCAAGAGTGTTGAACGTGTAGCAAGGTAGAGACTACAATGGTAGTACCGCCCCAGCAGCCTCACAACCCTCGTATCCGAGAAACACATCACCACCACAACCGCGCGCATACGGGAAATATCTGTAGGAGTCTGAGCAGCTGCAAAGCCGGGGAGCATCAGACAAGCTGGCGGCCGTCCAGGTAGCGCATTCGGGCTTGCCCAGAGCCATGGACAACCCTTACCAGCATCAGCAATTGCAACCACAATCGCATGCACCCTTTGACATGCTGGCCGTCTACGGCAGCGCGAAAGAGTTCTCGGGTAAGTGGTGCGCCAAAAACACCGGGCCGTCATATGAGTGGTGTATGTGTGGTTGTGGGTGCTGATCCGATGGATCAGGCGATTTCAATTTTGACTTAGACCAAGCTCCCCCAGCGAACGGACAGTCGCTTCTGTCGGGCCAAGAACAGAATTTGATGACCGACTTCTTCTCGCATCCTGACGACTTTAACACCGGAAAATATGTCGCCTTTGGCTACTACGAAGAACCGCCTTCGACTGCGGGCAGTAGTGCAGTCGGCCCTTCATCGCATCAATTGAGTTCGCCTGCACAAGCCAACTCGTCACATGAAGGCGGCGCAAACTATAATAACAATTTCAGCAATAATAATAATAACACCCACCACCACCACCACAACACCCCCACCACACGCCATGCGAGCACTTTATCCGCAGGAGACATCAATGGTATGGCCATATACACTAGGGAGGCCATGTCTCTCAACGACGTCGCCGCTGCCAACACATTGAGCGGATTCCGCAATGGCCCGTCTGTCGACACGACGACATCCTTGGTGCCGGATGGTGCCTCCTGGGGTGCTATGAGCATGACTGGACTCAATGCAAGCGCCGCAGGTGGATTTGGCAGTGACCGACAATGGCTCCACGCTTCTCCTTCCCGAAGTGGCACGGCTGCTGCTCAACGAGATGGCAATGGCAATCTGCTCGAAATGGCAATGGGAGATGTGCAGCGTGGTACCTATGTACCCACTCCTGCACATCAAGGCAGGCCCTTTGTCCAATATGGCAGTGATACCAGCTTCGCGAATGGCACTTTTACAGACAATACCGCCCACCACGTGCAGAAGAGCAACAACCTGCTGGGCATTCCTCTGGCAGCACAAGCGGCTGGTGCGCCACCTAATAATAGCGGCAACGCAAGCTTCCGGCAAAGCCAGCCCAGGATACCAATGACGACCGGTGGCAACAGCTATGCTGCTCAATTGACCCCTCAGTATAGTGATGCCTGGGCCGGACCAGCCATGAGCGGCAGGTCTGGTATTTCCCAGTCAGGCGGCTCCAACAAGCGGCGGAGAGATACCAGTGCCATAGGGGTTAAGCAGGAGCCTCATTCTGAGGATGAAGAGGAGGCGGGGAGCAGTAAGCGGCGAAAGTCCATTGCCACCACGTATCAGTCGGGACACGCTCCGATTTATACCTCGTATACTCCGCACATGCAGCCACAACAACAACAACCGCAATATACCAATGGACTGATGATGCTGCCTCCACAAGACATGCGACGCACCAGCAGTAGGAAGAAAGAGAACTTGACCGATGATCAGAAGCGCGCCAACCACATCATTTCGGAAAAGAAGCGGCGCGAAATAATCAATCAGGGATATCGCGATCTCAACGAGCTGACACCGGCCCTTGCCATGGGCAAGTCTGGCTTGTCGCGTTCGGAGTGCTTGACTGAAATCAACAACTTTCTGTACGCGTTACAGTTGGGCAACAGCAGGATCATCAAGGATCTGCAGCTCGACCCGGGCGCATTTGCGATTCCAGCACCGGTACCACATCACAACGGGTACTAGTTCGACGCTTTTACGACAAACTGTACACGACGATCAAGAACGGGACACGCAATGTGCACACGGAGCACTAAAGCGTTCCCTTGGGACACGTCCCTGATTGCCTTGCGATGTAACTGGCGTTCCCAATGCCACTACTGAGCGGACATCGCTTCGATCAGCGGATGGGCAATGGAGTTTGAATGAAGATACCCCCCTTTGGCTTGTGACTATAACCAGCGTTCTCTTCCTGTACTACGATATAGCGAGCGGAGGTCCCACGTCAAAGCGTGACATGGCCTGCTGTCTACAGCAGTGGCGCCGGGCTTCTCAGATGGCTGCGAGGTGTCAGCAGTATGCACATACCCTCACATACGAAGGACATACGGGCACGATGGAACCTAATCAGCGCTATATGATAAGATAGCGCGCGCGCGAGATAGGCATGACGACCTCATGATATTGCGCCACACTACAGTAAGGTAATATTCTTATGTAGCCAAGGTGTTCTCAAATTGTAAAAATTATGAAGCCCGAGGGATGGGCATTGCAACCTCATTGCTACTCTTTCCACAACCCTGTCGTTCATGAAGATCGGCTGCTGGATGACTGAGAACATAGGCCTTTTTGAAAGCAAATACGCTCGGGGTGAAACATTGTGTCCTTGATGACTTGACATGCAGCTATTTGTTCGCATGCTTCATGGGCAGAACACATTCTTCTGTACAAGATAGATTCATTGCGACAGTCCATGACATAGGCTTCATGGCGGCGTCGTAGCAGGCATTCTCTCCGCCTGCTTCACCATATTCGGTCCCGGAGCAGGAACCTGTCTCCTCGGTCTCCTCAACATATCCTCCGTAACTCCCTCGCCCAACTTCGTAATCCCCATGACAGGAGGATCTCCTTTCCTCACAAACTCATACTGTCCCGGCAATTTATTGCCGGCCAATCGAAACGCATCTCTCACAATCTGCTCGTGTATAGTCCCTTCCAATTCAAACAAAATTCTACTCACAGGGACTCGCGCCGCCCAATAATCAAACGTTCCTTTTCCTTTACCCATTCTCTGATCGTTTCCCGACGTGTAGACTCCAACACCTGCCGAGACGCGATGGTAGAGGCGATATTTGAAGCCTCGGAGACGTTTCTTGATGGTTTCGTCGGCGATTTTGAGTTGTGAGGCGGAGATGCGTCGGTCGGTGTCTTTGAGTCGGATGCCGTAAGAGCCCCAGACGAGTGTCGTGCCTTTGGTGCTGCCGCCCGTGGGGCATTGGGGTCGGCCTTTGCGGGATTTGGTGGTTTCGCCGGCTTTGGGGATAAGCCAGTTGAGAGGGCGAGGCGTCGAGGAGAAATGTCGCTGTGTTGGAGCTTGCAGGGCCGAGTGTATGCAGCAGGCGCGGGTGGTGAAGAGGGAGGAGAGCAGAGATGTAGGCGCGCTGATGCTGCTGCTGCTACTCGTCCCCACGCGCATTGTCGCCATGATAGCCCAGGTTGTGTTTCCTCCTTCGATTTGTATTGCTATCACTGGGACTACCTATGTAGGTACCTGATGCATGGAAGTCGCAAATGCAAGCGGCGGCCTGGCCCGCTCAATCCCGCGAGCCATTCACGAAGCGCGTCACCACCTTCCCCAGAAACGCGTCGAAGCCCTCCCTACATGTCCATCATCTTCTGTGGAAAGGTACAACGCCAAAGTATCGTCCGGTGATCCACGAGCTGGAAGGCTCCATGCCAAACAATGCCCTCCGACATTCGCTCGTTCTTCGCAGGCAACACTGCCAAAACGCCTGCTGAGAAGCCCAGGCCTAAAGAGGAGCCCAAGAAGCGAGGCCGGCCGCGGAAAGTGGTCGAGGACGACGATGATGACGAGCCGGCTCCCAAGAAGGCCACTCCCAAGAAATCTGCCGTAAAGAAGAAGCCTGAGCCAGAACCGGAACTTGAAGAGACGACGGCGAGCGCCTATTTCGGCAATGGGAAGCCAAAGCGGTCGGAAGCAGTAAGACCAAAAAGGGACACTGCTGCAGAGAGCACACCAAAGAAAGCTACACCCAAGACCAAGTCCAAGACGAATGGCACCAAAACGAATGGCAGGAGTTCGACCAGAGCGAAGAAGGAGACGGCTTATGTTGATCTGGACGCTGAGGACTTTCCCGATGATGACATGGAAGAAGATGCCGATGATGAGTTCAAGGCAGCTGCAAAAGTCGGCAAGCGACGAGGCGACGACTACGAGACAGGCACGGACGATGAGGACGATGTACCTCTCGTGCCGAGGAAGAGAAACACCGGCAAGCAGACCAAGCTCCAGGACCAAGGGCAGGATGACGCTGATCCTGATGGCGACATCGATATGAAGGATACTAACCCTGACGACGACTTTGTCGTGCCTGATGACGACGAGGAAATAGTTGAGATGAAGCCTGTAAGGAAGGCCGCCGCGACCCCAGCGAAGAAAAGAAAGTCTACAACTTTGGACGACGATGATGATGACGATGACGACCTGGAAGTTGAACAATCGAAGCCTGCTGCGAAGAAGCGTGCCACACCTGCCAAGAAGACTGCATCAACAGCGAAGAAAGCAAAGAAGGATGCTCCACAAGACAGTGCTGAGGTCAAGGCTATATTTGACAGTATACCCACCATTACGCCACCTCCACCGCCTGACAAGAAGAAAGACGATGGAAATTCTGATAAGCCCAAGTTTCAATTTGGAGGACAGCATGCCAATTCGGCGATCCCTGCCGGAGCTATTTCTGACTCCGATATGCCTGTCGGTCAGGAAAACTGTCTTGCCGGTTTGGCATTTGTCTTCACGGGACAGCTGCAGCGCCTAGGCAGAGAGCAGGGACAAAATTTGATCAAGCGCTATGGTGGAGATATCAAGACTGCACCATCAAGCAAGACCAGCTATGTTGTGCTTGGCGAAGACGCTGGTCCCAAGAAGCTCGATACAATTGCAAAGCACAAGCTCAAGGTGATCAACGAAGATGGTCTCTTTGAGCTGATACGGCGCTTGCCAGCCAACGGAGGCTCGGGCGCAGCAGCTGAGAAGTATGCCGAGAAGATTGCCAAAGAAGAGCAGCAGATCCGTGAGCAAGCTGCAGAGCTGGATCGGATGGAGGCTGAGCAAAAGGCAAAGAGTGCAGCAGCAGCTGCTGCCAAAGCTGCAAAGCAGAGTCCTGTCAAGCAGACTTCCAAGTCCGCGCAAGCTGCAGCAAAATCAAGCAAAGGCAAGGAAGTAGCAGATGGACCGGACAGTCGGTTATGGACCGTCAAGTATGCGCCTACACAACTGTCTGCCATTTGCGGCAACAAGGGTCAAGTGGAAAAGCTGCAGGCCTGGCTTCGTGCGTTTCCGAAGAATCAGCGGACTGGATTCAAGATGGGTGGACCGAACGGCAGCGGCGTGCATCGCGCTGTCATGATTCACGGTCCCCCTGGAATTGGCAAAACGACTGCAGCACATCTAGTGGCGAAGTTGGAAGGCTACGACATTGTAGAGTCGAACGCTTCAGACACTCGTTCCAAGAAACTTGTCGAGACTGGCTTGAAAGGCACACTGGCCGCGACATCTCTCCTCGGCTATTTTGCGCAAGGCGAAGAAGAGGTTAAAGATTCCAACAAGAAACTCGTTTTGATCATGGATGAAGTAGACGGCATGAGCGCTGGAGACAGGGGTGGCGTGGGAGCACTTGCGGCTGTTTGCAAGAAGACGCAGGTGCCCATGATCTTGATCTGCAACGATCGTAAGCTGCCAAAGATGAAACCTTTCGACTTTTGCACCTTTGATCTGCCATTCCGTCGACCCACCACGGAGCAGATTCGAGGTCGGATCATGACCATTACTTTCCGTGAGAAATTGAAGCTACCACCGAACGTAGTTAATGCTCTCATTGAGGGCTCGGGCGCGGACATCAGACAGGTCATCAACATGGTCAGTCAAGCCAAGCTTGATGATCAAGCCATGAGCTTTGAAGATGGCAAAGACATGAGTAAGGCTTGGGAGAAGCATACTGTGCTGAAGCCTTGGGATATGGTCGGCAAGATTCTAGGCGGAGGGCTATTCAACGACGCATCCCAGGCAACCTTGAACGACAAGACGGAGCTATACTTCAATGACCACGAGTTCGCGCCCCTCATGCTGCAGGAGAACTATCTAGGCACAAATCCGCAGCGGTCCAACAGATATAATGGCGAGCCCAGAAAGAAGAGATTGGCAGCTCTGGAACTGGCAAGCAAAGCAGCAGACTCTATCAGTGATGGAGATTTAGTGGATCGTATGATTCACGGTAGTCAGCAGCAATGGTCCCTCATGCCGACGCATGCTGTCTTCAGTTTTGTTCGCCCTGCAAGCTTCGTGTATGGCAGCATGGCAGGCTCGCAGACTCGCTTCACTGCTTGGTTGGGCAACAACTCCAAGACTGGCAAGCTGTCCAGGTTCATCAAGGAAATTCAGGGCCACATGCGTCTGCGGGTGTCTGCTGACAAGAACGAGATCCGCCAGACGTATCTGCCAATCTTATTTGAAAAGCTGGTCAAGCGTCTCCAAGACGACGGCAAGGACGCGGTACCGGAGATCATTGAGCTCATGGACTCCTACTATCTCACCAAAGATGATTGGGATGCTATACTCGAGCTGGGTGTTGGCAAGGCTGACATGGAAAGCATCAGGATCGAGACACAGGCGAAGGCTACCTTCACTCGACAGTAAGCTTTTGTGACTGCACAGGTTCCGAAATCCGCTAACATGACACAGATACAACCAAATGTCTCATCCACTGCCGTTCATGAAGGCATCACAGGTAGTGGCACCTACGAAGGCTGCTGCGAAAGAGAAGCCTGATATTGAAGAGGCTTTTGAAGAGTCTGCCGACGAAGCTCCCGATGATGCCGCTGACAAGAAGGAGCAAGATGACGAGAACGACCTCAGTAAAGACAAATACGTCAAGCAGCCGAAGAAGAGAAAAGCGGCAACCACCAAAGCCGGTACCAGCAAGAAGAAGAAGACGGCTAAGGACGATGACGACGAAGAGGAGGAAGAGGAGGCCAAGCCCAAGAAGGCCAAAGGAAAGGCACGCGCGAAGAAATAGAATTGGGTTCCTGTTGTAATGATATCTAGAATCGTTGGTGCTTTGGTACTGTTGTCCAGAGGGTGGCTGTCAGCGACTTTGAAGGGTCAGTCAGCTTGGCGAACAGACTTGCGCAGCGAGTATTTGTACAATATGTACGTTTGAATCGACTTTGATTACGAACTACCAGTACAGGCTGCGGATTACATACACAGGTAGGTAGGTAGGTACATTACATCCTTCCACCCGTAATCTCCACCACCGCCCCGGTCATATATCTCGACTCTTCCGAAAACAAAAACGCCACCACATCCGCCACCTCCTCGGCCGTCCCCATCCTCCCCAACGCCACGCGATCCACCTGCTCCTGCACCGCCTCTGGCCCGGCCACCACGCCCGCATTCGACGGCGTATCAATATACCCCGGCGCCACGGCATTCACTCGAATGCCCTGCGGACCCAATTCCAACGCGAGCGCTTTGGTGAAACCTACAATGCCGAATTTTGTCGCGCAGTAAATGGCGTATTCGGGTGCGGCTTGGAGTCCCATTGTGCTGCTTACGTTGACGATTGATGGCGAGGAGGAGGAGGACAAAAGGGGAATTGCAGCGCGAGAAATCAAATATGTCCCTTTGAGATTTGTATTGATTAATTTGTCCCAGTATGTGTCGGATGTCGTGGTCAGAGGGTATGCGGTGGGATTGATTCCTGCGCAGTTGAAAATGTAATCGAGACTTTTTCTTTTTTCTTCTCCTTTCCCTTCTCCTTCTGGGTTGGAGGTGGAGGTGGAGGTGGAGGTGGTTTGCAGCTGCAAATGCGGAATAATCTCTCCAGTGAAATATTCTGAAATGGCCGAGGAGGAACTCACGTCCAAGAGGGAAGCGATATGCGTAGAGGAGTTGGCGCAGAGAGATTGCGTTTCGAGAACTCCGGGTAGGTTGATGTCGGAGAGGGCGAGGGTGGCTCCCATCGAGGCCATTTTGATGGCGGTTGCTCGGCCGATTCCGGAGGCGGCGCCGGTGATGAGGCAGGTTTTGCCTTGGAATTTGGTCGAGGACATGGTTTTTTTCTTTTCTTGGTTTTGTTGTTCTTCTTCTTGTTGTTGTTGTCGTTGTTGTTGGGGATGATGATGATGATGTTGATGATGATGGATGATGGGTGAAGGTATTTGTTGTTTTTTCGGCTTGTATTCTTTTAATCTTCTTTCGGGATAGATTTTCGTCTTGTCTAGAGATGAGACCTGGACTGTGGATTATTTGCGCTTGTCTTCACGGAGAGAAGAGTAGACATGCTCACAGGTGTATGTCAATCCATAGGTGGTGTACTAGGGTGGGGAGATAGGTAGGATTCAAGACAAATGATTGGTCGGCCAACTGATAGGCACGATGTCCACCTTTGAGTTTTCTTACTCTTTTGAAGCACAAGTATGCCTCCCTCTGTCCAATCGAAATGGTATGCAGCCGTAATTGATGACGCTGGAGCCATGAAGTATGACCGGAGGTAGCAGTGATGCTGTAGTTACTCAGGCTGCAAATCTATAACGTGGTATTACGCAAGTCTCGAGGGTCATATCCTGTCTCTTTTCGCTTCCTTCTCAATCTTCCTCATTTCCTGTTCCACAAGCTTGACACAGACGTCCGCGACATCGCTTCCAATCTTCCATGTCCGTAACGTCACTCCATTCCTTTCGAGCACAATCTTTGCTCTTTGCCACCTTTGCTGCCATAAGTATTCTTTCTTACTCATGCCATCGCCTGGACTGCCCGGCAGTCCATCATCATCAGGCCACGCACCAGACATGCGATTGTTCTGTTTTTGACGGGAGGTGGTGGAGTAGGTACTGAGATGCGTGCCTTGGCGTTGGGGCGGGGGAGGAGGAGCCATGGGACGATTCATCGATGAAGCAGGGAGGCTCATATCTTCGAATGACTTATTCATTGTCGTTGCGCGGACGAGTGGGGACCCAACAGCTCCTGTGCCCTTGGCGTTGGTCGAAGCGGAGACAGCGTCAACTGGGCGATACAATCCAGGCATGGGCATTGCTTTAGCGATGGTGCCCTTGACCTTGCGCCTGTCCGGTAGTGGAGGCGGCGGCTTTTTTGTCGACTCTTGCCGCTGCACCTGTGAGAGTGGCGATGGTTGATGCGTTTGCATCTGCGGCAGGTTGGCAGAACCAACAGCACTCGACGGCTTCCGTGGTCTTGGTGGTGGCAACTTCCGAGAGCTCGTGGAGACGGTCATGACTTGTGACTCAGGAGGTGGACTCTTAAGCCCGGCAGGTTTTGGAGGTGGCGGCGGCGATGCTACAGGTCTGTTATCGGACAGCGTGTCCCTCGAGCTTTTGTGCGTAGGTGGTGTGATGGTTCTTGCCTCTGACCAAGGCTTGGCGGGTGCATGGTCAGAGAAGTCGATCAGGTCTTCTTCAGGAGAGGCAACATGACTGCTCCTACTGACTGTGCGTTGCGCCGGCGGACGAACATTTTGGCGAGGATTCGGCGCACTATTAGCCCTGCTCTTAGACAGATAATCATCCGGTATCGCATCTGGATTGATGGACTTTCGCGCACGGCGAGTCTCTTCCTCCATGTCCTCGAGCGAAGCGGCAATGGCTGCCTGGAGCTCGGCATCGTCGTCCTTGATATCATGTGGGCGAGAAAGTCTGCGAGACTGAGTCAAACTCTCTCCACTCATGTGTCTCGAGTGATTCCGAGAATGCTTTCCGCTTCCACCAGGGCTGCTCGAGTCGAAATAGCCCGTTTTCGCGGAAGTGGTGACGTCCCGGATGAAGATACCTAGCACCCTGCCAGGATTCGCCAGCGCAACTTCGGAGTACACTTCGAGATCTGCCTCTCCACTGTCACCAACCAACACGAATTTTCGCTCCGGAAAGTCTCGCATGATTTTCTCGAGCGAGCCTTTCTTGCGCTCCGCAGCTGGCTCAAAGATTCCTTGTAGCATACCTGAGTACTGCTTCAGGTGGAACGAACCTCTGGGCAGGCCCGCCAGCTTGAAGTAACTAGTCAAGACTGGGTACATCTGCCAGGGCGAGTTGGACACGTAGTGGATTTTGACGCCCATATCGGCCAGCGTCTGGTACCACTCCCGTACTCCGTCAATCGTGAGATCGTGTAATTCGCGAATGAAGGCATTCCGAAAAATCTCCCGAGCACCTGCACTGATAGCAGAGTGCTTGATCGTGTCGTCTATATCACTGATCAGGCTGACCCCATCTGGAGATGTGACGTGCACTTCTTCTGTCGCGGACAGCTTTTCAGAGGCAAGAACGCGAACGTGAGTAGGGACGAAATCTAATGCTGCCCGAAAGCTGAAATGTCCGGAGGCATCGGTGTATACCGTCTGCTGCCTGGAGACTTCCTCGTTGTAGAAGAACGCGCTGATTGGGCTGTTCGCAAGAGGATTTGCCATGAAAGGCCTGAGACGAGCGAGCAAATGCGCATTCGCGACAGCCAGTTCTGCGGATGTCATCTTCCCGGGCTGCGACCAGGACTGCCGTTTCTGGATCGGGGCTGGCGCTGGAGAATCTGAGTCTTGAGATGTGATGCTGCTGGCATACGACGAGATTGGTCGACCTCTGCTGGGAACATCACCGTACAGGCTGTCATTGTCCGTGGCCTTACTAGGCTGCTCCGAAAATGCACCCTTTTCCGCATAACGCTCTTCGCGGTTGCCCTTGCGAATGATGTTATCCGCCTCGAGAGCTATAAGGTCTTCGTCCTGCTTTTTGGTAGGACTCGATGCGCGGCTAGGTACCTGGCTCGCATAGCCAGTATCACCAGGTCTCGTGCTAGCAGCTGGCGCGGGAATCCCAGAGAGCTGTCGTGCCAACCCGATCACCATCCTCTGCTTTCGCGTGTGCTGCCCCCTGGCAGGTGTATAGATCCAGCCGCGCACATCAACATCGACTATAGCGTTGACGTCCTCGTTTCTATCCCATTCCCGTCTCCAGTACTCCTCTTCGGTCATTTCCCGCCCGGGAGAAGCCACTTGCTGGTTCTATGCTACACGTCAGCTTTTGCCGACATTGACTCTCCCATGCCCTTTCTGAGCTTGCTCTCACCTTACTTTTCACATGCTTCCTGGCATAGCTCGGAAAGAGTATCAGCTCTTCATTGCCACTCCGGACTACGGCGGCGTCAGGAAACGAGCCTGGCCCGTCCTCTACCATATGACTCTCACGTGCCCCAGCGCCATCCTGGGCGAAGTAGCTCTGTCGGAGGTCATTGGCAGTCTTCAGGTATCCGGCTAGCTTCTTCCTCCTCGCGCCCGGCTCTCTGCCCTCTGATCGCAGCCCCAGGGACTCTGTGAGAGACAGGTCGGTTCTGGATCCCGAGAAGGCCATGTTACCACTTCTGTTGGTGCCTGTGTCCACCTCAGAACCAACCCCATCGTTCGACTGAGGTCGTCGTGATGGCAGGACGCGCCTCCCCGGCCCCAGTCGTGGCGCTGCTGATACTCGGGTCGCGCGGTTCTGCTTGCGGATGGAGCGTGCCACGAGATAGCGATAGATGGAGTTCTGGGCTCGCTGGCGGACGGTAGGGAAGAAGGCGTAACGAAAGCTGGCCAAACCAGCTCGTGCAGAAGCTCGGAGAGCAGGCAACCAGCGTCCTGGCCAGGAGGGTCGATTCAGGTGTTGCGGCTTCACTTTCTCATCGACGCGGGCGAGTTGAAGCAGACTCCGCCACGTCTTGCGCGCCAGGTTGTCGAATACATTGGTTGCCACGCGGTGGGCAACTGACTCAATTAGGTAAGATGTTGTGCGGTACCTTGTGATTACTATTGCCGTCTCAGTCAGGGCGAGCCTTCAGAGATCGAGACCGGGGCATCTAGCTTCGTCGTCATACCTCCTACCTGGAAGCTCAAGCTTACATAAGACAATCCCGAGTTGGTGGGCGATCTCGCTTGCAAGATGATTTGCATGATTTGCATCTCACGCGTCGCCCACTTTCGACACTTTCGATACCTACATACCTCCTACTTTCCCATCTACTTTGACCTCACAGTACTACTGTTTGAAAACACTTCGGTCGTCGGATTGCAGTACTGCGCTGGCCCGTCTAGCTATGCTCTGGAGCGATGCGATATTTGCTGGACTTGCCGATTCGTACAAGACTGGTACCCGTGCCACCGAGGATACCATCTGGCTGAACACAGAAGAGCAAGAAGACGTTGCTGACACCAACAAAATTGTAGCTCATAGGGCCATTGACAACTCAAGGGCGTAGCTGAAGTTCTCATGCGACTCCGCCGGATCACATTGAGACGAGACGAGACGACAGCCGGCAAAGCCCTGCTGCCAGCCCGATCTTAATATCTTGCGACGCGTCATGCCACGATATGATGCGACGGGCTTCGATCGTATCCAAGGCGCTTTGTATTGCTACGGCCATAGATACCGGTGTCACAGTGGCGTGGTTGAGGTTGGTCAAAAAGGACCGCACATGTTTTGCAGACCCGTGGTCCCAGCCACCCGTTTTTCAGCCAAGCACAACGCTCTGGTAAGGTATGTTGAGATCGGGCAGACTCGACCACGCCCATCGAGGCTGTGGCATTATCGCTGTTGTTGAAACAAGTCAAGTCGAGAGAAGTAGCGAAGAGCTTGTGAGACAGTGGCAGTATGGCCGCTTTGGGACCACGAGCACTTCTTTCGCAAGCAGTCGGACGCCCATCGCGGCATATGCTCGTCTTCATGCTGCTAGGTAGCCGACTATCCTATACACTATAGCTATGCCGATACGCTACTGTTGGGATCGAGACCGCGCCATAACTACTGGCATGCGCTGCCGCACGTCTTTGGAAGCCTTCTGTGGTAGTTGGTCTACCCTGCATGGGAGCTGGCTGTTGTCTAAGCAGTTCGTTCCATTATGGCTCAATCTTCGGTATGAGAGCGGCCCGCTGCAGATGACAACATTCCAAATGTTTCCTCGGAAGTTTCTTCTGTTGACAGCCTGACGTGTTTGTCGATGAGCTGGACATGCCCACCAATTGAACTACTGTATTGACGCGCTGCAGGGGCTGACCGGAATTGCGGATGACCTTCCGGCCTCACAAGTAAAGTACTGGCAACGGCGGCCTTGGAGCGTTCTCCTCTTAGAACTGCAGCAACCCACCAATTTGGGCCACCTTTGAGGCGAGTTTGACACATAGCCTACAACCTCCAACCCTGCTTCTATGGCAAAGGAAGTAGTCTTGGCACATATGTGTCAGTCCGCCCCGGCAACCCGAACATTCAATATCAGGCATGAACCACGGCTCCGGTCGGTAGTAGCATCTGTCTGAAGAAACCTGCGTTCACTGTTGCGCGGAATCGTGTAGCAAAGTCACGATGCGAAAGGCCGGTATTGCGATCCAACCGCCTACCACTGCCCTTTCACTGGTCGCCCAAAACCTGCTTCGAGTGGTGGAGTAGCTCGAGAGGGATGAAGCCACTTGTGGACGCATCAGTTGCGCAGTGCCAGTCACTAAAGCAGCCACGATCCTTAAGTGAACGCGTCCTTGTGGCTCTACCGAGAACCGATACCATGCAGAAGATGTTACTGTTCACAGGACAACATCCGTTGCCTCTTCCACGGGTACCAAGCTGGCAACTGCCTCATATAAATACTCCGCGAGGCCATGCACAGATGCTGTTTGTGCCGCATCTTTGTACCTGCATCGATACCTCTATACCGAACCATCTCCTTGGGCGAACACCTGCAGACTCCGAAACTGCTTCCACAAAGACTCTACTCCCAACCTTCATTACGAGATCTTCTTCACACCCACATCGACGCATTCGAGAACTCCAATCGCGAAATCAAGACCAAGTTCGACTCGAAACATTGCCAGCTGAGTACCAGACCATACCACAGCCCTTTCCACCTAACCCTTTACAACGTTGCCTCTTCATTCACCCTTGCAATTCACACACGCATCCACGCATACACAAACATCCTCACATTGATCTGTCGTTGTTCTGGAGAAGTGCTACGCAAAAAGGCTGATCTTGCTGCTGACGGGCTTGATTCTTCAGTGCGCAGTGCATCGCAAAGAGACACGCGGAGGTGCCAAATCGGGCTCGATTTCTCGTCGCGAGAGCCTTCATCTGTGTGCCGCCAACCGGGTTTCAGTTTCATCGCTGAGCAGTGCAAAAGCAAAGAGGCAAGACCATGCTGTCAATCGGACTTGAATCTTGCACCTTTCCTTCCGTCCTTTTGTTGTTCGTTGCCTGCTTCTCGAGACGAGCATCGGGCACGATGTACCTGCTGCACGTAAGGAGACGATTTGAATCGAGTTCGATATTGGACTAACGAAACGCAGTTCATCGCGATCGCATTGCTGGCTGTCTTGGCTATTGCTACCCCCATTTCCTCTGCTGATCCCCAGGGTCAATTCGATGATGCTTCGTTACTTGGGATGACTCCAACTTCTACAGGTCTTGCTGCTACAGCGTTGCGCGATCTTCCTACATCTGGGCCTTGCAAAGCATTCTATTTCGATCCCAAAGACAGTACGCTGGACCGGATCACTCATGCTATGTGCTCTTTGCTAATATCGGGCAGACGTTCCTTGCGGATCCGTGGCGAGACAATTCATGATTTATCTCTCTTATCCAGAGTACGATCAAACTTCCACATCAGAATGGTGCGAGGTATTTCTGCAGAGCAACGGCATATGCAGAGCTACATCGCCCAACTCTCCATCGGCATTCCCAACACCCCGAGCAAGTACCTTATCCATCAGCACTCTCATACCGACGCAGACTTCTGTTGCGACGATTAGCGACATGGCAAGCACTACACGGATGAATGCGACAGCAACATGTTCGAGTGTCATAGCGACAGTATCTGTCAACGGTGCCACTGCATCACCTGTTTCCCCCGGCTCCAATTCAACCATGAGCACAAGTACAGCCGCGCCCAGCAGCACCAACATCAACACGACAGCCGCCACGGGACCCATCACCTCAACAACATCGCGATACTCGGTCGTGCTAGCAAGCGAGCGCGAAAGTCTGTACAGTGCGAGTGTCTTAGGACTAGGAATCACACCCAACGCAAGCACCCTCAGTGAATCAGTCACTACTAGCACTGGACTGTCCACCGAGTCTAATGGTCCAAGCGCGAGCAGCCCGGCCAGCTCGTCCGCCGTGGCAAATTCTACCAATCCAATAGTCAGAATCACAACGAGAGTCGTCAGCTTCACCATCGATGGCGGCAATCGTACGAGTTTGATGACGGCGCTCGTCAACGCGTATGTGGTTGCTAATGCCACGACGACAGCAATACCCATTCGGAGCTCTGCGGTCACGTCTGCGACTGAGTGAGATGCGACATGGCATTTTTTGGGGTTATGATTTTATGAAGATGATGGATGATGGATGAGAAGTCATGAGTAATGTAGCGGGTGTTTTAATGTGGAGGAGTATCATCACTGTTACTTTACTCGAGATTGTGATTATTGGCTGTGTTGGCAACATGCGAAATGAAGAGTTCGGATATATATATGGGCGATTTTAATGGAAGGTCGATTGGTTGGTTGGTTGGTTGGTGCCTGTGTGTTTTTACCTCCGACGTCAAATCGCTGTTCGTGGGGAGCTCCCGAGTACCACTGCGATCTATCCAAGCTCTTGTACCTAAGTAAGTATGCATCTGAAGATTTTTCAGATCCATTCATCTCTCCAAGGGAACAGGGTGCCTTCGTTTTTTCCTTCGCGAAAATGCAACATAGGTACCTACGTAGATGTAGGTGGTACTCTTTCGAGGTTGCCAAAAGTCATCCTCCTCTGACACTCGTTCCGATACGACCGGCAATACTTCCCATCCATCTCCCACCTCCCGCTTCCAGATGCCACAATCGTCACTCGTATCGTCGTATTCACTTGTATCATGATTTTTTTGTCATTACTACTTGTTCATCCACCTCCACCTCCACCTCCTCCCTCTCCACCTCCTCCAACTCTCCCTCCTCCAACTCTCCCTCCTCTACAAAGGTATCCCCACCCCCCAGCCTCCTCAATTATACGCCCGCGCCTGCGCCGCAGCATCGGCCTCTCTCGCAGCAACATTCTCCCTCGCCGTAGACGCCAGAGTATCCTTTTGCGTCTGTGACTTTTGCGCATCCAATTGTTTCCCCAGTTTGCCTTTTCCTTGTGCGGCTTTGAGTCGTTCCTGGAAGGGGGGTTTGAGAAGATGGTGTGTTAGTTAGCAAGACCCAAGAAATCTAAACAGACCTACTACATTCATTCCTGTGTGGATATATATATATATATGTATATGTATATATGTATGTGTGTAAGGAAGAGAGAGAAATGGACACTGTTTAAACACACCTCTGCTGCTCTCGCGGCTGCGGAGGCGGGGGTTTGCGCGTCGCTGGATGGTGCTGGTGCGGTATTGTCGCCCAATGTCCGTCCTGGTCCAGTGACTTTTGGTGGTGGTGCTGCTGCTGGCCGCGGCGCGTGGGCTGGTGAAGCTCCTCCTCCTGCTGCTGCTCCTCCTCCTATAGTGCGGCCCTCGCCTTGGAAGTTTGCGTTGGAGCTCGACTTGCCGAAGCAGTTGCCCATTCTATAACGGTCTGTTGTGGGGAAGGGTATGCCGTGTCGAAGACCCGTATACAGTAATACCTAGGTAGGTAAGTATCTATGGGTGTACGGAGGTGTAGGCGGGTGCCGCCTGCGGCGCCTTGGGGGGGAAGAATGTCGGCGGCCATGTGATGGTGATGGTTGGTGGATCGGAACTCTAAAGCTATTAGACCTATTTAGCCGGTGAACATCCGCAACAACATCTACCTACTTTGCCTACCTGGGTATTTACAAAGATCTGTTCGGCACGCAATCGTCTATATGATCGTTCAATCGATATTGCTCAGGTACGTAGGGATGAAGCATGGGATCATTGGGATAGATGCAGTAGGGACATACTTACCTAAGGTACCTTATTGATTGTAGGTACATGTAGGTAGGCTTGTAGCTTGTGATATTTCACGTGAATAGCATCAGCTAACCCTAAAAGCGTTATGTATACATCATGCTGCCCTATCGACGATTTTCCTATAGCTGTTACCAGTAGCGAACTAGCCACTAGAGACGAGGTACCAGTACCACTGTAGCGCCGAGTTCGTCTTGGGCCAAGGTGATTGTTTTTCTGCCTCAGTCTTGGGGCTTATGCTGTGATATACCTTATAGATGGAACTAGCCTCGGCTATCCCACCGCACGGGTACCTGTGGTGCCTATCATCTGAAACCGATTGCCGCCGAGACAACACCTCACGTACATTATGAGGTGATCTATCCCGACTATGCGACTTCCTATGTACTCGTCTCTTTGATGCCAAGTGACATGTAGGTAATACCACACCACAGATCCCACAACAGCTCATGATTCGTGTGAAAGACATGGGAGTTCCCGCGCGGGACGAGCCTGTTAGCGTCCTTGGCAGCTCGAATTTCCGCGATCGCACACTCCTCCGCAGTCCGCACTACCTGACCTGCCTGAGCACCCGACTTGTTGCTGAGCTGGCACCCGCGGTTGGCGTTCCAAACCCATTACTTCCCGAAAGACACCCACACCACTACCTCCTACCACGATATGTACCTCCAACCTCCTCCTGGATACTGCGACGCTGTAGGTTCACACCGACGCCCGCCGGCTGATTGCGAGGTCTGCCTCCGGCGAACCATTCTCCCCCCCTGATTGGCCGCTGGGGACCTCTGTTCGACCCAATAGAGAGGTCCGGGAGTTCGCATTATTAGTCTCCTGGTCCAACAGCGACTTCTCATCACATGGATTTTGTCTGCTGCGGTCGACCGTGACCGACTCAGAGGGGCTCCACTGCCCAGCGGCACTTCCCATTCACATGACCGTCCGGCCCAGGGCTGGATTGGACGTCATCTGTACAGCCGCGCGACTCTTGCTTCATGGCAAGATTGTTCACTCTCATCCAATGGCAGAATTTGGCTGCCAGAATTTCGCTACGAGCTTCGATTGTCGTATCAGCCGCATATACACTTTCTGCCAACGCTAAGCATGTCTGAGCTGCCGCGGCCGCTACGCTGGCTGCGTCACTGCGCTCGTTGTCAGCGCCAACCTGCTCTCGCCTTCGCCTGCCGCTGAACGCGAGCGCTAGCCTCGCACGGTTGCCCTGATGCTCACAGGTCACGCTGTTCCTGCGCAGAGGCAGAAAGAAGAGCTGTGAGCGCCCGCCGGGCGCTTCATCGGACATGACCCGGTGCTGTCCACAGGTACACTGCAAGCTGCGCAAGCCTCCACCGCCAGACATTGATTCACCCTCACCCTCACCCTTCATCCTCGACCAACGCTTCTGTAGCACGTCTAGCTTCACTGGACAGAGTTCTCGGCGCGTATTGCACTGCTGCTATGAGCAAGTACATCGGTGAGAGGCAAGTACATCGGTGAGAGCATTGTATGTGGGCAGGAAGAGCAGGCCAATCGTGAGCGTTTCAGATCCCACCCAGCTGCTGCATGGATATGTACCAACATCGACCTTCTTGAGCCTTCGGATAGCCTTTTTCTGCTAATCAACCATACTCGAGCTGCCACGTTGCAGAGCGGAGACAAGCCAGGGCGAATCTAGCCTGTACGTTGCAATACCCCCGAACCTCTGCCCTGCACAGATGACCATCCTCCGGCACGAATTCAAGCCCAGACGGCACCGTCGATGAAAGGTGTGTCACACACATGAAGCACTGCCCTGTCGCCACTGACATATGCTGTCGTAGCAGTGACAGGCGGGCCGCCTGGGGTGGGGTGATGCTCAATAGCGACTTTCCGGACATGGCAGCTTTCGGACTCGAGGGTAATGGGCTATTACCACACCGGCCCAGTACTTTGACTCATTCCTTGCAGTACGGCAAGATAAGGTGACTGGCTGCCCATGCCTGGGCCCCGCTCGGTCCCTCAGAAACCAGCATGCATCGTTGACAGATGACAAACGGCATCCAACGTTAGTCCCTTGTCCGTGCTTGTGCCAACACGCACGACTCCACGAGACTGGCTCCTCGCCAACTTCAAGCGAACCAACAAGCATGATGGTGCTCTAGCTCATGTACACAATGCAATGTTTGCCGAGCTCGCATCTGCTGCATCATGCCATCGACTTCAATGCCACTCACGTGTTCTCAGGAAGGATGCAGTGACCTGCCTGAGGCCTACTCTGGGTCTCAGTAGACTACACTGGAATAGTAGGTCCGCTATCGGCGACCCAGAAATCAATATGATGATTACAGGCACGCGTTTGGCTCGAAAAATATGCCCAATGGCTGGTACAAGTCGTGCCTGACGTTGCAAACGTCTGGAGCTAGTGGCACGTGACCGCAAACAACACTAGTTCCCTTCCTCACTCCCGTATATACTATGGAACTTAGCTGTTCACGACCACGCTCGATGAACGCCATCTTTGCCCCAAGTGGAGACGCTGAACAAGGACAATGCGAGGGACATGCGACGCGGACGAGCAATCAGTGGCGGAGAGCATGCCACGCCGTCGTTGATCGCACCGACGGCAATATCAAGCTGCATAGTCCTGGCAAGCGACGAAGTCTAGCTGCCATCGTACCCCTCTGGATGAGGACTCTAAGCCCAACGGAGACGATCCGACGGACCCGGAGGACCCAGTCGGCTTGATCATGCCGATGCTGAGCATGCAATGTGTTGCTGGCTGACGCGTTTCGAGGAGCTATGGGCTTAACCGACAGCGAGGGTAATACACGGCTGCTGCTGAGGGACATTTGGGCGAGGAGATGGAAGGCATAAATAGCGGCAGGATGCTACCAGGTCGACATTTTCTCTCGACAGACATCCCATTGCCACTTCCACTACTACTTCTGCCCCCCTCCCCGAGGTATTTTCAAGACCACACCATCTGGTATGTCATCACGCCTGCCCCCACTGCTCAACGACCCTCAGTCCATTAGGCTTTGGGCGTCTGGCTTCGTGCCCGTGCTTTAGTCAATGGCTATCAGCACTCGATGCGGCAATGGCGCTGTGAGCATTGTCCAAGCTTGAATCATCTGACGTGTCAATGGAATAGCTCCATCACTCCCCATCCACACTCGAAGCTGCATACGCACGGACAAGGACTCAAGGTAAGCCTGAGCTTCAATGCTCGTGCATTGTGTGCATCGTGGCAAGCACTGACCAACAACACAGATAAATCTTCGGCCCAAATCCCAGCATCAACGACGACATCATGTGCTTCTTCGAGTGCTACAAGTTCTCCTGCCGTGACTGGAAGTGGGGCAACTTCAAACAGCACTGCAACAGAGAGTATCGCATCGGTGAAACTTGCGGCATGAAAATGATCTTTTGCACCATTGATTTGCCGGACAAGTGTGCTTTCTGCGAGAAGATTGAGAAGAAGCTTCGTCGACGCGAGAAAGCCATGTCTGATCGCGCGCGTTGGCTGCAGGAGCCCCATCGTTTCAAGGCGTCCATTGAAAAAGCTGCCGAAGATATCATGACCCTGGAGCGCGAGATTGCCAGCATTCAAGCGGAAAAGGATCGGAGGTATCAGAACGTTGGCAACACTAAGAGGAGTGGTTGAGCGGGCGAGAAGAGGAGGAGTAAGAAAAGGCAGAACTTGGGGTTGTTTCATCTGCCATTTTCCTGTTACGATGGCCACTCGTTCAGAAACTAGCCCCCGATTGACATGTGTTGTGGTGGTGGTGGAGTAGCAGCAGCAGCAGTAGCGGTTTGTGCAAACTTCGGGGCTTAAGCTGCAGGGGTGCTGGGGCTGGTCTTTCCAGGACGTGCGGAGTCAGTTTTGGGTTTTTTTTTTGGTTTTTGGAGTTTTTTTTCTTCTTTTCTCCCTTGTTTCTTTTTTCTATGGCTACGAATGACACTAGAAGTTACACCGCACTTGGGAATTTGAAATTTTACTCCTGAAACGAAGTTCTCAATCTCTCAATGATGCATGTGGTGAAGGAAAATTGACCAATCAAAGTCTGGCAGGAAGCGTCGAAGCCGCTCACCTCACTCACCCATGGGGCGGGCGCTTAAGGAATTGACCGACCATCGTAATGACCGTGTATACACGCTCGCACGCACATACACACATGCACGCACACATGCCGTGTTTTGCTCTCGTTTTTTTTTGCGAGAAACTATCAAGGAATCTCCCAGACTCACATTTTCTTTTTTTGAAGACATTAGGAAAAAGTCTCGTTGGATGATTTTTGGGTAAAACAAATGCCCTTTTTTTTTCGATAATCGACCTGCACTACCGAATAAACTATCTCTCTGTCTCTCTCTCTCCCTCTATCAAAATCAATGAAGATCGTTAGCTACCTAAGTCATGTATCTCATCATTACCTAACAAACGCCGAACGCGCGCACCTCCTTCCCTCTCTGCCATCGATCAATCAATCGATCAAGCACACAGCTTCTCGAAAACTCAGGGCCCAAGGTAAGCTCCTCTCTCTCTCTCTCTCTCCATTATCTTCAATCCTAAAAGTCAGGAGGTCCAAAAGTCTTTGGCGAATCGCGGGGACCACCACCATAGTTTCCTGCTGGGCAATTGGAGTAACAACCATACTCGGTGACGGTGGTGAACATGGTCATCGTGCCCATGATCTGGGTCACACAACTACCATTGGCGCTCGCAGTGGGGAAAGGTGGGAAAGAGAGGGGAGCTGTGCCGCTGCGCGAGCCCGTGGGAGCGCTGAAGGTTCTCGACGAAGATGGCGCGGTGCCAAATGGAGCGGTGCGTGAGCTTGATGGTGCTGGCAGAGAACCGGACCGCGACCCGGTTGGCGCGCTGAAAGGCATCGAGGTGCTAGATGCCGGGAAACCCGACGAGGGGAGACTGCCGGAGCGCGACCCGGTAGGTGCGCTGAAAGGCATCGAGGTGTTAAATGCTGGGAACCCAGACGAGGGAAGACTACCAGAGCGTGACCCGGTAGGTGCGCTGAATGGCACTGAGCCGGTAGATGATGGAAATGTCGAAGATGTTGACAAAGTACCAGATCGGCGACCAGTTGATGCGTTGAACGGTACAGAGCCTGTCGACGATGGGAATCCCAACGATGGCAAAGATACGCTTGTTGCACCAGATGGGAAGAATGAGGACGCTCCCGATCCGATTGAACTTGTCTTTGAGAAGAGAGAGCCGGAGCGAGAGCGTATGGAGTTGGTAAAAGGAGGGAGTTTGAGGGTAGTGTCGATCGGAAACGACTCCGTGTAAGTTGTCGTAAAGGCTTGCGGTGGCGTAGACGAACCCGTAGTGGATGGCGCTGAAGAGTTGGAACTTGGTGATATGGTGCCGCTACGAGGTCCGCTTGGAGCGCTGAAGGGTACCGACCCTGTGACAACAGGAATACTCTCGGTGAGGATCAGGGGAGTGGAGGTCGAGGTCGTGCTCAGTAAGCTCAAAGGCACTGAGGATGAAATCAAGCCAGATGCTGCAGTGGCAGAGGAACTCTGTGTTGCTGATCGAAGACCATTGGTGTTGCTGAATGAGAACCCACCTGAGGCCACGGAGGAACTCGCACCAGAAGTGCCGGAAGCGCCGCTCGTCATGGAACTGGGAGTGATTGACAAGCCAGAGCTGGGCAATATTCCAGAGGCAGCTGTTGAGGAGACGCCACTAGTACCGCCTCCGCTACTGAGGATAGACACAGGAGTAAACGGAGATCCAGACGATGGAACAATCCCGGAATCAAATGACGAAGACGCGCCACTGAGACCACTGCCGCCGCTAATGACTGTGATTGGGGTAAAGCCCGCTCCGGAAGACGAGATAACACCAGATCCGATGAATGAGCTAGCACCCACAATACCTGTCTGACCGGAGGTGACGGAAGTCAGTGTGATGATGGGTACGGAGGATGTGGCATTCGAGGGCAAGAGTCCCGAAGCAGCAGTACCACTTGCGCCGCCGCTGCCACCTGCCACGCCCGAGGCCGCAAATCCAGTGCTGTAGGCTGTACCGCCGCCAGTGCTGATAATGACGGGTGCTGGTGTTTGCAAGACTCCAGACGCCTGACCCCCGTTGCCACCTCCGTTAGCGCCACCGCCGCCTGACACTACGACGCCAGTGGAAAGCAAACTGGTCCAGGCGGATGTAGCAGTCACAATGCCAGCGATATTGCTCGCAATGTTACTTCCACTGCCGGAGCTTGAGCTACCAGTCGCGTAGGAAAAGTATGAGGTTACTGTCTGACCAGAGAGTTGAGTGCCGCCGGCATTGAAGGTGTTGTTTGCAGTGATCTGCGTTACGTTGTAGCCTTCTGGATAGTTTTGAGTGTAGTTGGTAGTAGTGATGGTGTAATAGTTGCCATTAGAGCTAGCGGGTCCATATTCTGTTCCGCTTGAACTCGAGTTGCTGATGTATACCCCTGTTGCGGAGCTCGCGTATACAGTTGTAGCCGAAGCCCATGATAGCGAGTAGGCGGTGTAGTAAGTGGTGTACCACATGGAACCTATGGTGTAGTAAGTTGAGAAAGCTGTCCCGGTGGAGAAAGTCGAGCCATCGGAGATGTATGTTGAATAGTATGTTTCGGCAGCGGCGGCGCGGCCGCTTACTATCATAGGCTTGGGCGTGATGATAGCAATGGAAGTCGAGCTGTCTGAGAAGATCGATGACATCAAGGAGCTGGCATCTCGGGCAGCCAGTGTAGGAGTTCCAGATGCCTCAGTAGTCGCCTCAGAAGAGGCATTTGTAACACCAATGTCGATTGCCAGCAGTATACCACTGTCGACGCCCACCGCTGCGGTGGTACGGTTGGCTGTTCCCTTCAGGAAGCAGTTATAGCCCTGATTGCTAGGCGCATCGTAGTAGGAAAATCCCTGGCAGACGGAACTGCCAGATCGCATGTTGGCGGTCGAGCAAGCTGCACCACATTCCGAGTAGCTGTTGTACGAGAGAATGCCGTAGAAGTTGGCATCAGTGATATCTGTATCGCATTGAATAAGGTATTGATATCTTGCAACGCCGATGAGCTGCACAACGATGGCACCGTTGTCCTGTGGACATGTGAAAGGAGGCGCGGTTGGACCAGGAGCAGGCGCCACAGAGACAGATGAGCTGGATGACGAAGCACTGACACTTGGTGCGACCGTGCTGGTCACAGTGCCTGCTGAGACTGTAGAAACGATCGTGGTGGTCTCTTGGTCGTACGCAGAGATGGTGAACACATTTGGTTTGCCTGTGCGTGTTGCGGTGACTGTTGGCCCGGCGAAGTTTTGGCAAGCGCATGCACTCGAGAAAGACGCTGACATGCTTGCATCGGAGCCCTGGGCATTTGTTTGTCTGCGAAAAGAGTCAAGAGCCTCGGCCATCTGCGCATCGGAGAGTGCTGCGGGCTCAGGAGCAGCGTTTCTAGCGCTCAAGCCGGCACTGCCGGTGACCGTGACAGTAGCAGCAGGTACAGTGGTGACACTCTCTTCGGTGAACCATTGTGTTGTGTACGTAGAGTAGAAGGTGCTATGTGGTGATTAGCAGAGCATCTCACGTTACGTTTCCATTTCCCCAAGTCTTACCTGGCAGGAGTTTTGGTCACGACAACAGTCGTGTTGGGATATGTGATGTATGCTTTGCAGAAGTCCTGGCCAAAGCTCGGGTCGTGGACGAAATCGTAATAGTTATCTTGATAGCAAGTCGCTGCCGCTGCCTTTTTGAACAAACGATTAAAGATCCTGCGGACGGCATTTTGCTGGGGCACTTCGCGCTGCTGAAGCTCAAGATCTGTAGGCGGGTTGGCCACTCGGCCAGCCGCGTGATGAGCAAGAGTTAGCCCGAGGGCCAGCGCTGTATATGAGCGCATACTGTTAGACAGCCCTTTCCAATGAGTGATGAGGATCTGCTTGCTGTTGAAAATGAAGGACTTTGTATCGTGATGGAGGGTAGATGAACTCTGGTATTCTGCGACACATCTATCTTATAGCTTCCAAGATACCATGCATATTCAGGTCAGCCTCAGCTGTGAGCACGACCGACCTCCTGGCAATCCGAATACTGTATGCCTTGCAGAGATCGTAGAAAGAAGAGGTGACATATTGGAATGGGGTTTCAGCGACAGGATGGTGTGGTGCTGAGACGTGAGGACATGCCGGTGCCTGCCATTGGATATCGCAGCTTGTCTGAGGCGATTCAGATCGACGTTGAGGTCAACCATTCCGACGACCTGGAGAGAATGCAGATGCGCGAACATGTCCGACATCCCTTGCTGGAGTCTGTACCCGTTTGGCAATGAATACTCGTACCTTGCGGGGCGCTCATGGTTGCTACGAGGAATGTGAGATGAATCATGACGCGCAAGAGGGCTGTCCTCCTGATGTAAAGATTATGTGATGATCACGATACTGCCACTGTCTGCCGTTGTTGGATGCTCCACTCGACATGCTGGTGGTTCACGGATGTCGGTCATCTCAGTAGGAGATGGGCCTCAGATGGACATGTCGTCGTGCGCCGTCCTGGGCTGAGCCGCAGTGGTGGCTCGGGCACATTGAGAGAGGTTGAAGGCCGGGACTCATGATGAATGGACTGTTTCGAGTGGTACAGTGGTAGAGTGATAGAGCACTGGTGGTGGTGGTGCTGGTGGTGGGACCAAGAAGTTCAGAATCTCACTTTAGAACGATTCTAGCGCGGCGGCGCGGCCGCAGCGGGCACTGGACGGCCCGCGCGACCCGCCGCATGCACGTGCACTTGCACTAGTTTGTTTCCAGCCGGCCAACTCCTTGTAATCCTCTTTTCTGTGCATACCGGGCGCATACCTAGTACTACTCACATGAGCGCTGGCGCGCACAGAGATCGAAAAGAGGCGGATGTATGGTGTGACTCTGCATCAACACTGACATTGATGGAATGGGCGCATTCTGCTCATGTCTTGGTCAGCGGCCTTCTTCGCAGGATGTCAGTAGTCACCCTTCCGCGTCTTATTCGCTTCATCGACTGCTCGCTGACCCTCGCGCATAGGGTGACCTCGATCGCATCCTGAATTCAGAACAACCGACGTACGGCACCATCGAAGACAGCGGCGGTGTGTCGCCTCGCGACGAAGAGGAGTTGAGAAGAGAGCGCGATGCTCTGGAGCATATTACTGCTCAGGCGGCTGAGTATGTACTGGCAAGGCGCGGCATCCCGTTCTGCACTTCTGACTGAGAGTATAGCCATATGATCGATATCAACCATCCGAGCCAAGCAGACCTGAATCAAGGCTTCGTCGACACGGCCAACCATCACAGAGAGCAAACAGACGATCTCTCGGTAGAGCCCTCACAGGATCAGGATCAGGATCAGGATGACTCCGAGGAAGCAGCGTGGCTGCGAGGCATCGAAGAGGAAGGGACAAAGATACAGATCCCGCAGCGCGGAACACTCGTGATGGACATTAGCCTGCTACGGAACACTCCGCAGCGGAGGGAGGTAGTGCACTGAAACTGTGTGCTTCTGCTTATGGCACTCCAGTCATGGACGTCGCGAGACCCACGAGATGGAGGGCAGAAGTGCTTCCAGGTGGGCTATGGCGCCCCCGGTTGATGTGGCGCTCACTGCAATCGATCTCGACTCACATATGCGTGCGAAGTTGCCGGAAGCATCAACTTGCGCAGGCGTACCTCGAAACTTAATTTGAAGTCGATTGGGACCAGAATCGCTTGCTTTCTTGCAAGAGGATATCCTGCAGAAGTGTACAGGTCTCGTCGTCCATTTACCATTAGTACCTAATGAATTGATATACCAGTACTTACATCCTCTGCCGCTTCCATATTGAATGCATACGCTCTCTCCATCGGGTGCCGATGCATCTACATGTAGCTTGATATCTCCTGTCACCATCAAGATGTACTCTGCTCACGAGTAAGCCTTCTTCTGAATCTGCTATCGGTAGACATTATATATGTAGGTACCTATCTATGCGCGGCCCGAGAAACGGCGCGGCGAGGTTCAAGACGCCGACGCCGAGCTGCTGCTGCCGACTCCCGTCGTCCTCGTCATTGATTGTCACCTTACCTTAGTTTGTGTGAGGTCTCGTCAAATCAGCGGCCAGAAAATAGGTAAGATCTAACCAATTCACTTGAAGAGCTTCATCACCAGCTACCTAGGTAATAACTGGAAGTCGGGGCAATATCTGGCTTTCTGTACTCTAGTCTCTACCTGTTTACCTCACCTCCATTCACCACTAGCCCTGCCCCTGCTTCGGTCACTGGTAGATTTTCTGTTGCTACCATGGCTCTGCTGCCACGTGTGACCGCACTTGCTGCTGCCCTGACCTTCCTCATCACCAGATATACCACTTATTCACTTACACCCTTCGCCACCTTCCCCCTGCTCTTCTCCATCTTATTTCTTCTCTATCAGCTGTACTCGATCTTGGTATGGCCCCACTACATCAGCACCCTACGCCATCTACCCCAGGCCCCGAACGCTCATTGGTTCTGGGGTCAAACCAAGAGGGTCCTCGCAGAACCATCGGGAAGACCGATGCGAGACTGGGTTCAAAATGTCCCGAACCAGGGCCTGATTACATACTCGGTCTGGTTCCAACAACGAGTTCTCATCACCACTCCTGCAGCACTGGGCGAGGTCCTCGTGACGAAGAACTATGACTTTGTCAAACCATGGCACTTCCGCAATGGTCTCGGCCGAATCCTGGGCATCGGAGTCTTGCTCGCAGAAGGCGAGGAGCACAAAATCCAAAGGAAGAACTTGGCGCCCGCGTTTGCCTTTGGCCATTTGAAAAGAAATATTGTGCCGATCTTCTGGAGCAAAGCCCAAGAGCTCGTGGACTGCCTTGCGAATGTATCGACCGCAGCTGTCGATAAGAAGCATGTGTCGGACACGGATAACACGAATCTCGAAAACGCTGCTGCCGAACATGTTCACGGCGCTGTGGATGTTGGCAACTGGACTTCACGCGCGACACTCGACATTATCGGCTTGAGTGGGATGGGTCAAGACTTCAATGCCCTCCAGGATCCCGACAATAAGCTGCATCAGACATATAAGCTTATCTTTAACCCCGGGAAAGCTGGAAGGTACTATGGACAGCTTATCTTTTTTTTTACTACATATACTGTTCCCACGAGATCATCCCACTGACTTTTGATCCCCTGTTGTAGGATGTTGCAGGTATTGGCCATTTTTCTCCCTAGCTGGCTAACGAGGAACCTCCCGATCAAGCGGAATCAAGAGCTCAACGCCGCATCCGCATACATCAAACAAGTCTGTCGCGATCTCATTGCCAAGAAGCGAACCGTGTTGGCTGAGAAAGGCGTGGAAGACGTCGACATCCTCTCTGTTGCACTGGGATCAGGAGGATTTCAGGATCATGAGCTCGTGAATCAAATGATGACATTTCTCATAGCAGGACATGAAACCACTGCCACCGCCATGGTAAGTTCCTTTTTTTTCTCACACTTTCTTGAAAGAAAAAGAAAACAAAAAGGAAACAAAAAGGAAATCGTCATCAACATACCAATTAAACCCCCTCCCTCACAGATCTGGTCCCTCTACCTCCTCTGCAAACACAAATCCATCCAAACCACCCTCCGCGCCGAAATCCGCTCTCGAATCCCCTCCCTATCCAGCCCCATCACGGCCGCCCAAATCGACTCCTGCGACTACCTCCAAGCCTTTTGCACCGAAGTCCTCCGCCTCTGGCCACCCGTCAGTTTGACTTTGCGCGTCGCCGATCGCGACACGTCCATTCAAGGGCAATTTATCCCGCGAGGAACGACGATTATTCTCGCTCCGGCGGCGATTAATACTTGTACGCATTTGTGGGGCAAGGACGCGTTGGAGTTTCGGCCGGAGAGGTGGTTGAAGAGTAATAAGAGTCAGAGTGGTAATGGTGGTGAAGAAGGAAAAAGAGGGGGAGCGGATTCGAATTATTCGTTTTTGACGTTTTTGCATGGTCCGAGATCATGTATTGGACAGAAATTTTCACAATATGAACTTGCTTGTTTGTTGGCTGCTTGGGTGAGTTTTTTCTTTTCTTTTTGTCTTTTCTCTATTTCCTTTCCCTTCCTTCTTTCCTTCTTTCCTTCTTTTTTTACGTTGGTTATGATTCCTATACTGACCACAAAAAATACAGGTCGGAAGATATGACACTTCATTTGAAAAAGGAAGTCCTCTTGCTCATGGTGAACCGGAAATTAAGGTATGTTTTCTTTTTTTTTTTCCTTTTTTCCTTTTTTTTCGGTGACTTTCTGAGCTGACTGATGGGAAATTATTTGTGAATTACAAAACAGGGTGGAATTACTGCGAAACCCAAAGGAGGGTTGTGGACGACACTTGAGGAAGTTCCTGGGTGGTGAAGAGGAGGTCATGGAATCAAGCAAGCAGTTTCTGCCTCCGCGGGGTTTCGGTAAGGTACTAGGTAGGTAAGGTGGGTCGGTAGACCGGGAACACATCAGAAACTTATGTGCAACATGATACTTGCTTGCTTCTTTCGACGTTAGGTAGTTGGGGAGGTTTTTCAGTATACAGCAAATTGACCCAGAAAGGCAAGAACACTAGTCAGTCTCTCCCCCTCTCGTGTCATTTCATTTTATTTCATTTCATTCCCTCAATCAATCAATCAATCAATCAATACTTTCCAGGCGCAGCCTTGTATTTTTCATTCTGAATCACTTCGATCCAATATCCATCCGGGTCCAGCACAAATGCCACGTTCTGTACCAAATAGAAAAAGAAAAGAAGTTAGCTTGTGGAAAATGATGAAGAAGAAAAAGAAGAAACATAAGGGAGAGAGCAAACAAATTCCGAGTAACAGTGAAAAAAAAAAGAAAAGAAAGGAAAGAAAAAAAAAGAAAAAGCCTTTCTTACCTTCATCCGTCCATCCGTAAGACGCTTCTTCCACTCCACCCCTTTCTCCTCGAATCTCTTACATGCCGCATCGAGATCATCAACCGATATGCAAATATGTCCAAACCCTTGTGGCTCACTATTTCCATCATGGTACACTTTACCCGACTCCTTCTCGGTGCCGTGGTTCCACGTCAATTCGAGAATCCCCTCTCGATCCGCGACGGGGTTGACGCCGTTGACGGATTTGTCGCTGCTGGGTTTGTCGCCATAGGCGAGGAAGTAGAGCGTGAAATCGGATCCTGCGTTTTCGCGGAGGAAGGTCATGCCCATGACTTCTTGGTAGAATTTGAGTGATATGTCTTTGTCTTTGACCTGTGGAAATTCTCGTGGTTAGAGGTGACCATTTGATTTGGAGGTGATGTGGCTATAGGATTGGGAGGGGACTCACTCTCAACATGGTGTGGTTCATGCGATAGGTTTCAATGTTGGTTTCCTTCACATTTTCGGTCTTTTCGACGTCATTCTGGGCAATGATCTCGACCCAGTACTCATCGGGATCCAGAGCAAACTACAAAGGAAGACAATCAGTTTCGACATTATCATCGGGGTTCTTTACGGATACTCACAGCGATGTGATGCATCCTGCCGTCCTTCAACTTCTTTTGAAACTTATATCCCGCGTCCTCCAGTCGCTGACACGCAGCTTGGATGTTGTCCACAGAGATGCAGACATGCCCGAAACCTTTTCCGGGCTCCTTGTTGCCATTGTTTGGCTTGTAGGAAGCATCATTCTCCGTGCCATAGTTGTGAGTGAGCTCAATAATGCCTTGGCGATCAGTCCAGTGATTGCCGGATGATACGGCCTTGGGGGAGTCGCTACGAATCCCACGACATCAGCGCTGCGTTTTACTAGAAGAATTCAATTCCTCTCTTCACATGGAACTCACTATGCCAAGAAGTACAAATCGAAAGAGTTGTCCGGGAATGAGAATTTGTTGACTTGCTTCATTCCCAAGTGCTCGTAGAATTTGACAGAGGCTTTGGGATCCTTGACTGGGAGGTGTCAGTAGGCGCGGTACAGTATACATATTGCAATACATATGAGTTGGGGCGAAAGAGCCACGCACTCCTCAGCATGGTATGGTTGAACAGGTACTTCGAAGGGTCCGTCATGGTGGCGTATGCTCGGGGGGCGATGGTGGTGGTGGTGGTCAGGTGTCGAGTGATTAGCGCTGAGCGTCGCAGTGCAGAGAGCATGTATAGGAGTATGGAAGTGAAGTGAAGTGAAGTGAAGTGAAGTGAAATTGTGTGTTGGCGAAGAGCAATAATGCAATGCAATGGATGCTTCCGTTCTCTCTCATGACATGGGAATTGAAGCCGTGACATCAGCGTTCCCGGCCGCAGATCCTCTCCTCCCCACCTTTCCCTCCGACCTATCAGCCCCTCTCCCCTCCATTTGTCCCTGTCCCGTCCTTCATCATCATCATCATCATCATTTTCATTCTCATTATTCATCCAGCGACTACCGCTGTCGGCTCCCCCAGCAGAGACTTGCCCCCCTGTTACGCGGCAGTCACAATAAGCTACACGCTTCGCTGGTCACTTACGCTATTCGTACCAGGTTATCATCATATACTGTGCTCCCGAGTCTTGACGATTGATCAGACATCCGCACCCATAACTAACATGTCCCCGGCCTCATTGGCATCTAGAGCAATGTGATTGCTGACGCTTCCCCCTCTAGCAGATCCCTGTGCGTCTCCATGGGGTCGCACAGCCTTTGCTCCGGCCTGGCTGTACACATTCAATCCCAAAACTCCCTCGCGATTGGCGAGTTTAATAAAGTCAATGGCACAATCATGTGCCGCGTATACTGTACCTCCTAGGCCTTTGCATCACTTATTGGCGGCTACTCCAGCACTCTCTCCGGGCTTTTTGCCCTTGTCGCCACTACTGCCAGTGCTGGCGGCACCATCCTCGTCGTACAAGTTATGTTCTTCGATGTAGTTGACCACCTGCTCTGGCACGAGATAGCGAATGGACATGTCTCGTCTTCGAAACAGCCGAATCTTGGTCGAGCTGATGTCGTTTTGTACAAGCTGCTGGATGACCCAGATGTTGTCTCTGTAGGCTTGCAAGGTCGCAAGAGCCTCGTCGATGTCCGTGCCAGAGCGCTGCGGCTCCTGTTAGTGCGTGAAAGGGAGGGAGTGATTCACTCTGGGATGGTGAAGACAAACCTCGACAATGAAAGCGCCAAAGTTGCGCAAGATGTAATCAATATCCTTGTCGGCCCACACGCCAGGCGTGCCCATGGTCTGAATCAAATCTGCTCCTGCAAGCAAAGCAATGTGACACTTCTTCTTGCCGACCGGTGTTTCCACTCCGCCAATCACTTCGTTGATCTCGTGGTCAAAGTGGTCCAGGACCTTGGCAGTCTCCAGGTATTCGCTGTGCAGAGCCTCCCACGGGTCGACACTGATCCAGCTGCTCTGTTCCACGGCCAATGTGCACATGTTGATTCTGTGCTCTGCCTTGACCAGACCCGTCTTCTTGTAAGCATCGCCCACACAGGACAGATATGCGCCGACGACTTCGAACTGCGTGTTAAAGCGCGCATAGTCGGCGGCCATTTCGAACATGCGGAGATGGAGGAAGGTGATGGGCGAGAAGGAGCCACAGGCGACCAAGATCAGCGGAGTGCGGTCTGAGCTCTGAATACGACGCCTCAGACGGGTCTGAGGGAATTCGTACTCGGTGAGGGTCATGTCGCCGCGGATGTCGTCGTCCATGGCGAGTGGCTTCGTTGGTGGTCGGTCGAAGCGGAGTAGATTGCGCAAATGGACGGATCGAGGACGAGAGCGTGCGGTCGAAGTTGGCGTTGGCCGGTGTACGTAGGAGACTAGAGAGCGTGTTGAAAATGCGCCGAGTGACGTAGTGTTATGGATAAGGACTGAGTGCGAGAGTCGGGTGCGGGAGAGGAGGGAGTGCAGAGCAGCGTCCACGGTCACAGCGGTGGAGGAGGGTGAGGAATGAAGTATACGGGCGGTGGTGGTGTTGGTGTGGTGTGGTGTCAGTGGTGGTGTCGTTGTTGTTATGGGAGAGCGGGAGGAGCACGCGAGAGGAGGGTGAAAAGACGGCAGAGTGGGGACTATCTATCTCCGTGGTGGAGTACTGCCTAAGGTACAGTAGGAGGTACCGTACCTTAGGGTATGTGTCTGTCTCTGTGAGTGGATGAGTCTGGCCTGGCCCTTTCGCCGCATTGACCTAACAGCCGACCGCGCACGTGCTCGATCATAATTCCATTATTCTTTGAAGATACACAGGTAACACAAGCCCCCTCTCCGCATATATCTGTACACCTATTTTGCATGTACCTCATTTTTACTAAGTTACCTTACTGTCGCCTCTACCGCACTTCCCTATGAGATGTAGAGTACATTATCTGGCCTCGGGGTCCTCGACGGTCCCTCGTGACTCGTGAGTGTAATTTGGGCCAGCGCAAAGTCTGTTACTTACCTAGGTAGGTAGTAGGTACCAACATTCGATCCAGTTGGAAGCAAGGGTCGGAAGGGTCTCCGCATCACTGGAGGTACTAGGAGGTACCAAGCAACCTTGAACGGTTGAACCCATGGGCTGATCATCGTCCATCTACGATATCGATGTGCGACCGAGACTGATTAGTATGCTGACATGATATGCTCCATTCTTCCGGAAGCATGCTTTGCCGTGAACAGCATCGTGGTATATCAGGCGGCAGCAGACGCACAGCAGGCCTGCTGTATCAAGCTCAATGCATTAGTCGCATCAGCCGAGTGCACGAGCTCGGTATCTGCCAGTGAGTGTCTGTATTCGAGACCACGGATAGAACGAGAGCACTTCGTCTTCAACATATCAATTCTAGGTCATCAATATGTCCTGCTCATCAGGCGACATGGGCAATCAGAAGTACAAATGGTTCTTTCACCGTTCTTCACTCTTATCTCTGCATTCGAAACATATCAGCTTGTTCTCAAAGCGCGCATCCAGGTCTCATGCAGTTTGCCATATCCGAGCCGGTCTTTCAAACGAGTGTGCCAACAGGTCACAAAATGAAACATTATTCCTGCTTTTCGAACTTTTGAACATGTCAATCTTGCTAGGTACCGTCGTACTCCCAGCGCAGAAACCCTACGCATAAGCAAAAAGATCAGAAGATGGCAAAGACCAAAGCACAGAAGATTCGCGCCACTATCGACTACTTCGAGCAGACATACGGCTCCACTCCTACTCTGGCAACATGGCAAGCATTCTGCCGCGACGTTGGCGTCAACGAGGGTAATTCCATCACGCAGTGCAAGAAGGTGAGAATAGACTTTATAATTCTATAACGTATATGATGTCGTTCTCGCTGATGTTGTTCATCGTTGAAGATACTGAAATCCGTCAATGTCAACATTGTAGACTTTGTTTCTGCGAGAAAGAGTGGTCAAGCGGTTACTCACTTTGCTTCGAGGGGCGCGTTGGCGAGGTATATTCAGGCTTATCCGAAAAAGAGATTTCCGTTGAAGAGGGCGAAGGAGGATTCTTTCTTGAAGATGTTGTTGATACACTTGTTTTGAGGTTTGAGGTGTGGTTGTTGGTTGATGGTATAGAGACTATTAGAGTACCTATTCCAAGGTAAGCCCAGCCGAGTGTTCGGGTGCAACCTCCCGTCTCAGCCTCATAGTTCTATGCGTAGCTCCCTCCACGTTACTTGCTTCGACTGTACATGTACATACACACAGTACAGGTACCTCTACTGACATAGCTGTTCTTCTTTGCTTGCAACTACCGTACCGCACCGTACACACCCTCTCAATCGCCACTACACATGACAATCCCACTCCTCCCACCATAACGAGATGCGAGAGCCAAGACGTGGCCTGCTGTCGCTGCTGCTGCTCCTCTGCACGCTGGCCCTGCTGGCGGCGGAGGTGCCAGCAGCAGCAGCAGCCAAGGACAAGCCCGACATCGACGACTACAACTTCCACGCGAGACCCGTCAACGTCCTGTACTTTGAGGACAGCGATGTCATCCTCGCCACCGATGCCGACGCCCTGACGACCTACCGTTCTGATAATGGCGGCAAGTCGTGGGACAAGCTGGACGGCGTGGCCGCTGGCGAGGTCATGGAAGTGCTGAAGCATCCTTACGACAAGCAGGTGGCCCTAGTGCTAGGTACGGAAAAGACGCACTGGATCACGCATGATCGCGGGAAACAATGGCGTTCCTTCACCTCGCCCGTCCATCCCTCCCTGTCTCGCGCCGGCATCGCCTTCCACGCCACCGACCCAGACCGCATGCTGTTCGTTGCCCAGAAGACCAGCGGCTTCTCACGCGAGGACATTGTCTACTACACCACCGATGGCTTCAAGACGGACATGAAGCTGTTGCACAAGGACGTGTTCTCATGTCTCTGGGCCAAGACAACCGACATCTTCACGACGAGCGACGAGAAACGTGATCGTGATGCCATACTCTGTATTGCCCGAGGCCAATTCGACTTCTTCAAGTCGCACAACCGTATCATCATGTCGACCGACTTCTTCGAGAGCGAGGAGATTGAGCCGACCATGAGCGATGGCAGGACTGTGGAGGGCATCACAAACCTGGCCGCTGTCAAGAGTTATATCGTGTTTGCTGCAAAAAGTGAAAGAACGACCGAAATGGCCATGTATGTCTCTGATGACACCCAAACCTGGCATCGCGCCGAATTTGGTCAGCATAAGCTGGAAGAGGACGCGTATACGCTGTTGGAAAGCACAAACTACAGCATGCAGGTGGATGTGATGACAACGGAGCACTCAGACCCCATGGGTGTTCTCCTGACCTCAAACAGCAACGGGACTTTCTTCACCAAGAACATTGAACACACCAACCGCAACGATGAGGGCTTTGTGGACTTCGAAAAGATGGCCGGCATACAGGGCATTGTACTCGTCAACACAGTGGAGAACTGGAAAGAGGTGGAAACAAAGTGGGGAGCACAGAAGGATGTAATCTCACAGATCTCGTTTGACGACGGCAGGACGTGGGAAAATCTGAAAGCCGATGGGAAGACACTCCATCTCTACTCGGTTACTAACCAGAGGAACGTTGGCCGGATATTCAGCAGTCCAGCGCCTGGTCTGGTCATGGGTGTAGGAAACACTGGCAAACGCCTTGAGGACTATGAGAAATGCGACACCTATGTGTCCGACGATGCTGGCTTGACGTGGCGCAAAGCGCTCGACAAGCCTCACATATATGAATTCGGCGCGCAAGGTTCCATCTTGGTCGCTGTAGAAGATACGGAAACGAATAAGATTAAGTGGTCGCTGAATCACGGCAAAGATTGGGAATCAACAGAAGTGGACGAGAAATTCACACCCTTGGCACTTACGACAACACCCGATGCGACTTCATTGAAGTTTCTCATGATTGCGACACGCAAGGTCGACTCAAAGACTGAGTACTTCACCTATGCTCTGGATTTCAATGGCCTGCACGAAAGCAATTGCGGCAGCGGTGACTTTGAGAAATGGCCCGCTCGGAAGGACAAGGACGGCAAAGCGACCTGCATCATGGGCCACAAGCAATACTTTCAGCGCCGGAAAGCCGATGCCAAGTGTGTCGTGGAAAACAAGAATTTTGAGGACCCAGAGGAGACGCGAGAAGACTGTGAGTGCAGCAAACAAGATTTCGAATGTGACTACAACTTCAAGCGCGATGGGGACAAGTGTGTCAGAAATGGACCAGTAGCTCCTCCTGCTGGAGCTTGCGAAGAAGGAGAGAAGACTTTCAAAGGCACATCCGGCTATCGACTGATTCCTGGAAACACATGCAAAGGCGGTGTAGATCTCGCCAAAGAGGTTGAGAGGGATTGCGAGGAAACAAGTACTCCACCTGCTTCCGGTCAGATCACTTCGGAAGTCAAGAAGTTCAAGGGGTCGAAATTCATTGAATATTACTACATGGAACGTGAGGACAGCAATCAAGGCCAAGACGAGACCGTGCTCTTGCGAACGAACCGTGGTCAGGTCTGGAAGACTCATGATCATGGTAAGAAGTGGGAGCAGATACTTGAGAAGGAGGAGATATTGGCGATTTACCCACACCAATTCTTCAACGATATCGTATACTTCATTACACCGACGAAGACCGTACATTACTCGAAAAACTTTGCTCGGTCATTCAACACCTTCGAAGCTCCCGAAGCCCCAAACCACGAGCAAATACAGGTGCTGACCTTCCATCCTTCCAACAAAGACTGGCTGATCTGGACTGGTGGCCGAGACTGTAAGGGAGATGACTGCCTGACGATCGCGCATGTGTCCAAAAAGGGCGGTGATGATTGGGAGTCACTGCTCCGTGGTGTTCGAAAGTGCCAATTCGTGTATCGAGAGGACAGGCCAGAGTCAGAGCAACTTGTCTACTGCGAGGTGCATGCGGACGAGAGCAGAGACAGTCCAGTCAAACTTCTGAGCAGTGATGACTGGTTCGCACACAAGAAAGAACTCCAAGACGACATCGTCAGCTTCGCAACCATGGAAGAATTCATCGTGGTTGCTGTCAAGGACCAAAAGGAGGAAAGTCTCCGGATTGATGCGAGTATCGATGGCTCAACATTTGCGAACGCCCAGTTCCCAGTGAATTTGAATGTCAAGCATAAAACAGCTTTCACTGTACTGGACTCAAGCACACACGCAGTCTTCCTACATGTCACCGTGAATGCTGTCGAAGACCAGCAGTACGGCAGCATAGTAAAGAGCAACAGCAATGGCACGTCGTACGTTCTATCTTCCGCCGAAGTGAACAGAAATAATGAGGGGTATGTGGACTTTGAGAAGATGCAAGGTCTGGAGGGAGTCGCCGTTATCAACCGCGTGGCAAATGCTCGTGAAGTCGATGGCGGCAGCAGGAAAAAGCTGCAAACATTCATCACCCACAACGATGGTGCAGCATGGGCTCGACTTGGTCGGCCCGATGATCCACCAAAAGAGGTTGGCAAACCTTTCGAATGCCAAGGCCAAAGCAACCAGAAGTGTAATTTGCATCTGCATGGCTATACCGAGCGTAAGGATCCAAGAGACACGTACAGCTCACCGAGCGCAGTAGGGTTGATGCTTGGTACCGGAAACGTGGGCGAATTTCTAGGTCCCAAGGAAGACGCACATACCTTCATCACTCGTGATGGCGGCATCAGGTGGCACATGGTTGCCGAAGGTAACTGGATGTGGGAGTACGGAGATCAGGGCTCCATCATCGTGATCGTCAAAGAAGATGTGCCGACTGGCGAAGTTCGATACTCTTTGGATGAAGGCCAAACTTGGCAAACGTACGACTTTGGCGAGACCATGGTGGTCAACGACATCACCACTGTACCCAGCGACACAAGCCGAAACTTCCTACTTTGGGGCAAGATTGGCGACTCGATCGCTACCATCAATATTGACTTCAGCGGCATGAAGGAACGGTCCAAGCAGTGTAAGCTTGATGAACAGCATCCCGAATCCGATGATTACAAGCTCTGGTCGCCTTCACATCCGCTATCCGAGGACAATTGCCTGTTTGGCCACGTAGGCCAGTACCATCGCAAAATCCTCGATCACGACTGCTACAACGGAAAGGAGATCAAACACCTGCACAACATCGCCAAGAACTGTTCATGCACACGAAACGACTTCGAATGTGACTTCAACTACCAAAGCGACAGCAACGGCGCCTGTATCTTGGTCGAAGGCCTCAGTCCACCCGATCCGTTGGAAGTGTGCAAGAAGAACCCGGGTCTCTTGGAGTTCAACGACCCCACCGGGTACAGACGGATACCACTCACCACGTGTGAAGGAGGCAGAGAGTTGGACAAGACATCAAATACATTTGCATGCCCAGGACATGAGCAAGACTACCAAAAGAAGCACGGTATCAGTGGAGCCGGTTTGTTCTTCGCCATCTTCATACCCATCGCCGCAGCCGCTGGAGTCGGCTTCTGGGTGTGGAAGAACTGGGACGGCAAATTTGGCCGCATCAGACTCGGCGATTCTGGATATGGTGGCGGCGGTGCGTTTGATGGAGATGCTCCTTGGGTCAAGTATCCCGTGATGGTCATTTCCGGCATCGTGGCCGTGATAGCCGCTCTACCCATGGTGGTGGGAAGTTTGTGGAATACGGTTGCAACGAGGTTCGGGCGCAGTAGCGGATATGGGTATTCGCGACCTTTTACCAGTCGGAGCAGTTTCCAGCGTGGGCGGAGCGATTATGCTGTTGTAGATGACGATGACGGGGAGTTGCTGGGCGAGGATAGTGACGAGGATGTCTAGACGGTTGGTTCTATCAGGAGGGACGTCCCCGCTTTCCAGATTGAATGTGCATGTGTAGGATAGAACCTGCCCTCTTCAATTGGGAGGGGTTGGGGATTACATTGTATGCATATAGATGTTTTGTTTATGACATGAGAGAGCACTCACTCTTATACTTCAGACATGTTCCAGTGCTGCGATCGCATCTCTTGACGAAACAACCGAGAGCTGTGAAAGTTGGCGGCCGTGCCAATAGGAACGAACATGGGTCGATTGACATGTTTTCATTAGATATCTCATCATTGCAGGCGTTGTGACCATTACCATCGTTGTGTACGCTTGCTTCCCTGAATGGCATCTAATGCACCCTCGTATGCCTACCTACCTTACTTCATCTCGTCACACATATCCTGACCATCTAGTACCATAACTATATAACTGGTACGGTATATACCGACTCTATTGATTCCCCCGTCCCTCATTGTGTCATGAACATGTACTCGTCGAGCTGTGTAGAATTGAGCTGGAAAGGATTGTCCGCATCGGGGGAGGAAAACGAATCGGTTTCGTGTCCGATGGGATGATATCCTCCGTCATAAAGAGCCGGCTGTTCCTGCATTGCGCTGTTGTAGGGAGTGGGAGGCTGCGAGGGCGTGGATGTCACACTTCGGAGACACTGCGGTATGCCGCCACACGACGTTGACGTGCACGTCTCTTGGAGGAGGAGAGAGCAAGAGTCGTCGTCGTCGTCTTCGTGTTGGATGGTGCAAGGTTCGATGTTGCACTCCTGTCGTGTATTCGGATCGCAGTCGGGATCATTGCAGGAATCGCAAGGCCCACACTCGGTATCGTCGCACAGCGGGAAGGGATCAGGATATAACTCCTGGTCGTTGCACAGCATGTCGCATGGAAGGCATACGGGTATGTTGCAGTCTTCCTTGCTGCACTCGATTGGCGGCGCCCAATATAGAGTAGTTGTCGAAAACAGCGTGCTTGATATACTCGATCCTCGCGATATAGGGGTGCTACTCGCGTCTCGACACCGCCGTGACTCGGCCTTCTTTGATATTGACTTGAATTGCTGCACCCATAAGTTCCACCTGTAAGGATCAGTCGCAGTCTCCAGGCCGTGACGTTCACGTTCGCAGTGCTCTTTCATCTTGTCCTTCCGGCTGTCCACATATGTGCATTCGTGAGTGTGCCTGGCTGGGCATCTGATGCCTGTTTCTGGGTTGTGGACCTGCTTTTTGTGTTTTGACAGATTCGACGAGTCGTCAAAAGCTTGCAAACAGTGCGGGCAAACGTGCTTCTTAGCCTTGAGGTGGACACTGTTCATGTGACCATCAAGAGCATGTTTCACCGCAAAGGAGCGTCCACAATCTGGCCATGTGCAAATGAAGTCTTTGGCGCCAGTGTGCGTGGTGAGATGCTTGTCCAGTTGGTCCTTGGTGACAAACGCCTGGGTGCAGCTAGGACACTGGAAGGGCTTGTAGCCGGTGTGGGAGTGGACATGCCGCACCAATTTATTCGCTGTTGGGAAAGAGCTTTTGTCACAGCCTTGCCTAGAAGCAGCGACCACAAGGTCAGCAAATGTCTCCGAAGGAGCCTCTACAATTCGAGTAGCTCGGCCCATGGCCGCGCGGCCAACCAGAAGGTGACGGAAAGAGCTCAAGAGGGCTTTGCACAATTTCTTCACTCACCATTGGCAGACAAAAGTCCCTGCGCCACGGACATGATGAGCTCGAATGTGATCGTTCAGCGCCTTGGCATCTTCGAACTGCTGATGACACATCCCGCCACCAACAGTCCAGTGACAGCAGTAGCGTCCGCACACCAGGGCCGGAGCGCCTGCCAGACCAGGTCTTCGCATCGTTCGAGGACCAGTAGGTGTCTGCTGTACATTAGCATCTGCCCCGAGCCGTCGTAGCACGGTGCTCTCAGGGTTTCGGGAGAAGAGGTCCAAAAATACCTTGACAGCCACGCTCGGACTGTATTGTGGCGTAGAAGAGTGGTCTCGATCAAGTTCTTGAGCCAAGTGCGCGAAATTCCCGTACTGGGAGTAGGTATCCGACTGTCCATCGTTACACAGCCGGGAAGGCGGCGGCATCTGCTCGCTCGCTAGAGGCTGATACTGAAACAGTTCATCGTTGCTCTCATGAGGGTCGATCAAGGAAGAGAATTGGCTGGAGGGGTGCCAGTAAGGCAGTGTCGCCGGAGTGTGCTCCGCAACGCTATTGCGTATGGCACTCTCTTCGAATCTTGTCATGGTGGTGGCTGTTCTTCTATCGCTGTCCGCGGGGACTCACAGCGAGTACAGCGGGTGTTGCAGGCTGTCTTGCTCGCCTCGGGTAGTGATATCTCACCTGGCCTACACGGGATGTTCCAGAGAGGAAGACGGTAGGCAGAGATCACGACATTGATGGTACTGTACCTAAGTAGGTAGGTAGTGGTATGTCGGCGGGGTGGTCAGGTCATATCATGAGGGCACGTCACATCCGAGAGCGAGAAGTCGTTTTCGAGTGGGAGGTAGAGGCAGCAGCCTCTGCTTCAAAGCACCTTGATGGTCAAGATCCCATGCCAAGCCCTCGATCGCGCCGGCGCCGGATCTGGCTCGTCCTCCGTTTCAGCAGCAAATGGCAGGTGTTTGATTGGACGGACCGAAACTTATGTAATCGACTTTGGTCTTGGCTATATCAACAGCCACTTGGTTGTTACAGTAGGTAGTCTATTAGATAGCCTTTTATTATGTTCAAGGATGAACTCGACCTCTGAGACGTAGAGTGAAGCATGGATGCTCAGTAGAGATTGGAACCAGTTGACAGCGGCATTGTAGCTCCTTTTCAACGTAGCAAATACATTGTTTGGTCGTTAGTCTATAACACATGCGTTCGCATCCTACAATCATACATCAATGTGTACGCCATTACTAAGAGTAGAGACTTCATCTGTGCATATCAGACCTTACCTCCCTAGTTCAGCCTGCTATTTTCTTCGATATCCAACCTCAAGCTCGACTTAAGGTACTCGTATAGAGCCCAATGTCCAGCAGTCTCTAGTGTACCGATTTAGCTTGCACTGAGCCCCTCGTATAGTCCTTCCATGCCTTCTTGGCGCACGGTCTCTTTGAGGCAGTCCATACTGTTCTTGTATCGACGTGACTCCATGCCGGCTACAGGATCCCACGACCGGTCAAGCTGTAATCGTGTTTTTGATCACCCATAATGGATGTATTGCTGTACATCGCGGTTCCACCTCATCGAGCCATTTCGCTCAAATAACGCAACATGCGCTTGACGCGATCCTGCATTCGTGTCATCGTGGACTGCAGACGTGTCTGGATCTGGACGATGTCGAGGGGAGATGTCAGGATGGTGGCCGTCATCTCATCTGTCCTGTAGGTAGGTAGCCGTATGAAGTCTGTCAGCGCTGAGCAGATCTCGCCGGGAGACCTTCAAGGAGCGCCCACGGTGAAGGTCTCGATGGCTGCCATTGACCTGCTGTCGCCATGTAATGAACGAATATCAATCGAATGGAACGCGAGGCGCGCTGTGTTCAAGTTCAAGATCTCGAAGCGCTAGAAGCACGTGAACGCGCGCGACTCGCGCGCTGGATCCCTCTAAGGGTGCCTCAGGTATCTACTGCGTACCTTAAAAACCCTCATTCATCTTTAGGTCAGGCAGTGTAAGCAACACGGATCAGAACTCCATAGACCTTACGATCAGGTTATTGCGAAGGAGGATCAAAGCTGCTCAGAAACAAGGGAGACCTCTACTCGTCGTTGATGGATTCCCTCGAAGTCTTGATCAAACTCATGCCTTCGAGGAGAAGATACCTCGCCCTAACTCCTCCCAACTTCTATCCATCGTACCAAGATTGACTTCTCCAGATCCATAAATTGAACGCTACCATTCTTTTGAAATGTCAAGAAGCGACACTGCTCGAACGAGCGTCTACAAGATCGCGCGAAGACTTCGGGTCGAATTGACGACATCCTAAATCCGTACTCAAGCGACTAGGTAAGGACGTTCTCTGAAGAAAACGCCAAGGTAGAAGAACATCCATAGGAAACAGAAAGATCAGGTATCGGGAGGTAAGATAGTCCGGGCAGCTATTACTGTCTTTGTAGAGCACTCAGATATCCGACTAGGCTAGTCTTATCGGGTTTTCATCATTACCGACGATAGCACTTTGGCCGAGTGCTTCGGACCGGACTCGGAACAACAAAACCAGACGCTGCACAGCGGAGCCGATCCGAAGATTGGGAGTCCGCGATGGATGTACTCTAGCCCAGGTAAGCGGGGACTAGGTAGCAGTGCAACCATGTGCATTTGGCCATGTGGGTAGTGGGTTTTGAGACGCGCATTACCTACATAGGTATACAACCCCTGTTGGCATCCATATCCTCTTTGCGGATCTCGCATATAGAGCCCGTAGTATAGCCTAGCAGAAAATCCATGTGTTGCAGGGCGAGATGTAAGCTGCATAAGGTACTATCATCACATCTGTCCAAAAATTCATCTTTTGACGCGCAAGTGCTCTACTTCATCTATAAGACTTGTTAAATATGTTCGTTAGTGGTTGACCGGTTGATATAAACTTTCAGGAACATTATCATCATCATCAAAGCCCATCTTGTCATTCTGCCTGCATTGTAGCTACGGGTACCTGACCTTACCTTAGCGCGTTCGACTTCACCGGTCCAAGGACCCGAGACAGTGGAGAGGTGGGAAGTATAATAAGCGCGTCCTTCTACGCCGCACAAAAAAAAGCGTACCTTAAACAAAAAGAAAGAGTTGCCTGCAAAGCAAAGCAAAGCACAAAAAGTGATTGATTGATTGATTGATTGATTGATTGATTGACGGCGGCCTAGATAGCCGGCCACCCCTCCTCCTCCTCCTCCACCTCCTCGTCGCCTAATTTGCTCCCGCCTGGAAGCTGGAGTCTCTGGAGACAGACGCGAAAGAATTTAGCCGCCTGTATACCCCTCTCTCGACCAATCATTACCTCTGCCGGCATGCGGACAACGCTACACTCCTACATACATAGGCGCTAGTGTAGTCTCTTCTCACGCGCTTTGTGCGACCTCTGTCTACCTACCTTTCCAATTGTCCGGAGTCCGGAGTCCGGGAAATTCTTGTGTTTTGTTGTGGTAGGTATTTTGCTGTTTGGGGGATTCTTTGTTCGCTTTCTCTTCCTCTCCAAATGTCCACATTACGAAGTACTATAGCCGCGTCGTCTTCATCAGCAAGGAGGTACATGTAAGCTAGGTAGTGACGAACAGGATACCTCCCCTCCCCTCCCCTCCCCTCGAACTGTCTATCAGAGCGACTAGGACATCCATTCTAAGGAGTATGTGGGTAAGGTAGGTACAGTATAGTCTGTACCTGACCTCTCATTAATCCGAGAAGAATCGTTGGCGATCGCGAACCGAGAACTCTAAGAAGCGCGTTCTCTATACTCCTCCCCCCAATTCAACCAATGATCAGTAGTAGACGCCGTCGCCTAAGTTAGGGCAATCAACTGCAGTCTGCTTGTCTGCGCCCCTCCTCCCCACAAAATCACTTGACGCGCTGCATATGCGTGAACCCATCCATGCCCGATAACATTTACATCTCTGGTCTGGACCGTCTGGACCGCCTGGGTCGCCTAGTCGTAGCTCGCATAAAAAATCTTTGGCGTGCGGCGGCAAATATGCATACATGATTCCTCCTCTATCCTCTATTCTCCTTGCCGACTGACTATTCGTAGTCTATGCGCCGCCCGTTAGTATACCTTCTTTGCGCCGTGCAGTAGTAGTACACTATAAACTTCTTTTTCTTGCCGACTTGACAAAGCTACCTACTTGACCTTACCTGACCTATCTGCATTGCCTACCTACCTTCCTACCTACCTACCTACCTACCTGATGCGTTCAATGTCTTGACGTACATCATACCTCATCCTATAGTCGATCCTGGACAAAAGTAGTCTGCGGCACAGCAAGAGCCTTGCTGCTGTCGAAGCTCTCGGAGCTTCGTAAGGTGGCGCGAATGCCAGAGATAGCATACCTACATATATAGCGGACTTGATGGTTCTCTGGCTCTTCTTTTTTCTCATTATTGAGCGCACTGTTCACTCGTCTGAAGTCTAGCATCTATCTCTATTCTTAATCAGTATGTGTGAGATACATCCATATCTGCTGAGCTGCGGCGCTCGCATTCAAGTCGTCAAGAACTGTATGTAAGCCAAGATGAACAACATGTATAACTATGTTGGTTACATGCCTCGACAGCTGCTAATGATATCCAGGCAATCAAGCTTTCGTCGAGCCTGGTAGGCCGTGTCCGACAATACGTTGGAGAGAGTAAGGACTGGACTGATAGCGGTGTACTGTTTCAACATCCATTGCTGACGAGTCGCTTGTAGAGTATTTGCAGACGGCTTAATCTGCTCCGAATATGTGCCAGCAGACGAAGGCCATTATACCAGTGTCACGGTTTCCTGCACCGACGCAAGGTGCGGTTCAAGGCGGATGAGCCTAAGGCGTGTCGTTCTTGCGTGCGGCCAAGAATGTCGTGAGGGCCATACCAAAGAACAGTGTACCAAGATTGTGGCGAGAGCCGGGCGCTGGGTGGTGAATTCGCAGCTGGCACGTTGGGAGCATTAGGATATGGCAACGCAACGGATGAGATTTTGATCTCATTTCGCCGTGCCGCATTTGGGATCCTCCAGAAGATGAACCTTACCTGCCAGGCTGCTATCTTTTGCTGTTCGGGATGAATGATCATGTCCTGACCGTGGTGCTCTGGCCATGGACATGTTGTGGTAGTGGTGTGGATGAGGTGGTCTGGAGTGTGGTGTCCTCGAGATCTGGACACGCTTGATTATTGATGAGTGAGTAAGGAGAAAGAGATATTTGGGCATAAAACGGAAATGCCTAGGAGCGATCAAGGCAGATTCGTGTCGCGAGGGCATTGCACTGGTTGTTTTCGCCGTGATGTGATGGGGGAGATCACACGATGATGAGGCCGTGAATGGAAACATGAGAGGGAAGGACAAAATGGAATGTTTTGTGTAGGAGGAACTTAGCGGGAAGCGGCGCAATTATTAGTCCGCTCCGCCAAAACGCCTACCACCAGCCAGATCGCCTTTCGCTACCTCACGCCCATACAGGGACTACATTCATCATGGGACCAGTCTGCAGCTAGATGGGTTGCGCCATCGTGGGTGAAATTGACCGCCACGCCACCTGCTCCTCATGTCACCTGGCAGGAGTAGAGTATGCTGTATGGAACTTTTCAAAAAACTCATGTGGTTCTATATGGCACATGTCTTAGCAACATCCTGGAACTCATTCGCCGCACCAGCTACTGTATCGATCTGGAAACAGCACAAGATTTGCACGCTTATAGCTCATCGTGACCACTGGGCTCATCATCGCCATAGTCAGGCATGCCCCCGGCACCGCCGCTCTCTCCGTACAACTTGGATGTGATCGGGTACGCGACATCAGAAAGCTTCTGCTTCTGCTCGTCGAAGTCCTCGGCATCCGCCGTCTGTCCGTTCTCCTCGAGCCAGTCGGTGGCCTCCTTGATCGCCTCCATAAGCGCTTCCTTGTCATCCTCATCGATCTTTCCGCCAAGCCCTTCGTCATCGTTGACCTGGTTCTTGAGGCTGAATGCGTAGTTCTCAAGCCCGTTGCGGGCTTCAACCTTCGCGCGTGTGGCCTTGTCTTCCTCGGCGTACTTCTCGGCCTCCTCAACCATGCGCTCAATTTCCTCGGTGCTGAGACGGCCCTTGTCGTTGGTGATGGTAATCGACTCCGACTTTCCGCTGCCCTTATCGCCAGCAGACACACGCAGGATTCCATTGGCATCGAGCTCGAAGGTGACCTCAATCTGAGGCTGTCCACGAGGAGCGGGAGGAATGCCAGAGAGATCGAACTTTCCGAGTTGGTTGCTGTTTGAGAGAAGTGTTAGCATGAGTTATTGCTAGTGATGGTCTTACCCTGCTGGAGTTGAGAACATCTAGTGCCCCTCGACACTGCTTATGGCGAAGAGGAGGAGAGGGGAATGGAAAAACATACTATCAAACAGTTAGCTTTTGATCGAACATTCAATGGTTTCGCATGATTACTGACCTTGTCCTTTGTCATAGAACGTTCGCCTTCGAACACCTGGATCAAAACAGTCGCCTGGTTGTCCGCGGCAGTCGAGAAGATCTGACTCTTCTTCGTAGGAATCGTAGTACCACGCTTGATCAAGTGGGTCATAACGCCACCAGTGGTCTCGATACCAAGAGTGAGTGGGTTCACATCCATGAGGACGACGTCACTTGCAGCAGCCTCTCCGGAGAGAACACCACCTTGAACAGCGGCACCGTAAGCAACAGCTTCATCAGGGTTGATACCCTTGCTGGCCTTCTTGCCAAAGTACTCTTCAAGCATGGCCTGAACCTTAGGAATACGGGTAGAACCACCGACGAGCACGATGTCGTCAATGTCGCTCTTCTTCATCTTGGCGTCCTTGAGAACCTGTTCCACTGGCTTGAGAGTCTTCTTGAAGAGGTCGTTGTTCAGCTCCTCGAACTTGGCCCGGGTGAGGGTCTCCGAGAAATCAGCACCGTCGTGGAAGGCTTCAATTTCGATCTTGGTGCTCATTTGGCTGGACAGAGCACGCTTGGCCTTCTCGACCTCACGCTTCAGTTTACCCATGGTCTTGGCGTTCTTGGTGATGTCGGTGTCATGCTTCTTGTTGTAGCTCTTGGTGAAGTAGTCAACGATGCGCTGATCGAAATCCTCACCACCAAGGTGAGTGTCTCCGGCAGTTGCCTGCACCTCGAAGACACCCTGGTCGACAGTCAAGATGGAGACATCGAAGGTACCTCCTCCAAGATCGTAGACGATGATCTGGCGCTCCTTGTCGGTCTTGTCGAGTCCGTAGGCCAAGGCGGCTGCGGTGGGTTCGTTGACGACACGGAGGACATTGAGACCAGCGATGGTGCCGGCATCTTTCGTAGCGGCACGTTGAGCGTCGTTGAAGTAGGCTGGGACGGTGACGACGGCGTTGGTGACGGTCTCACCCAAGTATGATTCGGCGACTTCCTTCATCTTGCCGAGAATCATGGACGAGATTTCTTCAGGAGTGAAGGTCTTCTCATCACTGTCGTAACAAAGTCAGCATTCTCTCCGCCTCGAATATCCGTGTGCACATGTTGCCTTACCCCTTGACATCAACCTTGACACGGGGCTGACCACCCTTGTTGATGACCTTGTATGGAAAGTGCTTCATATCCTTCTGAACGTCTTTGTCGTCAAACTTGCGACCAATAAGACGCTTGATGTCGTAGACGGTTCTGTGTGGGTTCGCCGCGAACTGGTTCTTTGCGGCATCTCCGACAAGACGCTCATCGTCGTTCCAAGCCACCCATGAAGGCGTTATTCGGTTACCTTGGTCGTTGACCAGAATTTCGACGTTGCCACCCTTCATGATACCCACACAAGAGTATGTTGTCCCCAGATCGATACCGATGACTATGTGCAGATGATGTTAGCTTCACATTGCTTGCCAGATCCAATGATGGGATCCAATGGCTACAGGAAGAGCAGCTGTTGGATCATGGAGCGCGCACGTCGGGCATGCCGCCCTTGAGCTCTCGATTATATGGGGCAGCTTACCAGGACCCGACACCCCCGTGTCCGCCTTCTCGGTGTCTTGTGCGTGTGCTGAAGGAATCATGCCCATGAAGAGCATAGGCGCCAGGAAAATGGCGCAAATGTAGAAGGCCGTCATCCAGGACGACACTGATGCCCTCGCGGGACTGCTCTTGTGTCCAGAGTACCGCGCCATCTTAGCGAAGAGGCTGGTGGGTGGGTGTGTGGAGGGAGGTGATGTGAAGGTGTGCTCTGGGCGAAAATAATGTCTGGGTCAAAGCTCTGGTGGGATCGAAGCTGCCGTAGCCGTGGTTCAATGACCCGTGGACGGGCGAGACTCGATGATGGGTGTGGCAAGAGGAGGGAGGGAGAGGGAGAAAGAGGGCGGGAGGGAGGGAGAAAAGGTAGTGGATGAGAAGAGAGAAGGGAAAAGTGCAGTGGTGCGGGAAGGACAATAAATGATTTGCGTCTACTCGAGCAGAAGAAGCCACGTTCATGTTCGAGGACCCTCCGGACAGCTTTCGGTTTCCCCACCCCCCTGTCGGATCCACATATGGAACACCTTCGAACCATATCACATTCTCACTTTGGACTACTCTCACACTCACACTCGCCTCTTTGCCACCTGTCACCTTCGTAGACACTGCTTCCTTCCAAGCGAGGACATAGCGGTGCTAGCACAAGCAGGCACAATGTAGTCACCCTCCATACAGGTACTCACCACGTGGCCTCATTGTTCATGTGCGTATCGTGTCATACCTCACTTCTACTTTTCCGCTAGACCAATGTGCACTCAGCTCGCGTCGCAGGACAGTATCGATCTCGGTATTCCATCATCACCCATAAAGTATGGAGCATAAGAACCAAACGCAGTATAATAGATACGAGCACTGGGCAGGCTGTAAATGCCAAGCGGAGACTACTCCGCCGGAAATGTCTTTTCTTTTCCAACATCAAAGTCATCAATCACAGGTACCTAGGTACCCAACAACCTAATTCTGTGCCATTGAGCAACACGCCTCCTCTCCCGTCTAGGCTTGAACTTGCCCAGCTTCTTGTAGAAGAGACTCTCCAAGCCGCTTCTTCTGCACAGTAGGGGGATTTCAGAATGGGAACTCGGAGTGTCTACGGATTTGGCCTCGGCTTCATGCTAGGTTTGGAGCTCCTTAAGAACTACATGTATCGAGGGAGGACAAAGACAAGAAAAGGCTTGTATTTCGCTTGACCTTTTTGTTGCTCATGAGCAGAATGTTGCTCTAATAATGGTATTCCCACCACCTCCCATCGCTCATTCTACACGCAGCCTGCTATTATCTCCAAACAAAGAGGACTCGAATATCTCGCAACTAGCTGACTGACTTTTTCACTTCGCATAGAGATCATAAAACTGTCTGGCCGCAAATTGCATCTGTCCCCCGTCAATATCGAACACCGCCAAGACATTTTTCATCCACGTGCCGCCCAAAATACTCAGGCCGCCTCCATTCGACTGAATCCCCGTCACACAGATATTGGTGTAAACCTCGACAATCAGATCTAATGCATTCACATAGAATATCTTCTTTCCCACCCCCACGCCAAACACGGGTGCCTTGGAATCGCAGGCCACGAACCATGAGCCTTGGATGTCATCGTAGTACGCTGGAGGATCGTATAGTGCGGCAGTGGCGACCATGACTTCGTCGGGAATGTAGGCCAGCGAAGTACCCGAGTCGATGATCGTGTCGGAGCCGTTGTATACCAGAGGCGTCTTGAAAGGATTCGGGTTATCGTATGAATTGAATTGGGTACTCCGATTGGCGGAATACGCGTAGCCGTCAATGTAAATGGTGTAAAACGTGTACACGGCTTGATCTTGGGCATTGACACTCAGCCCTGAGATGGGTGTAGTCGCAAAGTACGGCGAGTGTTGAATATCTGGGATGCCACCGAGCGCGAGCACCCCACCGACGGAGATGTTTCTGTCGATGGCCATGCTGAAGACCGCCGGGATGATTTGTTGCTCGTACATGTTCACAAACAAGGGATTGTAATATGCGTTCGTATTGGAGCCTGCATATGCGGATGTGAGAGCGCGTCCGGCGAAACCGATGAGCCCTGTAGAGACATAGTCGCCATACCAGGCGGCAATGTCGACAGTACCGAACTGTTGTCGCGGCACGGTGATGCCCGCCATGCTGAATGACTCGATGCCTACACCTCCATTCAGATACTCTCCGTCGGCGTAGCTGATGTTGAAGCTTTGGTTGGGGACTGCCGTGTATGTCGTAGATTGACTCGGGTCGTATGCACCCGCGAAACCACACTCGGACTGAGGCAACAGCCGGTCGTCGTACGGATCGTAACATTGGTAGCCTATCCGGGCGAGCCAGGGATCGCTACTACCGGTGTCAATGACCACCGAATAGCGCTTGCCGCCGACCGTGACATTTGCGAGGAACACTTGACCACCGCTGGCCGAGATCAAGGGCGTGGTGGCATTCTGCATGGTGTCCCAAGTCAGCCTTGTCCTCGCATATCCCGCGACATGGCAAGAGCAATATCAACATGGCAACAGCAATAACAACATACCGTAGCTCGAGCTATTCCAGCCTCACCTCTCATGGCCTGAACGTACACGGAACTGAGCGACGTCGCATACTTCTGTGTCAAGCCCACCACGTTGGACGTGACCTTCAATTCGCTGCTTTTACTGGTTGCCTTGGATCTGATTGCGGGAATCCTGTTCACCGTAAATTTGTCGTTGATCGCGCTGGGGTGAAGTCCATTGAGCCGCAATGCTGTAGCTGCACACGTCCAGAGCAGCGTCAGTAGGACCATCGCAATCGTGTTGTTCTACTTGCCTCGCCCGCCTTCAGCCCAAGCAGATCAAGGAAGCAAAGATATATCGTTCGTGGCAGATCGAAACTGTGGCACTCAGCATCGGCGCGTGGGAGTCTTCAGTGTTGTCGTATTGTACATCGCTCGGGTTGCAGCTTCTCGAGAGGTCTGTGAGTTTGACGGGCGTGCACCTGAAGGCTAGAATCAGTTGTTGTCCGTCGTACAGGTCAAGCCTTGCATACCTCTCCCAGTAGGGCGGTTCGGAATGTCAGTAGATTGCAGGTATGCATTTACGAGGGAGAAGTGGAAGGCAGCTTATGCTGTACGTAGTGAGTTCAGCATTGATCTCATTACCATCCTGCTTAGGACTGGTTGTGTTCATAATCTAACACACGAGTGCGACTGTGCACCAACTCGCTTGAACGTAGGGGAACATGCTCAGGACCCTCCTGCAGTGAACCCCCGGAAGCTGTCCGTAGACCAGCCTTTGCGCCCATACGCCATCCATCCCAGACGCCATACGATGCAATGAAAGCATGTATTGTTACATCTTACACGGAAGAGTGTAAGCACGAATCGACGCGACACTATCTACCACAGAGTGTAGCCACCGTCGATGAGGCAGTTGCTGCCGGTCATGAAGGCAGAGCCGTCCGAAGCCAGGTACACAGCCAGGTTGTTGAGATCGTCAACAGAACCGAGGCGCTTCTGCGGCGTGTGGTCGATCCAGATGCGCTTCTGGGCCTCGAGGGCAGGAACACGGTTGAGGGCCGTGTCCATGTAGCCAGGAGAGATCGCGTTAACGCGAATGTTGTAGCGGGCCCACTCGGCAGCCAGAGACTTCGTCATCTGCACCACAGCTGCCTTGGACGCATTGTAACAAGATTGCTCTTGCGGGTAGTTGACAACGCTACCAGACATGGAAGCGATGTTGATGATGCTGCCACCAGTGCCGAGACGGATCATCTCACGGGCAACAGCTTGGGTGGACACGAAGGTGCCGTTGACGTTGATTTCAATGAGACGACGCCACTTCTCAATCTCGTAGAACTCGGCCTTGATATTGGAGCTGTGAGATATTAGCTTCTGGTGCAGTGAGGATGGAGTCTTGAAACTCACTCAGCAATGCCGGCTGCGTTTATCAATATGTCGAGACTGCCGTAGTGATCGGCCATGTCACGAACTGTCTGGCCCACGGCCTCGGCGTCGCGAACATCGACCTGGTAAAAGCGGACGTCGATGCCCGTCTGCTCACTAAGCTCGCGGGCGGCGGCGTCACCGAGCTCGGGCTGGACATCCATGATGGCAAGACCACGGACACCAACCTCTGCGAGGGCCTGAGCCATGTTGAATCCCAGACCACGAGCTCCACTACAAAATGTCAGCTTCAAATTCTAAAGTGGGGAAGGAGATGTGACTCACCCGGTCACGACGGCGACCTTGCCCTCGAGAGTGAATTTCTTGAGCGTGGGAGTGAGGTTCTTGGCGATCTCGGGCTTGAGTGGAATGGCCACCTTCACATCGTCGGCACCTGGCGGGTTGACTGGACCGCTGGCACCAGCCTCAAACTGGACAGTGGACTGCTGACGCTCGCCCTTGCTGTAAGAGACGACTGGCACCTCAGGGTCGAAAACCTTGGCCGATGAGTTGAATGAAGCACGTGCAATGGATGGTCCGAGGACTTGAGAGAGAAACTGTGGGCGAGCGGCACGACGGCTGGCAGCTCTGCGAGCGGCGCGGCTCATCATGGCGGCGACGGGTTGAGCCATGATGGGGCTTGGGAACAGGTGGATGTGCTTGTGCTGTGTGATGTGTGCGAAGGCTTGTGTTCTTAGTGATGAAGGATGGGAGTGGGAGTGGTGCTGATGAGCGGAAGGGAGAGAGGAAGGAGTTTGGAGGTTGATGTAGAAGAGAGGAATTTCTTGGAGGGGAGACGGGCTTTTAAAGAAAGTGCGAAGGCAGCAAGTGAGGCAGCAAGTGAAGCAGGCAGGAAGCAAGCACGCGCGACCGTTTGGAACCCAAAGAAGGAGGAGCGGCGCGTCCGAGAGCACGGAGGAATCAACAGAACCGTCGCCAACACCTCACAATGACCTCGCTGAGACTCAACGCGTCTTCAGGGTGCGAAGGCCTCTGCTTATGATAGTTGGAGACCACGACGGCCTCGAGGCTGCTGTCCAAACACATGTCGCGCGCCACGACGATGCCGCGAAATATAAGTGGGTTCGCCGTCAATGCGGCGCCTCTAGACCCACTACGAGGACCCCTTTTTTTATTGCTTGTTTAGCAGCGCGACTAGGAGGGCGAAGGGGAGCGACGTGCTGCCGAGACACTGGTGCAGCTTACGATGGAGCTTCGCAGACAGCGCGGGCTCGTCATGGTCGGTGGGAACCCTGGTTCGAGGTTGGCGTCGGCGGAGGGCTCTCTGTGCCTGCTGCAGGATAGCGTGCGTGCCTAACGGTCGCCCCGACAGCGACCGGTTGCGCCAGACAGAGAGGAAAGCGCGCGACGGTAGAGCAAAAGGTGAAGTCGCCCCGGTCCATCCACACACACACGTGAAAAGCTTCCTATCGCGCAGATCCTTTTAAAGTTGGCGGCTGAATCCTGACAGAGATTTCGGCTTCTCTCCCCTGGCCCTGGCCCTGGTGTGGCGGATGATCTTCATGCAGATGAGAACTGCCACGGCACGCCAGGACCCCCACGCCTGCAGGCGGCGGCATCATCGTGCTGCGTGCGTCTTCACGACTCGGCGGGAAGAAAACTTCCCGAGTCCTCATCACAGTCCTCAGTACTGACTGACCTTCCCCTTCCACCCCGTGCAACAAATCAGCGGCCGCAGTTGGACGGACCGCGCCTAGTCGCAGTCCTCCGACGGGGCGGACGGGCGACGACGTTGCACATTGGTGCGACCGTGGTCCATCTGTCAGCCTTAACGGCAGAACTGACACCGAACCGACGAACACCGACTAGCCTTCCAGTCATTCACTTGCCCGGCATTCGTGGCAGATCTGGTGTCGCCCATCACACTCGAAGGACCGATCTCGACGCGGACAACATGGCCTCGTCGGCTCTTCAACCAGAATGCTCGTTGCCACCGTGCGGCCCAGACTTCTAGTCATGTGGGAGTCTGGGAGAGCACTGACAGTCTGTTTCGGGGAAATGAATCCAGCACGGAGGCCCGGCGCAATTTTTAAAGACAGAAAAAAAAAGAAATAAACGTCGGACACGTTCTTCCTGGACAGGATCTGGTTGCAGCATGTCTGCATCTTAATAATAACAAACTTTGCGACCAGGAGCGTTCCGCGTGCCTAGCCTGGGCCACACAGCATCCTAGACGGGGCGCACCACATGCGAGAGCCGTGCCACGATGCAGTGCCGTTGCACACACGATAAACCCGCCGATAGTAGACGACTACGGAGCTGGCTACCTCCTACCATCTTGTCGTCCTTTTCCCCAGACTGGTCGGTATCCGTGGAGTCGTGGACTACTAATACATGATTTGCATTCGTCCCGAGACTCCGGCTTGGCCTGGATGGAGGGTTTTAGTGGTACAGAGTGTTACACAGTTTGCGAGAAGCTTGCATTCTGCCAATCTGAACGAAACATGCTGGCTGATAAGGAAGCGCAGACACAGCAAAACGGATAGATCTGGAAGTTCCGCAATGCCAATGAGGAGTGCCGGCAATGCCTCCCAGAAGGATTCTATTCGTCGCCAAGCATATATGGAAATCTTTTGCTGAGCGCTGAGCCGTTTGATGCATCCCACTTTTGGCTCTCGAACCGATATGCTGGTCTCGAGTGCTAACCAAGGCTATGGTGTTCCACTTCTATTTCCTACCAAATCGAGCGCAGGCCGAGTGAATCCGCTCGAAGTATCTTGGTCAGTGTCCAGACGTGGAAGTGGTTACTCGGATTTACTCCCTTCTGAAAAGAGCAGTCGTTTTGGGACCTATGAGCTCTGCTCACAGCTCCTGGTTCATGATATGGCAGATTTGACAGATCATGGTGGGACGCCGACTCCAGCCCAAGGAGGAAGGCGACGTTCCACATTGGTGGCCCAGAACACATGACGGACTGCTTGCAGGCCATGTAGTGCAGAAAGCCAGTCTCTTTCGCCTCTGCTGTACGTGCAAGAGCCCGGCAAAGTAGCCCTGCTGAGAGCCCTGCTCATCTTCATGCCCTTTGGGTCAAGCAAATCTTCGAAAGAGTATAGTACGCCCTAGTGCTATAATGTTTCTGACAGAGAAGTATACAATCCAGACAACCTCCTGGTCAAGCGAAAACGCCGGCAAGTCTCCGATATGGACAGTCGAGAAGGGCTTACGCCTGGGCCTTCGTTGGCCATACCTTGCGCTGGCAGGTTGTTCGTCCAAGCATAAGAGCAACGCCGTAGACTCTGATGCATAGCTGCGGCCATATTGACCACACGCATTGTTCCGGTCCTGAACTGGTGCTGCATACGCTGTCCATATCCCACGCTTTTGCATATGTGTGTCTCTGGAAGTCGAACATCTCCCGGTCCTCTTTCCTCCCACGCCCTGGCCGCTCTTGCTCTTTCAATATGGGGAGTCCTGTTCTCGTGGCGGTCGGTCTGAATGCGGGAGAGCTTGGGAGTGATGTTCTCCGGGACGGGCGATGGAGAAGAGTGCCGTGGTCTCGCCTTTTTCACTTCGCTGAGCTGCAGTTTGTGAGCAGACGAAGGACTTCTTTCACGGCGTGGTGCTGTCATGATTGTTGGCCATGCAGAGCTTCACATGATCACTGGCAGCTTGTCACGACAAATAGTGGTTGGTTTGCTGGGCGGGAGAGCACAAGGTAGGCAGTGTTCGACTGTGTTTCTTTATCTGCATATGTCCGCTTCCGCCAGCTAGACCTCGCTTCTTGTCTAGGTAGGTGCTTCTCCTTATGCGGCGGCCCACCTGATTCTAGGACAGCCGCATCAACAAGAACAACAACAAGAACAGACACCACTTCAGCTGCCCGGGTCATTGCACAATTCTACAACCAAAGACCAGAGACTCCAGCCATGCTCGGAGATCTACCAGGGCGCAGTCGGTGGGGGCCAAGAGCACCAAAAGGCACTCTCTAGTCTCTACAGCCGATATCTCGCTCTTCCCCCACACCACGATTCTCCCTACCTACCCACGCATTCGATTCTCTACAGACGACGCCGAGCAGCAGCAGGTGGGGCCTGCGCTAGATCACAAGCTTTAGGTATTACTAGTATGTCCCGGAGAGCGAAAGAAAAGAGAAAAGACGCGATATGAATAATAGCGCCAGTTCCCTCAATGATCCCTGCTAGGAGCGGAGGTCTTTCCACGGCAGCACCGGGAGTTGTACCCTTTGCACACAAAATCGTGTCTAACCTTGCCTTTGCTATTACAAGTAGGAGATTGATAGAGAGTACGAAGTTGCCGTCTTGTAGACGAAGAGGTGGGGAGGGGAGCACTACGGTATATACCTTAGGTACCTGTACCTGAACTAACTATTGGCTGGGGGAGCAGCAATAGGGGTGGAATTGGGGTGGGGGAGAGCGTATGCTTGGCTTGGGAACTACATGTACCTCCTACATGGTACATGTAGGTATTAAAGGTGCTAAAGTGCATATCCATTATGCACTTCGGAAGACCCTGCCTGTAAGCTTTTCAGAGATAAATAGGTTCATTCATACATGTACAATCCACTTCCAATCTGAGAGCCGTGCTATGTGAGACACGGTCACCATCATATGATGTCAACAGGGCGTCGCATGAGTCAAGGAATGTTGAAACACTACAGGTATGCTGATGAAACGTTTTATGTACTTGACTTCAACTGTACGAGAGTATATCGATGTTCATCGATCAGCTCATCAACAGAAGTTGGAAGCCTTACCTTCGTACGCTATAGAATTTCTCGGCTCGGCTGGAGACACTGTCCATGCCACAAAACTGCAACTCTGCAACTCGCTCCCAAAGGTTGTCATTCCAGGAGAATCACACTTCTCGTTGTCCCACGCTTCCTCAACGACTGAGCTGGCTCACAGAATGATACGATTGCCTTGAACACGATTTGTCTGTCATCATCGTCAGGATCTCCCCCTCGCTCGGGCAGCAGAGCCAGCGTAGCCTCTGCTACAAATTCCAGATTGATTCCAGCATCGCAGCTGATTTTCGCGCAAGGAGCAGGTGTCTGCGAGTCATCGGGATCGTTATCATCATTGTCGCTATCAGAACCGGTCGAAGAACCCATTGAAGACGCATCACTTCCGTCTGGATCGATCATGTATGCTTGAATTCCCAGTAATGGTGGCTGCATGATGTGCAGTTCGTCATACTTCACTTTCAATGCCTGAGCTGTTCTCACACCTTCTGGTGCGCCAGCACTGTAGACACTCGGCGTGACGCTCATGCTTCTCATTCGAGAGAGTGCTAGAGCCATAGAATCTCTTCTGGTTCTGCGGCTGCAAGCCCAGGGAACGATCTCTCGGGCAGCTCTGGCATTCATCGTGATCTCAATCCATTGGCCCTTATCGACGGGGTCACCTTTCTGGATGCTCAGTCCAGGAATCTCGTAATCAAGAAGCATGTAGTTGGCCGGAGGTCGCAGCCATTGGGGTCGCAAGAATAAACACATGCGTAGTTGCGGAGTGTCTGTGACAGCACGTGCCCAGGTTTTGTTGACACGCCGCGAGATCAAGATATCGCTCGTGTCGAGAAAGGTAAGAACAAGAGCAAGAAGTTCTGGAGTACCAAATACTTTGAGTGCTGAGCATGATGGTGAAGTACACTGATGTTGGCGCCAGGGTGTCAACTCTGAGGTCGACGAACTTTCTGCAATCGAAGAGAGGGCATCCGATGTCAGGCTGAGCTCGTCTAATAGCTGCGCCAAGTTCGAGCCGACGCTGAACGTATCTGCTGGGACATTGTTGGCGATTGACATCAAAGCCGTCGATATTGTCTCCGAGCTCCTGTATTCTGCTGGAAGTTCCATAGTGAAGATGTAGATGAACGAGAGGCAGCCGGGCCTCTGATAGCCTAGATAATGTCGAGAATCCGATGGATTCAGCGTTGATGTTCCCTGGTGGAACAGAAAGTTTGTGGGTTCAGTTGTTTAACAATCAATAGAATATGTTGGAGTTGGGAGGCACGCCATGACCTTTGAGCGATCCGGTGCGGGCCGTGCCTTTGCTTGCGCCCCTCGTTCAAAACACAAGAACGAGACACACCAATTGTAGGTATTTCCTACGACAAAATGTGAACCACCGTCTCAGCACTTCTACGATGCCTTTGCTGCATACTTCACAAGATGGGCACGACAATTATGCTGCTGATGACACGTGAATATAGCGTGCACGGCGGTGCTAATGGTCCTACAGTAGATTGCAAGGGTGTCGTGGTCAGCGTCCCAGCCACCGCAGCCACCGCAGCCTCCCCTCCCTCGCACTTTCCTCCCAGCCATCTCGATATGAGCAGGTCAAAGTAGAACCACTTCCAACAAGCGATGCATTCCTTTCTCCCACACTACACTCCACTTCACTCGAACAACTTTCAAGTCTCTCGCCGGCCGCCTCGCTGCAACACAACAACATCACCAGTCCCTACAACAAGCCACCGGACACAAAGACCTCCATCGATACATACCCTTCCAGCTTCAGAGCGCAACAACAACAACAACAACACCACGACGCCTGCACCACCACACTCTACTACTACCACAAGACCGTCATCATGAAGGGCAACATCACCATCTTCGTCATCATCATCGTGCTCTTCATCCTCTTAGCACTGATCGGATTCGGCATCTACTGGGCACAGACGAGTGTAAGCGGCGCTGGTTCAAGTGTGAGAGGAGGCTCGACGACGACTAGTGGAGACGAAGTGTAGTAGTCTCCGGCACTGGAACTAGAACGACCACTACAACAACAACAACGATATCAGTGTGAAGCATGGAACAAACTATACCTGTGCGAGATGAGGAAGACATGCACACTGTCACGATAGACACGATGCACATGGGAATGTACGGCAGCGAGCCAGGAAAATTTGCATAAGGATCATATTGGAGCATAGCGAGGCGTTTGGGAACGATAGCGGCGAGTCTGGATGGCAGCTGCATGGGCCTGTTGTATATTTGTATCATCTAACATAGGTAAGATACCCTTTGCGAAGGAAAGGTGGAGAGGAAGAACGTCAAATGGAGCAGTGTCAAACTTTAATTGACCTCTACATCGATTTCATCCCTTCTTGAGCATCCAGTCCAACAGCTTGGCCTCGTCCTGAGTGACCAGAGCTTGAAGCCGCTCTCGTGTCATGAAGTCATGATCAGTGTATTCGAACCCAGGCACCACAGTCTCACTGATCAGCAATCCCTCACTCCCACCCTCCTCATCATCCGGCAAAAGAAAACTAGTCTTATACTTGCCTCCCTCCACGATCCTAGAAGAAAAGAAAAGAAAAAGTCAGAGTCAACACAAATGTACACATATCTCATCGACCATTCCACCACTCACCACTGCAACTTCTCTCCCTTCACAACATCCTGTCCAACAGTAAACACTTCGATCCTCGCCTTCTTGACCCAGCGTTTCTCCTCAGAAAACCCACCAACACCCTCATCACCTCCGTATCCACCCACACACTCCTCAGAAGCGACCTCATCCGCATGAATGATCGCATACCTTCCACGACCTCGGTGAAGCGTATGGATGATTCGAGCTTTATTGCGGTGCCAAGTTCCCAAGGGAGAGGAAGGTGTCAGGAGGTAGTGAATTGTCGTGCTGGCATTTCGAGTCGAGTCTGCTTGAGAAGAAGGAGAAGAGGATTTCGGGAGGGGGTTGGGGATGATGAGAGGGTCTCGGTCGGTTTCCTGTTCCATCGCATGTTTTATTAGAATATTCGTTTTGAGATGATGGCGTGCTTGTTACTGAAGCATTGCTGGAGGCTTGCTTACCACGAAATAGCCTCCTTCGGGGTGTGAGATCAGTCCGAGGGCTTTGATCGTGGCCTGGAGGTGTGGTGGGTCTTTGTGGGCGTCGTTCGAAGAGAAGTATGGCTTGAGGAGATCTCGGTCTTGGGGAACTGCGTTGACGGCCATGACGAGGATGTGTCAAGAGTTGAGGTTTGATGTGAAAATGGATGTGTCCAAGTGCTGAAAAAGACGTGAGAGCTGAGGCAGTGGTGTTGGTGGCGCCTTCCGGGACATGCAATCTGCTGACTGACCCTGTTACACCCTTATCGGCAACTCCTCATCTATATATAAAACTTCAGAGGGGTTCTTGAGGCTGTCTGAATGACCGGGTATATATATCTCTCTCCTCTCTCTCTCCACTACATCCTATTGTGTTGAACTTTTCCTTTATTGCTCACTCGAGTAAATAAGTGCATCTTATCCTTCAATCCAGCACTACCACACCAACTTCAAACATTCCACTCGTACTCAACAGATCCTTCTTCACAGCCTCGTCGATGGCACGATCAACACCAAGTATCATCAATGCCTCGTTCTCTTTGCCCTGCGGATCTGCCCCCTCGACGTCACCAGCGTTAAACGGCTTCTCGTCATCGATTGGAGCAACACTCATAAACTTAATGTTGACTCCAGCTTGACCTAGTTTCATACCCACTGTCCCAATCTTGCCAGGAGAGTCATAGTTCCTGCAGATCAGAAGCGTACCTCGAGGCACAAATTGAGTGCTGAACCGTCCAAGGCGGGAAATACATGGAGAATTATTCGACACGAAACCGGAAATAACTTGATCTTCGAGCTTCTTGACACGACCCGTGGTAGAAGATGTACGTTCAATCCCAGGACGAGTCCTACTGGAAGAAGGGGACCTGGGATCATGGCGAGCACGCCTAGAAAGTAGGAGGTCGAGTGATCAGCAAACATTCATGGAACTCCAGACGAGGTTCCAGGAGATTTTCTCCAGGCTCATTAGAGCTCAGTAAGACACCGAGAAAAGCGCATGTCTTCCCGGCTTCTCGATGATATTTCACTTACAGTGTAACGGAGGCGGAGTAGCCCTCTCCCTCGTCTTTTTCTCTCGCCCGGTACTCGCTCACTATGATACCGCGCTCCTTGGCGACCAGCTCGGCATTGACAATGTTTATATTTGTGTTTTCGGCGCTTGTGATAGGTTGGAGGAGACCTTTGATGAGCGCGGCAAAGAGGGGCTTGGTTGTGTTTGTGTTGGCCAGAGTGCCAGAGTATTCTAGATCGAATGTTGTGCGAAGGCGTTGAGCAGTATTCGAGGGTCCAAAGTGTTGCATGTAAAGGCTGCCCATCTTTTCCATGAGAGCCACAAAGGGTGCGAGCGTGCGAAATTCGTCCGCCAGAATGATGGGAGCATTCACTGCGCTGCGTGGAAGTTGTCCTGCTAGGATGCTGATGCACTGCTCACAGACGTCGATGGATACGTTCTCCTGAGCTTCGACAGTGGAGGCACCTAAATGTGGCGTGGCGACTACCTTTGCATGGTTGATGAGCTTCGAAGCTGTGTCGCCTTCCTTGGGCGGCTCCGAGGTGAATACATCGATCCCAGCGCCGGCAATGACTCCAGTCTCCAGTGCTTCTAAAAGGGCCGCCTCATCGATGATCCCGCCTCGAGCTACGTTCAGCACGCGTGCAGTCTTTTTCATTTTTGATAGTTCCTTCAGACCTATCATGCCTTTGGTGGAGGCAATCATTGGCAAATGGATAGTGAGTACATCGGCCTGTTCCAGCAGTTCATCGAGCGAGTCTACAAGTTCGACGTTCGCAGCAGCCGCAGCAGTCAGATTAGCATACGGGTCATACGACACCAGATTCATGCCCAGCCCACCAGCAGCACGGGCTACAGTCAACCCAACCTTTCCAAGTCCAACCACACCCAGGGTCTTGCCCTTTACCTCGATGCCAACCAGCTTACTACGCTCCCATTTGCCAGATTTAATACTGACAGACGCGGCCCCAATGTTGCGAGCTACTGCCATCAACAGAGCAATTGTATGCTCGGCCGCGGCATTGATATTGCCTTGCGGACTGTTCACAACAATAATACCGAGCTTGGTGGCTGCGTCTAGATCGACGTTGTCGACTCCCACTGGTTTGCCATGTTATTGGATGATCAGTAGCATTAAGCTGTAAAACACACCTCCTGCTCTTGCTACCACACGTCTGAATGAGTCGAGGATAGGTCAGCAGCTATCTCACGTGTCTGGCGATAGTTGTATATTCGTACAGCTTCTTTCCGGCAGCAAGGAGAGACGCAGTGACCTTGGTCTCCGAACGAATGATAAGAGCATCATACTCTGGTATGATCGCTTCGAGTTCATCTGGGCTCAGACCATTCTTTTCGTGCACCTCAAGGGAAGCCTGGAGCAGTTTGAGGCCGTCTGGGGATACTTTCTCCGGGATGAGCACCTTTTGGGTAGGTCCACTCATGGCTTTTGTTGTTGCTTGTTGCTGAAGCTGGGCGCTGATCAAGGAAAGAATTGAGAACACTGTTTACCAACGGAGAGGAGCAAGAAGCCTGCTTTATGTGCATTTTTCTAGTGTCATGGATGGGTAGTGCAATCGGATCATTGGCAAGCGATGCCGGCAACCATAGAAGTCGTCCTCAAACTCAAAAGTCCAATGGAGAGCTCACCCCACATCGTGATACACCCTCTACCAAACCCCGCTGGAGGCAGCGCAGATTTGACGTGCGGCACCGTCGGCATGTTTGCATAGGTTAGTCCAGCAATCACCTTGCCCTTGCGAGACCCGCCAACGCAGGATAAATTTCTCAGCCAAGTCCACGCTCAGCTACATGTAAGATCGTCATCAGAACTTCAGAAGACGGTTGAGCCTTGCGGCATTCGGAATTCTGTCGTCTCGAAGTCGCCGAGGACAACGTCCGCCAACGCATCCAGCTTCTTCCGCTGGAGCTTGAGGACGTTCGCCGCTCCTTTGCCCACACTCTCATCACGCACGGCGGTCGACGTGGCGTAAGAGCTTCCGTTTTTCTGGTTTGGGAGCAATCTGGTCCCATCTGCACATTCTGCTGTGATACTCTTTATAAACCCAGCGCGTCTTGGAGGTACGCCACCTTCCAAGACAAGTAAAAGCTGTGCCTGGATCTGCCGCATGATGATGTTGGAGTTCTCCGACTCAATTGTCAAAACATGCACAGAATTTCGCTCGCCGTCTTCTCGTTGCTCGCCTGGAACTTCTGCTTCATAGTCCCGTGCTGCATCCTGGTGTTGATGCTCCTGCCAGCAGATAGCTGCAATGGCAGCCTGTTTCCGTAGATCGTTGATATCCACGGGTTGACTGTACGCCAGCAAGGTCCCATTTGGTGTCATCAGATACCATCGCTTGCACAGCTTGTCACTGTTGCGCGACAGCAACTCGCTGATCGCCCTAGAATTGAGCATGCTGATAGAAAGGTAGGATGTGTCAGGCTGGTGCTCGTGGTTCACTCCATCCTTCGCCGCCCTCAGAAGGAAGTCGCTCGTGGGTTCTGTCTACTCCGTGATAGTTGGTTTTCGCGGAGACGTGTAGAGGATGTCGAGAAAGCACAGGTACCTGTTTCCTGTATGTTGGGACGCAAGTTGCAAGATTGGGCTGGATGGTAGAAGCAGCAACCCGACGGTTTTCCCGTGACGTGGAAAGCTAGAACTAAGGTAGGAGGTAGGGACTACTAGGTCTGAGTCGTGGGCAACCACATGAATTGCCAGCTTCACCACCACACCTGCTACTGAACAAACCCCCCAGCGCCTTTCACGCCCTTCACCCTCAATTTCGCTGCTGGCGGCGCTTGCTCTTCATTTCACTGTTGCTTCATCACACTCCCGCTCCGCTCCGCCCTTCACGCTCGCTCGCCGACACCCCGACGCGCTCTACTGATGGGGCATGTTCATGTCCATGGATGAGTATGAACAACACCACTGAATCGGCCACCCACTCGATCACCAGGTACGATCGCCTGCTTGCTTGCTTGCTCTCACCTGCGACTTGCCAGCGCTCCGTCGTCATCACAAAGCGCGGACTTCACTTCCGCCGACTTGCATACCTTCTGCTGCTGCCACTGCCGTGCTAAAGCAAGAACGACACAAGTCATCGACGACTGGAGGCTGCGGATTGCAGTTGCCCTCATCATCTACACCCCTTCCTCTACTTCCTCCTCCTCTTCCTCCTCCTCTCTCGCACCTGCATCATCGCCATTCTGACTCTCATGCCTCAAAGCCAGCGAGTGACGCGCTCCGCGACAGCGAGGCTGCACGCCGACCTCGACAGCATCGCCGCCGCCAACACCACTACCACCACCAATCCCGACTCCAGTACTACCGCCAATACTGCTAGTGCATCTCACAGCGATACCTCGTTAGCTGCTGCCATCGCCCAGCAGTCACCTTCCGCGGCTGCTCTCGATACGCCATCGACTCGTGCCACACCTGCGCCTCGCAAGCGAAAGGCCCCCGCCGACTCAACACCACCGATCGCTCGCGAGCAACGCAAGACTAAGCGTCCGCGCGGCAGCCAACACCCCGATACCACTGAGCCACTCACTGAGCCTGATACTGCACCAGCTGCAGCCGAGGCCGAGGCGGCACCAAAGCGAGGCAAGCGGGCGGTAGCCGCCGTTATGTCCAGTACTGGGTCTGCTGCACCACCACGGGCCAGCCATCGAGGCAGAGCTGACATGGACAGACCGAACTCTGGTTCATCCGCCGACACATCGCCGCAGCAAGTTCCGCGGGACTCGTCCCGCCGCAAGTCGAGCCGCCGTAAGTCTAAAGAAGGTGGGTCAGGCACTCCGACGAGCCTCCACCCACCTACTGATGCACGAACAGAATCGACTCCGACAGGATCCGCCGCTCCGAGCAGGAAGTCTAGAAAGGGTTCACGCAAAGATCAAGATGTGCTCATGAAGGATGTGGATGACAAGGCTGCAGAGCCATCACAGGGTCTAGAGCAAGATGAGCAATCACGGCTTGATGCTGATATGGGAGCCGATAGGGCTGATCATCAGTCTCATCCAGAGCGGGCTTTCAGTGCTCAGGACGCTCAGGACCAGCTCGATGCTCTGGATCGCGGCGAAGATCCTTTCGCCACCGGATATCTCTCACGCTTTGGTGGCCACTCCGGGTTGTCTAATAGCTTGAGGGCACTGAGTGGCATGGTCTCGAGCACCCACAATCGCTTACGGAATATATTGGAACAATTGCGCACAAAGGAAGATCCTTCGGTGCAGATGATAGCGTTGCAAGAGCTTTCGGAGCTTCTATTGATCTCCAATGAGGACAATCTCGCCGGACACTTTGCTCCAGACCAGTATGTGAAGGAGCTTGTCACCCTGATGCAACCAAACGACTTCACTGGCGAAGAGAATCCAGAAATCATGTTACTCGCTTGCAGATGCATCGCCAACATGATGGAGGCGTTGCCAGCATCCACAGCCAGCGTCGTCTATGGAGGCGCAGTACCTGTCCTGTGCCAAAAGCTGCTCGAGATCAACTTCATTGATCTTGCAGAGCAAGCTCTAAGTACGCTTGAGAAGATCTCCGTGGAGTTTCCGTCGTCCATCGTCCGCGAGGGTGGTTTGACTGCTTGTCTGACCTACCTCGATTTTTTCCCAACAAGCACGCAGCGGACAGCTGTCGTCACTGCCGCCAACTGTTGTCGCAACATTCCAGAAGAATCATTCCCAACTGTACGAGATGTGATGCCAATTCTGCTCAACACCCTGACGAGCAATGATCAACGAGTCGTTGAACAGGCCTCTTTGTGTGTCTCACGTGTGGTGGACAGCTTCAAATACCACGACAGCAAGCTTGAAGAGTTGGTCAGCGCCGACTTGCTGAAGGCTATCCTACGTCTCTTGCTCCCGGGCTCGACCAATATGATTGGACCGAGCATTCACACTCAATTCCTGCGCGTGTTGTCTACCACTGCACGTGTCAGCGCCAGACTCTCAGTAGAGCTACTGAAGATGGATGTGGTTGATACCCTATACCAGATTCTTACCGGCGTGTCACCTCCAGTGGGCATGGAAGGAGTTGCTACGAAGATCGACAAGAACATCATTATGCAAGCTATTATTCGCACCCCTCGCGAGCAGATATTCGAGACCCTGAACGTCATATGCGAGATCTTACCAACCGTCTCGCAAGAGAGCCTGATGTTCCTGGATGATTTACAAGACGCTGGCTATACAGGCCCCGAGAATGCCTCCATGTCGACACGCTCGAAGACTGTGCCAAATGACAAGCGTGTAGAGTTGCTCAAAGGATGTCCCAACGAGGTGAAGCGATTCGCTATCATCCTTTTCCCAACCTTAATGCATGCTTATACGAGCACGGTAAACCTTGCAGTGCGACAGAAGGTCCTAACTGCCCAACTCAAGATGCTCTCCAACCTGGATACAGTGATTTTGGAGGAAGCGCTTCGGGGTGTACCTTTCACCTCACATCTTGCCTCTATTTTCTCGCAACAGGATAACGCCTCTCTGGTTACGTTCGCTCTACAGGCTGCTGAACTTCTCCTCAAGCGGCTAGAGTCCGTTTACCGACCGCAGTTCTACCGCGAGGGGGTCATCGCAGAGATCGCGAAACTGGCAGAGCGCTCGCTGAAGACGCCTAGCAACGCTGATGTAACGTCGCACCCAACAGACGAAGTTCCAGCACCGGAGACTGAAGAGCCCGAGCATAACGAGCCCAGTCACGAGTTTGGTGCTGAACCTGAACCCATCGAAGGCGAAGTCGACGACGACGACGGCGAGGATGAGGACCGTGGTCAACCACCAGAGCCGAACGACGATGACGATGACGAGGATGAAGACGAAGAGGAGGAAGAGGCAGAGGAGACAGAGCGTCGCATCGCACGCGAACTGTCTCTGGACTCAATGCCGTCTCCTCGACCCCTGCAGCTTGTCGATCTCCAGGACGTGATTACGCTGCGAGCAAAACGCTTCATCGCGGCTCATGGTGAGGGAGGCAGTGATGAAATGCGTCTGAAAGCGACCCAAGTTCTTGATGACATCAAGCAACTAGCAGAGCAGTTGAAGTCTTGCTACACTACGCCAGTTAGAGGCAATGGACCTTCACTGTTTAAGCGACTGGCAACGTACTTCGATGGAGATGCACTGGAAAGCATCACAAGCTACGAGTTGATGACTTCCGGAGTCGTGGCGGTGCTGTTGAGCATGTTTAACAACCAAGACGAACAAGCCGCAGCTAATGCACGTGCCGACTTCCTCGAAGTCTTCATGGCAGAGAAGAACGGACGAGCTCTGCACGCAGATGTGGAGGCTCCTTCCACGCCATTCGGCGCCTTGGTTCACAAGTTACAAGAGCTACTGAGCCGGGCAGAGCATTTCGAAGTCATCACTGTCCACCACAACGCTTTCGAAAGCAACAAAGGCAGCGCAGCATCTATGCTGGCCAAACAACTTCGCTTGAAGTTGGTCGCCGACGAGGACTCTGGGATTCCTCGAGCTTACCGAAACATCATGGTATCCATCCATGCCATAGCCACGTTCAAGGCGCTTGATGAATACTTGCAGCCTCGCATCAGTATGTCTGAACGTCCCCGTGGAGCTCGGCGAAGCGACATGTCAAGTGCAATGGCTGCCTACGCTGCAGCCATGGCCAGTAGAGGGGATCGAGGTCTGCATCCTCTGCCAGCTCTTCCTGCTCTAGGCAGCTCGAGTTTACCTACTAGTAGTGCTGGCAAGAGAGCTACGAGAAAGGTCAAGACTGAGCCGGTTCCACTGTCGGAATCCAGCAAGGTCGAGGAAAGCGCTTCGAAGCTGCGCAGGTCTTCCAGGAGACAATCTGCACAGGCACCATCGGCATCTGCACCTGCCGCCGCAACTCCTGTTCCACCTCCAGAGCGACATTCACAAGAAGGCCTCGAATGTGCAGATGAAGCTCACATATCTGACGACGACGATGATGACGATGACGAGTTGGAAGCTGACTTGGACGCTCTTGTAGACGACCTTGAAGAAGGTGCACTCGAGCGCGACGAGCCAGACCCGTCTGCAGTCAGCCTCGAAGTGGCCAACTCTGGAAAGGTAACGGCTCGCACAGAGGATGGTGCTAGAGTCTCTACGCCATCCCAAGGTGCACCTACCCCAACTGGTTTTGATCGCATGTCCGCAGCTGCAAGACTGGCGGCAGCTCGCGAACTGCTGTCTGATCCGTCAGGATCCATGCGCGCCGCTCTGAACTACCCATCCGCCCCACAGACACCACGTCAGGACTGGCACATTGTCTTTACTGTCAATGGTCAGCCTATTGCTAGCGACACTACCATTTACAGAGCCTGCCACTTCAACCAAGTCCAAGGAGAAGATGTGTCTAGCCGGAACATTTGGTCCGCTATGCATACGATATCTTTCAAGAAGGTCCCAGGGCCAGCACCGAAGGATCGCGATGCAGAAACTCCTCCCTCTATCTCCGACGATAGATCGTCGTCGAATGATCTGCCACCCTCTTTGAGTGAGCACCCCGTGACCGCGGAAATCCTGCGCTTGATGAGCATACTTCATGAACTCAACGCACACATCGACGACGTGTTGCCCGAGAGCAAAGCAGCGTTCAAGGTCGCCGCTCAGCCCGTGTCTCTATTCGTCAACGCAAAGCTGACCGCAAAGCTCAACCGTCAACTCGAAGAACCGCTGATTGTGGCAAGCCAGTGTTTGCCCAGCTGGAGTGAAGACCTTGCGCGTCTGTATCCATTCTTGTTCCCGTTCGAGACCCGCCACCTATTCGTGCAGTCGACATCTTTCGGGTACTCTCGACTCATGTCCCGCTGGCAGACTGGCCAGGAGAATGAGTCCGCACGTCATCGAGATGAGCGTCCTTTCCTGGGCAGAATACAGCGTCAGAAGGTGCGGATCTCGCGTAGCCGCATTCTCGAGTCCGCAATCAAGGTAATGGAGCTATACGGTAGCTCCTCTAGCGTGTTAGAAGTTGAGTACTTTGAGGAGGTGGGCACTGGTCTTGGGCCTACTCTTGAGTTCTACTCTACAGTGTCCAAGGAGTTTTCCAAAAAGAAGACGAAGCTATGGCGTGAGAACGAGTCGGCCGATGGCGACGAGTTCGCTTTCGGCAAGCGTGGACTGTTCCCGGCACCGATGAGCGAGGAGACCGCGCGCAACGAGAATGGCCAGCGCGTGCTGCATCTGTTCAAGATGCTCGGCAAGTTTGTGGCGCGTTCCATGCTGGACTCACGCATCATCGATGTGTCCTTCAACCCGACCTTTTTCCGCATTGGCGATGCTTCGACTACTGTTACACCGTCACTTGGTGCTGTAGCAGCTGTTGACGCAGACCTTGCCAAATCTCTCAAGATGTTGCGCCAATTTGTCACGGCGAAGCAACGCATCGACGACAATCCGAACCTCACGCCTGCGCAAAAGGCGCAGAAAGCCGAGCAAATCCGCGTGAACGATGCAAAGATTGATGACTTGGCGCTCGACTTCACGCTTCCCGGACATGCGAGCATCGAATTGCTACCTAATGGTGCCACTATCAATGTGACGATTGAAAACATTGCAGAATACATCAAGAAAGTCATCGACTTCACCCTCGGGGCTGGTGTGCAGAGACAGGTCGATGCTTTCCGAGCTGGCTTCTCTCAGGTATTCCCATACTCGGCATTGAAGGCTTTCACGCCAGACGAGCTAGTAATGCTGTTCGGTCGCGTCGATGAGGATTGGTCGTTGGAGACGTTGATGGACTCTATCAAGGCAGATCACGGCTTCAACCTGGACAGCAAGAGCGTCCGCAACTTGCTGCAAGTAATGTCCGAGTTTCCGCCGCAGTCGAAGCGTGACTTCTTGCAGTTCGTTACGGGCAGTCCGAAGCTGCCAATTGGAGGTAAGTCCAAGGCCCTACCGTACGGCTCGCCATGGACACACATGATTGCTAACTTGTTGACAGGCTTCAAATCTCTCACGCCTATGTTCACAGTCGTATGCAAGCCCGCCGAGCCACCTCACGGTTCCGATGACTTCTTACCCAGCGTCATGACTTGCGTCAATTACCTCAAGATGCCAGACTACAGCACGCTCGAAGTGCTCCAGAAGAGACTCGGCACAGCAATCCGAGAAGGACAAGGAGCCTTCCACCTTTCATAGACAAATCACAAGCTCTATTATTATGGGGCCACACAGCTAGCATGAAGCTAGACGATCACTCGCTTTGAGCATGGGTATGAAGACGTAGAAGGGAACTGGGTCACGTGTATGTATGTATGGATAGCATTATCGGGACAGTTCCTGAAGCTCATGACGAATGAGGAAAAACGGACATTGGTACATTGAAATTTGTTCTAAATTTTTTGAAATACTCGCATGTCTTTTGTTCTCTAGTACTCCATGGCGTCCTCGAACAGGCCACGCAGCTGTTCGCGTTCAGCCGAATGGTCGGCCATTTCCAAGTTGGGAGCCAGCATCAAGACACGGGCCTGGGGGATGGTGCCTTCGACGAGGGTGTCAATGTGCTCCCGCTTGAAGCCCATTTGTTTCAAACCCCGAGGTTGGTCACCCAAACCCACGAGGAATTTGGCCAAGGCCTCGGACAGGACTTCGCCGGCACTCTCCTTCTTGACGTTGGAAATGTCGACGCCAAAGCACTCGGCGGCGGCCAAATGGCGTTCGGGATTCGACGCTCCCGTGAACTTGAACACTGCCGGTGCACTCACGGCTACGGACACGCCGTGCGGAATAATGGGCGTTTGCACTTGATATCCCGCATGCTGATAGCCGGGATTCTGGCTGGAAATGGGATACGACATGCCGTGGCACAAGTGCACGCCTGCATTGCCGAAACCGACTCCTGCGAGAGTCGCGGCGAGGAGCATTTTGGATTGTGCTTCAAAGTCATCTGGGTCCTTGACGGCTCGAGGGAGGTACTTGACGGTGTCTCGGAGGGCTTGGAGGGAGAAGATGTCGCTGATGGGGTTGGCACCCTGGTAGGCAGGTCGGTTGATGGGGTTGGTCGGTCGGGGGGTGCGTTCGTGATAGGGGATTGCGGTCCAGGATTCGAGACTGTGGCAGAGCACATCGAGACCAGAAGAGGCATGCACGGCTGATGGCATGGTTCGGGTGTTGTAGGGGTCACATATTCCGAGGGATGGCTTCAGGTTACGATGTGCGATACCCGTCTTGGACTTTTTGGCGACGAGGTCGAAAATGGCGGTGCCGGTGGTCTCGGAGCCTGTTCCTGCGGTGGTGGGGACGGCGACGAGTGGCTTCAGCTTGGAGGTGATGGGCAGTCCTTTGCCGAGCGGAGCGTTGACAAAGTCGAGAAAGTCGGCTTCTGGGAAGGTGGTGTACAGGTTCATCAGCTTCGCTGTGTCCATGACACTTCCACCGCCCACAGCGAGGAAAGCATCAGGCTGGATCGGCTTGCAGTAATCAATGGCTTCGCGTATAGAGTAGTCCTTGGGCTCCACCTTGACCTTGTCATAGATTTCGTATAAAACGCCTTCACGCTCCAGACCTTCAATGACTTGCTTCATGGCGTCCAGTTTCAGCACGGTAGCATCCGTCACCACCATGACCTTCTTGGCGTTCATGTTCCTGAAGTCCATGCCAACTTCTTTGGTGACTCCCGGGCCAAAACGAATATTGGAGGCAGCCATTTCGAATGCATATTCCTTCTGCCGCGAGATATCGACGGGCGTGGCGAGACTTCGCACGCGTCCCGCATACGGATTGTGGCCATGATGATGGTGCGGATGGCCCGGGTTCGAATGGGCGGGACAAGTACATGTGCCCGAGTTGACAGCTCGGAGCAGATTGACGGCACGCTGTGCTCGCGTGGGAGCAACTCTGAGAATAGCCATGGCTGGAATGGGGACAACACCGACTAGACAGTGTAGTCAGTGTAGTGGTGATGTTGTGAAGTGGAGGACGATGGTATGTTTACTATTATTATTATTGGTCCTATAATGGAGCTGACTTCCGGCGGCGGGGCTTCCCAAGACCCTCGGGAAACCACCATTGAACTGGAACTACGTAGCCGTCTAGACTCCATCGTACCATCTATATACTCTTTTTGATGATGGCTGGTTACGTGTGGCTCTAGAAGGTAGTCAGAGCGTGTCTGTGCTATTATTCAATCGAGGCATACTCTTACCCAGGTGACGCTCCCTTTTGACATATATGGATGTGCCATTGATTCCCCTTCCGAAGCTCAATAGCTGCGTTAGTCTAGGTATTCTCATCATCAAGACCTCTCTCCGTATAGCCAAACAACCCTCTTTCGCTCTCCCTAGTCCTAGCCCAGCCAAGTGCTATACAAATTCCGTTCACTAGCACAAAATACATACCCGCACTTGTGATTCGAATTGCAAGTTGTGATGTCTGTCTGTTTCTCGAGGACATTGAATTACTTTGAATAAATAATATAACGCCAAACGCCTTCCTACTTGCTTTCGGGAGAGTGGGGAAACAAGCTCAAGTAGTTTGAAGCTACTCCGGCACTAAAACTATGCTGGCTAGTGCGGTCTTCACACCTCGGAGGTTCCGTATCTTCTCATCATGGAGATGGGTGTTACACATCCGCTACCTACAATATACATATGAAAGCCATCAGAGCGCTGCCTGGCAGCAATCGGCGACCTTCATTTATACCCTACAACCTCCGTCAAGGGGAGAATATGTTTTCTCAAGGAAAATTGGGCGTCAAATTCGTCGAAATGGATGTTCCTAGGAAAAGAGTACGATGAGGAAGCACACGACCCGCAGCATCATCAGAGAAGAAACACGCATCTCTCAAATCATCAATGATGAAGCATCTCGATATATACCAGTTATATATCCCTCTCACCTCAAATCTTCACCACCTCCTCCTCATCCCCTCCCACTGCCCCCCAAATGCTCCACCGCCTCCTCCACGCCCACCACATCCGCCATTTTGGCATCCATATCAAACAAATTCGCCTCATGAATAGCCACACTGCGATCCCCACACGCATCACCCACGACCATGGGACGAAAATTATTCTGAAGAGCATCCAACGTCGTGGCTCGCACACATCCACTTGTGCTGACGCCACAAATGACCACCGTATCCACGCGCAAATACTGCAAAAGAGAACACAATTCCGTGCCGAAAAATGCGCTCGCATGCTGTTTGATTATCACGTGTTCGTTTGCGAGCGGGGAGAGGCCTGGTAAGAGTGTGCTGTAGCCTTTCTGGTCGTTGCCTTGGAGCCAGAGGTCGATGACGGGCGCTTTGCGGTAGAAGAGGCCGGCTTGGGACATGTCTTTTTTGCTGTACGAGACTTGCGTGTGGATGATGGGGATGTCGGGGTTGGAGCGCGCGGCGGAGAGGAGCGCTCGCATGTGGTCGGGAGAGGCTGCTGCGGATGGATTGGAGCTGCAGTCGAGAGGGGAGCCGGGAGTGAAGTATGCTTGACAAATGTCGATGAGTATGAGAGCGGGTCGTTGGCCCTGTTGCTCAGGTTAGTTGGCAATGCGTTTCATGGCTTCGTTTGTTCGTCGAGATTGATGTTACCCATCCTAAACGATTACTGAAGCCCGATGCTCGATATGAGGCTGCCTCGGCGTGCTCATCTGGTGAGGGCATTGTGCAGGCTACGAGACGAGATTATGTATCTGTGTGCAAGCGAAAGAAGGCGTGCGAGAAATCTGTACAAATGGAATCATGGTGGTATTTGGGAGGAACATATATCGTCAGAAGCCCAAGCGATCTGCCTGCGACCCGATAGGCGAAGCAGTTCGCCGGGTTAGCCGATCGTGCTTCAAAACAAGCACCTCTCTCTCTCTCTCTCGCTCTCTTACACACGGTCTCTCGCCGAGGACCGCAAATAGTTGCACCAGGTCAGCTAATTCCCTCGATGAAATCGTTTAGATCAGTCTCATGAACATCAAGCAAGTGTAAATTCTCACGCAGTCTTTGCCCATGCAGCGGTAAGGCCGATAAGAGAAGAAACAGTTCCTGCCAGACCGACAATGCCATCATCAAGATTGACCATGCCAATAGCACTGCTGGGCACAGTAATATCGCAAACGTCTGACAACAGCTGCAACTGAGTAGCTGCTTTCTCCCTGTCCATGGTGTTAGCCATCCAATCTCCCGACGTTCCTCTTGCACCACGAAATGCATACCTTTCTAGTGTCTTCTGCTCCACCTTCTTCTCCGCGTCCCCAACGCTCTGTTGCTGCTTCTTCGCAATCTGCTGCAAATTGTAAAGCGTGTATACACCAGCAGTGATGTTGCACGCCAAACCCACGAACCACGCGCGATACGCCTCCTTGGCTATCCGCGCTCCGGACTGCAACTTGTAGATGCCAGTTGTGTCAAAGTAACTGATGGCGTCAAGCAAAAGGTAGAAACCGTAGCCTAGTTGACGTCCGACAGCCAAGTATTTGAGCACTGGGTCCATGGATTTGGAGTCCGACGCCACGGCAGCAGCCTTGAAGTGCTCGACAAATTTGCCAATTCGGAAGGCTTTACGTGCGCTGCCAAAGCTCTTCTTGGTCTGATCGAAGATGTTGACCGTGGTTTGTGGGTGGTTTGTTCGGTAGAGGTACCATGCTAGGAATCGCGAGAAGTATTGAATGGTTCGAAGAGTCTTGTCACGGCCAACTGTATGGATGTTCAGTGCTGCTCTCTTTCCTGTTCACGGCCGGTGCTCGCCATCGCATGCTTACTGGTGGTGGCCACGAAGCGGTTGAAGTGAGCCACCGAAGGGTGGTAGATGAGGGCGTCGGCGACCATGGCTGTGGTGTGGTGTGGTATGGTGATGAAGAGGTCAAGTCGTGTGGTGAGATGTCGTACGGTGCGGTGCGGAGGTGCGGTGTGTTGTGGTCAATAGGTGGTGTGAGAAGCGCAGGCTACCTGTACAGGGACGGGAGTGTGGAAGTGTGCTGATATGAACATGGCGATCGCATGTGATTATTGAAGCTTTGATGCTTGCCGAGGCGACTGAGCCACGGCAATCATCGGAGCAAGTGAAGCCGAAAGCATCTGCCTTGCTGCCTTCCACGGTAGAGAGTCTTAGTCAACGCGCGCGGTATGTACTGTACCTAGTCTTCGGACTCCCGATCATCAACGAGAATCACATTTCACCACCATGGCGAAGAAAGGTGCGCACTCACCACCGCTCACTGCCTTGCTCCCCATGTGAATGACTGCTCACCTTCGTGTACAGCCAAGTCGCGCAATGTTGCTGTGCGCCTCATCTCCATGGCCATGACGGGCTACTACAAGACCTTCACCCGCCCGAGAACCCATCGCCCACTGTCTATGCTGAAATACGACCCTGTTGGTATGACTGTCACGTCCCCGCAACATGGTGGGCCTGAGCTAAGTGCTGTATAGTGAAGAAAAAAGTCCTGTTCCTCGAGGCGAAACGTGGAGGGAAATAGAGGTCACGATTGAGACGAAACGAAATGAATACCACATCAAAGCAAATGCTCCCGGACCTTCTGAACAGGCTATTGTGACCGGCGCACCCCTCCCACGCTGGAGATGAAAGGGCATATCAGTGAGGCTGACTGGGCTGGGAGGGAGATGGAGGGAAGTCGAGCATCAAGGCTGTGTGCCGCCAGTGCATGCAAAGAAGGCAGAAGACAAAGCTCAGGGTTCTCAAGGCCGAGGGTGAGGAGTGCGTATGAGTGCAGCAACAGCTGATACGGGATAACATATATATGAGCGCTGGGGTCGTGCTCTCAGCGAAGGTGTCTAAAGTGTCCATCTAGATGCATACAAGTATCGATGGGCCTCCGGCCAGTGCATCGTGCCACTCAGAACTGACCCACAAGGGTAGAAACCAGTCGAACTCTCACTTCTGGAGCTCGCGATTGAAGCGCTCGATCATTTGCTTACCTGCCTCACATTAGCCGTGCCTCTCATATCGCAGTCAACAGAGCCTACTCTTGGTCATCTTGTTGGTTCCTCGCGCTGGCCGAGCATTCGTATTTCCCAATGTACGCGTCTGAGAGGCGCCAGCGTCAGGCATGTGAGACTGAACGTCCCCGTCTCTGAGCAATCGACTCGTTCGCTGCGAGTTCGACAATGAGCGAAGTACACGACGGGGTTCAGCAGGCGCCTCCAAGACTTGGTTCTTTCTCCGAGAATTGTAGCCCTCAACGATCTGGCTTCCGGCCTTGCGCTTGGGCGGCGAGGCTCTCGCCACGACCTCATTTAAAGGTCCGCGGCTATGCGGAGCGCTGAAAGCCATACCTGGTCCAGCTGAGTTATTCGAGATGATCATTGGAGAACTATTCTGTCCTGCCGCACTGACAGGCTGACTGATGCCCGACACACTGGACTTGTTGGCGCGTGGCTCTGGTGTCATGTAGCGTGTCGACTGCGGAGCCAGAGTATTTGCACGATATCCCCCCTCTTGCGAACGCTGCGATCCACTACGCACAAGCTTCATGGAAGAGTTCGATGGTGGCACTCTCTTGAATGTGTACGTCTCCTGTAAAGCTTGTTGAGGCGCCAGACGACGTTCAGCCTCAGCGTTTGCGTGACCAGTATCTGGAGCATCCTCATGGATGGAGAAACTTTGACTCGTGTTGCACTGCTGCGAGAAGGATGATAGGTTGTAATTGGACCCAGGAGATTGCACAGTGTCTAATGTCGGTGGATTTTTCTGCCTCGTATAGTCGGGCCTCTCGCTACGCGGCGAGGATCTACCAAAGTGGCGAGAGTGTGTACAGTTGGCCTGTTGACTCTCCTCGACTATGGCTCCGAGATAGCTGATCTGCCGACTCTCCTCGACTATGGGTCCCAGAGCAGATCCGTGACTAGTGGTCTCCAGATCATCGAGTCGCCGAGGCTGTGCGTTTGCCAGCTCTTCTCTCAGTCGTTCGCATTCTGCGTAAGCTTCGGCTGCTTCGTTTGTCAGGCGAGTGGCCAGCTCTCTTTGCGAATTCTCACGCTGTTGGTAGCTTTGCTGCAACGTCTGCTGAGATTCACATGAATCCTTCACCTACAAACCGGTCGAGGTTAGCATGTCTTTGGTGTATGTTCTCGTCTGACATTGATCGTTGTGCCACGCTACACCTCAGCGCATACGCTGAGGGCAGTCATTCTGGCCATGTTCTTGACTTACCTGAGCCTGCATCTCAGCTTTCGTCTGGGCCAGATGAGCCTGAAGAGCATCAACGCGCTTCTGACACCTTTCTTGCTCCTTCTGCACTTCGTTTGCTGCGTCGGTCTTGCACTGATCCAGGCTCTGCTTGGCTGCTACGACCTCTTTTTCGCATGCGTTCAACTGAGCCTTCACAGACTTGAGATCCTGCACGAGCTGAGTTTTCTCTTGAGCGCCATCGTACAGCTGCTGCTCCCGGGCTGAGAACCGAGCATTCAACGATGCGTGCCTAGAGTAACCCTTAAATGTCAGACTTCTTGGAATATGTGTCCGAGTGCGATGCTCTAGCAGCAACAGAGAATGTTGCTCGACCGCACTTACTTCTCCTGGATGTCATTGTGCACCTCCGTAATACTATTCAGTTCATGCAGGCGAGCCTGCAAGCTTGTGACCTGCTCAGCCAAGCGGTCACGAGCAAGATTTGCTTGCTTGATGGCATTATCGCTCTCAGCCTTCTTCTCCTTCACGAAGTTTTTCGCAGATCTGGAGGCAGCGTCCACTGCTTTTGTGACTTTGACCACGACCTCTTCCTCGCTGAGAGCTACCTGCGTCTGCGCCGTATGGAGGGCCTCTCGAAGAGCCTCGAGCTCGATACGTAAACGAGCGTTTTCGTCAGCTAAGCTCTTTGCCTCTTTCGCGTGCGCAACAGAAGCAGCGTGTATCTCTTCTAAGGAGTCTGTCTTGGCTTGTAGCTCTGCTTTGACACTGGAAAGTTGCTGAATATCGTCCTGGTGTGTGCAGATCGGCGTTGGCCCTGCTGTGCTGACTTGAGCTTGCTCATGGAGACTTCTCAAGGTCGCCTGAGACTTGCTCAGATCAGCTGCGCGTTCAGATACAATAGTATTGCTCGCCTGGAGCTGCTGCTGAAGATGGGCAATGACCTCTTGATCAGCTGAGGTTTGTGCGATCAATTTCTCCTGCTGACAAAGATCTGTCTTCAGGCTCTTCAATGCATCATCGATATGCAACTTGAGGGACGTAGGAGATTCTGTCGGTAAGCGGTTATTACTCAAGTGAGAAGAGAGGCTACCAACGGGTTAGCATTAACGCAGAAGAGGGTCCAGTGTAGCAGATGCGAGGGAGAATGATGCTTACCTCTCTGAGAATGAGTCTATGGTCTCCTTGAGAGAAGAAACGTTCTCGACAGTGGCAGCTTGTTGTATGTTCAACCCTTGTGTAGCGGCAACCATCCTGTCCAATGGCTCTGTCAACGTATTGCTGCCTCCTTGCTCGACATCAGCATGGATCTCGTAGAGTTTGTCCAGGACAGCATCAGTACATGACTTGAGCTCGCGCGACACAACTCCGCTCAAGTCTGTTGCAGTGAGTAGCTGATTCTGGATCGACAGGCGAGCACTCTTCTCCTCGGCAAGCATGCAGGACTTCTCGTTCAATTCCTGCTCCAGCTGGCACACACGAAGCGTCCTCATCTGAAGAGCACTGTTGGCTTCCCGGGCTACAGAGAGCAGATCGGACTTTAGCTTTGTAGACTGCTCCACGAGTGCATGTTGCGCCGACTTCTGCTCTTCCAGCTCCGCGACAATCTGCTCACTGCTCTCACGGCGAGCATTGGTTTCTTCCTTCAGTCCGTCGATATCGGTGCCTAATCCAGTCAAGTAGATTTTAAACTTGCTCGCCTTGTGGTTCAGACCATTAATCTTCGCTTTGTGCTGCTCCACCAGCTCCGCAAGACCGTGCTTCTCATTTCGCAGAGATTGTACCTGGTCCTCAAGTTCTTGATTAGCACGGCATTGTTCCTGAAGCCGTGTATGCAAAGACTCCCGATCTGCGTTGTATTGAGCCAAAGTCTGTTTCTCTTTACGTCGAGCTCTGTCGATGGCTTGGGTGATTTCTCCAGGCCAGTCATCTGAGTTTATCTGCTTATCAGGTTCCAGCTGGTACTCAGGCTCATATGTGGCCGTGCAAGGAGGGTTGTAGACAGATTGGGTATGGTGGTCCCATGGTAATTGGGCATATTGTACTTGCTCCTGCATTGGCTGAGACATCGCCCGAAAATGCATTCCAGGTTGAAAAGCTGAATACGCTTGAGGTGTAGCTCCATGAGCGCCTACCAGGCTAGTCTCAAACCCGGGCTGAGCATCGTGCAAGCTGTGTTCAGGCTGATAGGTTGCTACTGAAGTAGCCGGCCGCTCTTCTTCGAGCTGAGTTTGGGGCACATCCAAGTTGACCTGCTGCAAACTCTGTGGACCAGCTTGCCCATCATCGGCCTCATATGCTTGGGCCTCCGGCACCGGCAGCACCTTGACCTTCTTCCTCTTTTTTCGCAGCTTCTTGACGACGATGGGAATATCGGGAACTGGGGCTGGTGTCGGCTCTCGAGTATCTGCTTCTTCAAATCAGCGACCACCAGGGTATCGAGACGACTGGTAAACTCAGCAACCTACCCGGATCGATTTGCAGAGAGTGTATAGAGTGCTCATTCGTGACCGACATGGGGTCAATGCGTCCGAGCGTGCCGTTGTCACTCTCCTCTATCTGTGAGGCTTCGAGCTGAGGTGCTAGGTTCTCGGGGAGGAGATGCTGGTCGTCATCAGCATGCTGGAAGTGGAAATCCTCGTGGGGGTAGGACGGATCGGTGCCCGACATCTTTGCTGCTGTCGAAGAAGCGGCTCTGGTGAGATGCCGGCACGGCTGTACCTAGAGAGGTGCGGGCAGGTGTCTGCAGACGTGAGGTTGAAGTCGAAGAGGTGAGCTGAGGCTCTTCCCACCGTCGAGGGAAGGTTCGACACATGTTGTAGTCGACATGGCAAGAGCTCTGGAGCACCGATTGGACCACATCTCATCCCATTCACGAAAAGTCGACTCGAAATTGCCTATACTGCTTGGAAGCATGCGTGCACACCACTGGTTCTCAGCGATCTACAGTTCAGGAACTGTTGACTTGCTCTTCGCACAGCTATCTGCACCACTGCGGGACCTAGAAGCGACCCCGGATGTTCTTGTGGGCTTTCATCGCGGAGTTGAACTTCAAGCATTAAGTGATATAGGTTCTTTCTGCTGTAGATCAGCTTCAAATGCACCCTATCTTACTCGCCTTAAGATCGCGTTCCTAATGGCACTCTGTCAAACCCTAGTTTCTGCAACGAAGACAGCGGAAGTGGGACATGCAGAATATGTAAAGGCGACAGAGGTAATGTACCCAAAGCGATCTTACGAGGCTACCATGCTCGTCAGAAGTTGAAAGCATAGTGATCTAATCTTGCAAGCGTGCAGACTTTCCGAAATGCTACGGCCATCTTCCACGGGCCAGCAAGATCAAGAGATGCTTGTGGTCGGATTGGGGGCAAAGTGTGATCCACCTCTTGGCAGCCAAGCCCGCCATTCAATGACCTTCCACCAATCATGCCTCACAGATCCTAGCCGCCCAACTCCCTGTCGCTTCAGCACGACTACTTCACGCGCTTTCACTGCATCGTGCATCTCATTGGTATTTGGCAACTGGAGGCTCTCGCACGGTTAGTCAAGAATGCGCGCTTCGAGAAGAGACAGTAGGTTGCACGATTCCCTTTTCCTTTTCATTTACTCTACTCCGCGACTGCTTCAATCCCCAGTCTTCTCCCCAGTAGTGGTGAGCGGCAAGATGAAGCTCGCCCATCTTCTGCCCTACTTGGCCTGTCTTTCTTTTGTTGCTGCTGGAGTGAACGAACGTCACGCAAACGAAGATTCGACATCGGTGCAGACTAGTGATACAGTCCCGGCGACAATATCTTCCACCACCACGGGTGATGTGGAATCCAGGGATGAGGATGGCACCAACGAGACTGGCTTCGCAGATTCGAACAGCGGGACGGATACAGAGGCAGGAGCTTCAGGCTCACAAGCAGGATCTTTCAGTCTTTCGAGAGGCGGACTGGTCGCAATCATCGTTGTGGTTGCTTTCGTAGCCATATTGGGAGGTAAGCATCATGCACAGGTATTCGAGACAAGATCTCGTTGCTGACCTGTGCACGTAGTCGCCTCGACTGTACTCTTCGTGCTAGCCAAGCGACGATCATGGAATATCAGGCAGTCTCTGAAGCGTGCATCCCGTCGGTTCACAGGACGTGCCACACGGGACGCTACGCGAGATAGACAGTCCAAGCGGGCAGGATTGCAAATGAGCAGGATACCTGCGCAACGAATCCATACAAAAAGAGGAATGGCCGTGCAGGTAGACGACGTCGAGAAAGGATCGATGAATATATCAAAGGGAACCTCGAAGGCTGTTCCACAGGAAGCCAGCAAGACGCAGTCGAAAAGCAAATGGTCGGAGAAATTGTGGAGCAACGATTGGCAGAAGTGATAAGGGTGTCCGAGGCAATACGTTTATTGTAATAGATAAGAACCGAGTCTTGAGCTTTGTTGACTTGGATCAATCCTCCATTATGTCTGCCGCTGCGACCTCGTCCTCGTCCTCGTCCTCGTCCTCGTCCTCGTCATCACTATCCAGATCTATAACTTGAGTCCCACCAGGAGGTTGTGTGGGCTCGCGCTGTGGGGTAGAGCCCGTAGCTTCCGGCTCTGGCTTGACTTGTTGTGCCTGTGCCCTCTGCGTATTATCCTCGTTCATTTCATCAATGTTCACACCATCATCGTCATCATCGTCAATGACGTGCCCCCTACGCTGTGCACCATTCTCCATGTCACTGTCACTGTCATCACCGCGCTCCTCTCGCAGGCGGTTGGCTCGCTGAATGCGCCGAACTTGGCGTATCAGCAGCTCATCGCGATGGAGATCACCTTTCTCAAGCAAGCAATTGCACCCAGAAACAGGGCACTGTGTGGCCTTAGGCCTCGTGGTCGACGCGTTAATAAGTTGTAGTATAGCATGGGACTCGAAATGGTGGCGGCATTTAGTCGAGGACAGAGGATCCTTGAACTCTTGCAGAGTCAAGGGACACTTGATGCTGATCTTTGTGCGTATAAGAGAAATATCATCATCCAGCTCGTCCGCATTGTTATTTCGCTGCGTGCCAGGCGGAGGCGCGCCAGCTTCTACGAACCATTCACTGGGGTCTGGTAACGGGTTATCTTCGTCGCCTCCGGTCTGAGCATCGTGTATGAGCTTTTTCCATTTCACGTATGCGTCAGTCTCTGCGTATCGTTCGTATTGCGATTGGGCTTGGTGTCTGTCCCGAGCGTTTCGGACATGCGTATCGAAGACATCCCTGGGTGCTCGCTGTGACGCTCCGGCTGGATCGGTCGGGTTCCACGGAATCTCCTCGTCTTCTTCCCCGCCGTCGTTTTCCTCTTCCTCTTCGTTGTTGTTCTCACGTCTCCGCGGGCGTTGTGTCTGTGTGTGTTGCGTGCTCGCCTGCGTACTTGCGTTGGCTTTGGCATCTGCCTCTGCTGCGACCACAGCATCCCGCATAGCTTTGGCGCTCACACTGCAATCAACGAGGGCACGCATCTCCTTCTCCATGCGCCCTGCCATGCCCTCGACTTTCTCACGCATCTCCTTGACCTGCTGCTCAAACGCGGTAAACTTCTCTGTTTGTGTGGCTTCGGTTTGCTTTCTCTGCCGCCTCTTTAACTGATCCTCATGCTCGTACAGCTTATCGTAGAGTGATGCGCCAGTAGTCGTCAGCTCGCTCTGTACCTGAACGATCACATCTTCTAGCTTGTGAACATCATGCTTTCGGAGCAGATTGGCAATGGAGCGCTGAGCTTCTGGATTGAGGGGAAACGTGGGCGGCTCGTACTCTGGTAACACTGCAGGACCGGCTGCTCGCGCCTGTGCCGACGAGCCAGGCGCAGCCGTTGAGTGACGAGCTCGTGCGGACATGGCGGTGATGGTGGTGGTGGTGGTGGTGGTATTCTCCTGTGAAGTTGGAGGTAGTAAGGCAATTGAAGAGTACCTGTAGGAGGTAGGAGACGCGTCAGAACGCGTCGCGGAGAATTGGGCTTACCTAAGTAGCTTTCCGATCTTCAGCCGAGAGAGGGGCACACAATTTTAATTTCTAAGGTAGGATCTTGAAGTGTCCATAGTAGCAGCAACAACAACGGTGACTGAACAGACTAGTCACAACTTACCCAGGACAAAGCAATTTGCATCAGCAAACCATCTGGCGCATTTGCCCCAAAAGGCACTTCTATAATTCACATTAGATGGATGCTGTTTGCATGCGCGCAGGAAAACGCCCTCTGATACTTTATTCAGATATATTCTCGCCACTCAAGTCATTTGCCGGTTCGATGCTCCATTCACGCCACTCTCACTTGGTAATGAAGTTGAGGTAGTCGGCGACAATGAGCGTAACCATCGCATGCGGCGCGATACGCACGTAGTAAGTCGAGAACCCGCGATAGAAGCGTAGAGGTCCCTCCTCCCGAATCACCTTCTGGAAGCAGTCGACGAAGCCCTTATACGGGAGCTTTCCATCAGGTCCCTTCGACTGCTTCTGTAGTCTCGTCTTAATGAAGTCGAACGGCAAGCTGAAGAACGATGCAAAGAAGCCAGCAACGGCAGAGGCAGCTAGCGTCTGGGTTCGTGGACCCATTGAGCTATCCTTGAACCGTGCCTTGGCTTCTGAGAAGAACGCGAGTCTGGAAGAATCAGCAAGATGATGCGAGTGTCTGGATTCTGGCAATCTTACTGTCCAAAGTTGAGAGCCATCGCTCGCACCACTGTCGGAGAAGCACCAGCCCACAACCGACTCACGCCCTCTTGCTTTGCGATGCGCACCAGAGCATCACCAACGCCTACAGAAGTCACGATTCCAACGTCAGCAAGAATCTCTGAAGATGCGAACCCTTCTCATTGGAGTTTTGACCTTGTCGCCTTGGCCACAGTCGAGCTCAGTGGGTAGTAGTCGTGAACTGGGTATCCTTTCGATTTGCCAACAACATACCTCTGTAATTTGCTCTTTCAGCCTTGGGTTTCAGTCCATCAGATTGCATACGGATGAGAGCCAGATCTGCCGGATTCCCAAGGAAAGCTGCAATACCACCAGCACCCAACCCCGCCACAGCACGTTCCTTGAATCCGATCGAATTGCCTTGCGCTTGTGCTCGTGCCGAGAGTGACTTCATAAATATGTCAAAGAATCCAAGACGAGCGGTTGTGTAGACAGCCTGTCGTAGGAGACCCGCCGACAGTCCGGTATAAAGGTCCATGACTTTTCCGGCGGCGATGATTTCTCTGGTGACGCTGAGTGGTGTTGGTTTCGGACCAGTCTTGACTCCCTCGCCTGCGAGTTGTAGTCGGACTTTGATCATATCGATGGGCTGGATGCATGTTGTGGCAGCCATGCCGGCTGCACCACCATTGACGAAAGGAAGCGCCGCGCGCATGATCGGCGAGTGCAGAAAGTCCTGCTTTGCTTTTTGTGGATTCTCTGAAGCTTTCGCCATTGCTGCTGGAGCGTCTTCCACGGCGCCTTTGGCTGCCGTCAAGGCACCATCGGCCCTTCGTCGCGCTGCTTCGATGACCGTCGCCATATAACTGTGTTGATGTGTGGTATGCTCCTGCTGTCAACTAGAGCGTCCCGGATGAAGAAGACTGATCGCAGCCAATTGGTGTTCGGAGTGTGGTCGAGGTCCCGAAGCTCTATATATCGTTGAGATCAGTCAAAGATCCACAGCTCCAGTGTCTCGCGAGCGACGATAATATATAAACGATGATATCTTTTTTAAGTTATTCATCGCGACCGAGACCATCGTCGGACATTCGATAATGCCGCAACGCATCACAAGCGACACCGGGCCGACGCATGACTATGTTTTGAATAATGTTCCGATTGTACCCGCGAGACTTACATTTGAGAGCCAGCGAAGCCAACTGCCTGACTGCAAAGCCGAGCAATAATACCTGCAAAGCAGGTCCCCAATAACACACTCGACCAGGTTTCTTGTTTCCCTTTCAATGCACCCAGCCACACCGCAACCGATTCCGTCTTCCGCAGCTGAGGAACTAACTGTATGAGCGGGACGGCGAGGTACAAGAGAACCACAGAGCCCAGAACAGGCAATATGTCACGCTGCAAGAGGAAAGGATAAGGTAGGTAGGTAGGTAGGTAGGTAGGTAGGTAGATTGGCAGTAAGCGTTCGTTCAGTCGCCCGGGTACAAGTAGTATGCAGACAGGACAGGACAGGACAGGACAAGCCGAGGGAGAATGATGAGGATGAGAGAGGAGGAGAAGCACGAGATGAGGAGCAAGGTATCAGACGAGCAAGCAAGCAAGCAAGCTAGGTAGGTAGCTACAACAACCTATAGAGAGCGAGAGCTCTTTCGCATCGCATGGCATGCGCATCACGCAGCAGCGAACCCTCCTCCTGCTCCTCCTTCTCCAACACCTCCTCATCCACCTAGCCCGCCAGCAAACAAGCCAGCAAATGGTAGAACAGCACACTAAATCAGGGACTAACAGAACACAATCATGTGATTATCGTCAGTAGTAATACTGTAGTGTACCTCCAAGTAGTTGGAAACACCGTAACACGGTAAATAGGAAAGAATAATCATTTGCCATTCGACCGCGTAGTGAATGTAACCATGTATCTTTTAGCGGGGGAGTTTGAATTCACAACCGACACGCTCAGTCAGACAGAGACAGACAGACAGACAGACAGAGAGGGTGAGCTACGAATAGAAAGAAGTACTGGTGACCAAGCAGCAGTGTAACTGTAACGTGACTTATTACCTGATACTCTCGACTCTCGATCTCTTGTTGGGAATCCCCAAGGGTTTCCCTTTCGTGTGTATGTGATGAGATGAGGTGTTGTTGTTGTTGTTTCCCGGTGTTGTTGGCCAACGTAAGCGTCTGATTAAGCCTACTACCTAACCCGTGATCATCACAGACACTGCACACAGAGAGAGGAAGAGACCCGAGCGCGGAATTGTTGTCCGTTGTCCACCCCAGAAGGGATGACTTGTCGTTTGACTTGGATACATGTACCATACTGGAATGGGACTAGCGGGAGAGAGTGAGGAGATGCCCATTTCCATCCCATCCACCTATCCGTAGAGCAAGTCCGCGCTGATCCGGAACGGTACATGTACCTGGTAACTGTTAACACGCGAACGCATTGGGACTAGGAGGTCCCTCCTTGCTCCTATTACTGTTCGGCTGTTGCCACGGGTGGTCTCGACCATGACGCCGCTAGAGGTTGAGGTACAGTAGTTCGAACGTGCTGCTAGTCTACCAGTCTACCTACTTCTATCCGAGCTCTCGGAGCTCGCATGGCATGCTGGGAGGTGGTGGGGCTGGTCTTGCCATCTTTCCGCACAACGAATTAACTCTGGGAACTGGGAACTCTCGTTGCCCCGCACACGCCCGCCATGGGTCCCACAAACGACGCTAGAACTACCTCCTACTAGTGAATGACAATGTCCTATATCGGGACGGAATTCTAGACGCAGCAACGCTTCATCTACATTTCATTCACCTGTTGGCGCTATTACATAGTGCCTATCGCCACTGGCTGTTGTTGGTATACTGTCGTAGCTTCGCGTCGTCGCAATTGCCAGCTGACCTGCTCGTATATCTCACGATGTCTGCAATTCTTGACACGGCCATTGCCTGACCTTGCCATAACACTCCTGCTCTTCTAACCATACATCTCTTGCACAGGATGCTGGTGCTCTAGCTTCTCCTCCCTCTACCAAGCACACGCTCAGTGCTTTCAAACGCCCGATCCAGCTTGGCAAGTGCTTCCGCCTTCTGCTTGTCAGTTACCATTCGATCACCCAGAGGTAGGCTACTCAAGGCACTACTCATCAGCTCAGCCGCCCTCTCAGCAGTGAGCTTGGTATTACTCAAACGTGGTTTCTGTACACCCGCACTGGACATGCCTGAGTTGCTAGAAGACGCAGCTGGAGGGCCATGAGCAGCAGGATGACTCGTGGCCTCTTTGCGCCGCAGTCCAACTTGTCCTTTGTTGTCCATAAAAGACTCCTGTGCAACCCGTCAGTGAATGCGCATTGTCGTGGATCAAGCAGTGCGACTCACATAGCCTGATGTGTCGAGGATCTCGCTGGGTATCTCGCTAGGTATCTCGCTGGGCGCCTCTGTCTTATTCGGGAGAGTGACCTGGCCGCCTTCGACAGGCTTGGGCGCCTGAGATGCAGCCATTTGCTTGATGACCCTCGAATTTTCTTCGCAGCCTTCCACGGCAAATCTGAGACACATGATAGCATGTTCTCTGATGTACGGATTGTGCTCATCAGCTCTACAACAGCCCACCAAAGCTTCCAGCCCACCATACCGGCGAACTTGGTCTTGCACTGTTCTGTTCTTCCATATTAGCGACGAAAGTACTAGAACCGTAAGCTTCTTGAGGTTGCGCCACTCGAAGTCGCTAGGCTCATCCTGGTCATGCTGCAATTCTTGCGCCATGGAGGGCAGATTGTCTTCGGGATAAGCCATTGGTGTCTCAGGCTCGAAGGCTGGACCGGCACCATTTATAGGAGGATGTAGAGGTAAGGGTGGCAATGTCGTATCCTGAGAAGCTACGTCGAATGGCCTCTCGACTGCGACTGGCGCCTGGGTGGGAGGGTGTGCGAGGGTAGGTGCTGGTGCGGGAGAGCCCGGTGGAGCGTAATGTCCTTGTGCCGACTGAGATGCCATCCTTGAACTGTGATGCATGGTGCCTGCATCGACGGACATGGCTCTTTGAGGAGGGTGGCTCGAAACACGTCGAGGAACCTGTGGAACGACGGACCCCATCTTGGGTATGCCACCTTCGAGCTCTCTCAGCAGCGTCACGAGCTCACTCGCCATCTCCCACTCGCCAAGGATGCCCTTCCATACGCCTTCCTCGGTGAGCACAGCAAAGAACTCGAGATATTGATAGACACCCTCGTACATGCGTTCCATGTCCCATAAGTTGAGTGGAAAGTCTTCTGGACTAGCTCGCCCCGCATGTATCTGTCCCTGCAAAAATATGAGGGCACACGTTTGTGGGATAATGTGTTGGCGGAATTCGGTGAATATGAAATTCAGAATGTGTAGGTCGACTCTGGATGGCATGTTGGGTGGCGCCGATCCGTTGTTCCTGGCGTGGGATGGCACCACAGCGTGTGTGAGCGTGTGCCCGGTCGCCTGATTTGTCTTATTCTGTGCATTGGTGGCCACCGCATGTTTGGCTGCGTCGCCCCGTGCGCGGAAGATGCATGTCAACAGCTTCATGATCACTGCCTGAGCCGGACTGATAATATCTTTCGACCGCGAACGGTCTCGAAAGGCGTGATATGCATAAGGCATCAAGCCATTCTTCAAGATGGCTTCCATGATCTTCACCATGAACTTGAAATATAATTCCTCTTCGCGAAGGTCCCATGCTGCAACAAAGATGAGGAGCTCCCGTAAAAGGTTACGACCGTTGCTCTGCGACAGCAGAAGGTGCGTGCGAACAGTGTGCATGTTCATCAGCGCATTTCGCTCGTCATTGCTCAAAGCTGGAGGAAGGCTAGTGGGTGGAACAATACCGCTCATGATGAGCATTGGAAGCACTTCGATCTCCGAAGGGCCCAGAATGAGGGGAACATCAGTAAGAAGACCTCGACCGTCTTCCGTCGATCCAGGATAATCTTCTTCCTCTTCTTCCTCCGCCTCTTCTTGGCTTTCTTCCTCCTCTCCATTCTCATCACATTCCTCGTCTACACTTCCATCAAACGCATCCTCTGCAGGGCCATTATCTCTAGAATGCTCCTCTGCCACATGAGAGCCGACAGCGCTTGGAGAGCGCGACGCTCGCTGCAAGTCGAGTTGCGCATCTGTCGCTTGGCGCAGCGGGTTTGTAGCGAGATCCGTAGAAGATACAGGATCAATTGGCCCACTCTGTGGGGACATAGGAGATATGAGATCAGGATTCGGACCAGCGTCATAACCTTCCAATCTCTTCATCAACTCTGACTTGCCCGATTCTAATATCTTCGTGCCAGCTTCTGCAGTGAACAGCATACGCATGTCGTCGGCGACCACGGGTCGAGACTGCAGGCTCTCGTTATCGAAGGTTAGATGACCATCCTGACCATAGATAGGCGGCTCTAATGGTGCAATGTCAGCATTCTCCGACTTGTACTTTTCCGCCAACTGCTCCTCCAGCATTGCGATCTTACGTTCGACCTGCCTCGTCTGTTCTGCGACAGGCACATCACTTCGAAGAACAGGTTGAGTTTCTGTCACCGCAATCATTTTTGCCTCGTAAACAGCCAGGTCCTGTCGGTACTTTGCCATGGCATCGTCAAAGAGACCTTGCCAGTACTCGTGATCATCGTCATTGAGCTCAGCCCATCTTCGCGGAAATTCCAGATGCGCCTCGCCATAATTTGGACCGCGCTTGCGTTCCAGTTGGTAGTCTTCAATCTGTATGTCCTTCAATCGTTTGACGAACAATGCATAGCCATTGCCGTCGAAACGCTCCTTCCTCTCCAGCTTCTCTCTGCCTTCTAGGGCTTCCTTTGGCAAAGGATAGTCGGAGAATGGAGTATTGTCCCATAGTGGTTCAGCACCCTCAGTGGACACCTCCTCCACTCCGTTCGTGCCATATGCAATAAGAAAGTCTTCGCTGCTCAGCGGGTGAGGAGGTTTGGAAGTTGGGTTGGAAGGCACGTCTGTCAAGCTGGCCGAAGAGGTTTCGGGTACGTCCTCCGGGGCCAGTACGGACTCCGTGGTATTGTCGAACAGAGAAACCCACAGCATAAGCTTCCGTCTCTCATTTTGTGCCACCAAATTGTTCAAGAACTGTAGGCTCGTTATCAGAAGCTTCTTGTATCCATTGACAATCCATTGCCACTTCTCCTCGTCGCCCGTGTCAGCGTCGCCGTCGTAACCTCTTGCCGTGACTCTCACGCAGCAATTGACCAGTCTGAACACCTCAGCATCGATGCTGAACGAGGCTGCGAGGTCCTGGGCTCGGTCGCCCACCGTCAGCACGTTCCGACTGATGGAGACCAGATCGTTCAATCGTTCGAGATCCTTCCACAGACCGGGGTGGTGCGAGGCAATGAGCGCGCCGCTTGTGCTCTCGTAGTCGACGCTGCTGGGGTCCCAGATGGTGAAGCTCCGCCTCTCCAGACTGGGAATGGCGGCCTTGAGCAGCGTGCAGAAGTCCTCCCAGAATTTGGCGTCGAGGCCGATGGCTTCGCGGACAGCAGGATCCTTAGCGCTGCGCCGGAGTATCTCCTTGCACACCTTCTTGTCGAGCATTTCCAGCGTGACATCCTTCATGTAGCCCGCCGACTTGAAGTGGATGGTGTAGGGCGGCAGCACCAGGCGTAGGAAGACGCTGTGTGCCTTCATGATGGATGTCGCATCTCGTTGGCCCATGGTGACCACCGTGAAGTTTTTATGTCGGATCGCTAGTGTCTCTCCGTAGAAGCTTCCTGCGAGGAGTCGCCAGCATCGCTACTGCTTTTGCTGCTGCTGCTGCTTCTGATGCTGCTGCTGCTACTGTTGCGGCTGTCACTGCCGTCACTATGAGGACCAAATCGGGCAGTCAATCATAGAAACTAAAAGGCTTTGCACTAACCACCGGGCTAGTGGGTGTACCCATACCCATGTCGAAAATTATGCATGGCGAAAGCATAACAGCTACAGGTAAATTCGGCCAAATACCGTACCTGACTACCTACTAACTGGTAGGTACAAGTGATTTTGCTGCAGAGAGCGAGACTTTTATGAGGACGACACCATACATCAGCCGCTCGGATTCTTTGGTGCCTTATGCTCAAGCATTTGTGTTTGCACAATTGGAATATTCGATATCATCGTGGCAAGTAATCATATCATCCCATAAATTTGTGATTCTAATGGGCACTGGCACACTGTAGACACACTCTTCGAACCCCCAGTACCGCACACATATCGCAAACTTGCCGTAGACATGTCTGACATCGCGATTCTTGTCCCACGATACTATCATCCAGGTCCATAGCATCCTCAACTTGTATCCTCCTATCGCAATCCTCGCATCGCGCATGGCTTGGTTCAGTCTGGACGTTGCCCTCGTCCATCAACATGGGAACAGTCGCCTTAGGTAGCTTCCAAAAAGAGTGTAAAGTGCTTCTTTGCGGATGAGTCGAAGGGACTGGCGTCACGGCTTGAGATAGCACAGGCTCGGCATGAGGATGTTGCCTTTGTGCTGCAAACAATCGATTGATGGTGTTTTCTGCTCATCGGCACATGTCAGCGAGAGTGCTCATGTTCATGACTGCACTCGATCAGAAGGACATACCTCGAACCTGTGCCTCCTCGGGTCTATTGTCGCGATGTCTTTTGCGCGTACGGCTGTTGAGATGCGCGGGCGAGTCGTCATATGTTGGCCAGGACCATGTTGGCTTGTGGAGTAGCACGTCTACTGGCTTGGAGGCGTGATAGAAGAAGGATAGAGGAGGACATGATTGTGGTGTCGCGTCGCTCGCGTCGCTCGCGTCTGATGCTGGCGAGGAGAAGGCTGGCGACGATCTTTTGCGTTTTAGTGCCATGTCGCTGACGTTGCACTGTATGTTTGGGTGAAATATCGTGCAATTATGGAGAGGATGATGTTTGCGATGGTATCAAGAGCGTAGGAGGTAGGTTGAATATAGATTGGTGTTCTACAAAGGGAAGACGCGAAAGTCGACGCGTGAGCTTCGCTCTTCATGAGATCATCCGTGCCTCTTGGCTGCTCCTCACCAGCAATACCACGACCCCGCTACACTTCGGGATCATATCTTTCAATACAGGCATCATGTCCAACAACCAAACCGTCCGACACGCCAGTCATGCCGGGTCATGGTATTCAAGCTCCAAGTCTCAACTTGACGGACAATTGGAAGGCTGGCTGTCAGCTGTTAAACCGCCAGTCTCCTGTATCGGCCCTCAGTCCGCAGGCCAAACCTATTCCGAACTGCCCGTTCCAGGCGCACGCGTGATCATTGCGCCGTATGTATAGACACTTGAGAAAAGGTTGGTACCGGTCTAGAGCAAGACTGCTGAACTCGTGCGCAGACATGCTGGTTATTCGTACTCGGGGCCAGCAGCAGCGTGGGCTTATCAGGCTTGGGATGTCTCCAAAGCGTGCGTCTTTCCTCGCCTCAAGTCATCGGTTCTCCTTCAAAACTACAAATCGTATGGGTCATGGGCACTGATTTAAGTAGCAAGAGGATCTTTCTCCTTGGCCCATCACACCACTACCATCTCACAAAGGCCGCACTCTCGCGGTGCACCCACTATGCAACACCACTCGGCAATCTCGTCGTTGATAAGGACACGACAGCGAAGCTACACGCTAGCGGACAGTTCCAATGGATGAGCCAATCCGTGGACGAAGACGAGCACAGCCTGGAAATGCACCTGCCTTACATCTACAAAATGCTCTCCAAGTAAGGCATTTCCAGACAGCCTGTCCGTCTTATACTTCCAGAACCAGCTGACCCCAAAGCCAGGACATTTGGCGATGATCCCACAGAGTTTCCTCCTCTTGTGCCCATCATGGTTGGCAATACTTCGCAGTCAACAGAGCGCTCCCTGGGTCGCATACTGGCAGAACATCTCGCAGATCCAACCAACGCCTTTGTAATATCTTCCGACTTTGCTCATTGGGGCTCTCGGTTCCGTTATACGTATTACAAGCCGTCGACAGGCTCAGCTGTTGATCTCAAGTCCTCGGGACCAGTTCCCACAAGTCCTGCAATTCATGAATCAATCAAGGCTGTCGATTTTGAATGCATGGAAGCGTGCGAGAGTGGTAGTCACGAGCGGTGGTTGCACGCCCTCGAGGATACGGGTAATACTGTCTGTGGCAGACATCCGATTGGAGTGATCATGGCCGCGGTAGAGGAGGTGAGAAAATCGGGCGGTAAAGAGGGCATCGGCGCGTTCAAGTTCGTGCAATACGATCGTAGCAGTCTGGTCATCAGGGTCAGCGATAGTAGTGTCAGCTACGCCAGCGCTTTTGCTGTGATCTGAGACGATGGCAGCAATTTGGGCTATGCTCAACATGATGAACGACTCCACGTAGAAGGAATGACCATAGTGACGAGTACTCATTGAAACCACAACAGTATATGTCAATTTTATTACACGTGCTCTTCATTGCCAGGCTGAACATGGATAAGCACAACTCTAGTCCTTGAACTTGCGGTTCTTGTTCTCGCCAAACAGCGTGGCTCTCACAGCAGGCAGACCGTCAGTCTCTAATAGATGCAATCGCTCCTCGAAGGTGTTGTTGATATCAATCTTGCCGGTACTGTTGAGGATGATGACACCTCCCGCACTGTTCACATATTAGTTTCACAAGGACCAACCAAGATAGAGGAAGGGAATGTCAAAACTCACGAGTTTTCAGGCACACGTTCCTTATCATCCACACTGATCTCAACGTCATTCTTCATACTCTTCTTAAACTCTTCCTTGGCCTTCTCCGCCGCCTTCTTCACCACATCATCATCCTTCTTCCTACACCTCAACGTGACCTTCTTCTCGTTCACCAGCGCATAGAGCCCCTCCAAAATCAAATCCTTGAGCACCTTTTCATATTTCCCCTTATCCTTGGTCGCATTCTCTCCCAATTTCTTATGAGCATCCTCAAACAACTGATCCAGCAGCTCCTGTCTGGCACTCAAGATGCGGAGACGCGTCTTGTTCGCAAGAGTGGACTTGGTGATTTGCTGGCTCATGCCTGCTTGTGTGAATTTCTTTTGGTACTCGCTGTCGATGCGCGAGGTTTCGGAGCGCACAAGTTTGGACTTTTCGATGCTGAACTCTTCATCGGCTTTGAGGTGGATTTCTCGGGCTTTCTCGAGCGCTTCCTGCCGGATGAACGCTGTCATCTTGCGCAGCTCGTTGCTGACTTGGTCGTCGGACATTGCGTGTATCTGCGACATGATGACTGTGTGGGAGGAAGCAATTGAGGGTGTGTAGCTCGCTCGGTAGATGCGCGGTGAATTGTTGTCGCGGATTCGGCGGGCAGAGCAGACGAGTCGGGCGTTGTAGGTGTCGCAGTAGGTAGTAGTGTCGTTGTGGTGGTGATGGTCTCGAATGGCGGAGCTAGCTGTGTCCAAGCGCAAGTTGAGGCTCTGCGAGCTTCCCTTCTTGCCTCGCGTCACAAGATGCAGGTCTACGCCTCACCTTGACCGCTAGCTGGAGGTCATCCGACAGGTTATACGACAGGTCCCTCCTTCGTGTGCTCGGTCGTCGCTCTCTCGTCGACGACTTGCAATCCATTCCTCGCGTCCGACTCGCGAGCCCGCCAGCACGCGACAAACATGCGGTGACACAAAAGCACACCCTGGACTTCTGGACTCCTGGCCAACATCAACACCCTCCCACTGCTCCCTCGGTCGCGACGCGCTACAGCGACTTCACCATGGATCCCAGTGCTGCTCTCGCCATGGGCGTCATCGTCGGTCTGGCGTCCACATGCGTCCAGTCGGTCGGTCTCACGCTGCAGCGCAAGTCGCATATGCTCGAGGACGAGAAGATTGATGAGTCGGACCGCCGCCCACCCTTCAAACGGCGGCGATGGCAGATTGGGATGCTTCTCTTCTTGGTCGCCAATATAATCGGATCTACCATACAAATCGTAGCGTTACCGCTGCCACTGTTGAGCACGCTACAAGCTTCAGGCTTGGTCTTCAACAGCATATTGGCTAGCTTGCTGCTGAAAGAGCCTTGGACGTGGAGAACTGTATATGGCACCGTGCTGGTTGCCGCAGGAGCCGTCTTGATCAGTTACTTCTCTGCCATGCCTGAACCGAGCCATACCCTCCAGCAGCTGCTGGTACTACTGGCAAAGCCCAGCTTCCTGGTCTGGTTCATCCTGTCTCTTGTCTTTGTTGCCGCTGTTCTAGTCATGACTTTCTGTCTACGATACCTGCCGGGGCACAGGAGAGAGACTGCTCGCATATCTCTGGTCAATGGCATGGCATTTGGCTTGGTATCAGGTGTGCTCTCTGCACATGCTCTGCTGTTGGCAAAGAGTGCTGTAGAACTGGTTGTTCGAAGTCTCACGCACAAAGAGAACCAGTTCAAGACATTCGAGCCCTGGCTTCTTCTACTCGCTTTTCTGTTCCTGTCATTGTCACAACTTTACTACCTCCACCTGGGTCTGAAGCTCATCTCGACGAGCGTGCTCTACCCGTTTGTGTTCTGCATCTACAATATAGTGGCTATTTTGGATGGCCTTATATATTTCCAACAGATGGATCGCTTACCACCGCTCTCTGCTGGTCTCATCGCGCTTGGTACGGTTCTTCTACTGGCCGGAGTGCTTGCCCTGAGCTGGCGTCTGCAAGATGACGACGAAGACGGAGAGCATCATATTGTCAACAAGGCCGAGATACCTCAAACTCTTATTGCACCTGGCATGGGCTTTGTGGGCGACCCTGACACCGAGTCCAGTGACTCCGCTTCTGTACACTCGGAGGACGAGCTGGGCTCGGATCAGGAGGCAGATGAACGGTCGCCACTCATGCGAAGGTCAGCGCAGAAGAGGCATGCCTCCATCAACCATTCTCCTGGCCATAGTCACGTGCACACGTCTAGGCGCAGACATCGCGCTGCCACATTGAAAGATGTTAGGGCTATATGGGAATCTTTGGATACAGATGACGACTATGCTACCTTGAACCGCAGACCTGATTCAGCGAGGACTGCACCACAGGGAGCTCTAGGTAGCGGACAACACAGAAGTAATCGGCGATCAAGCACGGGGAAAGGATCCAACCTACTCGCCATGGATGAGTCGGAGACGGCTGTAGAGGTGTCGCCAGCACTATCACGGTCAAACACGGCGCCAGCTACATCCCACCGACCTCGGCGGAAAAGTAGTTATCATGGAAGTGCACTATTTCAGGACCTCCTGAAGCGCACATGGTGGAATTCCAAGCAGAAGAATGACGAAGAGACGCATGACTCTACACACGATAGACGTGGTGCGAATGGTACGAACAGTACGACATGATGATCATGCCTAGATTGGAAATCTAACAGTCTCTTACTCCTCCCTTGAACTTAGTACTACTCCTGTAACTATGAAGACCAATATCCCAAATGTTTACTTATTCATGAACGTGAATGATCCACCTGTGTCTGATCAATTTCCACAGTAGCCTACATGACCATGAAGCTTACACTTTCTAGAGCCGTTGAAAATACCTCTACCCTACCGGGCTAGCTGCAAGGGCAAGTATAGAAGAACTGTCCTCCTCTGTCGACCCATGTATTATGTTTATCCCTCCTACCTCCTAATTTTGCTACAACAACGCCCCCCCTCAAGATGCGCGCATAGCGAGCCAGCAAAGACTGTGTGTAAGACATACCTTCGAGAGCACGATATTTCACGCCAGGCAATAACACCGCCATAATTGTCTAGTACGCTTGCTTGCTTGCTTGCTTGTGCACAAAGACCTACCTATCTACCTTACCTAGGCACCTATAGTAGGTAACTCTTTACCTGACTCTCCAACCCTTCTAAATCCGCATACATTTAGAGTAAGTACCTGTAAGTAGCATACCTAGACACCGTACTATCCCGCGAAAAGACAGGTCGATCGTCTAGCCTCCCAAATCTAACCTTTATATTCAATTTCTCAGTCCGGGGAAGCAATGGTTTCGTAGTGTAGTGGCCCATCACGTTTCGTTTACATTCGCAAAAGACATCCATGTCTGGGAAGTAGAGCCGAAAAGGTCGCGAGTTCGATCCTCGCCGAAACCTTTGTTTTGTTTTTGCGAGTCTTCCTTTTGTGCGTTTTGGTAAGGTACCTGGCAAGATTTTCTGGTTTTTGGTGGATGGATGGATGGCATCACGAAGGGAAGATTGACTGGAAAGGAAAAATTGGCTGGATTCGATGCGAGGTTGAAAGGAAGGAAAAGAAACAGTTGGTGAAGGGAGCTTTGTTTGACTTTTTTTGATATTTTTTTTTGGATCGAGAGAAATGATGATAACAATTTCTTTTCCTCTTCCAGTGTCCTGCACTTCTTCTTCTTCTTCTTCTTCTTCTTCTCTGCTCTATAGGTTCTCTGTTTGAAAAAAAGAATCTACTACATGTAGTACTCATAGTTTTCTGAGCTGGATATCTCTTTGCGCTGTCGTAAATTCATCATCCCGCAGGTTGGGAGATTGGTATCATGCGGATCCTTCATCACACACACATACACACACACAAGCGTACAAATACACACTTCCCATTTCGCGACATCATCGACATCATCAAAAACACGTTCAAGACTCCATCAGACGTTGGAGCTCTTCCTCATCCGGCCAGGGACCCTTTTCTTCCTCGGTGGCATTCAAGACGCCTTCTGCTCTCCGTAACGTCAAGACATCCAGGTCGGTGACGTACGGACCTCGAGCATCGTCTGCATTCAGCGGAATTCGCACTTCGTGCTCGGCATCGAGCATCATGTCGTCCTTCCATAGCCTTCTGGGGCCTTCAAATACACATAGAACACGCTTCTTCATCTTCATCTTGTCGGGGGCGGCGCCCCATGATAGAGGGTAGTTCTTCCTCCGCTTCGATCCTTTCCCGATCATTTGACCAGCGAGAGCAACACCATTCTTCGACAATGTCAGACCTCTCTTCTGGCCTGGTTTGACAATGCCACCATTCTTGCCAACACGCTTGCCGGTCCTGCGCTTGCCATATGTGCCGTCATTCGCATCCTCCTCCTCGCAGTCATCCTCCATATCCTCTGCTTGGTCGTAGTTGGTCGATAGAGTGAGATCGACCTCGGTGGGAAGATGATGCTTCTCCAAAGTCTCCCGACACTCCCTATCTTGCGAGATTTCAGTCAACAGCTTCTCGTTGTTCGCTTCGCTCGGCTCCGCCTGCTGTACCACACGAAGTACACAGTCGTCCAAATGCTCGTAAAAGTCCTGGGCATTCGCAAAAGTGTTACCGCAGGTCGAGCACATGCCGGATGCCTCGATCCCAATGGCCTTCTTGCTGCCCACTATCGGGCTCTTCTTCCGTGAATTTGGTGGCGTCTGCTCAACACCGTGTATCGTTGTGAGATGTCTCTTGAACACGTCCGCTCGATTGAAGCTCTTCTCTGCTGAGCTCCCGCTTCCAGGACAAAACCCGCACACCATGGTACCTTTGTAGTGGGTCAAGGTATGTCGGTTCTTGTCATATTTGCGAGCGAAACCTTTGATATGATATTCGCAAGTCGGAATTGGGCACTTCTCAGGGCGCTCGTGCTGGTGAGTGAGCATGTGCGCCTTGAGATCCTTGACATGTCTGCCACAGGTCGCGATAGGGCACGGACCCTTGTTCGAGTCTTCTGATGAATGCGAGTTCTGGCTATGTCTCGAGTGTACAGAGGAAATGGAAGGTCTTCTCCCACTGGGCTGCTGCTGTTGTGGAGATGGCTGCTGCCACGTCTGATATGGAGATTGTGGCTTTATTGATGCCGATCGATCATCATGCAACGACGTTCGCGATGGTACCGGGGACATGCTGTGATATGTCATGGGCAAAGGCGATTGCACAGGAAGCACGGATGATGGGAAGGAAGGGCCAATATGAGATGGCGAGAAGGGCTGGATCAGCGAGGGATCTAATTCACTTGGTTAGCTCATGCACTCGCACGGTCATCGTTGCAAGCGAGAGAGAGAGAGAGAAGAGAAGAGAAGAACAGGAAATGCGACATGAAGTAGGAGAGAACGGACAAGAAGACTCGAGAGGCGGTACGAAATAACCGCTGGATTGAGAAAAGAAATGAGATGATGATGGTGTGTGAGAAAAACGACGTCCATTTGCGCAACGTGGTGTGGTTGATGCTGTAGTGGCATTGCTGCTGCACTTTTTATATTCGATCGCGCTACCGGGTGACGTGGCTGAGGCTGGCGTGGTTGGCGACCGAAAATGATCCCGGGCCACATGTTGGACTTCGGCAGTAGAGGTGGAGAACAGAGGAGCATCGGATAACACAGTAGACTGCAGCTGCTGGGAAGAAGAAATGCTCGACGACTCACCAACACAACCCTTATCGGTCACCGGAATGCTGTCGTATTCAAAGGTAGTTGCTGCAAAGACGCCGTTGTCGTTGTGCTGCACAATGTCGGGAAAGAGGTTCAGGTGGTGGTTCCATTCGCTGGGCTGCATTTGTGCTGATGGCGATCCCATTGCGGATGATATGGTGCTGTGTCCCGAGTCTGATGTGGTAGAGAACCGAGGCGGGTTCTGGTAATCGAACGAGTGTGAAGTCGAGTGGGCAGGCGAGTGGAATGGTTCCTTGGCGTGCTGAGGCGTCTGTTCGAAGGTGCAATCGCTATACTGCTGAGGGGCCTGGAAGGAGGAGTCAAAGGTAGTTGCGCTCAGGTAAGGCTGGTCTGCATAGGTAGATGTAGGAAGATAGGACTGTTCGGGATTCCAGCTCTCTGCATCTGGGTACAGTGTGAAGTCGTCCGATGCCATGGTCTGTGCAGAGTAGTCTGCGTAGGACGCCATGGTCTATACTGGAGCCAACATCAACTAGTGGAGTTTTGTGTCGACGTTGTTGCGACTGGGTGAAGATTGACTGGTATTTGGTCAGCCCTGGGGAACAATCTGTTTTTTTTTCAGCCGCGGCAGGCACAATAAGCAACACCTACATATAAGGTACGGATGATCAATGCGAACTCGCAACTGGAATGTCAGGCAGTACACTTTGTGTTGGCGTTGGTGTTGGTGTTGGCGCAAGCAGATCAAGGCGGATATTCTTGGTTGCAGCAACTGGGAAGGGACAATGTGTTGTAGTGAGTTGGAATTGCAGGTGTTGTTGTTGTTGTTGTTGTTGTTGTTGCTGCTGTTGTTATTGTTGTGGTGGTTGTACGAGCAGAATGTCCAACAGACCGTGCAGACACAAGAATACCAGAGCTGGATTTAGACGCAAGTACGATATGCATTAGAACGAAGGTGTTATTATTGGGAGGCGAAGCCAGAGGGCTATGTATAATTATAAGATTAGGATGCTGGCATGGTGCCTAGAGCAGGATGCCTGAAGGATGCGCAGCACGAGCCACGCCCGGCGTCGCCCGTGCCGAATCCTGGTCTGCCTTATAAGCCATGGCGGGCAGTAGAACTACCTCCTAGAGGTACCTAAGGTAAGGTAAGGTCAGGCAAGGTAAAGTACCTCCTAGGAGGTCAGCGGTATCTCCGTACCTCTCGCAGTGGTGGTGGACTGGTGGTCCTGGTGCTCTGGATGGAGGATGCATAGCCTTACAGAGGGCTTCCCTCTACCGCCCGAGCCCCTGCAGCCTGTCATCATCATCATCATCATCATTCTCATCATCATTCTCATCGGCCATCGCGTGTGAGGCCGCCAGACGGTGAGAGCGGGAACATGCACATCCTTCAGGTGGATCTGGAACTGGGACTGGCACTGGGACTGGGACGGGAAGGAGAAGTAATGTAACTGGTCACTCTGATGTCTCGCCCGTACATCCATCGCAACAAAGCGCAGAAGCACCATAGCTGTGATAGCATACCATACTGTACAGTCCGTACCCTCTGCTCGGTCTGACCAGAGAAAACTCTCACCGGCGCCGAATGTCACAAAGTGCAGAGTGCATGATTGATGAATAAGCCTATAAGGGCGTGCGGGAGAGACGAGGCGCAGACCGCTGAGACCGGTGGGGAGCCTGCCTTTACCTGCCTTCCCTGCCCTGCCCTGCCCCTGCCGCCCCTGCCAGCGAATCTAAGTTTGGGATCGCGCCTTCCCTCTTAGAGACGTCCATGCTGTCGGTGCACCCTCCGATTTACGCGAACTGACTGCCCTGTGACTCCTTCGTGGGAAACAGCGAATCCTTCCACCGCACACTCTCGCGAAAGGTCGACAATTGACTGGTCGGCGGCACGCGTTTGCCAACACCACGGCATTCCATTCCAATCACAATGTCCAGCCTTCCTGCAGCATGAATGTGATAGTGTCCTAGGAGGTAGTGCCTCCATCTCCTGTTCTGCTACATACTCTAATAGGCATGTGTACTCCACACAGCACACAATGAATATGAGACCTGCATCCGAGCACCGGTGAAGAGAGGTCTCCGCGTGCATCGGTGTCCAGTCATGATCCCGGTCCCGATATTGTAGAGTCGCCAGTGAATGGAGGATATTATTATTATGGTACTGTAGGATTCTAGGATTCACGGATAGGGCGACCACGGGCGCACATGTGCTGGGCTACATGTAGGTACTTTATACTTATTCCGGCGCCGACCCAGAGACACACACTCACGGGAGCAGTAGTACCTTCTAGGACTCTACAGCTACATGTATCTGCGGACGGAGAATAAATCAGGTATCATCGCAAATGCGCAATCGCAACAACTTTGCATTCCTCCATCTTGCTTCTGCTAATCATGGTATATATAGCAACCCGACAATATGATTCGCCTATGCACTTTATTACAACTTACAAGGAGGTATCTGAGAAAATCCCGATACGGTTACGTGAAACCAGGACCCCGGCTAAGCCTCTTAAGGTCAGTGTGAGGGCGTCCAGCTTTGCTCGGAAAGCTTCTTTCGTGGCTGTGCAGCCTGTGCTGTTTTTCTCGGCCTCTCCGAAAAACTTTCTCCACACTGCCTTCCTTGTACTAACCTTACCTGTACCTCTCCCTCCTACCTCATGGCGACCCCGAGAGAAAGAGTACCTTACCTGTAGGTACATATGTACCTTTCCGTTACATGTATCACCTCAATGGATACCATCGAAGCGGCCTCATTTAATGATATGATCATGGCCCCGCTGCACCTCAACCTACTACTACCGCCCTCCCCGTCGGCACCGGGGTTTGACAGGCGTTGCCTTTGTCTCCCAGCATGCTCTTGATCGAGCACACGACAAGCCACATGTCCAATTGCGAATGAATAAAGGACATCGGACGTCCCCGCCGTACACAGGGGCATCCTCGTCGTCGTCAAAACCAGAGGGACCGTTGCCCTCAATTCAGATGTACTGTCGAAACATCAGGTAGCGCTATTTTGTCTCCTGCCTACCATCTACCTCCCGTCCTCTCCGAGGTAGTATGCCTGCGATGAAAATCTAACAACGTAACATGCTTGCACTCCGGCTGTGGCTCGGCGGCAAATGTTTCGGCCCTGTAGGCCTCGTTGGCGCTCGCGTCTCTCCCCATCGTATGATCAAGTGGAATTGCGAGGAGCCCGAGCTGGAGGGACTTCGCTACGTCGCCGCGAACACTGATATTCTCATCCCTCGGCTATGCCGAGTGCATCGATCCCACCATCAACTAGCACTCGAAATGGGATTCTTCTCGGGATGCGGTCCCCTGCAAGTTTGCTGGCGGAACTATACATGCAATCAGAAACAGGCCATTGTCGACGAGATTGTAGCGTTTATCAAGCAGCTCCGAAAGCTGGAGGCTCCTTGCCCACAACGAATTTCACGGACGGCGGTGCATGTCGCGACATCCGCGTCGGCTCGGTCAAGCGATTTGGACCTTTCGACGACATTGCTGCGTTCCATGATTGTGTACGCGATGGCATTGCGCTAGAGTACGTGCAAGGTTCGTTTGGTGCGAAGGTCCTGCAGGTACACCAACGCCAGTACAAAATCTGCTTTACGCATGGAGATCTCGGTGTCCAAAAGAATTCTCGTTCGTGATGCCAAAGTGGTCGCCCTTATTGATTGGGAGTGTGCGGGATGGTATCCCGGGTATTGGGAATATACAAGGGCGCATTAAAACAGCATATCACTAGACAGTGCCGCCGCCGCGGAACCTAATTGACGTGTACGGAGCGCAAAATGTGCCTCTAGGAGGACCATTTGCGATAGTGGACTATATCCGTACGTTTACTAACCGGATATGGTGCGTAGGCAGCGACGGCGACGATTTACGAGGGTATACGAGCGTCTTACTATCGACATATAACTATCGTCCATTTTTGGTCGATAGCTGAGTAGACAGGTGTCAATAGCGCTAGCAATAGTGACCGGAAACTATCGACATACTTACTATCGACATACTTACTATCGACACAACTATCGACAGAGTAGACGGTGCCTAAATGTTTGTGACGTTGACTTCCACTAGCGGCCGTCGTTCTCACAGGGTCATTCATTGGCCAGAGTAAGCAATAGTAACCGGAAACTATCGACATACTTACTATCGACACAATTATCGACAAAGTAGACGAGCCTAATGTTTGTGACGTTGACTTCCACTAGCGGCCGTCGTTCTAACAGGGTCGTTCATTGGCTAGAGTCAGGCGACATGGTTCGACGGTCGACGTTCACCCAAACCACATTTCAACAAAACCTCCAACCCATCCAACAACCTCCCGGGGCGGCAAATCCTTCACATCTTTGCGATTTAGGTTGCGGAAGCAATACAACATTTTCTTCACACTGGCACGTAATGCTCCAATCGATTCCTTCCGACACTTGGCATGACTTTGCCGCACAGAGAGAGAGAGAGAGAGAGAGAGAGAGAGAGAGAGCCACTTTCGCCCCGTCATGGCAATCAATCAATACATTTGGGAAAGCACGGGCTTGTTGCTGAATGAATCAAGGCTTTACGCCGAAATTTCATTCTTCTCGACAACAAGAAGAAGATAATAGTTATCATAATGAAAGCTACCTACCTGACTTTATAGAAGGCCTCATCCCCTGGCCTGGGTAGCCATTCGATGGACTGGACCCGCAAAGAAGACCTTATACCTCAACCATCACGCCTCAAAGTCCAGCTGTCGGCCTGATAGCCTTATCCCAGGTGCTCTTTGAAACTGAACGAGTGTTCATGAAAGACGATGATGATTACCGGTATTAGAAACGGTGACGATGGCGACGACGATAATTTCCCATGGCAGGTTCATGCCACAAATAGGTAAGCAAGATGCTGCTGCGTTTGCAATTACAAGAACGTACATGTAGCTGTATTAACACGCGTGCCTCTTGCGACGCGTACTGCTGAAACTTTTTCTGTCGATGTTAAACCTTTGCTTGGAGTTTCGTACCTCCCACCATCACTCTCAAAACGACAAAGACCATGCCGGCGAAGAGTGTGGTGACACCAGCATATGTCCACGTGCCCGTCCAGTGCAATTTGGCTGCACCCGTGCCCAGGATAGCGCCACCTCCGGGACCGCCTGCGAGGACTCCGAACCCTATCATTGCGAATGCCATTCCAATTCTCGTGCCCACTTTGCTCTTATCCTTGGTGAGTGCGACGATCACGACGGGTGGAAGAGCGACGAAGATGCCGCTAAAGAACCCGAAAAGCAGCGCTTCCACGACCATTCCTCCTGCATTGCGAACTGCGAGCAGACAAAACAAGACGATACCCACAATGGTGGATCCTGCTTGATGTCAGCATCTTCAACTCGCTACCTAGAATCATACGTTGGGCAGGTGCGTCGCACTCACCTGGCGCGATGACGTTCAAAGGACCAATCTTGTCGCTCAAGATGTTGGGAAGCACTCTGCCAAATACGGATCCAGAATTCAGGATAGGCACCAGATAGAACGAGAGGCTATCGCTGGTGTATCCGCGATGCTGACCGTAGAAGCTGATGTAGAAGAAGCCGACGTAGAGTCCGATGAAGCCTATCAAGCAGCCAAACACAAAAGTCATAAAGGGGACATCTTTGAACGCCGTCCAGTCGACAAGTGACCTAGGTCTTGGCGGCTTCACTCTCTGCTGCATCAAGAAGACGGGGATGAGCAAAGTAGCCAGTGCCGTGAAACCCAAGATCCGCACTGACCAGCCGAAACCAAGGTTCTCGTGGTTGATGAGTCGGTAGAACATGATGGGGTAGATGATACCTATCACACACGAGTCAATTGTTGTGCACTGTTGATCACTATCGTGAGAAACACATACCACCCATCGAGCTCCCGCTTGCAGCCAGGCCGATGGCCAGACCAATTCTGGTCGAGAAGTATGTTGGCAAGATGGCCACTGAAGGCACAAAGAGACAACCACCTCCGATGCCAATCACAAACCCCTGTGCGAGTAGACATTGCCAGAATTCGGTGCACAGGCTGAGCATCATGTGTCCGAATACCTGAGGCACGGTCAGCGGAAATGGAAGCTAAGCAAGTAGCCCGGCTCAGAAGCTGGACGATATTTAAGACGCACAATGAGAAACGAGCCTGCGATGAGAAGGGCCCTGAAATGTCCTCGGTCATAGATGGGACCCACGAATGCGCCCACCAGGAGGACCTGCCATGAGACGACCGTCAGCGAAGAGTGACGAACACAGATCTCTCGCGCTTCGTACTCACCATGAACGACTGAATCGAGCCGATCCATGAGATGTTGCTCGAGGTCTCTACGAACAACTGTCCGCTCTCGTAGTAGGTCTGGTATACTCCAAAGGTATTCAGAATGCCCCTTCAAACAACAATGTCAGTAGGCAGGCTTGCTGACAAGACCCAAGGGGCGCGGGCAATCTCGCACCATGTATTGAAGAAGAGCATCCAGCTTGAAAGCACCTGTATCCACGCTTTGATTCCACCATTGGGAATTGGCCCGCCTGGTGGTCCAGCAGTGTTGTTTGGCGCTCCGGGGAGCTGAGCGTGATCGTATGTGGCATTGCGGTCGGCGAGCGACTCTGGCTTTCCGTCGGAGGCTGTGTCTTTCTCGTCGGGAAGGTTGATCGGAGCGGGTGCGTTTGTCGCCATTATCCTGGTCCGCCAAGAAAGACTAAGGTATGATTGGGTGTAGTTGCGTAGTCTGCACGACAGGCATGCTGATGGCACAAGAAAGTGTCTGGTACGACGAAAAACGTCGAGATGGTGATGAGGTAGGCACGTGGCGGACGGGCATGCAGCAATGATTGCCGTACGGGCCGAAGGACGAGCAACTCGCGACGATCAACGCCATCGGCCGAGGCGTTCTCGATACCGAGCGAGGATGGGCGACGTGCACCAGCATAGCCATTCATAATTCATTATTCAGCGAATATTGACCGATAGAGATCTCATTATTGGCGACGAATCCACAACGAATGCGCGTAGAGGCGTGAGATGGAGTTACGGCAATTGTCAGCACAGCGCTGCAGACATGATCACATTGATATGAGGGTGCATGTAGGCATTCAGAGATGCTCAGATGCATGGGCATATCTTGGCAGCGACTGGGGTATCGAAGCTTATCATTATTGTTATGCCAATTTACACCTGGGCAGTGGGCAGGCTAAGGCACAGTACCTTACCTGTACCTACCTACCTTGGTTGACAGTTGACCGGTTCCTGCCTTGTGCTGACGTGACGCTAGAGAAGGAAAAGACGTGACTTCCACGCGCAGCCTCCGTCTCATTGATGACAGCAAAGCGGCAGTGCCAGTCGAGCCTCCGCGTGATAAGGTATCCTCCTCCTACGCATCTCCTGCCTACCAGTAGGTCTGCTTCAACTCATCTCCACACAGTAAGGTGTAACTCCCGCTTGAGCATCAGATACAACATCGCGCAGCGCAGTCATCCCATTCATACCTACAGAGAAGAAGAGGGAATAGAAGAGCCTATCGTCAACATGGCCGTTCCCACCACCCGTATCCACCTGCGGCCATTGAGGCCCCAAGATCTGCCGTTGCATCCAGAGATGGCTTCCAAACAGAACCCTGCCACGTCGCCAGACCTGCAGCGCTTCGTATCCGAGGTGCTCGACGAGGGCCAGAGATTCATGACAACAACGTTGGAGGATGAGAATATCTTCAAGTCGAAAGGAACGAGAAAGGACAAACCCGCTACTGCCCCCATCAGGATCCGAGCTGCTGTCTTGACGCCCGAGCACTCCGACTTCGAGTATCCTACTGAGAATTGGTTTGCACGAACCAGCGAGCACGAGAACAGGAACGCTGATGGCACCGCCCCTTGGCATGAATTCGACCAAAGTCTGCGTATACATCACAGCGACCATGAAAAGATCTACACTCCTTCAGTTCAAGCCGCCGAAGAATTGTTCTCGTGGCAAGAGCAACTGGACGCCTTTGCTTCTCGAGTTGGACCTTGGCAGGAAATCACAATGGAGATCCGGTCCATGGAGCACAAAATACCGCCCCCTCTACAGCGCAGAGTATTCAGGGTTCTCGTCATCACAGCATCTCGAGGCGAAGCCGGGAGTGCACTGATAGTCGTTCAAATTCCGGTAGAAGGCAATCCTATCGAATCGAGAGATGGCGTCGTGTACGGCATCTATTGCAGTGTTGAGACAGCCCGGCTGGAAAACGGCAGGACCATATGGTCCATGGCGACCGCAAGCGATGCAAAGGGGTGGATGCCTATGTGGCTCCAGAAGACACAGATGCCGAAAGCAGTCGCGGTGGATGTAGGTTACTTTATCAAGTGGCGTATGGAAGTGCGCCAAAGCACTGCCTAGGTGGCTATGACAGCGAAGAATGGTGTTACATATTATTACGAAAATCCACAGGGACAGGAGAGGCCCACCCGGTGGCAGGATAACTGCCGCAAGCGATGCTGCAACTCCACCCACTTCGCAGGAATTTCTCATGGCAAGATACGGCGCAGTCCGCGCATCCCAGAGAATGAACAGATCACTTGCAATCCGCGTTTGCGTACGAGTTAGATGAATCGCGCGGAGGCAACGTTTGACTGTTCAGCTAAGGTACCTTAAGGTGTTTACTGGGCAATCACGGCTGCATAGGTATGATACCCATTCTTTCGTAACATGCATTCGCACCGCATAGCATGCATCGCACAGTATGTACAAGTCGATATGAAGGACTGTCTCGTACGTGGTGAAATTCTCGACACAAAAAGCCGTGTCGTTCGACATCAGGCTGGCGAAGTATGCCGGCTTCATGTTCTCAGATCTATCAATGCTGGCCACTCGAATGGTGACGGGCATCGAGAAGATGATGCAGCTCCAATTAGTCGTGACAAAAACAGCGCTGGCGGGCGTATGCCTCTCCAGGATCTGAATCACACTTCCTAGGTAGGTAAGCAACTCCAGGGCAGGCACAGGCAATACATAGCAGCAAGCGCCAATACAAACTCAGGTTTTACTGCATTATTATTATTACTGCAGTGGTACGCTTCCAAGCTGTATCTATACTCGCAACCTAAGGTGATGCGCGTGCCACCAACAGGCCAACTAGAGTGGCGCATCTGATACAAACGTGAGACCATGGCGAAGAGCTCGTTGCTGACTGGAGAGCGAAGCTGGAGGCGGCTTATTGTTGGATCCGGCAGCGTCCTAATAAGGTACGCAGAATAGTCCGCCATCGGCATCCATCAGGGGCCTGCGAAGTAATTTTACAGTGGTATAGAGTGGTGAGAATGTGCAAACCCGCCCAACGCCTCGCTAAATCTAAATCACAATGTATAATGTACTGTACAGCCTTTGAACACATATATCTCATTCAGTTGGCGCCCTTCTCCAAGAACTCTTTCGCCTCGTTGATCTTCGTTGCGAGATATGGACTTCCGCCTCGATCGGGGTGGTTTAACAGCATCAGTTGTCGATGCTTCTTGCGAATCATTTCTTTCGTGATGCCTCGTTCTCTGTTGCGCGCCTGTTGTCAACTTCCGCCCATTCTCTAAGCCTTGCTTGTACGCCTTTCTGCTGCTTACGATGTCTCCAATATCAGGGCTGCTTCTCTTCGATTCATCTGCTTCTCGAAACCGCCATTATAGTATGCTTTCCCCAGTGCGCTGGTGCCCCCGCGGGCTCGACGGAGTGCTACGAGACCTGCGCGTCCCTGTGGATTGCAATCAACAGTGTTAGTGGAAGGGTTCGATGCGGCCAGTTGACGGTGGTGGTGGTGGTGATGGGAGAGCGTACGAAGAAGGCAGCTGCGGCGACTCCAACGCCCACGGCAAGAACGGTGACCATGTCGAAGTCGTACTTGGGATCGGTTGATGTGATGTACAGTTGTCTGTTCAAAGGCGGCGTTGACGGTTGTTACATGTAGCCGTCCCTTGAAAATCTTGGCATCACAAAAAGTTCGGGTGATCCTCTGCACGCCAACAGAATTCTTTTTTGTCTCCGACCAGCTACACAGTACAGGTACTCTTCACACCACCAACGACGACGACTGAACACTCCAAACCTCCGCCACGATGAGAATCGAGACGTGTTATTTCTGCTCGCAGCCGTGCTATCCCTCCAAGGGTATAACATTCGTCCGCAACGATGCAAAAGTTTTCAAATTCTGCCGCTCGAAATGCCACAAGAACGTACGTTGCGCCGCACCACCTCCCGACGCACTCCATGCATGATCACTGACAGATGTGATACAGTTCAAAATGAAGCGTAACCCGCGAAAACTCGCCTGGACCAAAGCCTTCCGCAGCGCGCACGGAAAGGAAATGCCCATCGACGGCACTCTCGCCAACTTCGCCCAACGCCGCAACATCCCCGTCCGCTACAACCGTGACTTGGTACAAAAGACGCTGCAAGCCATGTCTCGTGTGCAGGAGATTCGCGACCGCAGAGAACGACAATTCTACAAGGAACGCATGAAGGGCAACAAGGCGCGTCAGCTCGAGGCCGATCGGAAACTTGTCGCCGAGAACCAGCACTTGCTTCCGCCGCAATACCGCGATCAGGTCGAGCAGGCTCTACAAGAGATGCCGGTGGAGCAGGTACAGGAGGAGACGATGGAAGAGGACATGGAAGAGGATATGGAGGAAGAGTTGCCGTTGGAAGAGCAAGAGAGACTTGCACCCAAGAAGAGCGCGCTCAAGCAAAAGAAAAAGCAGAAAATGGTCCGAGGGAAGGGTGTGGAAGCCATGGATGTCGATGGTTAAATCATCAGCATCTGGTTGATGAGATGTTGCGATGTTTTTTCCTCTTTCACAAGCGAAGGTGTCTGGCGTTTTCATGGACAGTCATGGCCAGGTTTTGGCATTGCAATACGAGGGTGTGTATCAAGCAAGCAGGCTATCATCACTCTAGGTCAGTCTTCATCATTCAAGGTCAGTCTACAGCATACTTCCTTCCACAATCGCATCCCCGACAAGCATCACGTTCTCCTCTATTCAGTGAGGTGTAGCGTCTACAAGTGGGTGCCAGATCGACGAAGCTTTTTACTTTCTGTTCGACCGCATATAAGGCCTTTATGGACACCATGGCGCTTGAATCCATAACAGATCGCTGACATTTCTTTCAAGGGACCTGCTACCCATGTCGCAGATATCTATCCTGTCTGATCCGAGCATCTCTCCAAACATGGCGCAGTATCAGGACGCGATGGCTTCTCCATTGTCTCATCACTACTGATCGCTCGTCTGTCGTCCCCGTCAGATCCAAGTGTCGACATCTTGCATCTACCAATATGCCGAGTGACCCCGTCCTCGCCTTGTCGTTTATCAGTCCCGTGACGGTCAAGATGACTGGATGCGGTCGTGAAGCGGAGAAGCTTTGGAGAGTGCAACGGGCTATCCTTCAGACGTTACCCATGTCTTACATGCTTTCCCGGCTGTATCACACTCCGGGGACTTCAAGGACAGGCTACATGCCGCAGCACATCTGGGGCTCCAGAACAACAGCCAGTAGTAGTGAGCAGACTCGTGATCGAGTCGTGATCGAGAGGGCGAGCTCGGTGTGAGGAGTAGTCATTTGATCGTGTGGCCAAGCAACACGCGCATGTTCTGCAAGTCTGCAAGTCTGCAACTCCACCTTTCTATGCACAGCATCATGTGGTCGCCCTGGCTCATCAAAGTCTATTAAGCCAATGGATGAAGCAACGTGCCTGCATGGGTGGTTGGGGAGGGCACTGAATGCCACCGATTTGCAGTTCCCTGCTGCTTTGAGCAGTGCACGGTGGCTGGGCTTGAAACCGAGCGGGATCAAACCACAATACCGCCACCTCTTTTATGATCTTCGACTCCATGACCAGCAGCCAAGCAACAATGGGAAGTGACACGCCAAGTCGCAGTGAATGCGTTGCTTTGCGGAGGTACCGCAGTGGTGAGAATGTCGTCTTGGCTGCGAACTTGTCCGGGTAAACAGGCCGATCGAAGCAGGGTGCATAAGCCAGCTCTTGAATCTTGATTTTGTCGATCGAGGATCCGAAAAGTCAACAAGGTTCCATTTGCGTGCAGAGGCGTTGGCGTTTTGCATCATGCTGTCATCATCAGTGCACCATTGCGAACTAGACTGGCAGAGACTGCTCGAATAGATTGGCACGCGCGGCTGGTGGTCGTCTGAGGTATTGCACGACACTCGTAGCATGGCGTGCACAAATACTCCAGTGGGTAACGACGGGAGTGAATGATACATGACTACATGTAGACATAATGTTTGGAGACGCTACATCGGTACCTCGCTCGTGGAACGGCTCTGACAGAGTCTAGACATGCATTGTGCAGACGCGAGAGATGAGCCGCCCGGGCGCGAGCTGGGAATTTGTGGAGAGAGCTTCGGGAGCTGTTGGTCCGCGACAGCAATGCCTCCTAGCATTCGCTGCTGAGTAGTGCTCCAGGTCAGACATCACGACCGTGCAGTCGACTGACAACGGAGGTACCTGTAGTGATGATTCTGGTGCTGCGTGACCGTATACTACAGCATGCCCGGTTGAAGTGGCAGAGTGGCAACTTGCACGTCTATAGAGGATTAATGCGAAGCGGTATTGCATGGAACCAACACCATTGGCTCGCTTGGGGTGCTTGAGAAAAGGAAGACCATGTTGAAGCAAATACAAGGTGTGAGCAAGGAGTATGACGTTTTACAAGCGGGGCTAAGCAGGAAGGAGGAAAGCACGGTCAAAGGACGGTGGCAGGCAGGCGCCAGACGCCTACACTACTACCTTACCTTCTTCCCTCCTCGCTCTTCCAACATCTTCCTCTCCTCACCACTCCATCTTCTCACACAACCTCACGAGAAGTTCAGCAAACATGATTGATCCCGTTCAGGCATTCGCCATGGCGACTGGCACCATCCACGACGCCGCTAAGAGCAGCGTCTCTCCCCGTACGTGTAGCATTCGAGGACCACGATAGCTCTGAAGCTCTCCATACTGACCATTCGACAGTTCCATCCGTGGTTCCAACCCTGCCAGAGTACCAGGACGTCAGCGAGACTGGCGAGAGGACTCTATGGTGAGTCTCCATACACCTGACCATACATATGATATCGTCGTGGCGGCGTTTGCTGCTGAGACGGAGCGCTGGCTCAAGCGCCGGTCGTCAAAGGCTTGGAATATATGCTGATCGTCGGTATAGGGTGGTCTTCGTGGTCATGCTCGTTGCATCCATCGTGTTCTCTGGCCTTGCGTGGAGCGTCCCAATGGTGAGCTTTTACCAGGTGTTCCGCCTGCGATTCTAATGCAAGATGCTAACCGACCCGCAGTCGAAACGTCTCTACCACGTGGTTACTACCATCATCACGATCACTGCGGCACTCTCGTACTTCGCCATGGCTACTGGTCACGGTGTCAGCTACCACCACGTTACAGTCCGCGAGTCCCACAAGCATGTCCCAGACACCACCAAGGACATCTACCGCCAAGTCTACTACGCCCGCTACATCGATTGGGCCATCACTACTCCATTGTTGCTCCTTGATCTTGCCCTGCTCGCCGGCATGAACGGAGGTAGCATTCTCATCACCATTGTCGCTGATCTGATCATGATTTTGACTGGTCTCTTCGCTGCTTTCGGCGCTGAGGGTACTCCACAAAAGTGGGGATGGTACGCCATTGCATGCATTGCCTACTTGGTCGTCATCTGGCAGCTCGTCCTCTACGGTCGTCCTGCTGCTGCTGCCAAGGGTGGTAAGGTGGGCAACTTCTTCGCCGCCATTGGTGGTTTCACCCTCATCCTCTGGACCATCTACCCAATGTAAGTTGTTCGTCCTATATTATGCCCAGCACGGAAGCTAATGTAACTTAGCATCTGGGGAATTGCTGATGGCAGCCGCAACTTGAACGTCGACGAGGAGATTATCTCCTACGCTGTTTTGGACATCCTCGCGAAGCCAGTCTTCGGTGCATGGCTTCTTTTCACCCACGCCAGCATGCCAGAGACTAACGTCGACCTCGGTGGCTTCTGGTCCAACGGTCTCTCGGGCGAGGGCCGCATCCGTGTCGGTGATGACGACGAGGGTGCTTAGATACCACCCCCGGATCGAGACTGAAAGGAACGGTGTTTGCTTAGGCAAGGAGAACGAAGAAAAAAATGGTGCGGGAAATCACGAATAAGACGAAAGTCTTGACTGATACGAGCATGATAAGAAATGGCACATGATTGGATTAACAGCGATACCTTTCGGGCGAAAGTCATCCGGTCGTCTAGCTCAGCAGTTGCTGCGAAGTCGTACGACCTTTGTATCATACCAAGTTAATGCATAATTGTTGGGCATTGGCTAATACGTTTTGTCTCCATCTCCATCGTTTTGTGAAAGTCACTAGTGAAACGAGATTTTATTGCCTGTCGCATATATCTCAGTTATGTATCTGTGGCACTGCGCCCCTCGTCTCCTACGATCTCATCGCGTGAACCCCACACCGAACCACACTGTTACAAATTCAATTGAAGCTGCACGAATTGCAATTCTGCGCCATTATCTTCAAGTGCCTCGTCAAGTCCATTCAGGTTTGATCTAATCCGCATGGTCGCTTGACAATCTTTGGTATACCTAGGAACCTATACTGTGTGCCTTTACTTTCGAGACTGCGCACCGTCGTAACAACAAGGACAAGTCCATGGACGAGGCGTTCAGTGAGAAACAAACTGGACATGATGTACGGTATCTCTATTGAGAGTACCAAGTGCAATTCTATAAGAATCCGTTCACAGACTGGGCATGTTGGGAGACGAGTTGGATTTATGCAAGGGTTCACATGTCCATACGAGCGGAGGTAAGCCGGAGACAAAATATGCTCTGTTTGTACTGGACGCTTCCATGCCAACAGCGGGCAGCTGGAGCTTGCAACATGGTCGCCCCAAGGCAGGCATGTCTCGCAGTTTCAGCAAGGATTTAGGAAAGCTCCATCCTCCCACGTGAATTGTTTTGTCGGCAGGGAGACGAAACATCACATTCTGTTGATCGTAACTTCGTGACTCGAAGGCTGTGTATACAAGCCACAGCCAGCCCCAGTGGTATCAATAAAGCACTCTCCGTCGCCCACAAAACCATCACTTACCTACCTACCTTACTTACCTTACTTTTGAACATCAACATACCGACCTCGACCACAACAACCTCCCCAATACAGCGTTCGAAGTACACGTGCCACGCGCCGCGCATCGAGTCCCGATTGGACCTCCCGAAACGCCTAGCTGCAGAACAATATGGCGACCGAGGTGCCTCCAACCAAGGCTGATGAAGGAGTTGATGATTCGCCCATTGTCGTGAACAGCGAGCGAAGAGACAGTCTGGACAAGAAACTGCAGCTCCGTCCCGACGAGACAGATCTGAAGAATCGACATATTTTATTGGACAATACTGCGGCTCCTGCGCTTCAGGCGAGGGCAGCAGAACTAGAGAGGCAGAGGATTACGGACAATCTGAAGAAGGTACATATGGACGTCTCGCTCTCAGCAATCATGACTGCTCGGGACTGTCACATGTATGCACTGTGGGCATCGTTTTGCTGACTCTGGCATCTCCCACAGGGCCTGTCACACCGTCCAGAAAAGGAAATACTGGTGCAGAGAAACATCTTGCTCGAGTCTTCTGCGGCTCCGGGCATTCAAGGCCAGCAGAGAGAGTTGCAAAAGCACATGCGAGCAGACAGTCTGGAGAAACATTTGCAGCACCGTCCTGACAAGGATGCTCTTCTCAAGGAGGGTATTTTGAAGGGTACGTCGCACACGCGGCAGCCGCTGTAGGAGGTAGCTGTTCGAGATGATGCATACTGACACCGTGTCACATAGATGAGCAATCCGTGTCCGAGGCTTGATCTCTCATCAGACCATTCCAGTGTTTAGCTGAGATTTCAGTGACATGCAGGGAAGGCGGTACGACAATAGGACTTGGGGAGTCTTTGGCAGTGTGGCATGTGTTCTCATTTGGGGGGACCTGGCAGTGTCTCATGTTACAGACGACGGGATGCAACTAAGTGGGTTGTGTTGCGTTGCATGTGGAGGGGGTACTACTTTGACAGGCTGGCTGGACGCGTGTGCTCTGTCACGCAGGCGAGACAGTGGAATGAAGCGTCGATGCGTGAGAGGCTGTAGCAAGAAGCGAGAACAGCATGATCTCCTACATTAGGTAGCGATAGCAAATGCCAGACGACTTTGAAAAACCGACTCCATCAGCAGCAGCAGGAGGAGGAGGAGTACTAAGTAGTAGTAGTAACCAGTGGTGCTGCTGCAGCTGCAATACCTAGATTGATATCGTTTCGTGCTTGGGTACTTGCGTGCCCTAGGGCTGCACGTGAGAACACTGATCCGGTCAGCTCGGAAAAGGAGCTTAGCTCTGCAGCGGAAATAGAAATAGCGGGTCACTGCCAGGTTGGGGGATGTAGGCCTCGGACGGTACCGAATAGCAGCAGAGACGGTCCCTCACACACACTTGTTGAGAAATGAAGAGGCCGAGAGGACACACCCAGGTAGTAGTAGTAGAAGAGCTTTCACATTGCCTTCTTTCATACTGGACCCTCCCGTCCAGATCCCCATACAAACAACTCATGTCCATACATATAGGTACATCCACAGGTACATGTACGTATACGGAGGGAGGAGGTAGACTTTTCCGCGCACGAGGGAGCCAGGACCAGCGGCAGCAAGAGAAGAGCGACAGCAGCCAGCTTGCAGGTTCTGTGAGCTACAACCTTCTTCTACCTTACAGGTGCCTCCTACCCACGCCAGCCTAGAGCCCATTTGATTAGTTCTAGCGCCTCCCTCCCGTTTGCGGTCTAAGAATAGTAGTGATCCGAGCGCCGCCCACAGCAACACTGAGCAACAGACAGACACAACTCGGCGCACTGACTCTCTCTCACTCTCTCTCTCTCTCGTGTCTCTCTATTCCACTCACGACTGCTGTCCTGCCTTTCGCACCTCTTCGACCACCCACGCGCCAGCTCTGCTGCTGCTGCTTCGACTGCCTCCCACTCGTGGGCCCATTCCCTTGAACATTCCTCGATCCTGTTCTCCCGCCGCCGCCTTTCTCCCCATCCACCCGAGCGACTTCGCGACGAAGCGACGAGACCCCAGCGAGGGAACTTCCGGCAGGCCGTCCTTTGTTGCGACCTGGCACCATCAATAGCCCGTGGCGCACACTTTTGGCTGGTCTGCACAGAGTTTTTGGGAAACAACACGAACCTGTTCGTATCCTTCTTCGAGGACGCCATCCATCTGTTTGCCAATACCCCTGCGCGAAGACTGCGCTGGTAGGACGACTCGAGAAACGCCCGTCGCGGAGGCTTCGCCGCAGACTGCTGGACACGCTTCCGCTTTCGTCGACTTCGGTGCCACACGCCTTTCCTTTGACTCAAAATAGCTTTTCTGGGGCAGCTTCTGGGGCGTCTGCATCTCTCTTTCTCTATCTCTCTCTCTCTTGTCTATCTCTATCTCTCCCTATCCATCTTTCTCTCTCTCGGTCGAGCAGTCTTCTGGAAGCTGTGCGAGCACCCGTTGTCGCTTCAGCTTCTCACAGCAGCCCGTGAGTATGCCCTTTTGAGCTCCGCATGACCGTGAAATCGGTGGCGGGGGAGCACAGGAGCAGTTGAGCACACGCTCGCCTTCTTCTTCTTGTATCCCGAGGCGTAAAGCACCATAAGCGAGCCTTGTGCTGATCTGGCTGATCTGTTGGTCAGGTATTTTTGGTAGCGCGCCTAGACACGGCCGGCTGGACGATTCCATTGGTCCTCCTCGAAGCGCCGCGAACAACGCCGCTCAGCTTCCTTCAAGAGTCGCCCACGCCTTGACAGGCGCGTCTGCAAGTCAGACTTCTCTTCACACTCCATTACTGGCCGACACCCTGTCCTTAATTGCGCGCGCCAATATGTGGTGAGAAGCAGTGCTGCTGAGTCGACTTCACCTTTTTCCAGGATTCTTCAAACGTTCTCTACTATCTAATCCCCGCCGCTCATTGCGTGGCATTTGGCGCCGTAGAGATCTGGTATCTCGCCAGTAACAGTCCTTCCTGGCGAAGGCTAGCCGGTACGTCTTCCTTCTCATTGCGCAATGCGAGCATCCTTTCCACATGTCATGTCGCGACCACTGCACCCACAGCGCATTTGTCCCATACGACCTGCAAGTAGCATGGCAAGTGCGACCAATTCCAGGACGCATCTAGACTGCCTGCCTGCCTGCCTGCATCACCAGACCGACCATACCTATGTACTTCTGCCTCGTCGGCCCAGCCCTTCGAGGCTTTCAGTCGCGCAATCTGCTCCGCGACCAGCACAGCAGCTGACATGGCTTCACTCAGATCCTTAACTGCCACTTGGCGCACCGAATCAACGTACTTTGACCCACAGACAGCTCACAAGAAACCTCATGGCCCTCGGTTTTGGCAGAAGCAAAAGATGAATAAACGTCCTCCACCAGAAGCCTCTGCCTTGGACCTGCGGCCATCTATCTTGTCTCCTCTTGGGCCGATGACAAACATGGACGAGCAAACCAAACAGCTGCCCCACCCTGCCTCTTCCGAGAAGCATCCAGGCCTTCGAAATTCACACGAGTATGACGGATTTGTAAGGAAGTTTCACTTTCACAACCTCAGTGATTCAACCAACAACACGACTGGCTCGAATGAATCGTCACCTACCACCACAATATCCACAGTAGACGATTCCAGCGCGACAGAACCCTCTCCTGGCTCGTCACCAGAATCACCTCCTCCTACCACATTTACCGTCGGCATGCTGCGACCGCGAACCGCCGACGAGCGGGTTGCGCCATTCTTCGAGCTGCAGAAACAGCCACCTCCGAGAAAGGGTCGCAATCTGAAGAACCTCGCCGTGGTAACGTCGAGGAACTCCTCCAAGGCCGCATCGACGGCCAGCCTACCATTGCAGATGCAAACAGACGCAACAGCAACGACTATACTGTCGCCAGCGTTCGTCAAACCGCCAACGCCGCCCCGGCGGAAGCCGAGCAATCTTGGTCTCACATTATTGACGCCTGGAGGAAGCAAGCCAGTGCCTCAGCTCACGATACCTCCCACGCCAGGATTCGCACGACCTGGCACTCTGCGCCACTTTCAATCGTCTCCTTCGTTGCCTTTGGTGCCTGGATTTACGCTGGCACAAACCAGCTCGATGGACTACTCGAGGCCGCGTGCCTTGGAGACCATCTTTTCTCCCGTGGGAGCGCCCTCACATTCTCCTCCCATCGCGGAAGCCGAAGAGGAGGAAGAACAAAATTTCGATATACCTCTGTCGCGTGAAGAGAAGCCCGAAGCGTATCCGGATGGGCCCATTTGCGTGTACGAACCTCACATTGATCTATACCTGGAGCCCACTGCTGATCAAGCGCGACAATACGACGTGGTAATGAATGTCGCAAGCGAAGTCCGGAATCCCCTACTCAGTAATTCAGGGCCGGTGCTTGCGGAACCAGAGGTGCGGATAGATGGTGGCGGTGGTATACAGTTCAAACCCAAACAGGACCGGGATCACCTGATGGTGCGCAAACCAAGCGCGCCGGGCCCTGCCAGCCAGGATGCTTCGCCGACAACACCAAAGGCTTCACCGCTCAAAGTCACACCCTCAGTGGGGGCTCGAACCCCACGGGAGCCCGAATACATACACGTCAAGTGGGAACACAACAGTGACATTGTTCCAGATCTCTTGCGACTGTGCAAGTTGATTGACGAGCGAGTAAGCGAAAGCAAGCGAGTCCTTGTACACTGCCAATGCGGTGTCTCTCGCTCCGCGAGCTTGGTCGTCGCATACGGTCTTTATAAGAATCCAACAATGAGCGTACAGGAAGCCTATGATGCCATAAAAAAGCGGAGCAAATGGATCGGACCCAACATGAACCTAATCATGCAGTTGCAAGAGTTCCGTTCCAGTCTAGCTCGAGGCGGACTGTTAACAGCTAGGAGTACACTCAGTCCTATCACCCCTGGCTCGGCTTTGAGCGAGTGGCATGGTCCTTTCACATCAAACTCCATCGCTATGAGAGACGAGCTTCCGTCCGCGATCGAGCCCGCTTCAGAAAACGGATCTGTCCATGGTCGCGAGTCAGTAGGACCAGGTCTATCGTCGCCTTCTGGGTTTGCATGGCCTGTGCCCGACCAGGGCGCGGCAATCAAGGGTGGCAATCACATCAGGAGTATCGTCCCCGCAGGGCCTTTTGTTGACCCATCTGGACATGTGGTGCCCGTGCTGCCGCTTCTCAAAGTTGTCGCATCGCCAGAGTCCATGCCAGCGGGGCCTGTGCGGCAATTGTCGACGCCCGGGAACTTGCCCACAACTGGAAGCCTTGCAGAATCATGTACTTCGCCACGGTCCACAGAATTTGCAATGGCACCGATCCGTCCCTCGCCGGATGTCGATCCTTCAGATGAGTTCGGAATCCTGTCTCCGACGTCAACGGAGTGTGTATCGAAAGGATTCGATCGGTCTGCGCTGTTGGCATCTCTCGGAATGGGCTCCATGCGTGGAGACCAGGAAACCCCTGGTGCATCGTTACCGTTGCAGCAGCGCGATCAACACCACGCTTTACAACAGAGTGGAGCGGGAAGCACCAGCCTGGAACCCGGTAACAGACTTCGAGGCAAGATCTCTTCTCCTTCTCTACGCGAGGAGCAACAGCTGCGCAACTTGCAGGCCAAGATCCAAGCAGACTTGCTGATACGAGAGAGTCCACCTACTGTGGTGCCATCATATGATGCGGCCAATGCACTAATGTCTCCACGAGCAACGCATTTCACCGAGAACCCATTCGCGATGACAACGACGGATTCGTCGTCGAGCATACCTGAGCCAGGGGAAAGCTCGAGGCCTACGGTGCAGGATCCTCGAAGTCCTGCACACAAGGGCGCAAGCCCTATTATTCGAAACATTTTTGATGCTTTATGACGACCACAGAAAGTGTACTAGATGACCGCCGGAGGACCAGCGGAATCTCTTGACTGAAAGTTTGCGCAACGCTATTGATTGAGCATGGCGTTGGTACTCTTTTTGCTTTGGAGGATACATGGGGCGGAGTTTGTCGATTGGGGGAAAGCACGCAGCCACACCCAGTTGCGATTGGGAAAGAAGTTGGCATAAGTCGGGCACTTTACGGAAGCGTACGATTGATGCCTGTGGATAAGGGGGAGGAAGGGAGGAAGGCGGGCATGGGAGGAGGACAGCAGGGAAATGGTATGGGATGGAACAGGTGAAAAGGTACTTCCCAGGAGACTTTGGACTGGAGTAGCTCTTGTACGATATAAGTGCATCAATGAAGTGCAACGTGCAAAGACTACATGTACTCGAATGCGTGCCTGATGTTGTGCTGAATACATGTGATAATGTTGGTGAAGAACGAGCGTGATGATGTCGCTCACAGAATGAGAATCCGCCGTGGTCCCCGAGTTCTATTCCGCAGAAGCATCGAAGACGCATGTCATTGCCCCTCGCGTGTTCCCTTCTTTCGCATGATGAACCTCTCTACCTTATTCTCCTTATTCTCCTTCTCCAACCGGAACATGCCTCCTGATCGATGAAGAGCCCGTTCGCGCGAGCAGGGCAGTCGCAGTGGTGCCTGGTCGCTACTACCCGACAACAGTGACGTGACTGACATAATCAGCGACCTACCCATCCCTTCCATCCTCGGACCTTCATGGCGTCCACATTCGTATCCAAGTCCCGACGAGTGCGCTTCGAGTTGACCCTGCGCATCGAAGACCTCAACAACGTGCCCCTGGTCTCCGGCTCGTCCTTTGTCAAATGGCACATTCCCTCCTCCAACGCCGCTGAGCACCGCGGACGGACCAACAAATGCGCCATCCGCGACCATCGCGTGCAGTACCAGTATGAGAAACAGACGGCCGTACGCCTGACTGTCGGCAAGGATGGCATGCTGCAGGACTGCCCGATTCATTTTGAGGTGCAGCAGGAATATTCCTCGGGCGGTCGAGGTGAGCGGATTAAGCTAGGTGATGTCCATCTCAATTTGGCCGAGTATGTGGACACAGCGCTCGACGTACCTGCGAGTCCTGTTGCTGGTGGTGGTCGCGACGCTGCTGCTGCTGCAACGGCGGCGGCTGAGCACCACGATGAAGGCATTACGAGGCGATACTTGATGCAAGAGTCCAAGATCAACAGTACACTCAAAATCGGCATTCACATGCGTCAGACCGAGGGGACTCGTGACTACTATGCTCCAGCTCTACGCACGGCGCCTGTCTTTGGCGGTATTGCGGGTATCATTTCGTCCGCGGACCCCACTGCTGGCGGTGGCAGTACGCCGCAAGATCACCCGGAAAGCACGCAGGAGTCGATTCCTCCGAGTTTCAATGCGAATAATAAAGAGATGGGGGAATCGCAGGACATGTATCGTCGTACGTTGGCGGCATTCTGGACTTCTCAGCCTGGTGAGCTGCGAGCAGATGATTGCATTGAAGACATCTTTTCGGGCGGCGATGGCTGGGGGAAGGAAGGTCGGCCACGCGTAGAGACGGAGTCGAGTAGCCATCAGCCTGGCAGTGCGGATACGACACCGAACGGCAATCATCATCTTCATCACCACGATGGGATGTCGAGGGATACAACAGCTTCTGGGAGCAGGTCGGGCAATAATGCGGAAAGGGGTGCTGCGACACATGGACACGGACATGGACATGGTCACAGGAGAAATTTCGATGGAAGTCGAAGACTGGATAAAAGCTTGAGAAAGGCGCCAGGAGAGCTGGACGAGATGGATGTGCGTGAGGATCTCGTCAGTTGGAACATTGGGGTGAAGTGAAGCTATCTGGCGCCGAGCTCGCAAGACCTACTTTATAGTCATTATAATCCTCTTTGCACAGTACAAGAGTTTATAGCACTTGTGTGGTTCAGAACTTGGCCCAGGCCTTTATTTTTCCTTTGGTCAACTTGATCGAGGCTACCTACTTGAATTCGGAGTATAGACTACTCCTGCCTATCCAATTCCGGATAATACCTATACACCCCCTGCGAATACTTCAATCTCCTACTACTATTCAAATACTCCTTCAACTCCTCCTTGACCGAGTTATAAAACGTGCCCAACAACTCCGGAAATTCTTTCGAGCGCGCCTCCATTTCCTTGGGAAAAGCGAATTGCAGACCATCCAACACTTGCCACACGGTGGTATCCGCGTACGTCAAACTATTCCCCACGAGATATTTGTGCTTTGCACCTTCGCCACCACCTTTGCCACCTGTTGCTGTTGCTGTTGCTGCCGCGTTCCATTTGAGATTCCTCTCAAAGTAACTGAGGAATTTAGGGATACGATTGGAGCGGACGTCGAGGGCTTTTTTGAGACTTTCGGGTTTTTGGTCGGTGTAGTATGCACTGACTATTCGAGGAACAAAAAAATCACGAGGGGAGATATGTGTCAGTAGGATTGGTTTAAAAAAAAAATCGCAGCAGAGCAAAATGGAAAAGAGGGGGAAGGGGTGGGGGTGGGAGGGGGTTATTTTTTCGAAAAGAAAGGAGAAAAAGAAAAAAAGAAAGAAAGGGGAAGAAGAGAAAAAGGGATAGGATACTTCCTTTTCTTACCAGCAATAGGATGATGCGTATCATGCACCTCATTATTCAAATCCAAAGCCGTCATCATCAACTGTTGGATCCAAAATTTCTTCCTTTCTCTCTCTTCTCTCTCTTCTTCCTCGTCATCCTCTTCCCCCTTTCCGTTTCCCTTGACCTCCCCACCAACCAACCCCGGAATCTTCTCTCCCAAATAAATCAAAATATTCGGCGTCTGACTAATCACCAAAGTTTTTCGATTTCCCTCTTCTCCTTCTCTTCCTTGTCCTCCTTTACTGGCAAAACAAACTCTCAACCCGGGCGGACTAAATACGGGAGGATTCCCCGCTGCAGATTCCAATGCGTGAGGATTCATACAGATGCGTTGGACGGTTGCGTAGCCATTTTCATGAGCAGAGGAAGAGGAAGAGGAAGAGGGATTTGCAATGTCTGTGTAGGGGATTTTTTGGGATTCGAGGGCTAGACGGATGAATTCGCCTCGGCCGGGGATACCGGGGTGGTAGAGGAGTTCGTATTTGGGTGTAGAAGTGGTTGTGGTTGTGGTTGTGGTGGTAGGGGGTTCTTGTTGCTGCGCCATGGTGGTGGTGAGGGCTGAGGAGCTTGGCTGATGATGATGATGATGATGATGATGATGATGATGATATCTTTCTTCTGGGGTTGTTACTGCTGCTGCTGAGACCCTAGCAGGAAAGGATGTTATCGGAGGTTCGGGTGATTGTGTTCCTGTCCTTGTTGTTCTTGTGGTTGTTTGAAGGTGGCTGTGTTGTGCAAGTCTGCAAGAGTACGTTTGTAGGAGAAACATCTCTTGGAGCTTTTTCTTGGTAGTACAGGTATGTGGATAGCTTCGGAAGGGGAGTTGATGATGATGTAATGATTCAATTGGTACTATACTGTCATGAACATGTTACATGTACATCCTACCTACTTACTATAGCCGTTCTAGCTAAATGATACCAACAATCTCATCTACGAGATATCGATCAGTACAGATAGATACTAGCTAGAATAGGAATACATGTATTCTACTCTATCAATAGAATCCATCGAATACTAAAAGTCTACTATAGGACCTGAATCTTCACTCCCCTCACGCTCTCACCTCATTATCTGATGACTGATGACTGATAACCGATGTGCTATATCACGTGTCCGCATTAACCGCTCTGATTCGGCGGAATTCTAGGATAATGCCAGTATCCATGGATGATGGATGGGCTAACTCCATCGCACAAGAGCGGAGAAGCGCTTCTCTCTCTCTTCATCACATACAAGTCCTCTCAGCGTTGACTTCTTAGGAGTAATGATAAGTGGAGCTGCAGCCGCAGACTTTAGATTTATTGTGTGATGGCTTGCATATGCATTGATTTAGAAACAAGATCGCGAGCTGCTCTAGACCACACACACACCCACTCTCTCTCTCTCTCTCCCTCTCGTGTCTGTCCTGCTGACAGGGAGTGGTTGGAGGAGAGCGGTATGTGCTGGGAGGTAGGTAGTAGCTGATAGTAGTATGGTCATGAGAGGTTTGATTGAGCAGCTAAAATGAAATGGTGCGAGAGTAGTTATTATAATTCGTTATTGGGTCTATTTGGCATCCAATGGAGTATACATAGGCCCACTCTTATGGGGCATTTGTGGTCGAATCAGCTTGCTAACAAGAGCTCTCTTGCAGTGAGCTCGTTTCAATAGCCAAGAAGTATTGTAAAAAGTACCCAACGCTGCCGAGCACGTGTGAATGCTTCGCGATCTGGGTCGATAATGTACACGCGAGTGGGATTCATGGTCTGTGAATCGCTCGCTGTATTGCTGCCTGTTCCATCACTTCAAACGGCCTCAAATCATGCTGCGCGGGCAGACTGATATACACCGCCGCTATGGTTGCGGCTCACCTGCGGTCGCTCACCGCTGGGGTGTGCTGTGTAACTGTAACCACTTTGCATCTTGAACTCCGGCCGCAAAGATTTAGAATGTCTGACATCTTCATTGGGGCGCTGTTGTGGCGAGCGTGTGCTGGGGGTTTCGCCGTACAAGCCATACTCTCTGGAGAAGGGCTCTTTGGCGGGAGCCATTCGTGAAACCTGTTCGGCACCGGTGCCAGGTGTGTAGCGATAGCTGGTCTTACGCGGATTCATGGACATGGACTGAGGCCTGTCCGGATATCGCGCAGAGGATGCGTGGTAGGATGGCTGGCGTGTATCACGTGCGTCTCGTGGATCTCGATATGCTTCTGCCTGTGGAACTTCACGAGACCTTGGCATCTCTCTCGAGGGAACCTCGCGAGACCTAGGCATGGTGTCATACATCGACTCCCGATTCCTCGAGGGATATTCGCGGAGCGGTTCTCGCGGCGCTTCCTTCGTAGGCGAAGGGCTCCTCGTCACCCGACGCGTGAACGCTGGCCGCGTTCGCTCCTGTGGATTCGATGTTCGATATCCTTCCGGGGTGGCATACTCCGCATCGTCCGCATATGGTCGACTGCCATAGGGGGCCTTGGCGTGTGGAGGAGCTTGGTGGTCGGGTGTCGTGGCGGGTGTGGGCTGACCATTTGTGAATTCTGTAGCGCGAGAAGTCTTGGGCGGCACGTTCTCGCCTCGCCTCGCTGAAGTGTTCTGAGGCGTGGTGTCAGACCGCTTGACAGGAGGGGGTGGCATAGCGGTCGACCCTGGTTGGAGAGAGGCTGCACGCTGTTTCTCGCTCGCCATGTGCATGTCAGGGGGAGATGACTTCGAAGTATTCAAAGGTGGAGGTCTGCGCTCGTCCACGGTCTCAGCACTTGAACGCCGCTCTGGTGTGCGCGATGAGGTCTTCCGAGTGGATTCTTTCTCACGCTTCTTCTCATCCCTGGAATCCTTGCCGGGCCTTTCCGAACTACGTCTGACAAAACCAGCGGGTCGTCCACTACGATCAAGCTTGACAGACTGCAGTCTATCCTTGGAAGATTCCATACGGACGGGCGATGGTCTACGCTCCTCCGTCTTAGGTCGGGGAACTGCACCACGGGTGGAGTTTATGTAGTCACGCGCATCGGCGTAATGATCGGCCATCTTGCGAGCGCGCTCATCGTGGTAGACTTCTGGAGCATCCCTCTGAGACCGAGGCATCTGTTGATACGACGCGTCTCTCGCTCGTCGAGCGGCGTCTTCCTCGCGCATGCGTCGTGCCCTCCTTTGGTAGTCGTCCAATTCGCTTTCCGAGTCGTCTTCAACATAGGTTTCTTGCTTTCGCTCGCGCTCCTTTCGAACATCACGCTCCGCCTGCCGAACCTTCTCTTTTCGGCGCTCCTTGTCACTATCTTTACTACTGCGGGTGAAACCCCGTGGCTTTTCTTTGCTCTCAGCAGCACGTTTCGGTGTGGGACGCTCGGTATAGTCTGGTTCCTTGTGCACTGTCGTTCGTGGTTGCGCCGTGAAATAGTCTGGAGTTGCTGCGTAGTCCGGCCGTCGCTCTTCGTATTGTGGTACAACACGCTCCCCACGGGAAGGGTATGTACTGCGAGGTGGCTCCGGCCTATACGAGGTTGATCGTACATCGGCGCCTCGAGGTCGTCGCTCCGTGTGGCGGGCCAAGGCCTCCTTTCTCAGCTCAGCCAACTTCACCTGTGCATCATATCGTTCACGTCGGCTCTCGTCAATCAGAATCTCGTAGGCACTCTGGATTTTGTGGAACTTGTCCGAGGCAGCTTGTTTCTCTGCCGGATCGGTGACTTTGTCCTAGAAGGTGTTAGTGTGGGGGAAGTCTGAACGGGCAGGCCGAAAGGTGGGCTCACAGGATGGCACTTGAGCACCAGCTTGCGATGGGCCATCTTGACGGCGGCGGAGGTGGCATCTTTGGGGACTCCTAACGCTAGGTACGGATCAGGAGGTAATGGCGAGGCCATGATGTGGTATGATGCCGGTCAGTGGTGACCGGAGTGGGAGGCGCAAAATCAAGCTGAGGCAGCGGTGGTGGTGTGGTATATCGACAGTGTCGGGTGAGTGGTAGTTGTCAGACGCGTTGCGAGAGCCGATATAGCCACAAAGGAAGTGCAGTCCCTTGCTCGGTCGGGGGCGGAAGGGGAAGGGGTGTCGAGTTGAAGGCGGCGGACAATTCCTCAGCCACGCAACGATGTCGAGTGTCGAGTGTCGAGTAGCGAAGTGATAATCCAGGAGTACAGCAGTAGTTCCGCAGGTCAAGTAGGCGGTGGTCTGGTGTAGGTAGATCTTTGCCTCCAGAACCTGAGTTCCACTGTCTCTGGGTCGGGTCGTTTGGCGGCCGGAGGTTGCCGCTTGGCAATGACGACGGAAAGAAAGCGGTCGAAGACTGGAGCACAGCACTGGGTCGTGGGCTTGCCGTCCAAAAAGGAAAATAATGCTCGTGGATTGTCGCTAGTCGGTGCTTAATAAAAGAGCCCACACGGCGAGCGAGGAATGCGAGCGACCGAGCGACCGAGTGACTGACTGGCTGGACTAGTACTAGGAGGTACTCGCAGGCTAAGGCTAGAAACTAATGCCGGACAGGCACGAGGTGCAAAGACTTCTGCTTCAGGCTTCCAAGCCCAGGTCTTCCTGGTCCCGGAAGAGAGGTCTGGGATCAGGTCACAGCAGAGGCTGAGTCGTTTTCTCGCCCGCGGGTGGTGCAGAGCCGTGCTGTGCTGTGCTTTGCTTTGCGGCGCTGTGCTTGGCTTTGGCTTTGGCGTGGAAGACGGTGAAGGCAGGGGAATGATAATAATGCAGTAGTGGTATGACTAGTCAGTTCTCTCGTGATGATGATGATGATGAATGCCAGTGGGAAATGATCAGGGCGACGAACGAGAACTACGGGCGTGGCGGGAACAGGCTTCAGGACGACGGTGGAAGCGAACACGTTGGCTCTCGCACTAGAACGACCGAAGCAATCATCAGAATCATCACACGGCGCGGAGGAGGATGTGCGCGACGAGGTTCTAGTGGTGGGTGGACTGAGGGCCCCCGCTGTGAAGACGAGGAGGGCAGCAACCACGCTCCACGTACTACCTCCTAGCAGTGACCGACTCTTTTGGCTTCATCAAGTGGACTGGTTGACGGTGAGCACTTTGCAGTAGCCTGCGTCCGCCATCGCGATTGGGCCTGTGTGCCACCAGTAGGACGCGATCCGCACAGGGCCTGCCTGCATCACGATTCGTTTGCACGCACACGCTTCCTTCTAGGGCCAGCGAGGACATCTTCCACACTCCCCCTCCTCCACTAGACTTCCTAGCACATAGTAGTGACTTCGACTCCGATGGTCTGGCCCTGGCAACAAGCTGCACACGAGGAACCACCGAAACACTCGAGGCGGTTGCAACCACGCTGGTATATAGTATGATAGGCTGTCGAAACATCCGAGAGAGCGCTTCTACACAGCTCTGCCGCCGATCATTCTTGATATCATGCACTCCAGCTGTGCTATCACAGAGCTTGCATGCTTGCACGAAAAAGACGACCATCGTGCCGTGCTTCTCTCTTCCTGGACACAAGAGACTGACCACGCATAAAGCTACCCAAGCCCAGCAATCATGCTGTCGTGGGTAGTCAGCCTTTTCTACGCGCTCATCCCTCCAGGCGTCAGGAATCATTCGATTTGCTGCCCTTTCTTTCAATTATTTGAATGAAATATCGTGGCAAACGGCGACGACGACGACTCGTGCACTGCCAAGTGTCTCACGAGGGCCATGTGATGTACGAATTCGAAAAAGATGATTGCACAGCAGCAAGGATCGACAACCAATGGATGGATATTGACTCAATTTGTGTTCACGCTCCGATCAGGTAGTTATGCGCCGCAGTCGACAAAAAAAAAGCTGTCATTTTCCTAATCTCCTTAATGATCGACATGTTCGCTTCGTGTACCTGAGGACAACCAGACAAGTGGATCGTTTGAGTAGGAGGTACATTGTTGACGGAAATGCCAACAAATCTTTTTGATGGAGGAGCCAACCTACATGTACCTACCTACATAACATGATGAACGCCACTCAGTCCATGGTTGGTAACCATGACGACAGTCAATGTCCCACGTTGCTCCATAGAGCACATTTTGCATGCGAAATGGTCGGTAAACTCCTGCAGATCTCAACAACCACCAAACAGCCGATATTTCAACCGCACATTCTTCCGTTTGAAAGAGAAAAAATGGCGAGGTTACGGGCAAGGGAGTCATGAATGGGAGCATCTGTTATGTCATCAGAACGTTAGGTATTTCCATGTATCTATCAGCCTGACATGTATGTAGTTCGAGCAATAGAGGGCTTGGCACGCGCTTGCTCTCTATCTGCCACTCAGCTGTTTGCAGAAGAGCCAGGCTACCTACTACACAGTACATGTATGATGCACAAACGTGCAATGCGACCCATCATCAAGTGTACATGTCCTTCATGCCCAAAACCCCCTGCCGCTGCTGACTTCCTTCATATCAATATGACACTCGCGACAATCGGCATCAAGCAAACCTTAGTCGCATCCTCGACCATTCTGTTGGTGTCATCAGGTCGTATGGTATGTTTCTGGCGTAGCGGTTGAAGAGAGACATCGCCGCGGCTTAGCCACGTGCATCTCGGTGTGGACGGCGCCAGACCTGAATGGGCCTTCCCCGGACGAAAGACGCCTCAATAGTGACATCAATAATGTCCTCTGCAATCGCCCCAGGAGGTAGCCGCGGATCTCCTACAGGTGCCGGATCGCAGTCATGGACCTAAGTACTTCGCCCGAGGCCGATTCGGAAACCAAAATATCAACCACAATGGCCTTGTTGAATGCTTTCGGCCCGCGGTTGTAGGATTTGGCCATGATACTGGTTGCTGGCATTGACAACAGCAGTCTCTGTGCCGACCTTGCGCGGATCAGAGTAGATGGCTTTACCTGCTGTCAGATCTAGCAAAGACTGCCGTTTGCTACCTTGAGACGAGTCGACCCATGGATCCATAAGGCCCTCTTCCCAATTCACAATACCTCCTAGTAGCACCTCTCCCTTCATAGCAATGTCCGCATATGTGAAGCATGGGTCTGATCTGACCTACCTTGTCTTTCAAAGCAGCACATCTACCCTCTTTCCAGTAAGAACTCATATTACAGATGCCAGCCGGAGGTGTGTCAGTGATTAATACCTGTGTATCCTCCGGTACTACATCCCACATCGCTACTGCTGCTTTTTCATTAGTATACTGGAATGCCCAGTTTTGTTTGCCCCTGTCAGGCGAATACGGCGAGCCAAATACACGCAGTATAACATTCTTTTCTGGGATGCCGATTATAGTATGCGAATGCTGCAAGTATACTAAGCTACCTAGGCTGTTGCTTTTCTCATCTCGCTGAGACTACCTTGGTTGGTGAGATCTCCGGCGTGAATCAGCACATCTAGAGCTGGTCAGTGATACAGTTGGGGTCGCTCATGAAGTCACATGTACAACCTACTACCCTTTGGTAGCACATAGCCCTCACCGGGAGCGGAGCCATAGGTGTCGGATATGCAGACGATCCTTATCTTCTAGTATTGCGACATGTTGATTGCTCATAGAGACGCTAAAAGGGTAGTCTTATAGCGGGACACAATCTTGGACACGGCAGTCAGCTGTCACTTGGCACGATCGAGGAGGCTTATATCATCGCCCCTTGATATGCAATTCAAACTGTTCGTGATATGCCATGTGATTCCTTTTGTCGAATTCTGCATCCTCGCCCAGTAACTGTAAATTGTCTTGAGTGGCATAGCCCGCAAGCAGGTCTAATGAAGACACAACGCACTGCGAATCAAAAAGCCTCTAGAGGATGCTAATGCGCCGCAAGCATAGTGTCCAGAAATCCAGAAGTGTCACACTTCTCAACAATGTTTGAAGGCTCCACTTTCTCGTCAATCCTGATTTCGCTATCGCGTGCTGGAATCCCTGCGCAACCCAGTCACAGAGTACATTGGTGTTCGTATTCTCTTGTCAAATTGCTAGTTGGTTGAGATCTTCCTCTTCATAAAGCAGTGGTGGCCATGTCCTTCATCAGTAACTAATCGCCGAATGCAGTTGTGATGCTGTCTCTGAGTCTGGCTAGCTTTCAAGGAAGGCTTGCGTCGCTGTTGCTGATGAAAGCTGACTATGGAATCATCATCTAGGGTAGTAGTAGTAGCTTGAGTGCTAACAAATGCGAAATCGAATTCGAGACCAGAAGCGTCCGCATCATTGTCCTCAAGGCATCATTCCTGTCGGTGTCCTCAGTTCATTCAGTACGCGACGCCGCATCTCGAATTGTGATTCCGGCATAAGTGTACTGCTGGAATACCTTAGGTGCTATATCGCAAATCGAGGATTTTTGGTGTTGATGGAGAGTGATAATTCCGGTACACCAGGTATAGGTGAAGCGCTCGGTACGAGTAGCTAATGGCTAATATCGACTGCCGAGAGTCGAGACCGAATTAGCTAGTAATTGCGAGATACTGAGTACAAGTGCTTTACTGTTGCCCCAGTCGTAAGCCTTCCCTTTATCCGGTTCTGGCTGTTCACTCCAGTCGTAGTTCGCTATAGCCTATAGGTTTTATATCAGCAGCCCGCTCCGCGTCCTCATTTTCAGCTAGCTCATCATCGATCGAGACTCCTCCAGCTACTACTGGAGCCCGGCCAGCCCTCGTCGTCCTATTCGTAAGTCGTCCGTGTCGCCCCATCATCACTCCTGGTGACCACGTCCCCTTGTTGCACCTCAAGTAGTTCGAAACCGGGTGGGTCAACAAGGAAGGAAGGAAGGAAGGAACAACTGGTGTCCATTCCACCTCGGAACTATATTCACTTCATTAGTACCTACTTTGGACTTGGGGCACTGTTGAACGATGTGCTTACCTAGGTAGTGGAGGTATACACCTCTCAGAACAGCTGCCCAAACAGCGTATTTCCGGATCGACCAGATGCCGCGCGTTTACCTCCCGTCGTCAAATGTGTTCTTCATCGTAAGATTGGTTTCGTTTACCAATTCCTCGCGCAACCATTCCGATATCGATATACGAGGGGTTTCATTTAGATCGATACAAGTTATATACGGTGCGGGGATTGCGATCGGAGTATACAATCAGAAGATGCTATGGATCTGGACGACAATATTGCAGGAGAAGAATGTTGTGGTATGCCATCCGTGTAGAAAGAATAATATGCCCGACGCGAAACTAGGTACCTAGGTATCTGAAGAAATTGATCTCCCAATATTGTACTCCGTACCGTGATCTATCGAAAGCGGAGGCGGAAAAGTCAGTCTACAGGGCCTGTATAGTATATGTAGTGTGTTCGGTGTTCCGTCTGATTTTTTGAGTTAGCTACGTACTTCGAAACCCTTATATCAATATATACCTACCTACCTGACATTGAGCCTCCATCTAGTAACTTCCAAGCGTCCGCGCTTTAACATGTAGCCCCTCCATTCAGAGCACAACCTTTGATGCCCAAACCTGGGAAAGTCATGCAGGTACCATGCAGGCACTAATATAGAGACAGTTAGCACGACGGACAGACTGTAACAGCAGTTTGTAGGTCTGCTAGGAGGTAGTAACTTACGCGTAGCCCATCATTGCCGCAAGCCTCACAATCTGCCCTCTTTACCTGATTCTCGTAGAGAGCAACTGCGTTGGTGAGCCCTACGAAAGCTATGCAGATAGCTGCTAGGAAGCGAGAGGAGACCATTTTTGGTAGTAGTTGTTGTTCTTGTTCTTGTTCTTGTTGTTCTTGTTGTTCTTGTTGTTCTTGTTGTTCTTGTTGTTCTTGTTGTTCTTGTTGTTGTTGCCTGTTTGCTGAAAAATTGGGAACGCGGGATGGTCTCGTATTTAAATATTGTTAGACATCTAGGCCGCTAGGCCCTTGTGCCCAGGTTCAACGAAACAAGTGCTCAGTAGTCGGCTCCCTCTGTCTCAATACCTCCGACCCATCCGTTTCCGTAATACGAAAGCGTCGGGATGACCTCGCAACTAGAGATAGGATATACTAACAAACGGACGACACTGATCGTTCTAGCCCTAGACTGGACTTCCTTTCTAAAGGATAGGCTCGTCAGCAGACAATGCTAGACATCCCTTGTTCTGTATATGTATTGGCTAGGGCCCGTCTAGTGCCGCTTTCAGTCTTCGGCTTGGCTGTTAGTCTGTTTGCTTGCGTTTCGAAGTAGAGACAAGGTTATTCTCTGGACTTGGCGACTTTCAATCAGCTAGCAGTATACAGCATAGCAGCATCAGGCATGTAGGCGAATCACTAGTAGGCGATAGAGAACACACGTAAGAAGGTGGCTCAGGTGGTCGTATAAAGGAGTACACGAGCGTACAAGAGTCTTGTCAATGTAACTTATGACTTCATCTCGCAACGCTGTATTCGGTCGATCCCAGCTATCCAAACTCACTTACCTGTACCTTCTCGTATCGCGCTGTCAAGCGAGGCAACCGAGGAATCGCGTAGGGCCCCCCGACCACGGAGAGTGAGGTTTCCGTGTGACTTATATACTGTAAGGTGAGGTGATGTTGATAATTCCTTACTTGGGTCCGGGCAGAGATGTCCAAACCTTAGTAAAATAGTAAAAGTAATTACTAATAAGTAATTACTTTTTACTAATCCCTTGGTTACTTTTACTTTTACTTTTACTTTTACTTTTACTTTTACTTTTACTTATGACCTTTGGGGATTAGTAATTAGTAAAAGTAAAAGTAAAATAGTAACAATAATTTTACTAATCTAGACTATATGTACCTAATACCTATATATTTATAAAACATAAGTAGTTTAGGAGGGATATATAGTAAGTAGAGGATATATTATATATATAAGCTATCTATAGCTCTAATACCCTTAATAGAATTATATTTATATAATATTAGTATACTTGATAAATATAAGAGAATAAGATAGATACTTTATATACTTATATACTAGTAGTATAGCATTTATCTATCTATTCTAGTAATATATATATATATATATATATCTATTCTATATATTGCCGCTGTTCTCTAAGGTATAGTAATATAGTATATCTCTCTTACTACTATCTATACTAGAGTACTCTCGTCTTTATAGAACTTATATATATCTAGATAAAACTTAAGTATATTGTAGTATACTAGTATATTATATAGAACTACCTATATAAATAATATAAAGAAGTATAGAGACTATACTATACTATACTATACTATACTATACTATACTATACTACTTACGTTACTAATTAGTAAATATATTTACTAATTAGTATTACTTATTACTTTTACTTTTACTTTTACTTACGACCTTCCGTTAGTAATTAGTATTAGTAACGTATTTTACTTATGACCTATATTAGTAAAAGTAAAAGTAAAAGTAATTACTAATTACTTATTTTAGAGTTTGGACATCTCTGGGTCCGGGTATTCTCAGAGATGCGGGAGTAACGGGTACCTGAGTGCCCATGGCAACATCTTCACGGAACGTAGGGCTGCAAACTCTCAGGCACCTCCTGGAGGGAGCTCCGAACGTAGGTCTACCATCAACGGCCACGCCGCCACGCTGCTCAAGACTATATGTGCACATCTCAACGCGGGCGACGACCAGAAGTAGGGCACACGAGACACTGCACACTGTTCCGAAGGCGAGTCTGTAGAGGCCCAAGCCAAGTTGATGCTCTTCGGCGGTAGGTATGTATGTAGCTCAGGCTTCTCTCGTGAAATTGGGATACAACAATGTCTAACAACAACAACAACAACAACAACAACAACAAAACAACAACAATATAAGGTGAGGTGTATACCATTCTTCAACCCTGGTTCACCATGAACTCTCAGTATGTAGTAGTGGGGTACCTGTACCTACCTCATCACGAGACACACCGAATTTGGAGCTGTTGATACTGAAAGACAGGGCACACAGCGCCCTTCTCTTTCTTTGATTCCACACCTACAGGTACCTCACCTACATGTAAGTGTCGACAACATGGCCAGACCGACGAAAGGCCCATCCGAATCCAACAAGAAGGTGTGGACATGGCAGATGAAATATGCCCTCTACACCCTGGACTCACACCACCATCTATCGGCCGCGCAGGTCACAGCGGTGTTTAAGCGTATCTTCGAGAGAGAAGTGTCGGAATGGGTCGTTACAGACGAAAGACTTCAGTTCCTGATTAAGACTCACCTGTATGAAGGGAAGACCCAGCGTAGCCGACAATGGAGGGATATTTACAGCACGGCTACGAAGCCGGAGGACATTGCCAGCAGACGTGTCGTCGAAGCAATGATACAGCAGACAATGTCGAGCATGGATAAGATGCCCGCAGTGCCAGCAGCAGCGACGACGACAACGGCAACGACGACGACGACGACGACGGGGACGACGGGAATAGCTCACTCTTCTCGACACCCAAATTCTCGCTCTCCTTATAATACCTCAGCAGCACCGAAAACTCCTGTACCGGCGCCTCTCAGCAAACAAGCCCCGATAGGTTCCTGGGATCCAGCGTTGACAGACGATGATGATGATATTATTGCTGTTGCGCCTAGTCCCAAGCGACGCAGGATTACCAGCACGATTCAGCACCACCCAAGTGCTGACCTATCGCGGCAAAGCCGATCAGTCAGAACACCGCAGAAGAGAGTCAAAAGACCTTCGGTACCAAAAGTTGGCTTCCTGCAGGCTCATGGTACTCTTATCCAGTGGCCGCGAGATAAGATTGAAAAGGCAAAACATGATCTCCCAGAAGTGCCCGAGGTCGAAGCTCATCCGCCGCAGAATGGTCTATTGTTTCGATACTACAGGGAAGACACTATAGGCAGTGAGCTACGTAACAGCCGGAATGGCTTCGTAGCTAGGAAGTTTGAATTCGCGAAAGTGGATTTCAATCAGCCTCCGCCGCTATGTAACCAGCTAGATTGGGTTGATGTCTTTTACCATATCGATCGCTCTGGAAAAAAGATTGATTGGCCATCAGTTTTTGTGTCTACCTCGAACAGTTTACTCTGGACCTTACAAAAAGCGCTAAAGGAACTGAACAAGAATCCCGGATCGATTCGCATCTCCGTAATCGATGCTTACGTATTAGACCGGAAGTCCGTATACCATGTACTGCCATACCACAGAAGGCTGCAACTGAAAGGCGAATTTACCGACGGTTCATGGAGATATCCGGGCACGCATGAGTTCTTAGTGTATAAGCGAATCCCGGGCAAGGCCGTTATACACACATTTGACCTTAATGAGCTCCTACACTTTGTCCAGTACAATCAAGACGCCTACGACCCCGTTATCGAGCGTATTCTCCGTCGAGAAAGATTGGACCAAAGCGGGGATCTGAAGTCCGATATCTACAAGAAACTCGTCGACGACGCTATTCCCTTATGCCCAACCATCGTATCCGGCATAGCAAAGCTCACCGCCTTCGCTGGAATAAAGTCCTACGCCCCAATTTCACAAATCTCAGCCTTCGTCGCCGAAATCATAAAAGGCTGGGGCCTCAAACTCCACCACCGTTCAGCCTCCAAATGGTCCGAGCTCGCCACGACCTACTCCACCGCCCTCTTCCAATACAGCGCACAACCCCGCGTAAATCTCCGCGAAGAAATCTGCATCAAACGCGCCTTCTTGGAAGGTGTCTTTTGGGGTTCTTCCAAACATTTCAACCCGCGCCATTGCCCTGAACATGTGCAATCGACATATCGCTCTGCCAAGAAAATTGGGTTGGAAGATCCGGGGAAAATGCTTATGGATGAGGTTTCGGCCATGCAGATGGCTTTGATGTGGTATGAGAAGACCCTACAGAGGCGGTTGCCTGGGGGGCATAGGTCGCAGCTGTTGTTGTTGGAGGAGGAGGAGGAGGAACAGAAGGGTTCTTCTGTCGTTAGTGATGAGGGGTTTGCTGAGGATGAGGATGAGAATCACGAGAATGTGAATGTGAATGAGAACGAGAACGAGGATGATGATGGTGATGGTGATGGTGACAGTGATGATGGAGAAACGTTTGTCGCGGACAAGTTCTTTATTGGGAGGCGCGATGCTGGTGCTGGTGCTGGTGCTGGTCATGTACCAACAACGACAACAAAAGCACCTCCAACCAGGGCGGGAGGGCATGACGACGATGATCGAATCATCTACATGTACGGGAGTGATTAAAGTAGTGCTTGGGGGTGGATCGTATAACAGCAGGCGGGACCTGCAAGCACCAGTAATTCTTTTTGGGGGGAAAGGATGTCGACATGTTGAGGCAGCTTTTTATACTTGGAAATACTATCAGATGTCATGTCTACCACAATCACTTGCTTCACCAACCTGTCGCTATGCTATCGTAACCAATTGATTCGGTGTGTCTCGCGTTCTGTATACTACAAATGAAGCCTGCGCGACACCAACGTGGTGTATTTCGTCCTGCCAACTACTCGTAACTGGTCGAATGTCAGCAAGTTTCTCAGTACAATGAAGAAGTCGTGCTCGAAAGGGAGTCCCTACCGTGGCGCATCGTCGTTTGAAGCTGCAGGCGTTTCCGCGCTGTATGGAGCTGGCGTCTCTGGGACACCTCCAGGCGTTGCGTAATTGGCTGGAGTGTTGTATGCAGCACCTCTGTAAGCACCAGGTGTAGGTTGATCGCCATAGCCCGCTCCTGGAGTAGGCGCAGAATATGCGCCTGGGGTCGGCGCTTCGAGCCCAGAACCAGAGTACGCAGGGGTTTTGCCACCCGAGTTTGCAACATAAGCCGGTGTGCGACCTCCGCCAGCGTTCGGATTCCATGCAGATTGCTGCAATCATGTTAGTGAAACACTCTCAGGTTGTCAAAGACGACAGACTACTTACTGCTCCACCACCGCCGCCGCCCCATACGGAGCCGCCTCCATATGATGTGGCTCCTCCGTAACTCGTTTGCCCGCCATATGAAGTCGTGCCCCCAGCACCATAAGCCGTCTGTCCACCACCACCAGCTTGCCACGCGGGTGTTCGTCCCCCATCGCCCTTCCAGGCAGGTGTGCGACCACCGCCTGCCATTGCATATGCTGGGGTTCGACCACCACTCGCCATGGGCGGCGCTCCGTAACCAGGCCTGCTAGGAGTTGCACTTCCCATGGGTGGCCCTCGGCCTGGCGGACCCCGAGGTCCGCCGAAACCGAACTCATTCGCGTTCGGGCAGATGACTTGTCCACTCGTGGGGTCAATAACAGCCAATTTCTCCTTCGGCATCGTGAGCTTCTTGTTCTTGCTGTGCAACTCGACAAGCGCACCAGCGTCACTGGACTCCTTGACGATTCCAATCATGGCCTTCATGGGCCCAACCTTGATCTTGACGGTACGGCCTACGAGGCGGTCACGGCCCCTCTGCATTGGCGGTGGCATCGGGAGAGGCGCGCCTGCATTTGGTCCTTTCAATGCCTGGTTCATCTTCGTCAAGTCTGGACCAACGCGACCACCCTTGGCAGCCACGGTGAGGACGTTATTGGTCCGGGCAACGAATACGCCAGCATTTTCTCTGCTCTCCCGTGATTGGGCAAAAACGTAGCCACGGTGGACGTGCAGGACTTTGCCTTGACGCGCCTCGCCTCCGTACTCCTTGATCGTGTCTTCGGGCTTGATCTCGTTACCTTGATGATCTGTGGCTGGGGCGCCTTCTCGACGCTTCTCGATCTTGTTCGACACAGCAGATGGTAGAAGTGCTCGCACACTGCCCAGCTGATCCAGAACGCGCAGACTCTCGCGATCGACCTTGACCACACAGGCAACCGTCGATGCGTCTAATTGCACAAGATCGAATAGATCATACTTGCTTGCACCAACGACACCACCACTGTCGGTTGCTTCGCGGAGATCTTTGGAAAATACTGTGATCTCTTGCTGGTTGCTATCGGTAAGGATGGTGATTCTGTCATCATCTCGAATCCTTACAACCATGCCGACCTCATCTTGGTATTTGCTGCCACCAATGACCTTGACATGGTCTCCCTCTCTAAAGAGCTTGCGCAGATCTTTGATGGGAGCTTCAATGACTTGACCCGCCAGTGGTCCAGAGTCCACCGAGATCTTGATCACTTCGTTATAGACCTGTGTCGCCCGTCCGTTGACGCCTTTCTGCTCACCGCGGAATATCTCAACTTTGTCGCCTGGCAAGTAATCAGCACCCGCACCGGCTTTGAGAGTCGCCGCAAGAGCAGCAAGATCCAGGTTCTCGGTTCCGTCTTCGGTTGCAGCCGCAAATTTCGTGACCTCTTCGAGCGTTGGGTTGACATCCTCAACCTGGAGGTGGGCAACCTTGAAGAAATCGACATAGAACCCTTCCTCGTATTCTTTGCCCTGATACGTCCAGACGTTGCCAATTGTAGGCTTCTTAGACAGGTACCGACCGTGTTTCCTCTTCGCTTCGGTCTCGCTGAAGAGACGGGCCGGAGGCCGCTGCTTGAATGGCTGCACAACGCGCTTGCGCTTCATGCCGCCTTGTCCATCGGGCTCCATCACCGCTGCAGCATTTGCGTCTTCGGTCTGGCCATAGTCCAAGCGCGGTATCAACTTGAGCTTAACTTCTGTCCCGTTTGCCTCGACCTCTTCGACCATGGCAAGGTCGTTCGCGTACAGGCCGCGCTTGGGTCGCACATACATGCCCGGCTCAAGTGTTTTACTCTTTTTGACTCTCAGCAGAGCCGGCATCTCCTCGATGGGAATGAGCTGCGGCTTGGTACCCATGAACACGTTTGTGATACCATCGAGAGCAGCAGTAACGTCGTCCAAGCGCCGCGCTTCCACGTAAATCTTGCCAACCATGGCGCCAGTGCCGGCACGCTCGAAGGCAGAGAAGATCTGAACTGGTTCTCGAGACCGCTGTCGCTCTACTATCCGTTTCTGGAGCGCGAAGATGATCTCACGCTCTTTTCCAGGGCGGCATTTCATGAACCAGATTCTCGGGTCATCGGCGCTAGGCATCAACAAGCGCTGTGGCACTATGCCAGACGCTGAGCCAGAAGCACGATTCTGTCGTCCGTACCTCTCCTTCAGGCGTGCTGCTGTCTCCTCCACATCCATAGCTTCCTGTTGTTCACGCTTGCGGTCGAGTTCTCTATGCATGCGATCGTCCCTGTCGGCACCAGGAGGCAACTCTTGAAGATCATCCGGGTGCATTTCCTCGCCAGGGAGATCGTCTTCTTCCTCGGGCTCCTCTTCATCATCCTCATCGACCTCAGCCTCGACATCGATGAATTGGTTGCGTCTTTGCTTTCTACGCTTGGTTGGTCTGCCCACATCATCTTCATCGTCCTCGTCCTCTTCCTCTTCCTCGTCCTCTTCTTCCTCTTCGTCTTCGTCGTTTCCGTTCGCGTCATCGTCGTCTGCAGCAGCGTCCTCGGCAATTGGCACCTTCATCTCATCCTCATCGGCGACTGGTGGCTTGGCATCATCCTCATCGTCAGATGCGACGTGTTGGCCAGGGTTGAAATCATCCTCTTCCTCGTCGTCGGGAAACTGCTGATCGAGGACGTTGCTCATTGCGGCTCCGCGTTCGGCAGGGCCGGAAATAACAGATATCTCAAGGCTTTCTTTTCGGAGCTCGCGGATGAGGTAGAGTAGCACGTATGGACGAAGTGGATGTTTTGAGGTAAAGGGGGAACAGAAGGGACGGGAGGCAGTGATGTTGACTTGATGCTGTCCTTTGTTAGGTAACCGACCGTGAACCTTGCATAGCTTGAACGGTGACGGCAGTGCCCGCACCGCGCCGGCCCGTTTAGCGCGTTTGCGGAGGCAAGATCACATGACAGTCCACGTCTACCTCCTCCTCTCAACCTACATCGTGCTCACACTGGAAGCAGTAAGATGATACTCTCGCCTATCTGCCCGGGCAAGATCATGTGAGTGAGCGCACTGCAGTGGTCTGCTGAGATAATATAGATACGACTATCATTCTCCCTAAGTGATGCAGGAACAGCAGTAGTAGACATGCTCAAACACACAGAATGGTCAATTGGGCGCCCCAACCGAGACCTCAAGTCCCAGAGACCGCTGAAGAAATGGCTAGGCATACCTGGCCTAGCTATTCTCACTTCATTTATCTTCTGGCGCTCACTCCAGTCATTTGACATTTCACGCTGGCGTGAGGAGAACCGCACTTCAGCGCTGAAGCCAGGCACATATCCCAGCCTGCCTCTGAAAGACATTCCTCATCATCTCACCAAATTCCAGCGCTGTTCGATACGAACACTACAGCAAGATACCGGCCTGTACTTTCTCGCCTCAGCCAAGCCTCTCGAAATGTCCGAGTTCATGGACCGAAGGCAACGCCTCGCTGAAGCCCTGCACAAGGATGGCTTCGACGCATTCGCAGTCGAGCCCGGATATACATTCTCCTACTATGCAAACGTCACTCAATCGCAATGGGAGGTATGGGAACCCGAAGAAAGGCCTTTCATCATGGTCGTAAAACCACATCTTACAGATTCAGGAAGTATCGTCGCCAACACCACATTCCTGGTTCCAGCTTTTGAAGCTCAACGTGCACGTCTGTTGCAGATGCCATTTCCCGACGAAATCGACGTGGTGACGTATGAAGAGCACTGGAATCCGTATTCCACGTTGTTGCACTCTCCCACCTTCGCCTCGCATCGTCATCAGAAGAAGACCCCGCCAAAGATGATGGTCGACGAAGAAATGCGAGACTTCATTTCGCGAGGTCTCGCACAGCACGGGTTTGAAGTCCATGGGCTCGGGGGATCTGTCGAACGCGTTCGACAGACCAAGTCACCGGCCGAAATTGGTATTCTCCGTGCAGTAAACACAGGCACCGTCGAAGCCGTACGCGCGATGCGAAAATGCCTGACTCCAGGCCTCCGCGAGGACGATGTCATGTCAGTTCTCGACAATACCATGCGTTCTGCCGGTCTGGATCCATTCTTCGACATCGTCCTCTTCGACGAGAATGCCTCCAACCCTCACGGTGGCACAGACGGGACCAAGGTATTGGAGAAGGAGACCATGGTCCTGATAGACGTTGGAGCGCACTTGTACGGCTACAGCAGCGATATTTGCAGATCCTTCTTCCCTCCCTTCTTTCCCCAAGTAGAGACAACAAAGCAAGACATTGCCGCTCTCGATGATCACCATGTGCAGGAAAAATTGCACGTTTGGAGAATCGTGTTTGATGCGCAGACTGCGTCGCTGCACGCTCTGCACGAGAATGCAAGCTGTGCTGCTGTCGATCTTGCTGCTCGTCAAGTCATCGACAACGCGGGTTATGGCCAAGCGTTTACGCATCGAGTCGGACACGGCATTGGCATCAAAGCTCACGAGAGTCCATATCTTCACAAAGGCAATACCGCAACCCTACTAAAGGCGGGCATGTGTTTCACGAGTGAACCAGGCATCTACTTGGTCGATAAATTTGGCATTCGACATGAAGATGTTTTATTGGTACGAGAAGATGGTCTTCCCGAGCTTTTGACTGGCAAACGCGCTAGTGGACCCTGGGATCCATAAGTTTTCGTCCTCCTCCATGATGTCCCTTTCGCACCAACGAACGTTGCTCCTCCGAAACTTGATGCGTGCTGCGACGCCATCAGCTTCCAAGAGAGAATGAGTCATCTAGCACGAATGAGATGGTATGCGGATCTCCCATCCTCGCCACTTTCAGCCCTTTTTCCACAGACGATCATTTTTTTTCGCGGTCTTGAAGCTGAGAGAGAAATCGGTAACGAACGGCATAGTTGCGTATATGTTTGGATTGTGTGGTGAGGCTCTCTTTTCATGATGCTGGAATGGTGACAACAGATTGCAGTGACGAGTGTGATACTCTATGTGATTGGCCGCGGTTCTGTGATTGGAGTACTTGCCGTCTTCTTACCATTGACGAAGGGGCGTGCATGAGCCGACCTGCAGTGGAATGTAATGCATGTAGATCGGCGGCTCGCCAGCATCTCTTGTTGTAAGCGGTAGCATCAGAGATCTCGGTTGTATATGTTTGTGCGTGTGAATGCTGGGGACATGCAGAGCTACCGGGCCCGAAAGTGAACAGCATCAGCGAAACTACAACCTTATGGAGAGGGTCCATGTAGGGTAGATTGGGGTATCGTGAACGAAAGTCTTTTGAGACAAAAAAACACCGGGTACTGCTTCCTGCCGACTTGCTTTCGCCTGGCCTTCCCGATCGTAGTGGAATAAGCATTGCTCAGAGCTTCAAATGACTCCCATGCTTACGAAGTCTTTCACAGCAAACTCAATTGCTCGAGCAACTTCCACACCTTCTTCCCAAACTTGATCATGCTTCCCCTTGAGCTCCAGTAGCCTCGCCCTCCGCGAACCAGAAGTCTTGAAGCCTTGCGAGGAAAGGGATTTCATCATCAGATCTGGTTGCTCCCACTCGACAAGCTCATCTTCCCGCGAATGCGCGATCACTACAAGCTTTCCATCTTCCCAGCTCGCACCAAGATCTGCGGACGTTGGGCTAGCAGCCTTCCAGTTGGCCTCTTTGGGGCCAAAAGCAGCCTCGACAAAATTGCGATAGAAAGCGCTATCGGAATGATAGCGCACCAGGGCAGGGAGGTCATACAATCCTTCGATGCCGAGAACAGCCAGCGGCGGCACCACGTTGAGCTGCAAGGCCGCAGTAGACTCGTACTGCACGCCCCAGTAACGCTTCATCAACACCTGCAGAGCTAGACAGGCGCCGCACGAGTGACCCACCAACAGATAGCGGCCTTCAAAGCGGTAGGTCTCTTGGAGATGGAGAATGCCAGCCAGTACATCGTTGATATGATCGGGATGACTGGCGTTTCGAGCGGGATCTCCTGGATTTGACGGGCTCGTAGGGTGCCATGGAGCTGGTGAGAGGCGATAATTTATGGAAGCAAATCCGGCAATGTGCTCTTCGGCGTGAGACTTGAGGAGTATATTTTGAGCTTTGTCAAAGGTGGTGGCCGTCTGCTCGGGGTCAAACCAGGCGCCACCATGGATGTACACGACCCATATGCGTTTTTGATCGTTGGCAGATGTTGGTCGAGGGATGCATGTTTGGAGAGTGTTCAGGCTGGACGCGTTTCCATAATGAATGTCGGTGCGGAACTGCGGCCACTCATCCGTAAGGGTCACACCCATTGCTGCTGCCGCTACTGCTGCTGTACTCTCTGACGGCTAGCGGAGGAAGGTTCAGGTTTCGTGTGACTCACAACCGAGTGGTCAGATGGAGAACGGGAGACGCCTCGTTGTTGCCACTAACGGGGCAGAAATGTCAGAAAAGGCAGGATCACTGGTTGTCGTTGGGCAGCACGACGGGAGTGTGATGAGGTGGTTTAAGGGCCTTATGGGGCGGCCTTATGGCTCAGGCAGACAGGCAGGCAGGCATTTTCACAGCCCACTGTGAAGCTGAGCTGAGCTGAACCCAGGGCCCAATGTTCGTACACGGGCAAGCTAGTTCAAGGTTTCAGGTGGTGCAACCCGTCCCATGCACCTGCAATCCTCCATCTCAGGTAGGTAGGTAGTACAGTCACACTAGGAGGTACAGATAGTGAGTGAGTTGAGTTGAGTGATAGTGAGCGAGTGAGTGAGTGATATCAGCCTGTACCTATGGCCAAGCCGCAGCAGTCCCTCGTTGGGGCACATGCACGTCGCTGCGAAGGCAATAGTGATTACATGTACCTATACCGTACAGTACGGTAGTCCCAGGTTAAGTGCCTTTGTGCGCCTCGCCTAGCCTCGCCTTGCGGACGGAGAGTCGGACGACGGTTGACGGAGACAGATTGGCAGCGGCAGCACCCACACACACCCCTCCAGGGCTCCAGCGTGGATCGTTGTGGCTGCTGCCGGCCTCGTCCTCGTCAGTGTGCGTTCAGCCTGCCTCCAGAGTGCAAGGATGGCCTGTAATCCGCGAGCAATGACGTAGCGCTAGTAATTCCACGCGTTGGGCTCCTTCCTTCTTTTCCAGCGTGAGATCACTCCGATCGCCAGTCCAGTCTCCCTAGTGCACCCACTTCGCAGTAGCAACAACCACAGCAACAGCAACAGCAACGACAGCATCAACCAGTATCAATCACGACCACCACGACTACCATCAGCCGTCTTGGCCATCGACGGCTCCAGGCACACCAACTCACCACTCGAACTCTAACCCAAGCTGAAACCACAGCACCGCCACAGCTCGCCCTGCCCTCAACTTCACTTGGACCTGGCCGCTGTGCTGCCCCGCTGGACCCGAACTCTTGCCAGCGCGCGCACCTACGTACGTAGGAGGAAGTAGGAGGTACAGGTAGCAAGATCCATCATCCTTGGGCCTCTGGCGCAGCAAACATCTGAGGAGAGATTCTTGTCACCGACCGACGCATCGACACCCTCCGATCCGCCTCGCTGAACCTACCTGCCTGAGCATCAACAATCTTCCCTCGCACCTGCCGCGCCTGCGTCCGCTTCATCATCGACAAGCAGCGACAAAAACCAGCGCAGCACCACTTCCTGCATCCATTCTCCCCTCACTCACTACAATACCTTACCTACTCCCTCTTCATCTATCCTCTCCCGCCTACCTCACCTCACCATCGTTCTGACAACACCCCACTTCTTCCCTTCCGCTCTGCCTGCGGCCTGAGCCCCGCCGTCGACCACCGTCAAAATGAGCACCTACGACGACGACTACTACGAGCCGCGACGCTACCGCAGCGTGAGTGTCTGACCCCAGCCCTACGTGCAAGACCCCCAAACTGACTAGTCTACCAAAGGTTCGCACCCGCCCACGTGACAGAGACGAGCCGGACTACGTTCGCGAAGAAACATACATTGAGCGAGGCAAGGGTCCTGGCCCGCGCGGCACAGAAATGGTCTACCGCGGCCGCGAAGAGAGCATTGAGGACATTCCCCGCGACTTCCCCCCTCCAGGACGTGACCGCGGTTACGACGACGACGACTACTACGATGCTCCTCGTCGCAGCAAGAGTGCAGGAGGCAGAGGCCGGCGCTCAGACTATGATGATGATCGATACACCGACCGCGATGTCGCGGCAGCTGCAGGAGCCGGTGCAGGATATGCAGCGGGACGTCGCCGACACCGCGACGATCGTGGCTACGACTCGGACTACTCTCGCTCGCCGCCTCGCAAGCCCGAGCGCAAGAAGTCAGGTCTGGAAGACGCACTCGGTGGACTGGGTCTTGGAGGCCTCGCCGCTGGCATTCTCGGCAACAGAGACAGCAACCGCGACAGATCACCAGGCGGCCGCTCCACTCGTTCTCGTGCTCGAAGCCGACGCGGCTACTCCTCGAGCCGAAGCAGGTCTCGTGGCGGCGGAGGCGACAAGAACAGAACCGAGCGCAAGTGGGCCCAAGCAGCTCAAGCAGCACTCGTCGCTGGCGCTGTCGAAGCCTTTCGATCACGCAATGAGGCAGGTCCGTGGACTGGAGAAAAAGGCAGACGTATTGCGACTGCCGCCATTGGTGCCGGTGGGATCGATGGTTTGATCGACCGCGACCCCAACAAGAAGTCCAAGCGCCATCTTGCCGAAGCTGTCATTGGAGGTCTGGCTGCCAATCGACTCGCCAACGGACCGCGCTCCAAGTCTCGTGGTCGCGGATACGACTCTCGCGATGTCTCACCTGATGCTCGATCGATGCGCTCTGGACGCAGCCGCAGCCGAAGCATCATCGACAGACTTCGCGGTCGCTCGCAGTCTCGCGGACGGGCCCCGAGTGAGAATGGTGGTGGCGGAGGAATCGGTACTCTGGGAAAGGTAGCAGGTGCCGGCGCGGCAGCTGTTGGCCTCAAGAAGCTTTATGACCGCGCACGCTCCAAATCACGTGGGAGGCGCTCACCTTCACGCGACTCCAGCGCAGACTCGTATGTGCCCTCCCGCCGTCGTCCCCGTGATCAGCGCCGCTCACAAGGTTCAGATACCGGCAGTATTCGCCGGACAGACGATCGCGACGGTCCTGGCGGTCGCGAAGTCGCTCGCGGTTCTAGAGGCGTCAGCACCATTGTAGCTGGCGGCGGAGGCGGTGCGAAAGGAAAGGGCGTGAATGATTCAAGTGATAGTAGTTCTACCACCGATATGGAGAAGACTCGGAAGCATATGCGTGGCAAGGAGTTGATTACGGCCGGTCTCGCCACTGTGGCGACTATTCATGCGGCGCATGGCGTGTATTCAAGTATGGAGGCTCATGAAAAGAGACATCGTCTGGTCGCTGAGGGAGAAATGAGCCCCGAAGAAGCTCGTAAAAAACAGACCAAGGCTTGGATCCAAGACGCTGCAGCAGTGGGTATTGCTGCGCTTGGTATCAAGGGTGCTTTCTCCGAGTGGAAGGAAATGAACGAACAGAGGTATGACTTCGACCCTGCATCTCGACATGAGTGACGAGCTAACCGATGTTGTTTCTATAGACGTGAGATTCAGGAGATCGAAAAGCGGAAGGCAGGTCGTCGCAAGAAGCGCATCGCACGGCAAAAGCAAGAGGAGATGGAGAGACATGAGCGTATGATGAACATTCTCGAAAAGAATCCTCAACTTGCTGTTGGCTATCAGATGCAGCAAACCGGCTATCTCCCTAATAATCTGGGCGCCATACCTGCACCTGATCAAAGTGGCAACCCATACGCTTCTGGCCCCAGGTACTAGAGGCACCATCGACACCCCTCGCATTCCACCTACGGTCATTACGAGAATCGCCCGACGACTCACCCACAGCACCACCATCGCGACTGGGCAGGTCCTCCGGATTGAAGCAGACGCAATATTTACGATGGTGCTGGGGAACTTTCTCGGCGAGACTCTTGGTTCTATACGACAAATTCTAGCGACTCTCTTCCTCTTTCCAGCGAACAGACGACGACTTCATGGGCATACGAGAAACAGACTACGATGCATGAGATGGCGAGCAAGCTGCATGATACCACCGGCAGGGCAGACGCGGCAGATTACTACGCGCTACGATATCATGATGACCATGATGCACTATGGAGAGGAGCGATCAAGTGCGATGAGCGCTGAGATTACTTGATTCCGTAGATTCACTTGGTCCGTTTTCCTTGATTAATTGTGTAAGATTTCTTACTCTATACACTGCCTCTGTGACTGCTGCACTGATGCTGTTCTTTCTTGACATGTGACCCTGAAATTGCACATGTCGCTGACCTGGCTAACATTGCAGTGGTACTATTTATGGCTGAAGCACTACTGTAGGTACTCTGGAGAGTGACCATTTTTAAGCTTTGTCATCAGATGCTCTAATTCCGCGATAAGATTGCGCAATATATATAAGCCAAGCAGATCGTATAACATGCCTACCGTATACGTACATTCGACAGCTGGGAACGTTTTTTTTCTTTCGCATTTATATATCAAACAACAATGTCGGCTACAATAAAGCAGAAGGAGAAGAGTAAGAAGATGGAAGAAGTCTTTACTCTGTGGAGCTTTTTGCCCACTTCGACACAGATTGTTCTACCCACCCAGACTACGTCTGCTCATGCATCAACGACGGCGACGACGGCGAAGACATCGAAGACGTCAACGACAAAGTCAATGAAATGTACTGCTACAAGATGACCTTGAAAACATTGATACCAACGATGACGACGATAAGGACAAGGAGGACAAGAAGGACAAGAAGAGAGAGTCTAGTGTCATTGTCGTTATCATCATCATCATCATCATCATTGTTACGAGAGAAGACGATTGGAGAGGGAGAGGGAGAGGGAGAAATTGGTGGTAGTGGGGAAAAGATGAGGATCGGGGGATGGGGGATGGATGGATGATGGATGAGTTAATTCAATGATTTGAGATTGGGGATTGGGGAGACGAGGAATTATTGGTACTATTGAGGGGGGGAGTCTAATTACCTGATCTAAAGTCGAAAGGGAAGGAAATTTGAAAGTTGCTGTAATCGATGCAGGAAGGAAGGATGGAAGGAAGGAAGGAAGGAAGGATTTGTTTATTTTATTATTATTTATTTGTTAATATTGGATTGCGGGATTGATTATTGGACTGGACTGGACTGGGCTGGTTTTATACAGTGAAAGGAGACTCTTTACCTGATCTATCTATCTAGTTGGGGGTTGGGCTGTGATGGTGATGGTGATGGTGATACATGTAGTGATGGTGATAGTGTCTCTTCATGCATTCTATTAAGCCTAACACACACACACACACACACACATACCTATACATACCTAAACATCAATCATCTCCACACTCAACGACCTCATGTACCGATCTTATGTACTTCACTCAGTCATTCATTCATCCATTCTTTATCCCATCCAAATAAGCCACCAATCGTTTCTTAATCACCACCCCAACAATTTTTCCCGTCCCTTCCTCCGTAATCATCAAATATCTGAGTCCCAATTTCCCAAACATTTCTACTGCATATTCCATTGGTGCTACAGCTGAAAGTGTCAGAGGGGTTCGATCGACGAAATGGGAAAGGTCGATGATGTTTTCTTGTTCTTGTTCTTCTTGCTCTTCTTCTTCTTCTCCTGACGGAGCAGCAGCCGCAGAGCTAAGCAAACGGACTTCTTCCATATTCTGATCATTGTGTAATCCACTCAACGAACCAAGTCCGAATTCCAGTTCAGCTTGCCCAAGATAACCTTGCAGAATCCCCGTAGTTTGATTTACAAGAACCAATCCCGCATCCATCAGCCCTCTAGCCTGGAGCTGATGAAGTTTCTTCACCAACAGCGCTCTCGAAACCGTATTCGAATGATCGGGAACATTCACCGTAATTTCATCCATAGTCTGTTTCGGCGGAAGAATCTCTGCAACAATAGCATGCTGAGGTAATTTTTGCACAAGTTGCATAGAATGGTCGATATCGAGAAAGGGATGTCCGAGGACGTTTTGGGCGAGATCGTAGACGCTTTCTTTGCCGCCGAGAGAGTCGGCGACCCATTTGGATGTGAGAATGGCGAGCATGTGCGGCACGGTGTATTCGAGTTCGCCGGTGAGTTCGAACATGACGACGACGAGGGAGACGGTCATGCGTGAGACTCCGGCGAGGAAGGAGGCGGCGCCGACCATGGCGAAGATGCCTGGAGAGATTCCTGGGATGAGTTGGCCTGTGAGTCTGCCGAAGAATGCACCGGCGTCTCTGGAGAGGTGTCAGATTCAAAGTTGGTGAGGCAGGGGGGGAAATGGGAGATGGCTTGAAAAACTGCCGAAAACTTACAATGAAGGTATGATGATACCACTGGGCACTTTGATGCCAAATGTGACGATGGTGAGGATGAGTTTGGTCAGTGTCCCGTGAACAAGAAAGCCATAGTACCCGGAACGATTCTCGAAGCTCTCTTGCTGGCAGACCCAGGTGTGTCGCGAGTCATCATCACGACAGTCAACGAGCAAGTTCTTGATGATCACGTCTCCAGGCTCGCGGGTGAGGGGGTTGGGATACTGCAGCAGAACAGTGACGAGAACGACCAGGAAGACCTCCAGGACCGGGTGATTCTTGATGATGCTGAACGAGCGAAACCACTTACTCCAGATGTAATTGAGTTTGCAAAAGAGGCCACCAAACACGCCACCTACAATTCCGAGAAAGATAAAGGCCAGATAATGGACGGGACTATAGGAAGTGCCGTAGTTGGTCTCGAAGAGCACGAGCTTTCCCGTACCATTTGGGTTCAATGCCCGGAGCACCATGGCAGCGCAGAGTGAGCATAAGAACGCTCTCCACAGCACTTTCCGAGGAAAATATGTCGAGATTTCCTCGTATGCGAAGAGCACACCACCGATAGGAGCGCCAAATGCAACACTCAACCCAGCCGCACACGCCGCGGACAGAATTTCTCTCATCTTACGACCATTGTCGCGGTACTTGTGGAAACATTTCGCGACGAGGTAGCCCACACTCGTAGCAATGTGTACAAACGGGCCCTCTTTGCCCAGACACATACCCGTTGCCACTGCGAAGACGGCGCCAATAGCCTTGACGGCGAGAATTTGGAAATCGAGAAATCCTGGTATGACGAAGCCAGAAAGGATAGTTTTGATCTCGGGGATCCCTGAGCCCGCTGCCATGTACATGCTTTTGCCCGCTACTGGTGCTGGCTGTTGTTTGCTGCTCTGATCCCTATCACCATAGCCTGGAGCCGTAGCCGGGAGAGACCGCTTCGTCAAGAGCGTGACACTGCCACTGATGATACCGTACGCGAGGGCAAAGCCCAGATAGGCGAGGAAAAGGGATGCGTAGCTCGAAGACCAGGGCTTCCAATGCACGCAGTCCAATCCCGCGCCGTCGTCGTCCGCTGCGATGGGTAGGTTGGTAAGTGGTGTCCGATTGGCACAACATGCTTCTCGAGTCTTGAAAGGATTGGGCGAGCAGTAGCCGAGTTTCCAATCGCTGACGGTCGCTTCGGCGACATCGACGAGAAAGGCTACGCAGGCTGTCAGACTGCCGATGAGCGCTGCTGCAATCCATCCGGAAGCTTGATCGAAGTACTTGATGAGCTGGAATCGGATGCCCTTTCGTTCACCGATGAATCGGAATCGGTACGAGTCTTTGACCTGTGTAGATTAACAACACACACATATTAATATTCATTAGCATAAAATCTGTCCTCGTCTTGTCCTTTTTTCTTCTGTGGCCTGGTAGAATCTTACCAGATCGTGCAGCCAGTCAATCGTCGTATAATCATTGTAGGCCAATCTCTCTCCCACCGACGCATCATACAGATTCTGCTCGTCTTTGGTTAAATGGCTCTGCACCATCGACTCCACATCTTCGTCCAACCTGACGATATGATTCTGGTTCAAGCTGGCCTCCAGAAGTGGTGCCCTCTCGTCGCTCTCCATAGTTCCCAATTCCCACCGCCCGCGCTAGTCAGAGTTGACAAGACAATCAACAATGAATATCACAATACTAAAAGCTCATCAAACGAGGTGATGGGGCTAGTAGGGGAATGAATGTTCTGCTCTACCTGATAAACTCTACTCAACTTTTACTCCTCTTCCTCAACGGACGGACAGGCAGCCAGCCACATGATGATGATGATGATGATGTTCTTTTGATAGATACAGGCATAATAAGTACTACTATACCGTTACGATAAGGCTCGGAGGGGGGGGGGGGGGGAACTGATAAGAAAAGGTCACCACTCACCACTCACTCACCAGCCACTCTGCTGCGCATCTCTCGTAGGTCCGTCTATCCCTACCTACCTGGGAGGTAGTACCTTACCCTTTTATCTGCAGCTATCTGACCTTTCGCGTCATGTTTTGTTCTCGTTTGCCGCGGCGTGTCATCATCATCATTATCGCCGTCGTCGTCGTGTCTGCCATCAGCCTGCAAAGAGAGAGAGAGAGAGAGAGAGAGAGAGAGAGAGGGAGAGGAAGGCCAAGTTGTCAACAACGTCAACAACGTCGACTCGCTGGAAATATTTTTGCCTCGAGTGTTTTTGTGTCACGCGACCAATCTAGAACTACCTTCTACCAGGACTAGGTACATTACTTGTCCACGGCTGTAGGAGCCTTTTTAAAACTACCTATGGCGTCGTCGGTCCCTATTGTACCTAGGTAAGCCTGCCCGGTAAGGTAAGGTAGTTGGGGCCAAAAATGACAAAAGTGGTGGTGGAATACATCATCGACCTGGGAAGAACAACGACGAATAGAATCATCGGAACTACATGTAGTCATCATACAAGAATCGCATCTTATGTATTCTCTTCTAGCAGCAGAAATTGTGCAAAGCGAGCTATTAATGACAGACAATAACCTCATAATAGCCCGACTATTTGAGTATCTCCTAACATCAGGAGTAGTTTTGAGGGACAACCTCCCGTAAAAGAGAAAAAGAAAAAAAGTGCCAAGACTATATCCCCCCTCTGTACCTCGCCGAACCATAGTTCGGTTCAGCTTCCAATCGCGTAAAAAGGTCCATGGGGCCGGCCTCTTTTTTTTTCTTTGCAAAATGGTTTATTATAATGGCTAGCGAGATGCATATGCCGCCGCCGCCATTCGTTTACCCCTCGGAGCTACCCACCTACATAGATAGTTACATAGGTACAACACAGAGAGGGAGAGGGGGATTAGACATTGGGGAGAATTTGTTATATTGAAAGGAGAGGAAAGATGCATGGACGAGCGAGGTTTGTTTTTCGAGAGGAAAACCGATCGAGCATATTTTATTCCCGTGCTTCGGCAAGCTATGGAGAGAGAGAGAAAGAAAAAAAAGGGTTCTTCCTCTCTCTCTCTATCTCCTTCTTTCGTCTTCTTCACCTGGCTGGGCACGATTTCACATGCTTGAGGGCCCTTGCAGAGCGCCCCGCTTCCCACGAGCAAAAGGGTCAGGGTAAGGTACTGTACCTCTCCTACTGTAGTTCGTGTCTACCTTAAGTCGAAATTCGTTTGCTCCGTCCAGTCAGGTACAGGACAAGAGAGCGAGCAGAATAGAAGAGCACAACACTGCACAGCACAGCACAGGAAGGAGAAGAAGAAGAAGAGTAAGGAGAAAAAGGAGAAGAAGAGGAAGAAGAAGAGAAGAGAAGAGACCTTTGTCGTTCACAATTATATTTTATCTCTCTCTCTCTCCCTTTCTCTCTCTCTCGCTTTCCCTTCCTCCCTTCCTCCCTCCCTGCAGTGCGGTCTCCATATATCGACCGACTTGAGAAGGCTAGCATCGGCAGACCAGAGACTCTCTCCCTCTCCCTCTCACTCTCTCTCCCACCCCACCCAAAACTCGTCGATTGCGACAAATTTCCCCCCGCCTGCCAGCCTGGCCGGGCTGCGAAGCATGAGAAGCGACATTGTCATCCGCAGCAGCAGCAGCAGCCACCATGTCGGCCTCACATCCTCCTCCAGGACCTCCTCCTCATGACGCAACATCCACAGACCCGCAACCCTCCCGCACCGACTCGCCGCTCTCTCTACGACACATTGCCCTGAAATTCGACAACGCCGCGCCCGAAGCGAGTGCATTGCGGCTCGTCGAAGCATTGGATCCGACGTGGAAGACTGAAGAAGGGCCAGTGGAATTCATCCGTTTCACAGATGGAATTACAAACACGCTCATGAAAGCTGTCAAACGACGAGCGGGCTTGAGCGCGTTAGAAGTGGATCGGAATGCGATTTTGTTGCGAGCATATGGACAGGGAACGGATGTCTTGATTGATCGCGAACGCGAATTGCGCGCACACATGTTGTTGGCGAGTATTGGACTTGCGCCGCGGTTACTTGCGCGCTTTGATAATGGTTTGATGTATGCTTTTATTCCGGGCCATGTTTGCTCGCATGTGGATTTGGCAAAGCCCGACGTCTATCGACAGGTTGCGAAGAGGTTGGGGGAATGGCATTCGTTGCCTATTGCTGCTATTACTTCGACGCCTCTTTTGGACTGTGAGGAAGATGCTCAGAAGAAGCGGGACGTGGCTGCGAAGCCTGTCAATGGCAACAGCAACAACAGCAACAACAAAAACAACACACGCCCGTATCCCAACACGTGGACGACAATGCGCTCGTGGATCGAAGTCTTGCCCAGAAATACGGACGAGGAGCGACAGCGGGTCAAGACGATTGAAACCGAGCTTGCTTGGGTAGAATCGAAACTGGGTCACACTGTTTTCGACCAGAAAGCTTTTGTTTTTGCACAGTAAGGCTCCCTGGTTCCGCAGAGAAAAAAGAAACGGGACAATACCACCTTCCAGATGAAAGCGCTAATCATATGCCCCCTTCCCCCAAAGTCACGACTTACTATGTGGCAACGTGATTGTGGACATTCACTCCGACGCCAAAGAGAAGCCCGTGAGCTTCATCGACTACGAGTACGCCACGCCCGGGCCCGCTGCCTTTGACATTGCGAACCACTTCGCCGAATGGGCAGGTTACGACTGCGACCATGCCTGTGTGCCCACCAAAGCCCAACGGAGAGAGTTCATCCAGCAATACGTCGCTTCCTACAGATATCACACCATCTCCGACGCCCCAACGACCATTGAAATCGACTTCCAGAAAGACATTGATACCCTGTTTGTGCAGGTCGACCTGTTTCGTGGTCTTCCCGGATTTTACGTACGTATAAACTACCTGACATTTAGTTGTACCACCTTGTATAGCCAAGCCAGTTGAATGTGTGCAAATGCTGACAATCTTTTTTCTTTTCTTTCGAGCACAGTGGGGCATATGGGCTCTCATCCAAGCAACAATTAGTCAAATTGATTTCGACTATAGTAAGTTTGCAGAAGGTCGATTCAAGGAATACTGGTCGTGGAAAGAGGAGGTCACGGGCGAGCGCAAAAAGGCAGGCAGAGAGCAGTACGTACGAGAGAAGAAGTGGGCTTCTTGAGGAGGATACGAAGATGATGATGACGAAGAAGAGGAGCATGATGGAGAAGAAGAAGAGGAGCATGAAGAAGAAGAAGAGGATGAAGAAGCAGGAAGAAAGGATACTATAATTACTGGTGGGTTGGTGGGTTGGATATCCAGATGGAGGAGGAACAAGCCGCAGACAGATGTTCAACCACAGGCTCGGCAGACTTGTTGTCGGTGGTAGTGTTGTTGTCGTCGGTTGTGGTGTTGTTGTCGTTGGTGTTTGTTGTTGAGATGACAAAAAATGAGCAAGCAGGCAGGCGCGGGTGGGGTCTCACTCTTTCTTTCCGTTTGCTTTTTTGTTTCTTTTTTTGGAGGGGAGAAAAAAACAAAAGAAAGTCGAGTCGGTTGTTGTTGTTGTACAGCGAATGCCCTTTTCTTCTTTTTGGCCTGGATTCCATGTTCGCTGCTTGAAAGGAGAAAAGGAAGAACAAAACAAAAAAACTCATCACGGTTCAACAGGACGACACACGGTTGTTTCGCGTGTCAACACAGCCAATTCTTTTTGGTATTTCTGGCTTCGAGCTTCAACACGATACCCGCCACTGGTTTTATAGCGGCTTTCAAGCCTGGATGTGCATAGGACAAGGGGGAATCCGTAGTACTATTCATTGGGAGCTACTCTGAGTCTACCACATGCCTTGCATACTAGGGAGCGTTCCTCGACACATCTATGATAGCCTCTGGGTCTCCTCTATCTGACAGATATCGACAGGCGGTGCACTCGTTGTGGAAGAAGCCGTGTTCTCGGTCCCTGGAAGCCTTGAACATGTGTGTACATCTCGAATGTCGCCATCGACCCAAGATGGATCTTGTAGACGGGCAGAATTCAGTTGTCTTGTGCTTGAAGCTGCAAGCGCAACGTCTTAGATCATGTGCCAGAGGCTCTTGTCGCTATAAAGAAACGTGCGACGTGTCCCGCTTTTACCTAGCACAGACCGTACAGTGTTGTTCCACGCTGCAGGATGAGGCCCATGATCCTGCCTGGAACCAGGAGTACCGTCAGAGCCCTCATAATCCACGACGGCTGCAGCTTTCCAAGGCTTCCGAGCTCGTGGTGATGGCGTTGATAATGTAAGGTGTATGCTCGGCTCGCGCGACCGGCGAAGCAACTAACACTCCAAGGAGATGAACAAAATATGCCTTCTCACTGCGCTAGTCATAACATTATCGCGACAGAACAGCCTTAACCGTCCCTTCCAGCTCTATATTACCTGGAACTGCCATCTCATACGTCCCAGCGGCATTGATTCCTTGGCTTCGGCTCCAGTTCCAAGACGCCAGGAGATCGTTGGCCTCCTTTGGCTTGATATCGGACGAGGCTGTGCCAATGGTAATGTGTGCGATAGCGTTAACACTCTGGAAATTTTCGTGGCTGCCTTCGAATGGTACGAGTGTTACCACAAAAGCCATGACACGACTGTTCCAGACCAGACGTTCCAGACGCACCCGACAGAGCCCGACGTTCGGATCTGGGATGGCGTAAGCTCGCCCCTCGGTAGGTGCAGCGGCCTTTTGGTGAAGTTCAGTGAGGCGGGCCCAAGTTCCCTGATGCTCGGCAGCAGTAGCCCGGTGGATGAGGGTTACGTGGAATTCGTTCTGAACGCGGCGCTGAGATCGAAGGGCGTTGTACATTTGCGAGAGTTCAGGTGATGCGCCTGCAAACATTGCATTCAGTATCGGCACCAGTCTCCCAGCAGGCACTTGAACTGCAAAGTATTCCACTTTCTTCTCCTTCGGTTGACCATTAGACTGAGGCTGAGACTTGGGCGCATTGTTGCCTTTGGATTTCTTGTTGTCGAAGCCCTGAATCTCGTGCTTGATGTCGACGGTATAGTCACTCAGTGCCCACTGGATAGCACTGTCCATGTCGTCCGGAGACGGCATTTCGCGGTCGTGGAACAGTTGTGGATACTCTGCATAGAGCTTAGTGATCACAGTGTCCAAATTCTCCCGGGAGTCCAGAGTCGGGTCAAGATTGATCACCAAGTCGAAGCCATCATCTGGAGGCGCATCACTATTGACAGCTTCGAAGCGATGCAAAAAGCCTTCCATGATGCCAACGATTTCATCAGTTCCCTTGCTGGTGTGTATAGTCTGGTGGTTATCGCCTCGAGACAGCACTCGGTATCGCAGGGCCTGTCTGATGTGGTCGTAGTTTCCGCGATCATGAACAAAGTGCAAGGCTACAAAGCGTGCATTGGGAACCACTTTCGAGACGTCTTCAATAAGCTGCTGCCGCTCCCGCCGCTGATGGTTATTGCGATCCGCAATCATTGCATCGTACTTTTCTAGCTCAGCGCAACATGCATTGGCAAATGCCAGGGGCTTACCGCGCCGAACGGTGATGTTGTCATTCTGGATGTGGCCCCAGCCAAAGAGCTTACACAAGGCCAATGCAATTGTAGTCTTGCCGCAGCCAATAGTCGCAACTGGTACGAGAACCACATCTCCAGTCACTGCATCGTTGGTGACCTGGCCCTGCTGTGCTTCGAGGCGGATGATCTCTGCGCCAGTGAGACCACGTTGTGCGAGGAAGTCGTCGCGCATTTTAATAATTCCATGGTTCTGTTGGTAAGCTTTTCCGAGAGCTGGATTACCGTGCAGCTGCTTTCTCGCAAAAGTGATGTACTCGGCTGTGATCTCTTTGTGCTTTTTGTATTTGGGCTCACGCTGAGCGATTACCGCTTTGGTACATTCTCGCCATTGACGATACATGAGATAAGGTTCCTGGAGAATGTCAGCGATCTCGGATGCAAGCAATCACAGTGAGCATGACTCCTCACATACCTCAAACTTGTACTTGAAGAACCAATCGTGCCACTCGCCCGTATTCGCCTTCGATTGACAACGTATGACGAAGCCTTCTGTATCACGCCCCTGGAAGTTTCCAGTTTCTGCAATCCTATCAAGAAAGCTTTTCACGTCCTCTATATTGTTGTTGGTGAGGTAGGTTGTCTTCTTGAAGCCCCATTCATCAGCGAATCTGTCGACCAAGTGATGCGGGTATGTCGCAAACTCAGGTAGGTTGAGATTGATGCCATGCAGATAGAGACCGGCAGCCTCTGGTGAATAGGCGAGTACATGCTCTTCAAAGTCATCGTCACACAGCTCTGCGACTGCGGTAGCGTTCATCGATCGAAGCTGCAGAGCCAGTTGCTGTCGAGTTTTCCCAACGCGGGCCAGATGCTTCTCTACCCACTGCTCGCCAACAGACGCGTGGCTGGCTCCAACATCAGTTCGATCTCCAGTGGAGTGCTTACTGCACACAATAAGAGTCCCATCTTCGAGCCCAGCAATGAAGATGATGCAGCCGTTTTCCTTGACACTCAGCTCGTATGGACCTCTCGTATTCGCGGTGACATTCTTCCATTCGGTTTCGGGAACTTCGCCGTGATTGAAGAACTTGTCGTAACCGCGAACAGCAATCTCAGGGTGACCGTTCCTGGTTCGTGTGGTGAAGAGTCCTCTGGCATAGCTGGGCAGGTTAGGCTTCTTGTAGTCCCAATCTTGCATGCGCCACGAGTCGACTCGGATATCTGTACCGTTCACTGCAAATGTAGCTTTTTTGCAGGAGAAGCCAGAACTTTTCTTCGCTTTGCCCTTGTTGGCTTCGAAGCCGCGGAGCATTTCCTCTATCTCATTGGGATCCTGCGGCCGGTACGGAGCGCCTTCGTAGATTGCCATATTCCTGTTGCTCGACTGGCGAGCGATCGGATTGCTGGGAGCGTGAATGGTCTTGTCTTATGCTACTTGCGGCAATCGAGATGTATTGCTCAGAATCTCAAGGTTGGCGTTGGGGTCTCTTAATCTGGTGGTGAAGGGGGCAGAGTCAAAAAGGCTGCGAGGATGATGCGGAAAATTTGAGGGCTGAGCTGAAGGAAGCTGAAAGCGCGGAACACTCGACAAACTTATGGAAGGTGCATTCGCAAAAGTCGCAGACGGAGGAAGGAGCTGAGTCACTGCAGAAAGAGCAAGCGAGCGAGTGAAGAGACAGACCGCCGTTACTTGTGGAAACTGCGTCTCGATGGAGCGCAACGTGAAGGAAGTGGAAGGTGTGCGGTGTCTCCTTCCTGTCGGCGGCGTGTACTGTGCAAACGAAGAAAGAAGAAGTCTGCAGTCAGGAAGCTTGGCTTGGCACGCATCCATCGTCTCCTCCAACGCTCCCTCCCTCCCTCCCACTCCTCACTACTGTACCTGGTATCTACTGTACTGGCTCACTGCCATCAGCATCACTCACTACTCCTCGGTGAAGGCAGCTACATAGCCTGCACGATTCCACAACATGTCTTCCCGACCAGCGCCTGGTACACGGCGGTCAGTCAAGACCGAGTATATCACCACAGTAAGATTGATTTGACTGCTCTCCCACAGCAGTTGAACGTGCACTGATACATAATGCGCCTAGGATACGGGCAACAAGATCTCAAGACGCTCAAATATCGAGGGCAAACAGAACATCATGCTCGGTGGCAAGTCTGTGGTCATGGCTGGCGTTCACATGCGAGGCGATCTGCACCTGATAGAAAAGCCGCCCGCTGAAGGTGAGAAGCCTCGACCTCCAAGAACAGCCATTAGCATAGGCAAGTAGGTGCATTCTAATTACTACTTAAACTATTATACTCGAGCTGATGTCGCGCCAGAGCCAGTATCGTGTCGACCAACTGCATTCTCCACCCTCCCATGCGACTACATCACGGCGAAATGACATTTTACCCCATGAGGATAGGCGATAATGTGTTCATTGGCGCTGGCACGCATGTATCCGCCGCTGTGATATCCTCACATGTGCATATTGGCGAGAATTGTGTTCTTGGTTCTTTCAGCATGCTCAAGGAAAGCTGCAAAGTTCTGCCAAACACAGTCGTACCGCCCAATATGATCGTTCCGCCAGGCTGCATTGTTGCAGGTCGACCAGCTCGCATCATCGGCGAAGTTGGTGACGGTTGGGGCCAGTCTGTGGGCGGAGGCGAGGGTGAGGAGCTTGTTGAAGGTGGCGATCTCAGACCATTAGTCAGGAAGATTGAGTGAAAGAGTTACTGACGATGATTTCGGTCTCTGAACCTATGTGATGTCGGGGGTGGTCTTTTGACATTACAGGCACGACGCACCTACTGTGCAATTGTCATAAGTCCCACCAGGGAGGAGTTCACAGGCTGCAGATTATGGTGAAGGAAAGACAACGCACGGGATATTTGACGAACAGCCGTACGTTGTCTGGAGATACCTGTAGACGTGAACAAGCTGCCGTGCGTATCACCACTGGCGTTTGTCGTCTTCCATGTATGAGCCATACTGACGTGATATGCTAGACATAGTGACGCCGTTGTCTGCATTCTCTTCCACTTCGATGGCATGGCCAGCAGCTTGGAGCATGAGAGATGAAGTCGACGTCCCTGCAGAATACTGGTGAACGATTTGTTTGCTGGACACCCAATGAGTACAGTATGTTCGCGAGTTCAGGCAATGTACAACGGGACCAATATCAGAGCCTTGGAGATTGTGTCGTGCATTCATTGCCATATATATAAGGTATACTCCAAAGCTAATCATGCATTCGACCAGGCCACAACGCAAGCAAAATCGTAAATTTCCTACTCTCAAGGCATTTCAAGTGCGCGATTGCCGCCAGTATACCCCTTGGACTGCATCCAGTCTCGCCCTGTTATTGATACGTCCATGGACCATCGAATCTTGGACTGAAGTTGGGACCATTGAGGTTGTATGGATCTGTAAAGGCGTCTACAGGTACGCTGAGCGAACCATCACTCCACGACTGGGAGACGAATCCTCCGAAATCGTCACGACTGGGTGGAGACTCCGTGCGATGAGATGTAGTGGTGGATGGAGTATTCCCGCCAATTCCGCCCTTGCTAGATTGGTTTAGGCCAGCAGGACCGACTGCAGTGGTTGCGTATTGGTCATCCACCACGTCGAGACCAGGGAAGAGCTGTTTCATGAGATCCTCACTGGGTGCACTGGAAGGCCCAACAGACTGCGATAGTGGACGTCCCGTGGTGCTGAGACCAGCTGCTCGAGGTGGAAGAGAAGTGCCTGGGACCATGGGAGGTGTAGGCCACCCGTTGAACGTGAAGGTCTGATCTAGCTCCGCAGTCTTGGACTTATCCATGCTGAAGTTGTATGCACTGCTGACCGGTGTCTGCCATTCGTTCGCGGCTTGTGACATGGTGAAGTCTGCATTTCCGAAGAAGTTTGGCGGAAGGCTGCGTCGATTTGCATTGTTCGTCTCGCTCATCACCGTGTCCATGGGCAAGGTTCCAATATCTTCCTGTATGCTTGGCATCGGGAAGCCGTAAAGGTCGTCCACAGTCGGAATCTCGTCAATTTCCGATTGAGTGCCAGATGATGCCGCAGTCAGGGCCGGTTGCGCCACGTTGCTCACATCAAATTGCGAAGCCCACGCCGCGAATGGATTGTTGTTGGGCATGGGATCCGCAGATGTGCCAATTGACCACGGATCAAAGGAGCTATCAGCCATGCCAGACATGGGCTCAAAAGCAGGAAAAGCCATGCAGTCATTGGTGCTAGAGTCCACGCTCTGATTGGTCTGAGTAGGCCCCAGTGTGCCGAAATCGATCATGGAAAGAGTGTTATCTGACAGACCTCCGCTGCACGTTCCCGTACTGGTGAATTTCGGTGATGGTTGCTCAGACTTGGACAAGCGTCGTGGCGCGTTGGTAAGCAACAAACCGTTGACGGGGCGAGAGCTAGGGACGTCGGCGAGCGAGGCACTCTGCAACGGCAAGCTGTCCACAGATCGCCGGGCCGCTTGCGACACGTTGTGTTCGGTATGTGCTCTGGGCAGTGGCATCTTGTAGGGCATACCGCACTCATGAGCAGCATGGTTCTTGTGGTGCACGGGCTTGTGGTGTCCATTCTTGAAAACAGTGATCGATCCATCCGACTTTGCTGTCTCTAAGCGCGGCTTCGGTACTGCGGGGCCATGAGGTGGACTGGACCCTTTGCTCGTTGGCTCCCTCTTCATCAACGAACACGCACACTTGCCGCCGTGATGACAACAGCAGCCTTGCTCTTCGGCGACAGCAGTCAGATGTGCCGGGTCGTCTTCCTGCCTGGCATGTGTCTCGTCATGAAAGCCAGCCTTTGCGCGCTCTTCGGCTTCCCGGAGGTGTATACATTTCTCTTTTGAGTGATGCGGCTTCTCGGCCTCCCCGCAGTCACATTTGACATGTGCAGCTCGTTTCTTACGCTCGAGGCGGCAGTGTTGGCACTGGGTCACGGGCCGTCCTTTCTTGGGGACGAGAGTAAGTTCACGGTCTGGACGACAGTCAGCAACACTTCACAGAGGCAGCTACGGCGCAGGACTCACCAGTATGGTTGCAGCCGCTCACGCGATGACCTTTGAGACATGACTGGCATGCCCATTTGGTCCCATCTTCCTTTACAACCATGCCGGAAAGGTGGGCGTGAGGTTAATGCGCGATTTATCGCTCGGTTGCTGTGGCTGCTCACGACGCCGCACGGCGACAATGAGGTTGCTTAAAATGCTGAGTAGTAGTTGAACAGAGTAACAAGGATATATGCTAGATCTAGACAAAAGAAGCCGGGCCTGGTCGTTAAATCTGGGTATCTCTAGTAGTCCATCCGGAACGCCTTCTCAGTGCTCTTGCTCTGCGGTCTGCCCGCCAAGGAGAAATGGAGGCAGAACTGTGACTGACAACAAGGCCAGGAGTGTTTCGCGTTCAGGCCGGGCTCAGCCTCGATAGGCTGGCCTTTGGGATGGCCGTGGCTCTTGAAGACGTGGGAACAAAATAGAAAAGGTCGCCTTCTCGCTGTGTGGTCGGAAGAGACAGCAGCGAAGTGAGAAGGTCATCAAAAATCGAATCGAGAGGCTGCGGGCCCGCCCTCGTCGCTCCGCCTCCGCCAAGCTATCTGAAGCACACCCTTCTGCCTTCCCTTGTTCGGACCGCATCCGCGTCGTCGTCAAAGGACAGACTTGGACTAGAGTAAGGCCGGCTTAGCAGGTACTTCACGCTCTACCTCCTTACGGTCTCTACCACACACATGCCCCCCTCCATCGTCCATATTCGCTAGGAGGTAGTTCTCATCACCTCCTACCTCCTTGCCTCCTAGCTGTGCCCGCATCGCATCCCCTCGGCCTAGCGCTGGAGCTGGCCATCTGTTCTCCAGGCCGAGATCTCGATGACTACGTCGGACCCTGCTGCACGAGCGTGTGCACTCCACCACTGCACTGCTACTCGCGAGGGTCATGGGATTGACGCGCTTCGCCACAGCAATCTCCAAGCTACCTGTAGGAGGTACCTCCACATTTACCGGTCAGCACTCCCACTCCTGAATCCGAATCCGAACCTCGGTGTGCCAGCGGGGCGCCAAAACGGGACATGCTTGTACGGTGTGCCCTGCATTTCCGTTTTGCCTGGTACAGCTGCGCAAGCCCGGCAGTTTCACTGGCTTCGTGGAGAGAGTTAGGAGGTACCGGTTCACGACAAGATACAGTTCCGCCGTTCGCCATCACCGTGTCAAGATGATCTGGGTCCATTTCTAATATGAAAAGTCTACCACACGCCTCTGGCGAGGCCACGCGGACGTGTCTGCCAGACAGCAACGTAGCACCGAAAGCAGGCTCACCGCATCTGCTACTTCTACTCCTCGACGTCGAACCACGAGTCCGTGGATGTTACCAAATACGCGCACTTCACTGCTTACGCAGGACTTCAACGTCCCCGTGAACCCCCCCAGCGTTACACAGCGTGGTCAAGCAGCTGTTTGGCGAAGGACTCAACGCTCGTTGGTGTCGCAGCAGCCGTTATTTGGGCATGCAGGTCCTCCTATGACAAAAATCTCTGGGATGTCGGCTAGTCGGCTTGTACGTGCAGCTGAGCTGACCTCTTCATCTGAGCTTCCGAGAATGTCACTACTATGAGCTTTCTTTTGACTCATTACTTATTTGTTATAAACATGTGCTCCTCTCGATGGACTTGTCCATCACGAGAAGGAACGCGCGGATCTCTTTCTTTTGGCCGAGACAATGGCATTTGCCCACCACGTATCGCAAAGGACTAGGAGGTACGTTGTTCGCAGCGGTGAGTTTGAGACTAACCGGACATACACCTAGCGACGCAAGCATGATGGTTGTCTCATCATCGACTTGCAGCGACTCGAGAGCCGCATCTGCCGGTTGAGCGTTCATCTTTCCCTCTACTCTACAGAGTTTGAAGCCATCCTGCTTCAGTCGACCTTCTACGAGATCCAAGAACAACGTCCAATGACCGAAGACGACGGTCTTCTCGGTCTCAGTTGCCGCAGATAGAGATTGGAGCAGACCGCCCATCGTGCCACTGCTGAAGTAGTTGGTAGGAAGGCTGTCTTCCGGAATGATGCCTCCAAGCTCATCGCGAGGTCCGACTAGAAAGAAAGCAGGAAGCATCCTTGAGTTCTGCTCGAACGAATGGATAATGGTGCTGTGCTCCAATCACTTTCTCGACACAATCTCACCCAAATGCATACCTACCTTACAAACATTGATCACTGGCTTTTGCAAAGTTTCCAGGCAGATCGCGTAATCTTCTGAACCCTCTGTCTGAATTTGGAGGACGTCCTGCGCAGAATTGTTATGGTACATCAGGCATACCCTTTGCATCTGCACCAAATGCAGTATGTCTGGCCTATTCGTCAAGAGAGAAACAAGCGGTCGATGAACATATTCCTTGAGCTCTGCGAAGGCACAATGCCTTCATTATGGCTTGGAGCAAGTGGGACGCACTCTGCTAGCGAAGCTTCGAGGATCGCACAAGAACAAAATTGGACATGTACTCTGCACTAAAGTCAGAGTCATCTATGCCGTAACTACACGGCAACAGGTACCCATTCCTCCGCTCACTCGCGAGAAGCGCAGTGGCGAGCACAGGTCCTTCAAAGAATTCACAATTGGGAGGACTCTGGAGGTCGGATGCTAGCACGTTCCTGATGAGTCTCTCAATTTTAGCGGTATCCGACGATTGTCTACACAACCTGCTCGCGCTCCCGTGACCATGCAGACAATGAAAACGCAGCTAAAGTACCCACCTTACCTCTACATCCAGTAGGTGTTGTCCCTCGTGGAGAATGGTAATGCGAGGAGGAGGTACCTACGCGTAGGAAAGGACGCGTCTTGGGAAAGTGCCGACCTCGCCCCTGCCGATCGTCACCACCATGCTGTGCTTGCACCTGACCTTCACGAAATCTTTCTGTCCACCACTGATCCTGGAGATGTTCCTTGGGAATCTTCCTCAGCACACATTACATCTTACATGTCGGGTAGTCGAACACACATCGACAACTTCACTGTACCGCCTGCCCCTGGCGCTTATCTAGCTGGGCAACGCCGACGAGAGAACCGGGCAAGTGAAGCGTACAGGTATGGTATGTATATCGGCCTACTTGTCTGCCTTGTACACCGTTCAGGTGAAAGTTACTGCACAAGGAGGGCGAAGCCGCGTATCGAGTGGTTAAGGTATATATACCTTACTCCCGTATGTTGTAACAATAGAATAGTAATGTCGCGTGGAGGCTTGAGAGGCAAGAAGCGCTGCCCAGATCGTGTGCCTTCCTTCCTCAAGACGACCACCACTTCTTCGCAACTGACAGCAGACACGACGGGACTTCTCGCGCAGTCCTCTACTGACACCATCATCGACGCTGAAGGTGATGGCGAAGGTCGACAAACGCGTCCAAGCCATTATACACGCTGCACAGCAGGCGTTGAAGCATCTCCGAGACAGAACTGAAGTGCCTCGAAAACTAGCGATCGAAATTGACGGCCACATCAGAAACTCGCTCTCAACATTAAACCCTTCACTAGTGGCGAGCCGAGTCGATGAAATCGATGCTTATGGGACCGATATCTGGAATGCCGCCGCCGATATCATCCACGAGGACAAAGAGCCACGCGAGCCACGCTCCCAGGCTGCGAGTGTGGTGTCTGTCGGTGTCTCACTTCGCGTCTTCTCTCTTTTGTTGCTGGATCTTTCTCACTGCGCTTCTTCTCGCCGCACCAAAAACCCTGCTCAACAGGTGCGGCTGTTCAAGGTATCCAACCGCACGGCGAAGCTTTGTCTCGAGAGAAAGCAGCTCGATCTGTCAGTAACCGCGCTGGAGGTCGGCTCAAAGCATATTTCGCGGCTAGCCGAACCAGGCCCTCTAGTGGAATTCAGCAGCACCGACGGACCGCCTTTGAGCGCGCATGAAGTCTCTATGAAGTCTTTGGAATGCGAGTACTACTTACTCCGTATTCTACATGCATGGAGGTCGGAACGTCGTGATCTTGCCGATCACTTCTTTCATTCTTGGACTAAAGTCCATATGCCTGAAGGTTCTCCTAGGATCGATGCGTCCGTCAAGGCTGCTGACTTGTTCTACGAATTCGCGCGACAGCTCACCAAGAAAGGTGACGCTGAAGTCGCAGCAAAGTGGTACGATCGGGCTCTGACTGCTCTGTGGGATGGTGATCCCGAACTGGCTGGACATGACAGTGGCGAGCTGTTGACGAGCATCGCTGTTGCATATGGTAAAATGATTAACGATGTACTACTTGGGCAGCGCTGATGATTCTTAGTGGAACAATTGTTGAAAACTGGACAGAATCTATCGTGCATTCGCACCCAAGAGATCGTCGCTCAGCTCGAGAGTTGCCACTGCCTCAGCAATCGGTTGTCCATACCAGTGCTCAAACTTCGCGTCCTGGTCAACGTGAAGCCAATCCAGCCTGAGGAGCTCAATAGAGCCCTGCTTGGCATCATACGGCTCTCAGTCCTAACAGAGGAAAATTTCAAGATGTGCGTCTCAGAGCTGCATGATGTCTCGCATATGCTGATTACAACAGGATCATGCAGACAATGCGCAAAGCCCATGAGGTACTACCGGACGTTGCCATTGCCGCTTTGCAGACATTTATATTGGAAAGGCTATTGCCCGAAGTGTCGAGCGTGCATAGCGTCCTCGATCAGGTCAACGAGTGGCTCGAAAAGGCGAGTATTACCTACACGTTATACGCAACGACCCGCATGGTTTCATCTGGAGAGAGTCTCGTGGATGGGCTCACACTGCTGTTCGACAGTCTACATGAACACGCTGCTGCGCGGTTCACTTCGAAGGCTACGCACGCTGCACAGACTCTCATATGGAAAGCCACCTCCTTACCAGACTTCACTGTCGCTCAGCAGTGCTGCCTGCTTCTACGGCACCCTCTCTTTGACAACGCAGGCAACACCAATAAGGGTCGCATTGCGCGGAAGTTGATGCGAGCTGCACTTGACGCCAAAGACTTCCCCGAGGCACGTAAGCTGTTTCTGGAGTTGCCGACTGAAGTGCGAAACGAGCCCGCAACGCGATACTCTGCTTTCCAGCTCGCACTACGCGAGGGCGATATGAATTTGGCAGAGGAAAGCCTCCGCGTGGTGCTCAAAAGCTCTGGCACTGATCCTACGTACCTTTACGCATGCGTGCTGGATGTGCAACAGCAGCCGAAAGTGAGGCAAATGGCTGTAATTGCACTGAAGGCAGTTTTGCAACAGAGACCGCCGGGAATCCAGCTTAGATCGCTCCTCCGTTGCATGGCGAGGTTGCTCATCGCTGAAGCGAATAATCCAGAGTTGGACGCAGGCGTCCTTGCCGAAGAAATAGCCGCAATATTTGAAATGGCCGCTGGCAGCATCAAGGAAATCCGCAAATGTCCTCCTGACCAGTGGCGAGTAGAAGTGCTGTGGTGGAGCAAGAATGCGTACAATTTGGCTATACAGCTTTGCTCTACCATCGATCCTCGACAGCTTCTTCGGATACTCTCTGCGTGTACCGCATTTATGAACGAGATCCCGACCGATGCAGGACACATGCATGCGGATGACCTGGTGTCTCGTAAGTTGACGTGCCTTTTCTTATCTACCACATCGATGATAGTCCTCGGCCGCTCGAGCTTTCAAGATGCGGCATGCGCAAAAGACTACTTCACACAAGCACTACGGGACATAGCCATGTTCGGAGCGCTGCAGCAGACTGTCAAAAGCAACGACGAGGCCAGTAGTGCTCGAACTTTCACCATGACCAAATTCGAGCTGGAGTGCATCCTCCAACTTCGACAGTGGAACCTCCTCGACGAAGTGTTGCAGAGATGCCTTGAAATGCGCACAGCAGGCCGATGGGACACGTTGGCAGATCTGATCATCGTCATCTCTGAGCACCTCGACTCTAGTGAGCAGACTGCTCATACATCATTGATCACGCAGCTCCTTCAGAAGATCATCAATGAAAGTTGGAAGAAGGAAAAGGACATAGTCCAAGTTTCGCGATGGCTTCGCTTTGCCTTCATGCTGTGTCTCCATCATGAAGAGGGCAGCTTTGCCAGGAAGCTTCTCGACCAAGCTTCTCGCATGGCAGAACATGGACAAGCGGGCAAGTATGGCGCTTACCCAGAAGCAGAGTTACAGTGGCTTGCCACGACTGGTTTCAACCATGCTATCGATCTCGTCGCGGACGATAAGCTAGATGATGTAAAAGCATGGCTCGATGCTGCAGTGGAAGTGGCGAGATGGACGCAAGACAATGGCGCGATGCACGCCATCCTCAGCGAGAAACGGGAAACTGCGTTGAAACGTATCAGACGCGGCCAGAATTAAGTACGTCCACTTGTGACTGCTCGAGATCTCCGAAATTTGTTCTTTGCCCATAGCGTTCCGAGAATACTTTGTGAATTATAGCGACCACACCTCTCACCACCATTTCTCGCAGAGTACTCGATCATCCGACATTCCAGGCTGGCTCCGAAGATTCGCCACCACCTCATCAGTCATCTTCGGGGGACCGCAAACGTACGCAACAGTGTTCTTGCGATCATGCTCCGGCCCAAACCCACTCGTCTTGTAGCCATCTAAAGCTTTGACAAGATCTTCTTCCTGGAAGCGTCTACCATATGTTCGATTCGGTAGCTTCCCATGCTCGATGATGCCTTCATTCCCAAGTCCGGTGAGAAAGGCAGCCAGAGTGACATTAGGATCTGCTGCCATGGCTATAGCATCCATCAACCGCGGCATAAACAGAATCTTTTGCACGTCAAGATCGGGATCCGTTTTCGTGCTATACACAAAGTGCATCTCAGGTGGCCTCAGCTGGGCTGGCATTCGAACCAGAGTAGTAAATATGGAAATCAATGGACTTTTTTTCACATGAGAAACCGTCAGCCATATGAGTCAGGTTCGTCCGATAGATACCTTATATCCGTAAAATTGATACAAAAAGTCCACTCACTTGATCCCCACTCCTCCCGCAACCAACACGAGACGTTCAATCGCGCTAGTATCCAAAAGTCCTGGCGGAGGAGGCCATGTGAAACTTCCTCCCACGCGAACGGCGAGTTGCGTGCCCAAAATGTCTTCCATGGGTCGCCACAGCCATTGGGCGGGGGGGTTCTTGCTCTTCTGCACAGCTAGCTCGAGGTAGGGTGGCGAGTGGCTGCTGCTGCTGCTGCTGCTGCTGCGAGTAGAGGTAGGTCGGGCTTCGTTTGGGGTGGAAGTGATGGTGAATCCACCTGCTTGGCGGACCGTGGGGAGGAATGTATCTACCCATTGGCCTGGGAGGAACTTTTTGAGAAGAAAATGGAAGAAAATTAGTGTGTGTATCGCAGTCAGTCGGTTGGATACAGGTAGGTAGGTAGGTAAATAGTGGTAGGTATATATATATGAATGAATGCATGTATGAATGAATGTATGGATGTGTATGGATGTAAAGGTTGAGGGGAAAGATGTCCCCTTTTTGTTCTCTCCCAAGAAAAGAAAAATAGCCGTACCCGAATGGTATGTGTCGGATCTACAGCACTCAAGCGCAAGAGTCGAATCTCGTCGTTGATTTGTCTAATGTGTGATAATACCACTGGCTCGATTTGTGGCTCGCGCGGCTCCGCTTGGGTTCTTTGTTCGTGGGGTATCGAGGAGGAGGAAGAGTTGATGGTTGCCATGGATCGCCGACGAGAAGGAAGAATGCTGATGCCTCCTGGGGAAGTTTTCCACTTCCATGGAGATGATAATAATGATGATGGTGCCTTTGGCCAATAATGACGATAGTAATGGCCTAATCGAGTGAGCATTGTTTTATTTGTTTGCGTGTGGAGTGAGAATGTGTCGTCGTCGTCAGGAGGCTATCAGGAACAAGGGTTGGCCTCGCCTATCGGGATGGAATGTACCGCTTACGGTGTATTACATGAACTTTACGAGTGTTCCAGGTTAGGTAGGTGATGGATTTCGGCAAGCCTTTTTTGGTATTGTTAAGTACAAGTGTCAAGACCAACTCGAATGTAAGAATAAGAGCCTCTGAATTGTAACTATATGTAGTCCTCGTGTCCGCTAGCAGATCCGTCTGCGTAGATGAATTCGTTCGGGCTTATAGATGAGGTAAGTAGGTAAGGTACCAGGTAGTGATGGACTGATGGTCCGAGCTATATCATGACCACCTTCCGTATATGTAGCCCTCGCTTACACCCGTTACGCATCCATACAAGGAACGGACGCATTTCAATGATTCCATCGCCGATTTCGCTTGACAATAACCCGGTTATCGTGCTCTGCTGTATCAATAAAGAACGAACTTCGTGCTTCTGCTTGCCCACGATAGTACCTCAGAGACTATTACATTCATCAGCACAGGGGCGTCGTCACCCCTAGAAACAGAACATGGACAAGATCGAAGCATTTGAAGGCCTCCCCGCCTATACCAGAACAGATCAATATGCAGTACAGCATCGCCGAAGACGACTGAGGCGTCGAGTGTTGAGATTCAGCGTTCTGGCATGTCTGGGATACATCTTGTATAGTCTCTCCATTTCATCCGGAAGGCCGCTTCAAGCAGGTCTACTCTCTACGGATAGACTTCAAGAGGACTATGCCACCTGTGCCAAGCTGCGGACGAAGCCAGAGGATCCAAGCGGACATCGCAATGTCAGTGCCCGATATGTTGAGGGAGTGAAACCGGTTCTCATTCAGAATGCCACCGTCTGGACAGGCGAGCCAGATGCGGACACTGGAAACTACTCGTGGGCTCGACTCGACGTATTACTCCAGTACGGGCTAATTCAGAAAGTGAGCGAGCATATCAGCAAGGATGAATTGCCTGATGAATATGATCTCGTGGAAGCCGCGGGGAGACAACTCACTTCTGGCATCATTGATATGCATTCGCATACTGGCGTAGACTCCTTGCCTGATCTGCAAGGTAATGATGACACAAATGAACTATCCAAGGATATCACACCATATGTTCGCAGTCTCGACGGGTTCAATCCACTTGACCCTCAATTCCAGGTCATCAAGTCTGGTGGAGTCACGACCTCTTTGATCCTTCCAGGCAGTGGGAACAACATCGGAGGCGAGGCCTTTGTTGTCAAACACGCTGTTGGCAAAGCAAATGGCAGACCGGAGCTCAGCATAGAGAGTTTGCTTGCCGATCCAGACCGTAATCATAGATACATCAAAATGGCCTGCGGAGAGAACGCGAAAAGAGTCTATGGTAAAGCGGGAAGAAACTTTGGGCCATTTTCCAGACTTGGTGAAGCGTGGGAGTTTCGACATGCATTTGAGCAGGCTGCTGCTCTCAAGAATTCGCAAGATGACTGGTGCGCGACCGCAGATGCTGTTGGTGCGGAGAAGATGACTACATATCTTCCCAAAGACCTTCAGTGGGAAACACTAGCCGCGGTCCTGCGAGGGCAAGTCATGGTCAACACTCACTGCTATACCATTCCGGATCTCGAGTCCTTCATCGGCTATACGAATGAGTTCAAGTTCCCAGTCCGAGCTTTTCACCACGCGCATAGTACATATCTGATTCCTGATGTGCTGAAAAGAGCCTATGGTGGACGAGCCCCCGCAGCCGCACTCTTTGCCGACAACATGAACTACAAGGCCGAGGCGTACGTCGCATCAGAGCAAGCGGGCAAGATCCTCTACGACGAGGGCATTACTCCAGTGTACGTCAGCGATAACCCCGTCATCAATGCGCAACATGTGGTCTTTGAAGCAGCGAAGGCACATCGTTATGGGCTTCCTTACCATGCTGCACTCGCAGGAGTGACCAGCGCACCAGCGGAGTTGCTGGGACTGGGCTCACGCATCGGAAAAGTCAAGTCGGGATATGATGCCGATGTGACTCTGTGGGATTCCGATCCGCTGTCTGTGGGCGCAACACCGGTTCAGGTGTTCATTGATGGAGTGCCTCAATTCAAGGATCCCGTCGAACTTCAGAAGCCAGTGACGCCTTCGATGGAGACGACTGACTACCCGGTACTGGTGAAACAGGACAATCCCGTGAATAGTGTGGTATTCACTGGCATTTCCAAGATTCATCTTCCTGGGTTTGAGCACACGAGGGATCTGCATGAGAACGCCAGTCTAGTGGTTGCAAATGGCAAGATCGTTTGCGCAGGTCCCTGCGAACATGCCATATCAGCGACGAGCAACATCATTGCGTTGAGCGACGGCTATATCACTCCACCTCTCACAGCATTTGGAAGCCTTCTCGGCCTCGAAGAGATTGCAGCCGAGGCAGACACATCCGATGGATCACTTTCCGAAGATTCCTTCTCGCATGCCGTAGACGGACTTCGATTCGAAGGCAAAAACCTCGCAGCAGCATACAATCACGGAGTGACCAAAGCCATCACCGCGCCCAAATTCGCCGGTACAGAGCACAAAGGCATCAGTGTCGCATTCCGCACGGGAGCCAAACACGCTCTGGAAAAACACGCCATTGTGAATCCTGCAGTCGCACTGCACTATACTCTCACCTCGGACGCCAAACAAGGCAAAACTCCCACCATCTCCAGCGCCATCGCCGACCTGCGATCGAAGCTTCTCAACGCCATTCCCTCGTCCAACGATACAAAAGGAGGCGAGGAAAAGAAACAGCAGCAACAGCCTCTCCAACCCGAAGACCTCGCTCTATCCCAAGTCGTCAACGGTACTCTCCCCCTCGTCATCAGCGTCCACTCAGCCGACACAATCGCCTCTCTTATCCGCCTCAAACACGAAATCGAATCCGCCATCAACATCTCCTCTTCTTCTCCCTCCTCCTCATCCCCACAACCCAAAAAACTCAACCTCATCCTCCTCGGCGCATCCGAAAGCCACCTGCTCGCCCACGAACTCTCCTCCTCTTCCATCTCCATCATTCTCTCCCCCTTATTCAGCTACGCCACCACCTGGGACCAACGACGCGCGCTTCCAGGAGCTCCACTGAGCAACGGCACGGCAATAGACGTCTTACACAACGCCGGGGTGCGAGTGGCGATTGGAGTGGATGAGGATTGGGAAGCGCGAGATTTGTTTTTGCAAGCGGGGATTGTACATGCGAATAGTGGAGGGAAAATTGGGGAGGAAGAGGCTTTGGATATGGTTTCGAGGGGGATTGAGGAGATGATGGGGTTGAAGGGGGAAAGTGGTGGTGGCGAAGAAGAAGAAGATGATGATGAGTTTAGTGAATTTGTGGTTTTTGAAGGGAATCCTTTGACGATTGGGGGTCAGATTAGAGCTGTGGCGGGAGGGGACGGAGGGGTGAGAATTTGGTCATGATCCATCTGCGCGGTTTCATGGCTGGTTGGTGATATGCCGAGGTGGGAAATGCTCATATCCGTGTTTCACTGATTTCTCGTACGCTATCTGCATGGCTAGAGAACATGCCTGCGCTCCAGATAGGCAAAAACCAGAAGGCATCACTCACAATCTGCGAGTGCCCTTATTAGGCGCTCTGTAAGAGCCACCGCTGCATTTTCTTTCAAGTCAGTAAAAAGTCGTCAGCATTCCCATCATCATCCCCTGTAAAATCGTCATCTCTTCGCTGCTTGTGCCACGAACGAGCTGAAGAATTTCCGAAATGCGAGGGCATCGCCACTAATGCTAGTGAGGTACGATTGGATGCCATCATCACCCACACCCAAATTCCGCAACTCGTTCTGTAACTGAGTTTGATACGCGAGCCCGTTCTTGCGGAGAATCGTCCATTGTAGGACCCCAGCTTCCTGCAGCACCGTTCTCATTTGCGCATCGTGCGGGCTGAATCCTTGCGTAGAGACCAGTGCCCAAGGCAGTGGCGCGAATTGCGTGAGAATGAAGCTATCGAAACCAGGCAGAGTGGGCTGCGCCACGGCCTCACTAGCGCTGAAATTGGAGAGGTCTGGGCCTCCCCAGATGCTTGTCATCTTGGTTAGGACCGAGAAAGCTAACCTGGCACTTTGAGCATCTGATATGTCACACGAGAAGCGTGTGATGGACGTCACAAAGGTGTCGAAGATTCCTTGATTTGCAGGCGTGACGAGCACGGAGGCAAGATCGTAGTTGAGAATGACAAGCACGAAGTTAAGATACTCTCTTCTCAGCTCTCTCAGTTGAATTTCGTCATCTGTGCCAGTAATCTCTTGCGAGAAACCGGCGAATACGCGCTGGAGGAGGGGAGTCAACAATTGGTCGAGAATGGCGAAGATTTCGGTCTTGAACCCAAAGACAACTTGGCCTAGTGTGCGAAGGAACATTGCCATTTCATCATTGGACGAGGCCGATGACAAGAGTCCCTCAATCCATCGTGGAAGTTGAGGTAGCACTTGTGCTCCCAGTACGCCCAAGAAGCGCGAGAATGCATGTCGTGCAGCTGCCCGAAGTTCAGAATTGTGCTTGAGGTTCTCCAGCGCAAGTAACACCGTCTCGCCGGCAGACTCGAACTCCTTCGCCAGCTCTGCCGGAGGTGGCGTGCTCGTAGGAGCTCCTGGAGTCCAATCCGAGAAACCATTTGCAAGCGAACCAAGTGCCATGATCACATGGTGTACCTGGAGAATAGCCCGCTCATCACCGTTTCTCGCTGAGGGCAGGTGGTTGCTCAAGTCGAGAGACAGTGGCTCGATTACGGTCTTTGCGATTGCGACTTTCGTTGGAGTCGGCACATTCTGCGTGGACGATACTTGCCCAATGGCTTCAAAGAGATATTGCTGGTTTTGAAACGCGGCGTCTGTCGACACTCCATCGCTGGAAGAATCGTCATCCTCGTCCTTATCAGTGGGAAGCTCGGCTTTGATGGTCAACAGGTCCGACACGGCCTGGACAATCGTTTGGGCATACTCTCCCAATTGTGCTCGTAGGTGCTTTACAAAGCGCTGAAAGAGGTACCACGAGCGCAGACGCACTTTGTTATGATCACTGTGGATGAATGTCACGAAGTTCTCGAGTACCTTGGGAATTCCAGCAATGTTTTGTTCAAAGTATTGCACATAGCGGACGCAGAGCTCCATGTACTGGAGCTGCACCGCTGGATGTGGATATGTCGCCAGATCGGAGGCCACCAAGGTTGACATCATCTCTACGAGGCGTGAGGCAGCCTCGGAGGTGGGCTTTGACTTGTTATAAAGCCCACCATTCCTAATGGCCAACTCGCCGAAGTGGTGCATCTCCAGCAGAGCCAAGTCGAGATCTCTCCAGTTGGGACGATCCTCGGTGCCAAGTCTTCCCAAAGTGTTGGCCACGACTCTCGTCAGGTTGTCCATATACATGCTTTCGTCCACGGCAGCTACGGTCTGCTGAAGTACATGGAGGCGTTTCCTCAATTCCTGGAATTCCGCTTCATCTGTTTGCTCATCCTCATCACCCCAACTGGCAGTATCGTCGTACTTCATTTTCGCGACGATGGCGTCCAAGATAGGGGGCAGCATGCCAGAGTAGTGGCTTGGTAGGCCGCCTTTCACCTTGTTGAGTCTTCGGAATAATGTGAGCAGATCTGTCAACGATGGTATCACAGCGGAGCAGATCTCGTCGTATTCATCGGAAAAGAAGCGTAGCAGGTAAGGAACAAATGTCTGAAGCTGCTGATCCGCTTTGGTTCGAGTCTGAGCTTCGATGCTGTCATTATCCAGAACCTTGACCACATCAAATACGACATTGTTCACCAATTTCGCAACAGTTTCCGCCAGGTCTGTATCGTAGTCCGAGGTCTTTCGTAGATCCGAGAGCGCGGGGCTTGCAACAAGCTGCCCGACGATACTGCCCAGGTTCAGGTAATTGATCAGCTCCACCTTGTCGTTTGGTTGCATCTTCTTGCCAACGGTCTCTGTGAACGTGTCAATGGCGGCATCGCGTGCCTTTGCCTCTCTACTGGCTGTAGTTAGACTGCCCTGTTGGCCAGCGATTTCCAGCAGCGCTCCCTGGATCCGTTCATTGATGACCAGCCATATGTCAATCCAGCTGACCCATTTCGCAATCGTTCGCAGGCACATCTCGACTATCCCCAGGTCCAACTGCGTCCAGTTGGAAAGAATGTCCTGCCAAATGGTGGCAATCTTGTTGACATCCCTGGTCCTGACCAAATCCTTCAGCTCTGCACTACGTCGTGCCTCTTCCGGAGTGCGTGGAATCATCACATCCGCAATCTCATCATGAATTGACCCCAAGATTCGCAGAAGCAGCACAGTGGGAGCTTGTGCTCCATCAGAGCTCGTCTCCGAGCTCGAGCTTGCCAGCGCAATGAATTCGTCAAAGAAGTCCGTCCAGTCCGAGGCATAGAGGGATGTGAAGAGATATGTGAGAGTCTGCGTGACCTTGTTCTGGATGGTAGGGGTGTCTGCCTCCGTCGACGTTGAGCTGTAGCGCCGACGCACGTAGTCCATCAGACGGTACCTCACATCATTCAGGCCAGCTTGGTCCAACCTCTGCGTCTGCACCGCATTGTTGACAATCTCCAGGCACACGAGTCGCACCACTTCTGATGGAGACGGATGGCGTGTGAACAAGGCCAGGCAGACCTGCCACGCATTTGGATCCTGCTTCAAGACATTCAGAAAGTCGTATGCCTGTCCTTTGAGGTTGTGCTCTGTCGTGGGATTGAAAGCGAGTTCGATGGCGCTTTCAACTTGTGTGTCCATATTCTTCCGATCACCGGCTCTCCCGCGTGAGAGATGTGATGCTGTTTGATTGTCTCCGGTCTTTCTTCATGGCAGTGTGATGTGACACTGCACTCTCCGAAAGGGTCTATTGTTGCATCTCGGCCGTTGCGTCCAGTGCCGGTGAGATTGGTATGGTAGTGTGACGGCGCGGGCGGTGAGTCGAAGCAAGGTGCGGCGTCGATGCTTATCCGCTGTTCTGAGGCTTTGTGGCGGGAGTGGCCGTGTTCTGCGACGAGAGCGGTATGAGTGTCAGTTATTGTGATTGAGAGGAAGGGCGAGTCGGTGTCCGTTTATGTTTCTGTGCAGTGTGATGGGCGGAATATGAGTGACACGCCTGGGCCAACAATTTGATCGGCAAAAACATTGTAATAAACTCAAACTACACTAACTTAGGGTCTGAAGAACCCCGCCAAGGCTAAACGAGGGGACATTCCACGACAACCATACGACAACGTACATGTACCAGTACTGGAATGGTGAAAGACACATAGCTGCACATTTCATTGCAATTCGTCATCATATGTACAGCGAGATATTCTCTCGAGGGTATCGCAACACAAGTCATCGGGACATCTCACTTCACCTCGCATCAGGCACAGCGGTCGAGCCATGATGGAAGTCTCGGAAGGGCAATGCTCTACTGGGCCCGGCATGAGACACATTCACCATCGGTGGTGCTTCGCCTCCATTCAGCTGCGTGAAAGCCATTGTTCGTGGCGTCATGGGATTGTTCGCGCCCCCAAAGCTGGGCGTCTTGGGCAGGTTCAAAAAGAGCTGTCGATTGTGCTCCCTCCTCTCCTCCTTCGTAAGATCATCATCCAGGCCATACATGCTCAGCTTCTTCATCTCGAGGTCCGATCGTCGGTCTGCCTCTCGTTCGAGCCGTTCTTGTGGGGTAGGAATCGAGCTCCACGCAGAGTAGCCGAGATAGACGACGAACAGCGCGCTGGATCATTAATCATCAGCAAGAGTCGCAAGTCTGAGTAGTAGTCGAGACACTTACAGCATTACAATTGTCACCCCAAAGCTTGCACGAGCCTGCAGGCAGAATCCTCGATTACCGGCAGTGGCATAGTCACAGCCTTTGCTTAGATACCATGGCATACCCGGCGAGAGATGGTTGATATCGCTCATATCGGGCCTGGACTGGTTGTAGACGCTCACCGCGTACAGGGCCACCAGGACCGCATGCACGAGACTACTCAGGCCCGGAATGAATATGTGCATGACGAACATTGTGCTCTTCGCAAGCAGCAAAAACATGCTCAAGATGCTGATGACCACGTTGAATTCAGTCATGCTACAGGTTGTCAGTGGCTGTTCAAGCAGCAGATGGTTCTCGTGTCGAGCACAAATATACGTACCCGTGGCTCCAGATCTCTGGCACATGTGCAGGCCGCCAATTCGCATAGTCGTAGAGGATGGAATTGGGGGCGCTATTGAAGCCTTTATCAAAACCGTTCTGCCAGAGTTTGGTGCGATACGTGTTTGGATGTGCGATGCCCATAAGAGTCAACATGGCCACGGTCAAGGGCAACTCCACGAGCAGAAGCACCACGAAGAACTTGGGCATGCGCCATTGTTTCGCCAATATGATCATTTTCACCTCACGTCTTGACCTCCGTATGCCGCCTGCTCTTTCTGTAGATGATCGATCCTCGCTCTGATACGCTTGAGTCCGTAGAGAGAGCCAGCTGCGGCACTCACATCGAGCACGATATCGATGGGCAAAGAGGATACCGGTGGTGCTGATGGTGATATGATGAAGAGAAGTACGGAAAGTGCTTGCAGCTGCATAGCACTACCTTAGCACTGACACGCCATGTGTCTGTCTCTGCGGCGGCGCGGACGCATCACAGCAGACGGCCGGTCATGGTCCAGTGGACCAGTGGTGAGCGAAGGATGGCTGAAGAGTAAGCGCCGTGCCACCCCAGAGCGGATGTGATGCTCTCGACATGCGGGCCAATAGCATTCCATCGTTTGAGGTAGAACTACCTCCACCTCCAGCATCCATACCTTGGGCGGCTACAAGCTTTCCTTGTTCTTCATCCCACACATCCCTTGCCCGACTCGCATCGTCACAATCAATCGCCAAAAGACTGCAGTGAATGAGTAAGTGGTGGTGGTGGAAGGACTGAGAGCATCGTCGCCAAGAAGCAGCAAACTCTACAATACCTTGGTCTCGTCTGGTCTGCTCTCGGCCCGTCGTGATGACAGTCCTACCTCCTATTATTATACGTCCTAGGAGGTAGTTCTAGGAGGTAGTTGTTCCCGCTGACGAGGCCTCTGAGCCCAGCTGACTTGTGACATCCTGTCGCTGCTTGCTGTACGAGTGCCGATGCAGCTGGACGCTGACAGAGCAGTCTCCAGGGCCCGGCTGCAGATTCACTTCCAGGTTGAGTGTAGAGTGAGTGGTACAGGAGAGTAGAGGTATACCCTATGACTATTTCTTCTATCGCAAAGGGCAACAGTAACACAATCATGAAATGTACCTCACAACACCCATTCTGCAGCATAACAGCACCTGTGGCCGGTCGAAGGGGGGCGAGGAGGGAGAGGCTTGGCAGAAGGGTAGCAAGACCTGCACGCCCCCGCTGTCCTCTCTCTGATGTGTAGTTGGGGCTTACCTCCGTATATGTTTACCGAGTTCCAAAGCCATGAATCGAAGAAGCTATTTGTACTCTTGGCAAGGCGCCTGCTACATACCTGACCATACTGTACTTCTACACTTTTGGCAGTGCACCTTGTTTATCCAGTCTCTAAGGTCAGGTAGTTCTCATCTTCAGAAGTCATTGGAATTGACCGACTTGGTTATTAGGAGGTCCGATGGCAACTTCAAAGGTCGATGTGCTCATTGTGGGGGCGGGGCCTGCAGGTCTGATGGCGGCGAATTGGTTGTCCCGACTCAATGTCAAGACCAGAATCATCGACAAGAGAGGAACCAAGATATTTGTGAGTTTGGACGCCGATATCATCCAAACATACCTAATTAGCTGACCTGTCACCAAGAATGGCCAAGCAGATGGTCTCCAATGTCGTACTCTCGAGATATTCGACTCTTTTGGCTTCGCAGACAGAGCATGGAAAGAGTCCAATCACATGTTAGAAGTAGGCTTCACTTCCCTCATTCGGACAGCATCGACGACGACGACGACGACCTCTGACTCTCCCCGCAGATCAATCTCTGGAACCCAGATGAGAATGGCAAACTCTTTCGATCCGACAAAATACCCGACACAATCCCCAACATCTCAAGGTTCCAACAGGTGGTACTCCACCAAGGCCGGATCGAGAGATTCTTCCTCGACTCCATCTCGGCTCACTCGGACATTGTGGTCGAGAGAGGCGTCTTGCCGGAAACCCTGGAATTCGATGAGAGCCAGGCGGAGGACGATGATGCCTTTCCGATCACAGTGAAGCTCCGACATCTCAGTGAAGAGGAAGCAACGCCGAAGCAGAATGCCACCAGTGCGAACGGAGCCGGGATGCAGGATGGCCTGTTCCGAAGCAATCTGGCGCCGGACGATACAGAAGAACTGATCAAAGTCTCCAAACTGGCAGACAAGGCCGGATCCACAGAGACAATCCAAGCGCGCTATATGGTGGGATGTGATGGTGCTCATTCTTGGGTTCGGAACCAGCTGGGCTTCAAGCTGCGAGGAGAGAGTACAGATTACATCTGGGGTGTCTTGGATGTCATCCCCATCACTGTTTGTGACATGCCACCATGTACTTTTGATGAAGCAAAAGTGTATGCCGCTGACCCACTGTTTTCTATTGGTATAGGACTTTCCCGATATTCGAATGCGGTGTGCGATTCACTCGGCCAGCAGTGGCTCTCTGATGGTCATACCTCGTGAGAATAAGCTTGTTCGGCTGTACATCCAATTGACTACGACAAACGATCTGGGAGGAGGCAAAGTCGATCGCAGCAAGATAAATCCCGAAGTCATCCTCAGTGCAGCACAGAGGATTCTGCATCCGTATAAGCTCACGTACAAGTACTGCGACTGGTGGACGGCATATCAGATCGGACAACGCGTCGGCGATAACTTTTCCCTCAAGGAGCGCATTTTCCTGGCCGGAGACGCAGTGCATACACACTCGCCGAAAGCGGGTAAGGAGACACTTCCCACCTTGTTGCTCCATGACTGCTGTAGCTTGAATATTTACGCTGACTGCCATCTCTCGCTGTTACAGGACAAGGCATGAATGTTTCCATGCAAGACACGTACAACCTCGGATGGAAACTCGGAGCCGTCATTAATGGCCTCTCCTCGAGATCGATCCTCAAGACCTATCAATCCGAACGACGACGCATCGCTCAAGACCTCATTGATTTCGATCACAAGTTCTCACGTCTGTTCTCTGGCCGTCCTGCTAAGGATCTCATGGATGAGGAAGGCATCAATCTCGCAGAGTTCAAAGAAGCCTTCGTCAAAGGCAACATGGTATATATTTATACGCATCCCCTAAATCTTCCAACAAGTACATACTAAAATCACCTTGTGCACAGTTCGCCTCCGGTCTCTCCGTCAACTACGGCAAGTCCCTCCTGGTCGCAAAAGAGGGTAACGCCGCCGAACAAGGTGACGGCACAGAAGTTTCCTCCTCCTCCCCTCACCAAGATGAAGCGCAAAGCAAGCCCTCTCTCGCCACCAACATCACCATAGGAATGCGAATCCCCTCCTTCAAAGTCCTCAACCAATCCGACGCTCGACCCTGGCATCTCCACGAACTCCTCCCCTCCAACGGCCGCTGGCGCATCCTAATTTTCCCCGGCGACATCCTCTCTTCACCCACCTCCCATAAACGCCTCCTCAGCCTCAGCGAAAAACTCTCCAGCCCCACCTCCTTTATCCGAAAATTCACCCCGTCCCCTTCCTCCCTCCCTCATTCCTCATCCACTTCCCACTCCCCCCTCACCAGCCTCATCGAACCTCTCCTCATCCACTCCACCCCTCGCAAATCCACCACCATCTTCACCTTTCCTCCCATTTTTCGCCCTTTCAGCCCCACGCACGGCTACGACTACACGAAAATCTACGTCGACGACGAGTCCTACCACGAAGGACACGGTCATCTTTATCAGAATTTGGGTATTGATCCTTCGCGCGGTTGTGCAGTTGTGGTGAGGCCGGATCAGTATGTGGCGTGGGTGGGGGAGATGGATAGTGATGGGTATGAGGCGATGGAGAAGTTTTTTGGAGGGTTTATGAAGGTGCAGGAGGAGGGTCGGGGGTGTGTTGGGGTGGGGATTGAGGAGGAGGATTTCAAGGAGGAGGGAGTGCAGCTGGAGAAGCAGAAGCAGAAGCAGGACGATGGAGGAGGAGGAGGAGGTGTGGGAGGATTGGATGGGAGTGTGGAAGGGGTAGGAGCCATGTGAAGTTTCTCCCGCTGCGTGGTTGGTTTCTATCGATAAGGGAAGGATGATGTTTTCATGTCTAGTAGGTACATTACCTGATCTTACTTGCTTTCTCTCTACTACATAAAACTGTATAGCCAGTCAGTCGCTCTCTTTCTTTCTTTCTTTCTTTCTCTGCTTGCTTGTGGGTGCAATGCCTTTCCGGCAGTAATAGTTGTTGCTCGGGTACATGTATGTTCAGCCGGTCATGAAAAGCAATAAGTCTGTATGCGTCCAACGCAATCAATCAAAAAAGTCGATCGGGTATCAATCGCAACAAAACAAAACAAATCCACTTCACGTCTAGGTTACTTTCTCCCTCCGTAGTCCCCCTCCCTCGAATGAACCCACCAACCAGCCATCATCGCATGACGGGATGGATCATCCGTTCATCCATCATCAACTCCCCTCTTAACACATCACATCTCTTCTCAAATCCACTCAGGATATCCCCACACTGCGCACCACACCATCTCTTCTCCAATTTCGCATCCCACCCACTCCCCGTCAAATCCTCTTTTGCACTCTCTCCTCTCTCGCGTTCCCTTCGCAGCTCTTCCACCATCGTCTGCGTCGTCCTCAAATGCCTCGCGGCAGAATTCGTAATCTGTTTTCCCATCTGCAGCGTATCCGTCAACGTCGACAAGGTCTGGATGACATCCAATGTTTCCCGATCGAGCTTCTGCAGCTTCTGCACCGTCACCATGTCCGGGTGCGGGAGACTGTCCTTGAGCATGTCCAGCAGAGGTAGAACTTCCTCGATCTGGGAAGGGTCGAGAGATGTGGTTCCGAATCCGGCATACATGGGATACAGACTTTGGGCGAGAGTCTGTAAAGCTTTTGCCTGCGAAGTGAGATGCGATGTGAGACTGTTGGTGCTTGTGACCAATCTATGAGCTCCGGCTTCAAGATCGGTTTGATTCCCCAGATCTTGCAATTGCGTGACGGTGCGAGGCACGAGTGGATCTTCGGTGTTGGAGGTGTAACTCGTCATGCGCGCGATGGTATTCATCATATCCTCGAGATCTGACGAGAAGTCGTCTTCCGCGTCTGCTGCTGCTGCCGCCTTGTTATTCGCACTCCGTATCTCGTCGGGCGGTTTCTCGCTGTCGCTGCCGCCGCCAAAGGGCTTCGAGAAGTTGCGCACATGTCGTTTGGTCGTTCCCTGGCCGCCTTTTTCAGAGTTGGCGTAGCTGACGTCGATTCCACTGTCGCGGCTTTGCTCTTCGCCCTTGAGCTGGTGGTGTATGTCATCCGTCACGCCCTCGTCAAAGTCATCGTCGTCATCCTCATCCTCATCATCTTCATCATCCAATTGGTCGAGCTCATCGGCAAGATTACCCAGCCCACCGCCGCCCCTTTCGTCCAAGGGCGTGTCGGGGACCTCGACAGAGAGTTGGGAGGCAGTGCTGAAGCGATGGCGCGACTGCGGGCTCGTGGGGCTCCGATCGTGATTGTTCGAGGAGAAGCTGCTCGTCCGTCGGCGCAGGTGTTCGCGGTATTGGGAATGTGACGGCGACGTGTCAATGTATTGTCGGATGGGCGACAATGGGGGGCTGGAGTTCTCCATTCTCCCGATCAAGATCAACACTTGTGAGCAATCGTCCACACCCTCGTCACGGGATTGTCAGATTGTGATGAAGCTCAAATTAAGTATGCTGCAATGGAAATGTGATGTCGTTGTCGTCGTGGTTTGTTGTTGTGGTTGTGATAGAAGTACGTGGTGGCTTATTCTAAGATTATGGCCACGCTCGCGCCGGCACTAGTAGTTACACCCACGCACTTAATCCCGAGACATAGTGACTTGTTTCAGGGTCCGTCATATTCATTCTACACATAAAACCAACATGTATATATGTACATACAAGCTCAGCCTGCCTTGGAAATGCAATTCAACCTCCCATCATCTATGCTGTTGATCCTGTTGATGCTTTTCCCGAGTTCCTTTCAAGCACCACAGAATTACAACTATCGTATTGACCCAGATTCCCACTTCGTTTTGAACGGGTTCTCGCGATCCGACGCAGGGGTGTCAGTATATGACATCTGCCTCTCCATACCTCCTTTGAAGTCTCCGCCTCTCTGCACATATGTCCTATAGTCCTCCGGATCATCGTCCCAGGATGCCGCTTTCACGGCGCCGAAGAATGGTGTGCGTGGTGTTTGCACATAACCAGTCTGACCCATGGTTGCAAACGGGGCTTGATGCATTTCGTATTCATCTGCCGGGTCTTTCGGTGCTGTAAAGGGCTGACTTTCGGGTCTGTAGACGTGATGTCTGTTGTAGAAGTATATCGTGGCTGAGATGGCGCCGAAGATCACAGTCATAATCGTGACTGCAATTACATAGCCGACTACTGAACTGCCGGCGAAGTCGAGACCGATGCCGCCATTCACGACGCCTAGTACGAGGATTGATATACCGAGGACGCGGTGTATCTTGCCAAGTATTGTGGGTAGTCCAGATCGCATGTAGATGAGATGATGGCTGAGTCCAAGTCCAATCTGGAGAAAGATGGCAGCAAAGACAGCCAAGCCAATAATTTGGTGGGCGGAGTTGAAGTTCTTCGACTGCGAGGAGGTTAGAGTGGCCCATTATGATTTCGATAACAGCATGGTGTCAGCATACCTTGTTGTATAGCTTGGAGGCGTATACGCCCAATGCGAATCCTACTACGACCAGACCAAGACCAAAGGTCTGCACAGCTGCATGGACTGGTGCCCGCCTGACGAGTCGAAGCGTGATGGCGCCCAGTGGAAAGACCAAGAGGAATGCCAAACACATGAAAACGGCGTGGACGATCTGCGCCCACTCCTTATCATGGCCGGTACTGTAAGCGTTTGAGCTGAAGTAATTTGCAAATGCCCAATATGCGTGTCCCACTTGCAGGCCTGGATCTTGCGGTGGTGGCACTCTGCCGTATGATCCCGAGATATTGGTTGCCACAGTCATATCCAGTTCAAAGGATCCGTGAAAGTCGTGCAGTCGCAGAGGCGCATCCAGCTCGTTCGAACGAAGCGTGATATTTGGTCCCAGGGCAAAGATGAAGGGCTGTGATGTGCTCGTCGTATCAATACTGCCAGTGGCCCAAGTAGAACAGTTCCGGCATACGGCATGAGCGATCATAATTCCGTCCGGGCTAAGAGTGTTTGCGTATGGCGCATACAAGTCGCTCTGCACGTCGTCAATCACGACATCTTGTTCCCATTCCGGTTCCACTTGTCCTCTGGACATACGAGGACTGTTCGTTATACGATGCCCGTCCTCGCTGATGTATGAGACGATCATGCGGGTGTTGTGCATGGAGGAGCCGAAGCCCACGCCCACCCATGAGTGACGAGCAGGCGCATTCATGTGAAAGTAGACATCGCCGTTTTCTGCCACGTTGAGCGCGAACACATATCCTGAGCTTCTCAAGACAAAGTAGGCCGCTTTTGCGTGCTCGTCAATTCCAGCCTGGGTCATTTGTTGTCTGTCGGCGGTCCAGGCCAGCTGCAGAGACGCCAGGAGAATCAGGATTATGCTGCGCATATTGCCTTGCTTGTTGGAGAATGGCCGCACGCCTCCACAGGAAAATCGGACAGCGCTTCGAGCGGCGTGCGTCTCAGGATAGCGTCAAATAAGGATACCAATATCGATCTACAATGGATGAGCAGCAGGACTCGTAACTAGCCGCACCGCACAGGCATAGAACGATCCCTCATGATATTTCTAGATCTTCTTCCAAAGGATGCGTCGACGCAGGTCCTCCCACGGCGGAGAGAGGCGAGAAGTGAGATGCGCATTACATACATACCTGACTGTACAGTGCCTGACCTACCCACTACCTGGACGTACATAGCCGCCCACTCGTAGTCCCACTTTCTGTAGCACGATGGGAGGCAAAGTCTACTAAGCGCTGATGCTGCCAGAGTATCCAATGAAAATGCGTCGTCGTCGTGATCGGCATGCAAGCTGCACCCTATCACCGCTCGTTGTCAGGAATCGCTTCATAATATCACATAACTGCCTACCTAGAACAGACCCCCTTGTGACGTCCAGTTGATCAATCATCACACGTGTATAAGATGGGGCTCATTAATCGTTATCTGGAGGTGGTTATGGTATGGAAGATCCTATAGGTACCTTAGCTTCAGAAGGTGTAGAACCCGTAGACCATTTGAACTCGCACATCTCATTTCTCTCCCCCATGGCTTCGATCGTACACGTAGTTCGTTTGAGGTATCCAGGTGTAGAATTGCTCCTCGCAGTGCAGAGAACGAAGCAAAAGAGAGGAAGTTGAGGAACAAACCATCACATTATGTTACAGCGAATCGGGTAGCCTGTAGGTTGTGACACTCAATACCCCCCTATAATCTATCGGCACAGATACCCTCAAAAACTCGTACTAGACACGTCTTTTACACATCGAATTGAAAACTCTCAGGTACCGTAATATTACCTAAGGTACCTTCGGTTACAGGTAGCCTGAGGTAAGAACTAGGTTACTAGGTATACAGCACCAACAAAAGCATCACTAGGCATTCCACGACATACGTGTGGCCTGGTACCAACTTCGACCGGTGCACCGAAGGACATGGCCGTGATGTGACGAGCTGGGCCACCACACCCATGCACTGCGCAATAATGCGACGCAAGACAACGAGAGAGCACGAGGGTACTGGATAGGGCTGGATAGGACAGAAAAGGACAGAACAGAAGAGGACAGGACAGGACAGGATGGGGCGAGATACAAGTACAACCTCACGTTCACCCCCGTGTACCTATGCGGCCCCATGTGTCCTTCGGATTGCCACGGCCACGGAATTATGGCATCAGCAATAACGATGATAGTCTTCACGGTTGGCTGGTATCGTATTTGAAAGAGATATGTCTGAGACGCAGCTGAGGGCGCCAAAGGATTCGGATGATACACCCTGAGCTGCCGATGTCACTGAGCCCACGGGGCTGACTGGACTGGTCTCAAGCTGGAATCCTACATTTTGCCCCATGCAGTGATCCGGGGAAGCAAGAGAGAAGGCTCGTGCGCTGGAACAACAGAAGTACCAGCACAGGGCTGAGTAGACCAGCTCGCAGTGTACGGCTGTCACCCTCTTTCTGGTCTTTCCCGTGGCTGAGCAGCTGTACTTGTCATCAGAACAGTCCACGATGACGAGAAAGATCGCTGTAGCCTCACCGCGGCCGCTAGAATTACGTGTGACCAGAACTCACATGCGTTGCTGTGTAAGTCAATGCTCAGTCCTGCGGTGTTTTAGGGGAGTTCTCATAGAGTAATTTGAATGAAGTGGTCGGCAGAGTGGACGAGCCCATGGTCTAAGCTGGACTTTTCACCCCGAGGACATTCCGCTACAAGATCTGGCCTGATATGCAAACGACAACGAGATGCAGGGGATTGGCATGAACCATGGTCGTCGGATCTGTGACAGCCGAAACTGCAATCCTTCGAACTTCCGAGCACATTGCTTTGAACTGTGCTAAGGGCAAATCTCGACCCAAATCGGCCAATCTCCCTTCGTGAACAAGAATCAGAACATTAGCTGTTATGCGGTGCGACGGTGAGCTACATGTTGAGTGGTACCTCTGGTACACTCAAGGACAGCACTTCTCGTCGGACTACGCACAATGACTAAATATAAGTCGCCGCAGAGTGCTTGATCCTGCTTGAATGTCTTTTCTCTTACTTCTACCTGACAGTACCCGCGTCCGATAGACGTGTAGTGGTCATCACGTGGGCACTCAGGTCAAGCTCCACCACTATTCTCTACCTAGTCATACTGACTTACCTGATCTGATGTCCAGCTGCTGCCTTGGCACCCATTTCTTCAGAATATATCAAGTGCGGCAGCACATCAAGCGAGACGCGCTAGAATACAAGTCCGCCAGTCTGATGCAGCCGAGGCAAGGTATCGAGGTATTCTAGGCTCGAACATCGCATAAATATACCAGCTGCGGACTTCTCGTGCCTGCATCCATATATGGTGCTGGCAGATGCACGTCCGCCTGCTCGATAACATATACGAAAAATGTAGACGCCTCTGCCCGGATCGAGGCTTGAGGCCGTTCGAGAGTGGAAAAAGAGCTGACATCGCTTGTTCTGCAATATGTATGTCGGGCAGCAGCAGGATTTCAATGCCCGATGTCTGAGTGCGGAGTACGGACGCGCCTGAGTATGGATATGTACCTATATGCAAAGACGAAGGTCGAGCAATATGTTTTGATCAGTAGAGATCACTTTTTTTTCACCTATCGCAAGCGCCCCTCCGCCCTCCACGATGTTGCCGCTCATGCTAATATACGCTGGACTCTTTTTCACACTAGTCGCGGGAGACAGCGTCAATACCATCTCGCAGAAACTGGTATGCCGGACAGCACTGAAGACATCCTCGGGCTCTGGTGGAAGGACGACTAGTTCAACGACCATCCATCTATCTAGGACTGTAACTCATGTTGTCACTCCGACATTGACTATCACTCCCCCAGTCTCCACGACCACCAAGAAGACGACAATTACACAGACATCAACAGCAACATTCCCGCAGAGTACGAACGCATTTTCTACCACGCTGTCGTTCACGGCTACGAGCACGGCATACACGACCCTGATCAGCACCAGTACATCGTCAGTGACGCAAACCACAACGAGCACTTTTGCCACAACCACCATTCAACCCTCTTCTGGATTTGTGCCCATATCTTCTGCCCTGGCCGCTGCAGGTCACGCCGCAGCCAAGCGGGCGAGACGTGGTGTTGATATGGTCCATAGGGATGTCGCTGCAGTCGAGAAGCGAAAAGCCCATCAACAGATCGTCTGTGGCGACGATGGCAGCATCACGTACACTCCTCGGCAGTACCAGGGTGCAGTAACATGCTATCAACGCATCCAAGTGGTGACCACCAAGACCGTCACATCCACAGCTCAAAAGACCAAGACCATCACAGCGCACCGATTAACCACCACAATCGTCAGTCATGAACCCCCTCCCCCCTCTCTCCCAAGTACAGAATACAAACAAATCCCTAACAATCCCATCTCTCTCCACCCAGACCTCCACAGCCACCAAACTCACCACCACCACAATAACAACCAACCTCCCCCTCTCATCCCTTTCCACCACAACCACCACAACAACCTTCTCCACAACTCTAACCTCCACCTCCCTCCTCACCACCTTCATCACCACCGTCTCCACAATCTACGACACCACAACCCCCCAACCCACTTACTACGCCGCCTGCGCACCCCCCAGCAACACAATTTCCTACATCGACGAGACTCGAATTTCCAACATCGCCGTCCTCGATCCCGATGATGAAGGTTTCTCTTTTGGAAATCAGACATCGAGTGCGTATGAGTGTTGTGTGCAATGTATTATTTTGAAAAACACATGTGGTGCGTCGACTTTTCATCCTGCTTCGGGGAATTGTTACATGTTTCCTCCCCCTGTTGGTGGTGATGGTGGTGGTGGGGGGACGGCGGGGATGTGTGATGCGAGGGAGGAGGTGGGGACGTTTTCCAAGGGGACGGGGAAGGCGACGGTGGGGTTTGTGGTTTCGAATGGAAATTGCGGGGAGATTGGATTGGTTTGATGTTTTTCGGAGTTGATGGGATTGGTGAGGTGAGGTGTGGTGTGGTGAGGTGAGGTGAGGTGAATGGATTCAGCACAAACAAAATGATATTTCAGGTGAAATGGAAGTTTTCGAATGTATTCGTAGGGAAGTCTGGAATACTTCAATGCTCTCAACTTTGCTACAGTATTGTAGACTCGAAGGCTCGTCGCATCTCTACGCAATCTGCTGTAATGCGCGAAGCCGCCGTGATGAAGTGGTATATGACTTGAATCAGTCACTTTCGTGTCCTGGCCCATACTGGGCTCTCAGACCTCCTAAGAGGTAGGTACCATGGCAGACGCTACGGCCCAGTTCGACCCCCCCCCCCCCCCCCAACCAACGGAGCTCGTAGTCTGAGCTCATAGCC